AGACCTCCGCTCTGTCGCTTCGGGGCCATTCCTCCGGACACGCTTGGCCGGTCGCGTGTCTTTCCAGCTCCAGGTTTGGCCGGAGACGGAGGGGGAGGCTGCGCCGCATTTAAACGGTCGGCAGTCACTCCCGGTCGACTACCCCGAAGCTGTTGAGCGTGAAGCTCCCGCGCAGATGAGTTGGGGAGGGCGTTGTTGTGGAGGTGTTGCTGTGACGAGTACGACTTGTACTCCCAGCCTCTACCATTGTTAAGTTTCATCCAGTCGTACTCTCCATCTTCGACATCTCCAGTATTCTTAAGAGCTTGCGTCATGAGGTCTCGGAGGTAGTCGTAGTCGGGGGTGTCCTCGAAGCCGAGATTGCGAACATAGGTCAGGTATTTCGTAAACTCTTCTTTGCGTCAGGTCAGCCGTGTTTGTAAGTTAAATAGTTGGCAGGAGATTAGTACCTGGAAACCCATCACACAGATCCTTAATCGCAGTAGTCTGCTTCTTCTCGCCGATCTTCTCGTACTTCTGCTTGTTGGTCGCAGCCTTGAGACCCTGCCAGGGGAGTCCACCTCTCAGGAAGTACAAGAACACATGGCCCAACGCCTCGAGATCGTCACGGCGCGATTGTTCCCGTCCCAAATGGGTGTTGATGCTCATGTAGCGGGCTGTACCGGACAGCGACTTCCGCTCACGGTAGGGGATATGCTGCTTTGTCTTGGGATCTCTGTATTGCTTGGCCATTCCGAAATCGACAACGTGAATTACATTAGCGGCCTTGGTATTGGGACGACCGATGAGGAAGTTATCAGGCTTGATATCACGGTAGATCAGGTTCTTCTCATGGATAGTTTGGACTCGGGAGAGCTGTGAGGAGGTTTAGAAAAGGCCACAAGTAGAGAGCAGCATGAAGCTCACCATCTGTTTGGCGACCATGACAACGGTCTTGATGGAAAACCGCCGGTTGCAGTGATCGAACAGGTCCTCCAAGCTGGGTCCAAGCAGGTCAATGACCAGGATATTGTGGAGGCCCTCCTGGCCAAAGTAGTAGACATTGGGAATGCCAGCTGCACCATATTAGTCCAAATTCTGACCGAGTCGACTTAGGGAAGACTTACGGCACCCGACAAGGATCTTGTATGTCCGATATTCATCACGGAGTTGCGGAGCATCACTTTTGCGAGGTTCCTGCTCATCATTAGCAGGGGGGCACACCTTGTTATTTCATGCGCGATGTCACGTACGAATTTAATCGCCACCTGTTGGTTATTCAAAAGGTTCGTGCCCTCGAAGATCACACCGAACGATCCTTCGCCGATCTTCTTGCCAACACGGTAGTGGACACCAACGACATTGGAGGATGAGGAAGCCATGTTTGCGGAAGTCGGACGATGAAGACGAAAGACCGCAGACAGGTCAGATATCGGAGACGGGTTTCAGAGGACTTGGAGAAGATGACTTCACACGTGATGTTAGCCTGACAAACTAATCCAAGCAATCGATGAGGCGGGCCATCGATCAACAAGCAGAGATCCCAGACAAGGGCCTGTCAGGGAGGGGTGAAGAAGAGGCGAAGCGATGGGTCCGGGGAAGGTGTCTCACAGAAAGCCCGATATTTTACCAAGCTCGACCCTGCATATGAAGAGGAGACCCAGCGAGCAGGGATGACTAGTGTCCAGACAGATCCTGACTGCGGGAGGTGACAGGCGAAGGGCCGGGACGACTGCTCAAACGATCGCGAGAGCGAAGACTCGGAGAAGTGGGAGGAGGGAGGGGGCCAAAAGGTTGCAGAAGTAGCCTCGCCTCGGAGGGGGGGAGGAAGAGGGAGGCGGCGAAGCGGCGTCGAGCGAAGTTGGTTTGGTGGTGACGGGAGGGAAGAACCAGGGCTTCCGGGGGGAGGGGGGAGGAACTGTAGGTTGACTGACAGTTTGAAGGTGTGTTCGGTACGCGAAAGGGGAGGAGGAAATTCGGCGCTGGGACACGGAGGCGATCGAGATAACCGAATGGAAAAGAGAGATTCAATGCAAAGTCCCCTGAAGCGTCGACCGAGCGCGTGGCAGTAGGATGGAGATGGGATGGTAATTGGGGAGGCCGAAGCCGAATGGAAGAAAAGGATAGGAGGATTGAAGATGAGAGGATGCGAATTGAGGACGGAGGTGAGCAGTGAACACACCAAGATTGGTATGAACCAATTACTGCTACGGCCTGCCTACGGGGAAGGGGGAAAAAGGGAGGAGAGGAGGAAGAGAGAGAGAGAGAGGGAGAGAGAAAAGAGAGAAAGAGGAGAAAAACGAGGCGGAGAGAGGAAGAGGAGGAGGGAAGAGTGAGGAGCAGGAGGAAGCAGGAGAAAGAGGAGAGAAGAGCTGCAGCAGTGCAGTGCCAGTTACCAGTGTCAATTACCAGTGCCAGTACGATGCCAGTGCTCACTTTACTTACTCGACTTCTCTCCCTCAGGCACTCACTTATTCACTTACTCGCTATGGCTACTAGTCTAGTAGTTTGAGACGGAGGGAGGCGATGGCTTCTTTGGTTTGGTCTGGTTTAGGCTTGGTAAGTTGTTGGTATGGCTCGGTTTGGTCGGTCCTGGTCTGGGTCTCTTTTGGGCTCCTCTTTTTTCCTCCTTCTCTCTTCTTTAATCTTCTTCCGATTTGATTTGGCTTGTTCGGGTTCGATCCGGACAATCCGTTTTTCGACAAACTGACAGATTGAAGAATCACAATAACAATATTACAATGAACACAATGACGGGCTGTTCTTGAAGCTTGGGCAGTCTTTCTCTTCCCCCCCCCCCCCTTCCTCTCTCCCCTCATTCTGCCCAGTTTTCCCTCCTTCTGCCGGTCGGTACGGTAACACCTGGTATGGAATACCGACTAAGGGGGACTAGCCGGGCGGTGATGGCCGAAAAGGCCCCAAACGATAGGGGATGAAGGGCGGTAATCGGACGGTTCCGGGGGTATTGATACCACCCCATCCTGCTTGTCTTGATTACTTTGAGACAGTTGGAACAAGCCATGCATGCATGGGTGCATGCTTTGAACAATCCACATCCCGTCAGTAAGGTACCACGGTGAAAAGTCATGAGTCCAAATATTCTAGAATCTCACCTGTGGGTGGTTTTTGTTCTTGTTTTGGAAGTCAATTCTATGATATCAATTGATCAACATTAGCATTAACATCATCATCATCCTCCTCCTCCTCCTCCTCTTCTTCTTCAACCACAACAGGAACTGGGACCGGGACGGGCACACGGCAGGCTCCTCTTTTCTTCCCCTCCGCCCCCCAAAAGCTACCGCCGAAGTAACTAGATTAGTACAGGTAAGTTTCGGCAGGGTCGAATGTTCTATTGATTCAGAATTTCAGATAAGAGAGAAAGAAAAAGAGAGAGGGAGAGAAGGCAAAACAGTGCAATCTGGAGTTTCACCGCTAAGAAACTTCGGAACCTTCGCCCCGGGCACAAGGGAAGGAGTCACTAGCGGCGCCTCTAGCGTTGAGCTCGCTGAGATTGGGCCAAATTGGCTCTATAAATGGAGAACGGCTCAACAAGATATTAAACCGTTAGACGCGCCGCCGCCGCCCCCCCCCCTCTCTCCCAGACGGTTCCGGCCATCTCGAAAGGCATTCGGGAAAGAAAAGGGAAGCAATTCTTCAACAGGTATCGGTATGATGCCACCAGGAATGGTGGGGAGGGAGGAAAGGGAACAATGTGAAGCGGAGCAAGAAAGCAACATTCATCTGGGTGACTCGACTGGACTTGACTTGACTCAACTCAAACCAACTCTCTTTTCATCCATCAAAGCCAAAGGGGGAGAAAGAAAAGAACCTTACATGCAGTTTTGGGGGCGTAGTTACTACGGTGACTGAATTCTACTTTCCTGCAGGTTTGACGCCCGTAATCATACCGACAGGACAGGTACCGGCTGTGGAATGAGGATGGACAAGATGGATGGATACCGTATTCATGCCATTATGGAGAATCGGTCGGGTTAGTGCCAGTGGGTTGTGCCTTAGTGCCAGGTACCTATCGATCGGTTATCCGATCAGTAAACCCAGCAGAATTCTGATTATTATTATTTTGATTATGACTATTGAGGAGACGACCCCATCTCCAACTGGGAATAGATGAGCGCTGTTCGGTCCTGAGAGCCGAACTGTCGCCGGCAACCGGAGGAGGCAGAAGCGAGCGAAAGACAGATAGTACACACGTTTTTACGTTCTTAGTTGTGAGGGAAAGCTTGAGGACCATAGACAATTAGACAGACGCCAGTCATGTCTCTCTTCTTCTTTCCCCCCCTCCATGGGTACAGAATCTCTCATCACCCAATTATGGCCCGTATCTGTAGCTGTCAACCGGTGCTGACAGATGAGGAGCTAGTTAAATCGCCTGCTCCCCAAAATCTTAGCTTTGCCATCTCACTGGTTGCCCAAACTCCAACCGATCAATCCCTGAGGCTGTGATCCGTAGAAGCCCACGGAGAAAATGGCAGGAATGGCTTGATACTCACTGCGCTGGCACTGCGCCCCTGACCAGTCCTGGCTGCGCCCTGGGGGCCACCACGCTTAGGGCTTGAAGCTACGACTATCCCGGTTAGTCAAGAGGGGAACCCGGTGGAGCTGTGAAACGGAGTCTCTTTCTCCGTACCTAGTAAAACTACGTAGTCTGCTGGAGGTCTCGAGGTACGAGTATGATTCGAGACTCAATAATAATGATTGATTCAGTAAAACAATGGTATCCATCCGGTCGTAGGTACAGTATCATACCGTTTCCACTTCCTCCAGACTATCAACCTTGTTCCCCCACGGTTACCCACGACACTAGGTTCGGATGGAATACGAACTTGCCCTGTCGGCGGAACATGAGCATCACTTACATTAGGGCTCAAGATCTGGAGATCACGGGCGTCGTCGTTACGGCGAATCCGCTATCCTCAATGGAGGATAGTCAAGCCTGCTCAATGGACTTAAGAAAGATCTAGTGCCAGTGAAAGGAAGGCCCCTACTGCTTCTTCTGTACGGAGTACTGTATAATAACATCGACTTACAGATATTGGCGGCACATCAATTGGTGACGGCGCGATGCATCTGACACGTCCATGATCCACAATTCATTGGGTGCCAAACCCCATTGTCTGAAACGTCTCTTATGCAGCCTTGAAACGGCTTTCCCAATGTCAGGTGCAATGCGACGTGAGCAGCGCTCGTTCTCAGTACCCAAGGCTCGCGTCCAATGGCTAGATATTCTATGCTAGATAAAACCCTCCAAGGAATACTCACCGCCACGCCTCGACTGATGACGAGATCTAGGGGATATTGAAGGGAAACTCAATCGGGCTCACGTTACGTTGGCCTGACTGCAGCAACAATTCGATCGTACAGGGTTCATAAAGTGAGCTCTTACAACTCATCGGCCGGGACATCCTCCGCTTCGCTGCCGAGCTCGTCCGCCACAAGATCTCGACCATTATCCTCGTCTTCTTCCTCCATATCGCCATCCTCGTCCTGGTCCTCGTCTTCATCGTCTTCCTCGCTGCTGCTGCCACTTCCATCGGTGTCAACGTCGCTGCCAGGATCATAGTCCTCCTCATCCTCGTCCTCTTGGTCCTCAAGCTCTCGCTGTGCCTTCTGCAATTCACTCTCTTCTTCTTCTGCAGCACCTTCTGCAACAGCAGTGGCATCCTCTTCGGTCTTAGCCCCATTTCCATTGTAACGCTTCGCACGACGAGCTTCTGCGAGACTAGCATCTTGTAGACCGTGCTTTTTGACATAGGCATCGATTCCGGAGAAGTTGGCCTGGTCAATCATGGAGAACTCAAACTCTTGGGTCTCATCACTGGCAGTGGGCCGGGCCAGGATGTTAAGATTGAATGTTCGCTGCAAGACAGATGTGTAGGAAATCGACTCAATGTTCTCAAACGCAAAGAAAATCAAGGGCTTCTTGAAGCCGAAGAGGATGCCGGTAGAGAGAAGAAAAAGGTACCCTACGGTGGAACATTGTTAGTCGAGATCGTAGCTTGTTAGACCACCAATATCTGGATGCCATACCATCTTTACTGCCGCGGAACGCCTTGACGTGAAAGGCCTTCTCCCCTTTGCGATGAGCCTCGGGCATCGCGCTCACAAATTGCCGCTCATCCGGGCGGATAACCTTGGTTCGCACCAGATTATCGTTCAAAACCTGTTGAACCACCTTCTCCGCAGTCTCGCCTTCGCCTGTTCCAAGCTGCTGTCCGGTTCCTGAGAACGCCGCCTTAGGCGGCCCATCGGCCACCGTCCACACGATAGATTCCAGACCAGCTACACCTTCCGGAGAGGCGTTGATGCCATCGCTGTATTGAGGGATGATGCAAAAGTTGAATTGCCGCTGATTCTTTTCCGGAACTGGTAGACATAAGACGTGCCCTGGCGACCACGAGCACACATTAGTAAATGCCACTCGAAGATATATTCGTAAGAATAACTCACGGATCCTGTCCAACTGGACCCCAAACTCTACCTCTTTCGACGCCTGGTTTCTTGCGCGGAGGAATCCGCCGGCCCCAGCAGTGATCTCCAGCGTAAGCTTTTTCCGCTGCGGCACAGCGAAGGAAACGTCTTGCATGTAAAACTGGAGCGATGCATCGGCTTTCAGGTCGCCCGCGGACGGCTGCGCAGCGGCAGCTGGATGGCCCTCCCCACCATTCTGGATCTTCCGTTTTTTTGCGGCAGGGCCGTCGTCGCTGACGGCCTCGCGGGGTTGAACGCGAGTGTTGGCGGCAGTCCTGGCCAGCAGGCTGGAGGTATATCTGGCAATGTCTTCGAACAGCGGCGCATGCTGGGGGGTATGTCCTATTTAGAATAAAGAACAAGCGATGAGTTAATGGTTCTTTCTGTCCTAGGCTCTGGCGAAACAATTGATGCCTTTGCGAGCAAAATGTGGAGGTTGAGGCGGGGGAGGGATGTGAATGGTTCTCGCAGTGGTCGATAGTGTTCACGTACCGATCGCATCGTAAACGCGTCTTTGGAGGGTAGGTTCGGCGGCGAAGGCGTCGTCGATGACGGGGTTCCTGGGTGGAGGACCTGAGGATGAGGAATTTATTGTGGCAAATGCCATAATGATAGAAGAAAGATAGGTAGATACGGCTAATCCAGGAGCGATGAATATATATGAGTAAGTCTAGAGAAGACGTGGAGGCCACAGTGCATCAGATGAGTGTGTAAATCAATTGGAGATGGGCAAGCAGAAGATTTGCGTTGCGGATCAAGTCGCAAGGTAGGCTGAGTTAAGTAAGGTAGCTTTTAGGATTTTAGTAAAGTATAGTAGGAGATGGAAGAAACTGAAGAAAGGATTGCACTCCTACCTACCTCCCCTGGCGGCTTGGTCGACCGGGAGGGAGCGCGCACTTAATGCAATTCAAAAATTAATACGGAGTAACAAACAGCCTTCAATAAAAGGTTCTTCCCGACACTGCTTAACATCCCCATTCTTGGTGCAATGGTTTATCTTGCGGAGATACTAGCACATTCATCGAGCCAATCTTCTTCTCCACTTCCTCCACAAACCTCATTCTTTTGTGATTTGAATAAAAGTCATATTCTATGCTACAAGCAGAACTATTGTATACACACACCCATTGTGGATAAAAAATAAAAAATCGCGCGAAATTACAAAAAGGGTTTGACCCCAAAGAAAAGCCGCCATTCCCTCGTCAGTGACCGACAGCCGATGCATAACACATTACCACCAGACAGATCAGGCGATCTTGGTGGCAACCTTGCTCTTCAAGAAATTCTCAATGAATCCATGTGTCTTCGAGTCCATTATGTAGTTTCCATCAGCATCCCGCTTAGCGTTACGGCGCTCCTGCGCCGCGGCGATCCTCAACCGGTGGGCTTCGCCCTTGGGGGTCAACAAAGATTGGCTTTCAAGATATTCGCGCTTGTAGTCTTCCATCCTCTTCTTCTCCACCCATTCCGGTTCGTGCCTAGTTCGGTATTTGGAATAAGGGTTGCGAAGTTCATCTATGACCGACGCGGGGAAAGGCGCATATCTGAGTGATGGCAGCCAGGTTGGCGTCTCGACTTCCATGCGGAGGGTATCCCATTCTTCGTCCTTTGGCGCCGGAGGTTCGGGCTTGGGCCACGGGATCTCAATGTCTTCGCCAGCAATATACCTGGTGTGTCTGGGGGTCTCGACTCCATAGCCGCGTTCAAGGATGGGTTCTCCGCCGTAAACATGTTGTACCAAGACATCTCGCGTTTGGCCGGTGGTTGGGTCGTCGAGAGCGACCACGAGACGGACATCGTCCAAGGGTAAGGGGATGCTGACCGACTGGAAGGGCGATTTTTCTCCGTAATTTTGGGTCAACCACTCGGGGAAGTAGACATCGGCCTAATTGAGGGTTGACACCGGTCTGTCAATCGAGATTCCTGGTCCAGAGCAGGGGCATGGGCAAACAATACCATATTGAGGTCCTTCACCGTCACTGTCTCGTTATTCTCATCCACCTTGATGACCTCGTTGATCTTGCCCTTATCCTTGCCCTTCATGATACATACCCGATCCCCCGCCGCGATGTTGATGTATTTTCGTCGGAGATGCTTGGGAATGTTCGGAGGGTTCAATGCCTGCGGAGTCAGGGCACCGAACCTGCTTCCTGCGAGAGCGGCATCACGCTGGGGGGCCAGAGGTCCACGCATCCAGTCTTCACGGCGACGGAGTTTCTCCTCGCGTAGGTTGTCGAGCTCCAGGCGCTTGTAGGCGAATCGCTGCCGAAGAGTGTCCTTGAGCTCTTCGCGTTCGGCAGCTTTGGCCGCCCGGATGGCCTTGCGCGTGGCCTGGTTCCGGGCCTGTGCCGTTCTCTGAATAACTTTTTGCATGGTGATATATTGCGGTGCCAGCAATGGCCGTCCTTTTCCGCTGAATTGCGGCCGGAATGAATGTCGGGGAAAGGGAAAATTGCGGCCCAGTATTGGTCACGTGACTTGACCCTCTGCAGCCAATCATATTTACCCCCTCCAAATCAGTCAGTAGTCAGATATCCATGTTGTGCACGGCCGAGCTACAATGATCATGCTCACTCATTCTATGGACTGGCTGTACTAGTATTCTCAAGGCCCCGGTGGCTATATAATTCTTCTAGTCAGGTGTGACAAGCTTGCGCCTCTCGTATCCGTTGGCAGAGTAGCTTATACATATCGACCTCAAGATAAGCTGATATGCCAACCTGGAAGAGAATAAGCACCATGATCAAGGGTGGTATGGGGATACTCTGCTTTGGGTCTGGCTACCTGACAACCACCTCCATCTCTCATGACTACGTGGAGCATGTAGCAATGACTCGAGTTTGGGATATGAACAAACCACCATGGCCATGGAATATTCTCCGCATTGTCAGCTGCTTCGCACGCTCCACAACAAGTCAGGTTGGCTAGATTAATAGGTGCTTCTGGCAGCAACATCGAAAGAGATCGGATGAGTTATTTTGCAGCCGGTTGACGACCAAATCAGAGACCATATACGGACTATGGCTCTGTCACAAACCCAAGCCAAAATGAGATTCACTGGCCTGCGAGACTCTTCACAGTCTGAAGCCTAGGAACCTACTTTTTTTCTTGAATTGTGATCTGACAGATGGTAGCGCACACTCGCATAGATGTCCATGGCTCGACCGTCGACTGAACACAAAGCCTCGTCCGATTGCACCAACCGTACAATTGCCAGGTAGGTCGCCAGCGCATGTATTTCTCCACATATTGCGAGACATACTGTCCGTAAATGTCGCCACAGTGAAAGTCTGTATCCCTATCAAAAGCCAGTCATCCAGGGCCCTTGTCGATCTAGCCACCGTGGATGTACCCTTCAGCTACCATGTACGGCGTTCCCGAGGATCTTCCCAACCAAACGTCGTGGTCTAAGCAATGTGAGTCGGTAGGTGCGGGCGATCCAATCAACGACTGGCCAACTTAGAACTGGTACAGCATTAGTGCAGCAGGCCTGCGATTCTGATTGGGGACGGGCCATTGTGTGATGATCTGAAAAGCTAATACGACCACTGAGTGCTTACACTTGCTGCACTGGGGACTGCAAGGCGACTGCCAAGTTATCTATCTGTGGCTGAGAGTGGTATGGCAAGGCTATAGCCGGAAGCGGTACGTAAGTAGGTTTGGCTTCTCCCGAGAGTGTATTTTTACCTCGTGATCGTAAAGTATGATATACTTTATCTTACATTGTTGACGGTGCAAATTGACACCATCGCCATGACCATCAATGACCGGCATCGTGGTTCTTCCCGAATTTGAATGAGAATAGGGACCAGCCACAGTATTGGACACAGGCTTTGCCAGGGGCCGCACTTGTTTGGGAGGATTTCTAGCCCCATTAGATGACGTTGACCGGGGAGGAGAGTACGTATGTACATACATGCAACTGATCACAGCATGATCTAGGTTGTATCGAAGACCACTTGCACCGCGACATATCTTTGGGATCGGTCGTCGGTAAAAGTGAGCGGAAAGCGGATCTGCAGAGTACTCATAATTTACTACAGTCACAGGGCAGACGTAGATTCCCCTTGGAAGTCCCCTCAAGTGAAAACGTGCATTGTCTCTTCACCTTCGGAACTTTGAAGAAGTAGAGTGAGTGCTACTGAACATCACCAAAGGTACATATTTGGCGACAACAAATCATGTCTGTCAATCTCTTAGTAGTATAGCCAGGAGTTTCCCCAAGGGCAACACAGCTCAACAGCAGGGATTGTCGGAGGGCTATGGAGCAGGGTAGGAAGACTGTCTAGCCGTTCTCGAGCTTCGTTGCCAGCTATCCAGGGTAGTCGGCGATCCCCGCATAGAGTATGGAGCTGCAGGGCCAACCTCCGTGGCTAGCCATACGGCTTTGACGAGTATATCGAAATGCAGGACTTGATGTCATTCCACCCCCAGGAAAAGTTACATGGAGGGTGATCATCTCGAGTCTCGATCTATTTTTTCAAGAATCTCAAGCATCTCACGCGAATTTGCAACGATTGACCACCGCCGTTGCATTCAGGGTAATTCAGATATCATGAATGTGAGTAAGATTGAAAATAACGGCGAAGATCACCCAGACAAGACGTCGGATAGCGCAGGTAAAAATGGTTGATACATTATGGCTTGATTGCACAGACACCCTAGTGAGTGCCCTCTAAGGATTTGATGGGAGCTCGAAGCTTTCAAAAAGCCCTTTGTCTCCAGTCCTGGCTGTTTGGCACGACGACAATCACTCTCAAGTCAAGCAGGGGAGAAAGAAAGAAAATGACGACATACAACCAGAGCCGACGCGGTCGGAACGGGGAATGAATTCCTAAGATTAATGACAACAAAAGGACCTGCTTAGAATAGGGGTCGACCACAATACTATACATAGTTGTACTTACGGATGGGAATTCTGCGGTTGATTGAGTTGAGTCCGGTATCATACAATACCATACATGACTCTATCTTACCTGACAGTCACCCGTCGTAATCGCTCCCGTCTTCAGCCACGGTGGCTTTAATCGGAATGAAGACAAGTAGTTAACTAAGCAGATTAGGCAGCTAAGTAAGCAATGGAGATTGACCGGACAACGTAGTTAAACTTAGTGATGGACACAAGGACACGCGACTAGATAAAGGAGGTCAGGTCATGGGAAAAGAGTGGAAGACGCTCAGCCATTCGAATAATCTCTATCAAAGAATCCATAAGAATATTGGATGGAAAAAGAAAATGGTTCAAGGTTGCAGCTGACAAAGAGGAGAAGCCAGAGCATGATGAAGGAAAGACAACAAACAGTTAAAGGAGAAAGGGGGAAGTATAAACACTTCAAGGCTGTCACAGCCACATTCATAGTATCTCGACCACTTTGGGGAGAGGAAGGCGGAGGTGTGGAAGATTGTTTCAGATTACTGAGAGAGAGCCTCAGCAAATGACCTGGAAAGAGTCAGTCAGTCCTCAGGCCAACCCCAATAATCAATCACCATTACTAGTTCTGTGATAAGTAGTAAACCAGTTGCAAGCAAGCAAGAGCCGAGACAGAACAGGCAGCAGAGAGAGAGCAACGGGCTACTGTAGTTAGGTGTAGTAGTTAGCAGCAGGAGCAGGAGCATTAGTTTAGTTACTAACTATAACCTGGCAAGTACTTACAATCACCACTCACTACCACTAAGTACCACTACCACTACTAACTAACTGCCTACCTAGTAGTACCCTTTACTACCTACCAGGTACCACCATCCATCCTCTCTCCAGGCTCTATCAATCCCCCATCCATTCTTCTTTCTCTTCCCTCTTCCTCCTCTCTTTCCTCTCTCTTTCCTCTCTTTTCTTCTTCGTCATCCCTCCAACTTTATCTCCCTCCCTTTCATCCAGGGATTATTCTACAACTGGACTCTCTCTCTCATAATCTCTCTCTCCAAACTCATCTTTTGGGTTTATTCTTCCGATTCTAGACTCTTTTATTCCTCCCTCTTCCACCCCCACCCCCTACTCTCCCTCCCATATTTTAATCCGCGCCCGTTGCGCCTACTCCCGTGCACCGTACGTGATAACCCTTTTCCTCGGGCGCCTGACTTGTCCCTTTCTCTCTCTCTCTCTCTCTCTCTCACTCTCGACCTTCAACCTCCACCTCTCTCTTCCTCTCTCTCTTTCCCCCCCCCCCCCCTCCCAAAATCCAAATTCCCCATCAACTACTCACCTCCCTTTTTCCATTCCCTATTCTCCACCAAACACACTTTTTCTCTTGTCGCATATCGCTATACCAACCTATTTTCTGCTTTCCCACTTACTGACCTTCTTCCCTTACTAAAGATGGCTGAGATTCGCCGCAAGCTTGTCATCGTTGGTGATGGTGCCTGTGGTAAGACCTGTTTGTTGATGTAAGTTTTCCATCCTTGATCGCCTCCATCCTAGGGGCCAAATGGCACGTACTGACTACATATCTTCTCCTTAGTGTCTTTTCCAAGGGCACTTTCCCTGAGGTGAGCCTCCGCCTCCTATCCTCCCCTGGGTTTCCCGACGCCGCTGTCCCTTGTCCCCTTCATGCTCGATGCGAAACAACTCATGGAGCGGTGAATCTAGCCTTTCGTTCCTAGCCGACTAACTGAACACAACGTCTTAGGTCTATGTCCCTACTGTCTTCGAGAACTATGTCGCCGATGTTGAGGTCGATGGCAAGCATGTTGAGCTCGCTCTTTGGGATACTGCTGGTCAGGAAGATTACGATCGTCTCCGTCCTCTCTCATACCCCGACTCTCACGTTATCCTGATCTGCTTTGCTGTCGACTCCCCTGACTCCTTGGACAACGTTCAGGAGAAAGTGAGCCATTTCCCCCATTCCAGACCTTGGGGATGAAGCCTGCGCATCTCATCGAGGTCCTTTGGGCTCAACATGCTAATGAATTTTACAGTGGATCTCCGAGGTTCTGCACTTCTGCCAGGGTCTTCCCATCATCCTGGTTGGCTGCAAGATGGATCTCCGCCACGACCCTAAGACCATCGAAGAACTTCACAAGACCTCCCAGAAGCCGGTTACCCCTGAGCAGGTAAGTCCATCTGGCGCGGTAACAAGTTGAGTTTTGGGTGATCGCTGACTTTTGACCAGGGTGAGGAAGTTCGCAAGAAGATCGGTGCCTACAAGTATCTCGAGTGCTCTGCCCGTACCAACGAGGGTGTTCGTGAGGTCTTCGAGGCGGCCACCCGGGCTGCGCTCCTGACCAAGACCCACAAGAGCAAGAAGAAGTGCACCATCCTGTAAACTAGTTGTTTCCTTCGCAAAAGGTCTGTTTCGTGCGGAGATTATATGAACGGATAAGCGTCTCGAATATTTGGTTTCTATTATTTAACTCGAAGGGGTCTTCCGTTGGCGTGTTCCAATCTGTGCCTGGATGCGAGTGTGGATAATGTTCAATCACGGGCACATGAGCTTTATGGGATTATCTGGCTATGCAGTTGGTCGACTTTCTTGTTTTGCAGACTTCATTTTCTAGGGAGGCGTTGTCTTGTCTTCACAACCTTGTGGGTTTCTTTATCTTTTTTCACCAGCTCTCCATAGGCGCCTCCAGGGCGGTTCGCGATCATCCACTATGGCAAATTGGGCGCCGGGTTGCTCCCCAAGCAAAAGAGGTCCTTGCTTCAACGGGCTATGGAGGTTGGAGGTGGCGCAGGTTGACGGGCAGCCCTCTCTTTACGCATGAGTACGATCGCCATTAGGAGGAGGTCTGTTGATTCAGAAAGTCGACATATTTCCGCCATCGGTCGGATGGTTCCTCCCACTTGTCTCGCCCGTCGGGTTCCCTCAGCACAATTTCTTTATCACCAGATTTCCCCCTCTGCTGTGTTCTAATCTGTTATCTTTGTTTATTTTCGGTTAAAGTGAATGCATGGTATTGTCACTGGATTTGAACATCTCCCCCTGTTCTCTGCTGTTCTCTCAGTCGCCGCGATTCTAATAACTATACATGTGTCCTTCGCGATGGATGTTGAGCCATGCAGAAAGAGAATCTTGAAACAGAACTCATACTTGTGTCATTGTCTACTAATCATTTCAATTTTCCGCGCTCTGCGTTGCATGCCCCCTTGTTTTCTTTCCATGTCTGATAGGCATCGACAATAGTTGTTGACTGTGCGAAGCAAGAAATTCATAGGTAGAAAGAACCAACTCCACATTGCACTTCCGTGGCTTGAATATCAAGCACATGTAGCGATGCTATTGATAGTAACACTAGTCTGGTCCAAAGGCACGTACCATACGACTCGCTCAGGGCTGTAAACAACACCTACTGTAGAAGGAAATCCGGCATACAGGCAAGCTATTTTAGGTATGTATGTACTGGCGATACAAGATTGCATGGTGCAAGCCAGATTATCAACACTAATGTATGTATGTACGTTTGAAGAGAAGAGTGGTCCGAGTATTGAACATTTGCGTCAGCACTGAAGAACATTAGTTCTTCGTCCCCGCCTCTCCCTCAGAGCTGGGACATACGAACAGTTTCTGCGGCTTTGTATCTCTCCCCTGAACAAGGGGGAATGAATTGACGAAGAGGGCATGCTGGTCATAGCGTTAGCACCAGGTCCTCTCGCTCCCGACAAGGTATATCGTATTCGTTTTTGTCCACGGAGGCGTGTCGTTCAGGTTTGTAGCTGTCACTGAGCATAGCTTAGGGGACAAATCAATGTTCTTGTATAAGAACTGACTGCTAGGTTCCTGTGAGTTATGTCATCCACATGTTGTGTGGTTCTCCTGGGACTTAGAAATCGCCGAGGGCCGCAGTATAGTTGGAAGACACACCAAGCTCCATTAGCTCATGTAGATGCTCGACACTGAATATGGTCATTCTTCGCCGGTTCTTGTGGGAAGAGATGGTAGATACAGCTGGGATTCGAATCTACGTAAGGACAAAACAGGGGGCCCTTTTGCCAAATCTATCTATTCAGACTCAATAAATTGCCGATATACCGTCTGGCATCGAGGCCCAATCCTTCGACAAGCTTCGCAGGCCCTGTATCGGTCCTTGCCGCCTGTAAGCCCGGTGATGAGGCACCGCCGAGATCTCGAAAGAATCGGGAGCCGCTACCGCTACGGACATGCCCTGATGGAGGGACGTGATCGCTTGACCGTCTGATGAGAAATGCCTCTTGCTGCGCGCCCCCAGCATCACCAGCACCAGTACTGATGTTGGCCTCAGCTGGAGTGCCCGTGCTCGTTTCGGTGGTCGGGGTTCCTTCCTTTTCTGGTTGCGAAGTGGGATCGTCGGACATCCGCATCCAAACGATCCACCAGCCGCGACTGGTTTTGCAGGTTCTTTCGACCTCCAAGGGTCGAGACCGGGTTTCGCTGTAAGTGCTCAGGAGCCGGTGATGGATGTTAAGGCTTTCAACCCGTGACCAGGGCTGTGAAATAGCGCCATCTTGTGCCTCAATGCTGCTGGGAACTCCCAGCTCGGGTATGTTGGGAATGGAAGAGCGAATTGTTAAATTAGTAGAGTCGTATACGAAATTGTACACCTGTTGACTCTGGGGTGTGTTGGCATCGAAGGCACTGTCTGACATAGCGATTCGCTTCGAAGCGGTAGCTGGTGATGTGGAATTGCAAAGCGATTTTTGGAGTATGCTCAATTGGCTGTGAAGCTCGCGGTAAAAAGATAGCTGGGCTAAGGAGGGTGTTGAGGGATCGAAGAGGAATGTGCATATGAATGGTTGGTGCTGCAATCTGGTCAGAGTTCCATTGAAAGGATACGTAGGTATAGCAGAACGTACTACATAGACAACTGTTCGTAACTTGACTGAGCCTAGAGCACAAGAAATTAGCCATTGGGTGGATCAAAGCTCCTGCCCGGGGATGGAGTATTTTACCCGTAGGTGTTTCGTCCAAAGGAATTGCCTCTTCGAACGGGACTGTCAATTGAACATGCAATGTCCTTTGGTCGATTTTGTGACTTGATTCAGCAGTGGAAGGATTTTCAGCTTCGATATAATCATGGGTTTGACTGTCCGAGGTGCTAGTGCTTGTTTCACGGTGGAAGCCAATCAGAAAACTGGCACGATTCTGAATTTTGTCCTTATCGTCAACGTCGACATGATCTCCCTTCGATGATTCCTCGGCATCTGTAGGGGATTTCGTTGGCTTTGAGGCTGATGACCCAACCTCTTGTCTTAAAACTCCAACACGAGGATGCGGAGTGGTAGTCTTAGACGATGGCCCCCAAGACGAACCATATCCGAGTGTGAGATACTTCATGAACGTTTCCGTCCCGGGCATCATCCAGTCGCTTCCCCGCTCGCTCCGTGCTGACGAGCTCTCACTGCTGGTGATGGAGTTTGTTTTCATATTGAACTCCGTCGGCAGTTGTGAAGACTCTGGCGTCCCTATTACTAGCGGACGAGGTATTCCAGGTGAAAACGGGCGATCTGGAGTCGCAGTTTCTTGAGAATGGGCAACAAATACCTCTTTACTGCTCGATCCTCTCCCATCCGGAAGTCTGGGCCGATGCTTCTTTCGTCTTTTCCGCCGGCGAGGAGCAGTCGGGTCATCGCCCACTCCATAGGCGTCAACGCCGTATCTGTAAATCCATTCCATCCACTGAGAGACTCTCACAACAGAGTGCCTTGAAAGAGCACCGACTCCAGTGAAAATGACTCCATCCGAAGGCTTGGAGGCAACGCCCGCACCGAGCCACAAGTTTGCATCATAATTCTTGCTCTGGGACTCCCCCTCTCTGTCCTCCAGGGTAGACCCCCTAGACGAGGGACATGAGTCTCCAAACCGCGAGACAACCAGATCCAAAAGTCCATCCGTCCTAGCGACGAAGTCCTCCAAAACCTCTCTTTCCCCGCTACCCCATTCCTCCTCGCCAACGCCGACTCCTAGCTCGCCTCCAGCAGAGAGCTTGATGCCATCATACATATCGACAAGCGGATTCCCAGTGAGGAGCATTTCCCAGCTCCAAGCAAACCGCCACCAGAAGCTGTCGAGAATATTACAAAATGTGGACCTGCCAACATGATCGTAAAGGGCGTCGAGTGTAAATTGGTGATGTAAAAGGAAGATGGCATGTGCTCGGCGCATTTGTTGTATCAAAAGCTGTGGGGGGCACATCTCCCTTGAAGAGTATGCGAAGCTAGAGGTAGCTGAAGCAGCCCGCTGAGATGAGGTAGCCCAATCGACTGGCAGTCGAGTCAGGTCAACGGACTATAGAATCGATCTCAGCAGCTATCGATTGGATATGGGGACATGGGTCACCCACGGCTAGAATCCACCAATCTTGCTCCAGCTCATGCAAGATAATCTGCGACTTCTCTGTGTCCACATAATCCACGGCCCTGCCTTCCGAGAAGTTCCTGGTGTCCCAAATCAGCCCTGGTTCTCTCAGTGGTCCTCGATAGCGATTTCCCCCCACCTGGCGAAGCCAACTATCCCCTGGGCCAATCCTATTTGGCGCAGTCTATCATTCCACTCGTCACTGGATTCCTTGGCGCCAGTTTCCGAGAGTTGGCCGTCACGCTGCCGTGAGTGTTCCGCCCTGGATGTGTAAAAGACGATCTGATTCTGGATTGTTTCATCGGTCGGTCCGAGGCGGGGATTGTAGATGGTGAGGAAGGAAAGCTGCGCAGGAGTCACCGAAGCGGAGACATTGTCAGACATTGCGCTATCGACCTGTGAGCTCCAGCTCACAGCCTACCAAGCAGCAGCGCCGTATCTGCAACAGAGAATCATTAATGATAGTCGCCGGTTGAACCTGGGGGAGGTGGAAGGCGGTGACATCACGTGGCGGCATTCGGCGATCTTCCCGGAGCTACAGCAACGATAGCGTGTAAATAATCCATGATGGATTGTTCAAGTACCATTGCAGTCGGGAGCTCGGAATGCATGCCATACTGCTCTCTCGGGGGCCAGGAACCCTCTGTGGCTTTCGACCAGTCCGCTTGTCTTTATTGCTTGCACGTCGATGTCTGGCAACTACTACTACTAAGGCCCACGACCCTCTCCGCATACTCTTCTGCGGGTCCGATGAGTTCAGTATTGCGTCCTTGAAGGCGCTCAATGCGGAACATGTCTCTAGACCAGATCGGATCGCCTCCATTGATGTCGTCTGTAGACCCGGTAAAAGGGTCGGGCGAGGGTTGAAGACTATACGGGAAGGTCCTAATCACACGCGAGAAATACATCCAAGAGATTCATAACTGACATATGCGCGTCAGTCCCCATCAAAGCCGCCGCCACAGCCTTATCGCTCCCTATCCACGAGATCGACACCTTTCGCGACTGGACGGTAATTGATGGCTGTTGACACCACCAATTATTTCTGCTAATGCTGTTAGCCTCCCGTCCTGCCCGAAGGACCGATCAATCTTATCGTCGCCGTCTCGTTTGGCTTATTCGTACCTGCGCGAATCATCAATGGCGCCAAATACGGGGGTCTTAACGTGCACCCCTCTTTACTCCCCGAGTACACATCTACCATGACTTCGTAGGCAGAGATTTCAGCCTTGCTAATTAGGACATCTAGCTTCCGCGGTCCCGCTCCGCTACATCATACACTATTGCATGATAGAACCAAAACTGGCGTCACACTGCAAACGCTAGACCTGAAGCACTTTGACCACGGTACTATTCTAGCACAGACTCCAGCTCCTGGATTCGACATACCGAACCCAGCTTCGTGCTCAGTTCAAGAGCTGCTTGATCTCGTTGCACCGAAGGGGGCGGACATTCTCGTTAAAGGCATCCAACAAGGACTGTTCGTTCCTCCTCTAAAGGATGCAGGCTGGCGCTCTTCAGTGAGAGATGGTCCATTAATTCATGCTGCAAAGATCGTCCCAGAAGACCGACATATCAACTGGACGATGTGGACGTTGCATGAGATTCAGAGAAGACATCAAGTGCTTGGCCCACTCTGGGGCATTTCGGTGGTCGCCAATGGCAAATCTAGTGAAGAACCCGTTTTTCAACATAGGCGCGTCATATTCACCGAAGTTGAAGAAGTGCCGTTACTGAAAGGGTGTAGTAAATTCTCGGTTGTACCAGGCTTGCCGTTCGTAGACGGCACCCATCCCATTGAACTGGATAAAGGAAAGGGCGTTTACGTGTTTACTCGAGACCAAAAGTTGGTCAGGATCCACCAAATGAAAGTTGAAGGTGAACTAAATGCAGACGCTCTTCGAGCCGCTCGCAAGGCTCGGATGATCGGTGACCGGACGTTATATTCGGGTGACATGGGCTATACACCTTTCTACAAACCGCTCCTATGAAGACAAGGCAATGGAATCCGGATGCTTTAAAACCATTATTGACCCGATTATATCTGTCAAACACTCTCAATCTCAATCGACTCCAGCGCCCGAGCACTGACAACCGAAGATGATCTTCCACGGCCAACTTTCTACCTAATGGCAAAACCGGCATCTGTAGAATTAGTCCTGAGGGCTTGGCATCGGCTCGATCACTCACCAATTTGAATCGCTTGTCCGGTCATAGACGTATTCTGTGCGAGCATGACATATGCATTGGCAGTGTCGTCCAGGTCAACCTAGCGGCGGCTTGATAAGTAGCAGCAGCGAGGTCTCGGACTGTGAAAACTATACTATCTTCTTCAAAACAGCTCTGTCTTTGTACATCTCGATTGCCTGGGGAGGAAAGCGCATGCCCTGCGGGATACCTCAGTTCTCTGCTTAGCCATTCCAAGTCTTGGGTCTACTTACCCATTCAGTGAGGAGAAGACCGGGCAATACTGCATTGACACGGACTTTGCTGCCTTGGGTCTGTGCAAGGCATTTCATAAGATGCAAGCCTGATGCCAGATTTAGCAATGTGAAGGGAGTTCAAACATTCTACAACTTACCGGCCGCCTTGGTGACAGCATATGGCAAACTGCCTCCCGTCACTGCGGCACCCTACATAAGCGCATCAATGCCGGACCTTGCAATGTCTAATCAACGACCTACCGCAGTGGACGATGTCATGATAAAAGCACCACCCTCGGGGTTGGTATTGAAAGTAGGGAGTGCCGCCTTAAACAAATACAAGTTGCTTTTGACGTTCGTGGTCCAGCACTAGGTTGTTTTGTTAGCATGTACACTGGTTTGGGCACCATGTGATCCAGATCCACATACCCTGTCCCAGTCGTCATCATCCATAGCGTCCAAATCACTGAACACCGTCACCTTGGTCCAGCCCTTCGTCGGATGTCAGCCATTGTCAATCGCATCTGGCGGGAAAGGTAGGGCGCCCCTCACAGCGTTGGAGACCACAATGTCCAATCCACCGAGTTTCTCGATGGTATTCTTGACGGCATCAATACAATCGTCCTTGCGGCTGGCATCCTGAACTCCTCCGAATCAGCGAGGGACAAAAGAGTCGCAAGCTGGGGACTTGCAGGTGACCTCGGACTTGATTGAGGCGTGTTGAAGCGGGGTTTGTCCAACAGTAGTACTGTACCTAGGACCTAGTACCGACTAACCATTAGTTGCTTAAATTAGAGTACTCCCTCTTGCCGTAGAGCCTTGGTCCGCACCACTCACAGCCAGTGCTACGTACTTTGAAACCACCGATACTAGTGGAATAGGGTTTCAGCTATCTAGGATCCGCTGGCCGATCTTTAAGTCGATAGCGCATGTTACGTTGCCCGATGCTGGCCGTGTCGGCTCGGCCGCACTTGCAACCAATTCCTCGGCCAGTCCATTCGGGACACTACAAGCTTAACAGCTAATGACTACACGCAGGCAATCACCGGTATTGCGGACCACTGCCAATCCTGCCATTGACCGATACAAAGATTGTTAAATGCGATCGAGGAGTGAGAACACGGCATGATATAAAATGAAAGATCGAAGACCTAGCTATACTTCGCAAACCCTTGTCAATTGCCTCTCAATCCACCAGCGTGCCGACATACTCGGTCTCTCTCATGCCTGTCCACGCTTTCCTACCCGCTAGATCTGGCCATTGAACGAGGAAGCGATCCGCGAAAGGCAGCAGGAGTTTACCCGATAGACTGAGAGTGGTAACTCGAGCCCATGATTCTACAAAAATTGTGCGAAGTCGGAAGTCATCCGGTGAGATGGCGTTTCTGTCAGACTTAGACTTGAAGCCAAACACAGCATTCAAGGCGTGCCATAGTCGAAGAAGTCTAGCCGCCAGAACGACGCAGACTGCTGTAGCCGGTCCATTAGTGAGGATGATGTCCGGATGAGGGGACTGCATGGGTCGTGAGTGAACTGGGCCCTGATCTGGATGTATACCGCGTAGCACGAGGAGACAGGACCAGAAGGAATTGAGGGTTGAAAAGGGTGCAGTGAAGTAAGATTGGTGCACGCGACGGGCGCGCGGAACTGTGACAATAGAGTATGACCCGCTCGTCGAGACGGGTTTCTTGGCATTCGCAGAAGCTGCGTCCTGTGTTAGATATGTGGTTTCAAACTCGACTGCCTTTTTCGCGCTGAATTTGTCCCCTGAGCTCACGATGTATGTCCGATAGGTGTACTTGGTTGGATCGAGTTTCATGCGCCGGAGCATCGAGAACATCTCCGCCGTGTGTCCGCCACTGCCCAAAACCACCAAGAGATGGATAGGGCCATTCTTCGGACGCCACTTCGGAACTTGACTCTTGTGAGACTGGAGCAGCGCGTAGAGAAGGAGCTGTATAGTAGATCGAGTATTAGACATTGGCTATAATAAGGCAAGCGAGGTGCGGCATGGCACTGACTAGGGCTGCAGAGATACAGACTGCACCTGCCAGGGCCAAAGCCCAGAGCAGGCTTGTCCAGGTTAGAACGGAAGAATTCATGGGACTTGGCGATCGGGTATCGGGGTGCGACAAGGAAAGCTGGCTGGCTTTCTAGTTTGCTCTGGGATGGTGCGCGGGGATGCGAATCGAAGTGTGTTGATGTACAATAAGCCCCATGAGCTCTTCCAGAACGATCTTGCCCACAACTCAGAAGCTGAGCAAAATCTCCCTTCAGCGCCCTTTCCCGGTTTCAGAAATCAATGGCGAGAGGTGGTGTTTGGGACTCCGGTTGTCATGGTTGTTGCCAGTTTGTCGGCGGCCTCGATACTAAACAAGCACGTGGTCTGTGCCGCCCTCGGCGATTATTTTGCTGTTGTTGTCTTAACTCCTTCTCCCTTGTCCCACCCTCAAATTGTCATCATCACTCTTCCCCATCTATCTTTCACCTCTTCCCTTCTCCCCCGCCATCAATGTTTCCCTGCTTGACAGGAGATGGCTCCGTTTTTTACAAAGCGACTGAAGTGTTTCTACTGTGGGTGTCGCTCACCCCAGGCTGATCGAGAGCCCATCCGCAAATGGCGCTGCAAACATTGCGAAGCCATCAATTATTTAGACGAAGTAGGTCACCTCTACCTTTTTGGTAGAAGCAGGGCTCATTATAGCTGACCGACGGCAGAATGGAGACATTATCGATCCTCCCACAACTGAAACAAACTCCGCTGCCCACGATCCCAATTCATCAAGTCCGCGCTTCGAGTCCAACGACTTTACAGGCTCCAGTTTGTTTTGCGACAAATGCCTCCGCAACCAACATCTCTTTACCAATAACTTGGCGTCCTACTTCCCACCTTCCGACGACCCGAACTTCAGCGCATACGAACGCGAGTATCCAAAATTTCGCAAAAACCTAGAGGAGCGTTATCCGCAGGTTTGCGCCGCTTGCGAGCCTCGAGTGAAGCAGCGCATTCGTCAAACCAGTTACGAGGCTAAAGCAGACCATTTGAGACGGATGATGGATCGGAGCAAGGCCGGCAGGGTGGCAAGAAATGCACGTCGATGGAACTGGAGAAGCCTTCTTGTCTGGGCCGGCGCCATGGGTTACTGGGCTAGTGTTGCTGGTCAACTCAGCTGGGATATCTGGAGTGCATTGGCTGCTGAGGAACCCGAACCGCTGCAAGACCCTGACGAATTGTCATTCTCGACCCAGATAGTGGTCTGCGCTCGTGAGATAGCCCAGACTCGTCGGATACCGCGCTATTGCGCAATGGATCTAGCACCTTATGCTGGATTTGCTCTCATTGTCGGCATTCTCTCCCTATGGTGGAACCCGAAGCTGCGCCTGAAGGTAGAAGGAAGGGGTGGGCGCTTTGTCGGTCTCGGCGAGTACTATCAAGTACAGCTTATCGTCATGGTGGTACGGTGTGCCTTCTGGGCAGTCCTTCGGGAGCCATCCTTGAGCGGACTGGAAGCAAGCATCCCCCCAACTTTACATCTATTCATGTTCTTCTTCACCATCCTGGTACGTTTCCCTGAACGACGCAGTGTTAAACTCGCTAATGAAGGACTTCTATGTCCAGTCTGTTGCGATCTCTAGGCGCATTGTACGCTACGACACCCGTCCACTGGTCGTCTGGAACGATGACACCCCCTCAGCCACTCCGAACCGGAAGACTCAAGCTACTTCAGTACCTAACACTGGTAACGCTCGACAACCATTCGCAGCCTCTCATAACGAACTCCGGCAGCGAGCTTCTCGTTTCCCGTTGGACAAGCTTGCTTCTCCACAAGCAGCTCCCGAGGAACCGAGCATTCTCACTCCCCCTCCAGAAGTCGACGACATGGATTGGACTCCTTCGTTTGTTCAGCGCGAACTCACACCCACTATTAGTGTCCGCCAGAGAGACCGAAAATCTGTATTTGATGGTGACCTGCCGTTCTATGGCTCCTTGCCCCCTGCGCCGAGGCCACCCGCCTGGGAATTGCGCCAACCTCGACGCCCGAGACCTATTGAACAAGTCGTCGAGCGGAATCCTTTCCAGCGTACCCCTGCACAATCGCAATCGTGGCAACGCACCACTGGCGATCCAGGAGCGGCGTTTGCACCGCCCCGGTTTTTTCCTGCGAGCGATCATACCGCAACAACTGGGCTCGAGAACTTGTTCAATCGGGCTTTCACCATCAGAACTCCTGAAGATGGAGAAGAAAACGACTGGCAAGCACACCATGAGAATCCTAATGCTCGCTCTCGCCACCCGGTGAACCTTTGGGGCTACTTTGTTTACCAGTACCTTCGATTGGGTCTTCTTCTTATATCACTTGCAATCTGGACTTTATCCGAGTACGACGTACTCTCGATTCCGGGCAACTACGTTGAAATCGCATCGCTTGGCAGCGCCAGCCTTATTGCCGGATTCGCCCTCCTAGAGGCTATGAAGCATCCTATAATGCAGTGGAATGGCAAGGAAATTCTCCTCTACTTTGCGGAGCTGGGCGGTGCTATTCATCTTGGAGGCAAACTTCCGCGGGTTGCCTACGAGCGGCAAGATTTTGACAGAAACGGAAAGCTTTTTCTGGTCTTCATGACAGCCCAAGAGGCATGGAATCTGCTATCACTGTACAGCCTCGCTGCGGCGTATGAATCTGGATTCCAATCACAACAACAACCTCGCATCGCGTCTCCAGATGGCCGCGTATCTGAACATCAGTCTCCATCTGTGCTCACTCACCAGAGCCAGGTACAGTCGTTTGGCTCGCAGCCATCTGTGCCAGCCTTATCCTTCTCATCCACTATCCCTAGCTCGAGCTTTTCAGCGCAGTCGCCCGCAACACCGCACAAATTCGCGCCCTCCCCATATGACGGGGAATTTTCCAAGGACCATAGTTTCACTCTTAACAGTTTGAAAGATAACGAGTCCGATGTATCTGACGCGTTCGACCGCGACTCGGACACTGAAACCACCGTGACAACCGCCACGTCGGCCACAAACAACACAATTCGAAATATCCGCTACGGGCGGGGCGATCACTATGGCAATGATACCATGTTCTCACCTCGACGATCTGAGCTAGGCCCAGGGATTGGGGGCCTGAGTCTGGAGGACGAGCCCGCTCGCCGCATCACCCGCAGTCAGTCGAAACTCAAAGATAGGTTTGCGGCGGCGCGGGGAATACGGTAATTACAAATTACGTCTATCGACATTGGGTTGACTCCGTTCGACTCGTCATTCTACTTTGAGCGCTTGCACTTTTGGAGTTTGGTTAGCTACCTTTTTCGCTTGCTTAAGATATGTTGTACTATCCAATATGAGTCCGCGAACTCCATAGGGCGGATGGGACAAACTTGCTTGCTTTGGGTTCAATCCTAGTTTCTTTTGGACTGTGCCGGTGTTGAAATTCCGTGCATTGTACATAACAGACAAAATGTACGACTTATGATAGATGATAGGACAAGTACGATTACTCGTCGAGGTGAACCTGAAAAGGGAATCTCACTACATTGTGGCCTGATATCTATACAGCAATCTTAACTCATTCCGATATGTTCGTAACGCCAATCCCAATCCAGAAAGTACCTTGACATTTATCTTAGGGTCAACGCCTCTCTAATGCGATCGCTAATATACATTATATTTTACAGGAAATCTAGTATGCATCATTGTACCAGGTACTCAAACAACTCTAGAGATCGGCATCTAGGCCCACCCGAGTTTCTCCGTGATGAACCTCGAGAGCGCCTCGGTAGTACTGAGCTCTTCCTCAGTGCCTAGATGAGTTGAGAGGATCTGCATCCACTGATCCGGTTGAATTTCGTGAAGCTTGCGATTTTTCAGCGCCTCGTGTACGCGGGTTGCTTGCTCTGAGGCTATAGAGGTGTCCGAGGATGTGGAGATGTGGCTTTCGACGATAGCGCCATGTTTGAGACGGAGGAAAGCGCGAGTCTGGATAGTTGATGGTCAGCCAGGCTCATTTCTAAGCGGGGGCACTTAATCATCGGGGCAGAGCTGAAAGAAGGACTCACAGACGGCGGCAAAGAAGCCGGTAGGGGGGGCCGTTCCCGCGGATCCTCCCCTTCTATCGGGTCTGTCGAGAAGATGAACCGGGGCGTTTGGCTGTATTTCCACTCAAGTGACTGTGCATCATCAGTATGTAATTCCAAGGGTGCAGTGTTAAGATAATTGAGCGGACTCACCCTCATCTCTTCTATCCCCTTCCTGATCTCCGCCTCTCCAAACCCTTGCTCTTCCCCCACAGCCCCAACAACCCAATCCTCCCCAGCATACAACTCGGACTCATCCACAACATGCGCCCTCTGCGCCCGCCGCACAGCATCCGCGCACGTCCCGTACAGCCCCGCAAACTCGCCCATGACGCTCGCAATGACATCCTGGATCTCGAACGAGACCGGCGCATTCCTGAACGCAGACGACACATTCGCCACGGGAGACCGCACACTATCCACCCCTTTCGACATCATGTACTCCCTCGCCGGCGAGCGCAGGAACGAGCCCAGCCTGTCGATGTTGGGTGAATCAAGGAGACAGGTCCCGTGGTGGAGCGCGCGTTCCCTGGTGAGCTTAAAAGCCGAGCCGGAGATCTTGCGCGGCTGCGAATCCGATTCTTCCGTTCCTTCTCCGGCATTGTCTAATTTCATCACGATGTCGTGGCGGTCGTTGACGCTGGTGGTGGTTGCGCCGATGTGGTGGAGGGCCCGTACCAGCATCTCAGCGTGCTTGTTGCGGGTGAACGTCGCGCGCGGGGAGATGACGCTGTAGTTGAGATTGCCTTCATCGTGAAAGACAGCGCCTCCGCCGGAGCGGCGACGGACGTAGAGGGGCGCTGTGGGATTGGCATTGTCTTGAGGAAGTTCAGTTCGGTCGTTGTGCAGAACGCGGAGATTGGTTTCAAGCCATGGGTTCTGATTGCGGCCGATTACGACGCAGGGGCGATTGATGTATAGAAACAGAATGCTGGAGTCTGCGGGTGCATGTTGAAGAAGGAAGTGTTCAATAGAGAGGTTAACGTAGGGGTCTGTGGACAGCGATTGGTAGATCTGGTGTTTAGAGGATGGTCGGCTGGCGAGCTGCGCGAACTGGTCACCTGTGAAGGAAATATTCCGCCGTAATGCGGCGGCTGATGATCTGAATTGCCATTGAAAGTGAGCGGATGGAAAGAGTCTGAAAGGAGAGGTGCACAAAAGGAGACGCATTGAGAGAGGCCCAGGAGCTGGGAATCAATGTTAGACTTTAATTGTTGATCGATTTGGAAGACAATGATGATAATTGATGATGATAAGCAGAAATTCGATGGGGTACGTACAAGGCGGTGAGAGTGTATTATAAGAGTTACATACAGTTATAGCTGGTTTGGGCCTGGTATTGCGGATTCGACGAGTAAGAACTGACAGTAGCGAAACCCTCCACGGGCTGGATCGAGTAAGGTGGAAGCCGATCTCCGGGGGCTATACCGGATCAAGCAAAAGGACGGCAGAAAACCAAGGCGGGAAGCCCGTACGGAATTGCTTTGCCCCTCCAAAGAACGATCTCGCGATCGGCCATGAATCAGTCAGTCACAGTCATTCATTCTTCTTTCGCCTGCTCCTTCATTATTATCCACTCTCCACCCTACTCCAATTCTCTTCTCGTCCCCTCGTGTTCTTCGTCCCCTTCTGTTTCTCCCTGAAGGTTTGTCAATTCGTCTCGCCGTGATTTCCTCCTTTTCCCCCGGTTTCACCTCCGATTGATCCTCCCACTTGGCAAAAATCTCAACGCCGACATCGCATCGCATCACATCAGCCCACCATGTCGACCTGGGGTGATTACTTCCGCGTCACCACGTAGGTGTTGCTCTGCCCAGTTACCTCGTGTGTTATGAGACACGAGTTCCGAAAGTCACGGTCAAACTAACTGCCTCATCCACCCCGCAGTTACGGTGAATCACACTGCCGCTCTGTCGGCTGCATTGTCGATGGCTGCCCACCAGGAATGGAGCTCACTGAGGATGACATCCAGCCTCAGATGACTCGCAGACGCCCCGGCCAGAGTGCCTTGACGACTCCCCGGAACGAGAAGGACCGTGTTGAGATCCAGTCGGGAACAGAATTCGGTGTCACCCTGGGCACTCCCATCGGCATGATGGTGCGCAACGAGGACCAAAGACCCAAGGATTACGGCGGTAGCACAATGGACCTGTACCCCCGTCCCAGCCATGCCGACTTCACCTACCTTGAGAAGTACGGCGTCAAGGCTAGCAGTGGTGGTGGCCGCAGCAGTGCTCGCGAGACGATCGGTGGGTGCAGCAGCCCTTTCGAGATTGAGGTGGTAGATTTACTAACAACCCCCTAGGCCGTGTCGCTGCTGGCGCCATTGCCGAGAAATACCTTCGCCTATCGCACGGCGTCGAGATCGTCGCCTTCGTCTCCTCCGTCGGCAACGAACACCTGTTCCCCCCAACCCCCGAGCACCCCAGCCCCTCCACCCAACCCGAGTTTCTGAACTTGATCAAGACCATTGACCGCAAGACCGTCGACTCATTCGTGCCTACTCGGTGTCCGAACGCCGAGGCTGCCGCCCGCATGACCAAGGTGATCGAGCAGTTCCGCGACAACCACGACAGCATCGGCGGCACCGTCACCTGTGTGATCCGCAACGTGCCCGTCGGCCTGGGCGAGCCCTGCTTCGACAAGCTCGAGGCTAAGATCGCCCACGCCATGCTCAGCATTCCCGCCACCAAGGGCTTCGAGATCGGCTCTGGGTTCGGCGGCTGTGAAGTTCCCGGCTCGATCCACAACGACCCCTTCGTCGTCTCCGACGTGGCCTCCCAGCTCGGCCCCAACACTTCGACCAAGCAGCGTCTCACCACCAAGACCAACAACTCCGGCGGCATCCAGGGCGGCATCTCCAACGGCGCCGACATCTACTTCCGCGTTGCCTTCAAGCCCCCTGCCACCATCGGCCAGGCCCAAACCACTGCCACCTACGCCTTCGAGGAGGGTGTCCTCGAGGCCAAGGGCCGTCACGACCCCTGCGTCACCCCGCGCGCCGTCCCCATCGTCGAGGCCATGTCCGCCCTGGTCATCATGGACGCCCTCATGGCTCAGTATGCCCGCGAAGGCGCCAAGAGCCTTCTGCCCCCTCTGCCCAACACTATCCCCACTCGCCCTACCCTGAGCGGTTCCAACTAAGGAGCGTTTGCTTCCCTTTCTCTCTCCGCATCTTTAAGGAATTTAATCCGACTATTTCATTTTCCCCTCCCCAAATTTTACCGAGCAAAAAGGAGGGGCTTGAAAAAAGTTGTTTTCTGCATTGATCTGATGTGGTTCCAACACTACATTGTTTCCTATATAATGCTCTTGTTGTTTATTTCGAGACACCATTCATGAAAGTTAGAGTGCAGCGATATCATGCCATGTTAGTTTTGATGAAATCTGCCCTTCCCTTTTGTTTCTTCTCTCTGGTAGATCGCCTTCACCTTGTCAAATTATACCGCTGACACCACGTGTATTTCTTCCTCTAGAGGTGGATTTGTTGTCCCAATTGCGCACTGCTACCCCTCCCGGTGCAGTAAAATATCTATTTTCAACGATGTTCATCATCTTCAATTCTGGAAAAATTGGAGTATTCACATTTTCGTTCCACTCATGGCTCATGAAATAGAGTAAAATCGTCAAATCGCGGAAACCACCCCCGTGCCAGCTTGGTATCTGTGATCCACCACATAGTCCGTGCGTACATACATACATACCGCTCTTTAAAGAGAAATAGCCATCGTATATCCAGCTCAAGTCAAGATAGAAACCAGTAACAGAAAATGGAAGGACGGAGGGACCCTGGAGAGCAGATCATCGCAGGTGGGGAATTTCTGATCAGCACAAGAGGGAGACCAGGCGAGGGAGGACAGGCGGGAAAATAAGCCCGCTTGATTCAACTCGAACATCCTCCAGCTTTCCCTTCTGTGACTTGTACATCCACAGCCTGGACCTAAATTCCACTCGCTCTCCGAGGAAACCCACCGCTCACGGACCTCTCCGAGAGCCCATCCAACTCCCCCGCCGTAGCGTTCACGACCCGCAACTTCTCCTTCGGCACCGTGAAGGTCACCTGAACTCGTCGGCCCTCCGCTGCACCCTCGACATCCCAATCCTCGTCGCCATCATCCTCTTCACCATCACCTACAACAAGTCGACGGCCATTGGAGTATAATCCGACAAGCTCGTCACCGATACCGGAGTCATCACGCCAGGGGGGTTGGGTTACCGAGCCCTTATTCCCGGCTCCCCAGTCCCTGGCCCCTTGCTTGCGACGGAAGAGCTCGGCAGAAGCGCTAACAGAGCGACGCGGGGTCCGTGTATTCCTGTATCCGGAGGCGAAGGAGGATGCGTGGGAAGGGCGGCTGCTACCGTTGCCCACGACTGTGCTTCGTCTATCCAGATTAATGTCAATTCCGGAGGCAATTGAGGTGAAAGCATTGGCGGGTTCAATGTAATTTGCTGTGGGTGGTCGGCGCCGGGTGAGGGAGAGGACGCGGCGGACGTTACTGCCGATCCATTCAGAGGTTCTAGGCTTGATTGCAGCGGGGAATGCGGTGGGTTTGCTGCCAGGCATCGGGAAAAGCTCGAGCGCTTGAGTAAGGGGAGAGACGGACTCTTCAAGTCCTTGGGGTGGCTGATGTGGGAGGAGATGTTCGCCTTCGGATTGGCGTTGGGAGATGGAAGTCTGTGCGGTTGAGTAGGAATCGGAGGTGTAGCTGTGCTCGACAAATGAAAGCGCCATACTGTTCGGCCGGCTGCGAGGGCCATCTCTGCTGCTGTTGTCACTGCTGGCGCCGCTGCTGCTGTGGGTAGATTCTGCTCCGGTGGGCTTCAGAATTAATTGGCGGCCGCTAACCGGCTGGCTAGAGGTGGAGATATATGGGAGATGGAGAGCGCGGGCTTGGAAGATGGACCTTGCAGACGTGGTGGATGAATCGGACAGATTGGATGAAGTCCGCTCGTCTTTTTCGGAAGAGGCAGTGCCCCCTTCTTGCTCGAGGCCGACTCCGGCAATGATTTCGAGAGGTACGAGAGGGACAGCAGAGTAGCCGATGTTGGCACCCAGGGGTGGCAGAAATGCTGGCCTTCTCGGATGGTCATATGTTTCCTGCGTGATGATCGTTCCGGCGTTCTTTGCCTCGTCTTCTTCGCGCTCATCAATTGGATGGATCTCGCATGTGGCGTCGCCTCTGCGAAACTCGCTGTACTGGGTTGGGGGCCGGTACATTCTCGCATTTAGACCAGACGGATTAGTTTTAGTGGGACTTGATGATTCTCCGAGCAGACCAGCGCTTTCTGCGAGTGTTTCTCCTCCTCCCTTGTCGTGCCAGATAGACGATTGCCCAGATCCACGTTTACTTTTCCAGTCCGTATTCTCTTCCATCTCTCCGGAACACGGCCTGCGCATGCTGCTCGCCATAAATGGCTCCTCACCTCCCCAAAAGTGAGCTCTTTCTGCTCCCAGTGCCAGGTTGCGCAGTTCTTGATCCCGAGAACGGCGCTTGTAGCGCCTGCGGCTGTAGAAGAAAAGGAACACCGCAAGGCCTATCACCACAGGAATTCCCAAGCCGAGACCGACGCCGAGTCCAGTCTTCTTGCGTGAATCTGAGGAGCCAGATGCAGATGTGCTGGCTACTCGCGAGTAAGGATTTTCGTAGGAGGATGCCCATTCTCCCGCAGTGACATTGTACAGGTAAATCTGCGAGGTATCTGTGGAACCAGTGAGGGAGCGTTTGGAAGAAGGCTGCGGAATGCTATGTCCCCCTGCGATCATCATCACTCCGCCAGGGAGCATTGTGGCACCATGTCCATATATCCCCGCCGCCGCTGTGTTTCCAGGTCCCTTCGTCGATGGGATCTTCCAGGTCCATTCCTCATAATCTGCCCCAATCTCTAGGATCGCTAGCTGCGGTTGCGCCGCCACGCTCGTGTTCCCCACCCAGCCTCCGTAGACTATGACTTTGCTACCGTCCGGAGACAACACTGCTGTATGCCCAGATCTCGGTTCGACGAAATTGAATTCTCGGACGGCGAGTTCTGTTTTAAAAGTGGTGGGTGCAGTCATCACATTAACAAAGCTCCAGCTATGTTGCGGAAGAGAAAACACCGCAAGCTGCGACATATTGATGAAGGCATCCCGGGTTTGACCTCCGATAAAGAGAAAGTCTTGCTGCTTGCGCGACTCGCCATTGGATAAGTACGCAGAGGTCGCCTGCAAAGGTGTGATCGTAAATCCGGCCTCCGCAATGGGAGGAGCTCGATTGCCTGTCGTGGAGGCGTCGTAGAACACGGAGTCGCCGGAGATATGAGGATCGAGCACAAGCATGGTCTGAGAATAATTGGCAGCGGCCATCCAGGCCTGATTTTTGGTCTTCGTGAACGGGCACATGCCACCAAATGTGTACACAGAACTGTCGGATGTATTGGTGGACGCGTATGCGAAACCCGCCGAGAGGAAGTTAGGTCCATCATCAACGGCGCTGGACTGGATGCTGGAGATATCCACTGTCAGCTGCTCCCACGTGCCATTGCCGATGGAGTCGTTCGTCTTCGGTGTAAACTGCCACAGTGCGCCTTGGTCCAAGGTTGCCCGGCAATCGCCCGCGACTACCTTGAGAACCCCAGATGTGTCAAGGACGGGAATATAGGCCGAAGCATTCCCATGGTCATGGAAAGGTAATGGGCTGGTCAGAGTCGAGTAACGCGGATCCGCAGTATTAACGACTCCCGACACGTTCAGTGACAGGAGCTCCGTGGTGGCATTCTGACTAGACCCCGTAGAGTGCAACAGGTATGCAAAAGAACCATTATGGTCGAGGCTGTAGAGAAGCTGTGACGGCGTATATGGGATCAGCGCAGAAGCCGAACCGGCGCAAAGTACAACTAGGGCAAGTAGAAGCGTCAACACCACATGGGCGCCGACAGGTCTGCGCATTCCGTGTCTTTGTGGGCAACATTCATCCATGTGTCTGTGGGAGAGATCTTGAGGTGAGGTCGAAAGCAATGCTGATCTGAGACAGGTCGCAATGCATCTAGCGCAACGGTTAGCCCGCTAGCACGATCTGGAAGAGGCACGACTGTTGGCCAGACCAGCCGACATGGGCGAGGATCGTCAAATCCGACCGATCTGGTTGAAATCACCGAGCTTTCAGGGATCCGAGCGAACACTTCAGAACAGGAGAAAGAGAAGTGTGCTGATGAGAAGGAATGCAGAAGATGGTTTGGTGGCTAGACCTGAGGGAGAAGAATGAGACCTCATGGGCAGCAGGCAACATCGCAATCGCGGCCGATCGGGCCCGACTCCGGATGAGGGAGGGGTCTGTGGCAGGCAGGATGAAGAGATTAATGCAATCGTCATGCGTAGGTCCCTCATCGGACCCATTCCAGCCAGTATGAAGCGAAAGCCTGGAAGAATTGAGGGGCTGGGAGAACGATTGCGCCGTCAACACGGGCGGTTGCACTGGCAACCTCGCAGCTGGCTGCATGAGATTTCCCAGCATAGATCCTGGCCAATTCCTGGGTCAAGTGAGGCGAGTGGGTGAGTTGATCCAGACTGACCCGAGGGAGGGGCAAGGCGGGAAAATTACCTTTTAGCTTCTTCTTCCTTTTTTTTTTTAAGTTGGGCACGTCTTATCTGTCCCGAATCTGACAGTTTTATCAATGCGAGTCAACGCGAGGGAGAAAGAATGCAGGCTCGGTGGAGAAACGGCTGAAACGGGGCAACCAGCTCGAAGCGCTCAACCCGGCGTTTGGCTCCCATCGGATAGACTCTATACTGATTAGGGAGAGGAAACTCATCTCTTAGAGTGATACTCACCCAAATGTTAATTGATACCGATGCTGTTGTTGATGTTTGTTTACTCTTACTAGTACCAGCCTGCTTATACAGTACTTGTTTCCAAGTCCTTCCCATCAAGCTTATCTAATGTAAATAGTGGGTGCGTCGACCAATCAAACTGCAGGTTGACCTGCCAACTGCAGCAACCTCGTTCGGTCTTCAAAATACTTCCGGAGTACTTGGCAGATACACCTCCGATAGGGCTGAGAAGATTCTCGTGGGCCTTGCATCTGCTCTCTCATGCTCATCATAGGCCGAGCGGGGGGCTCACGGACAACAAGGCAAACCCCCCCCCCCCCCCCCCCCCTGGGAAGGAATTTCCTACCAGGTCACTACACATACCCGGTATTCGCTATATGCTCACTCATCATCTTAGTCTTGCCACTCTAAACCAGTGCGTTTCTTTTTGGCTTGGGAGAAGAAAAGGAATGTGATTGGCCGCGCGTCGGTTTCGCAAGATCGGGAGACTTTCTGCCTGATGTACAGTCCCAACGCTACCTGGCTTGGCGCTGTGGCAAGAAATCAGCCATATTCCTTTCGTATCATGAAAAATCGGGGGTTCCGTGAGAGAGAGGTGTGAGAACGATTCGCCATCCGGTGCATAATGGACAGCCGGGTGACACATATCCACCTTGGCATTTCCGCGCTGTCGAAGCATGCTTAACCACGAAAACTGCTTTGGTCTGTCTGATCCCGGGCTGTCTACTTATCAGATGTGAAAGTATATCCTGGTTTCCCCGATGGACAGGGGCTTATGGGTGTTTCGCTGGGGTGGTAGCGGGGACACATCGAGTACTTCTCAAAAATGAGTGCGGTGGCAAAGGGCCGGGTCAAACATGCAAGTGACAACGCGCCTATAACCGACCACTTCGAACCAATTCAATGTTGGGCGGATACGGACATGATCCCTGCAGTAAGATAGACAGAGCTTGTTCGCAGCATTGGACTGGTGGTTTTCGAGTCTGAAGCCGATTGTAGGTTTAATGCGCTCAACACGCCGCGATGGAGGGGGACAACCGAAGGAAATGCCTCAAAATCATTCCTTTTGGGCTGCAACTTCCCAGGGTAATTGTGCTTTTTCGCCTCATGATACCATCGCTTGGGTTCTAGCCACTGTGAGTAGGATATGTAAGACAAGGAAGGACAACATCCGGTACAGCAGGATCATCAGCCTTGGACTCCATGGGTTTTTGAGCTGTCGACTCTGGCTGTCCCTGACGAGTCAAGAGGCAGAGCTGAGATGTACTGTGTGGCTGGAAAATGTATTATGCTCGGTCAGGGGCGTTGACGGCTCAGCCCTCGACGCCAATAACTACTAACGGTGGCTGATATAGAGTTGCATCTGCCTAGGGATACCAGGACCGACGTCCCTTCTCATTTCCAACCGTGTGTGACGAGAAGGATCCGAAGGTCACAGGTATCTGTGCTTTCTCTGATTGGGTGCGATTTAGCACCCTGAGCTGCGGCAGGACCAGTTCGGTAGTATGCAGGGGCAAGCGTGTGCAGTAAAGTAAGTACACTATTGCTAAGTTGCGCAGGCATGATCTGACATGATGTGACGAGTAAACTGTGCACGGGGACTGTCTCGCTCTGGCTGTCAGCTCGGCCGGTGTTGATATTGCCTGCATTGCCTTCTCCTATCGCGGACCGCGTCAGGCAAGGGTTGGTTTAGTGGGAGGGTTGGTATCTGCAGGGAAGACGGTCCGTGGTTATCTTGGCATCCGAGAATGGTGGCTGGTCTGAGTCTGACAGGTGAAGTCAATAGTGAGATGGATGCAGCTTTGCAGGGTTTGGGGGATGTCTGGTACGGTACGGAGACTGTGCGGAAGGATGTTGTCATGAACCAGTGAACATGGGTGCTTTCAACATTGACATTCAAAAGAGGAGGGGGGTACAGCGTAGGAGTGTAGGACTGTGCTAAAAAGCTTGGTCCGAGCCTGGGTAGCCAGTGAGCTTTGCTCGGATGCAGTAGTGGTTATGCAGGATTCCCGATTAGGAACCATGGGAATGGCGCAGGTGTAAAGGGGAAGAGTTAGCTTTCGTTGGTGGGATTTGATCTTGTGGTGTCGGTGGAATGCTTGTGGTGTGGAAGCAAACTATTGCCATCTAGTTGGAATCATAAATGGCGGACAGGGTTACAGGCCCGACGGTTGGGAAGGAGCGAGTGATGCAGTCTGAAGGGTGCTATAGCATCAGTCTTCGATTAGGGTTGTTGTTCTCTGTCTGCCTCGAGAAACTGTCATTGAATGATGAAGGGCCCAAAAAAATCTGAGCAGAGAAAAAGAAGTGGCGCTGCCCGGAATCGAACCGGGGCTGGCACGGCCACAACGTGACGTCATACCACTAGACCACAGCACCTGTTGTTGTTAAAAGCCGCTTAACCTGTTATTATAACCCGCTCTTAATGATACGTCCCAGTACAGAGCATGTTTCCTCATCATTAATAGTCGACTTAATATGATACCTGGTTGACTGTTCTGCATAAGAACCATACTGAGATCGGTGAATGACTGTCTCATAACAAAGCTGCTTCCGATAGTACCCTTATTGTCATCTACTCGGAACATTGGCCTCATTATGCTCGAGGCACCCTTTTGTCTGTATTGGTAGATATGTCTCGCTCAAAAAACCATAGAGTCAACGTCCCCAATTCCACACTTTGAATGCCAACTAAGGCGCATCAAGGGTAAAACAAGGACGAAAACGGCCGCCATGCAACTGGTAGCACAACCGACTGGTGAGCCAACTCCTAATGTACAATTCACACCATGTCAAGCAATTGCAATCCAGGTGACGACGGGAATGAATTGTACATACCAGCACCGAACATTTAGTGTCACCGTTTCGAACCCAAATGAATACACAAAAATCCTTGCCTTTCAAGGGCTTGATGCGTCGCTGGTTGAGCAGACTCATGGTCTCACAGGAGTCATCAACTCGATGACCGTGAAAAGAACCAGGACATGAAGGCGCGGCCTAGCGCATATAAAGCTACCCCCGTGCCTGTCAGGGACACACAGAAGAGACATGCGCAAGGCACTATGGGCTGCCCGCCATCTGATGCAGAGCTCGGAGCATCTTATACAACTGATGGAGGCGATCGATGACCCCCACTAGCCACGAGATCCATGCACATATGCAGGAGGACCTACAAGATATCTACTAGGGTGAGTCACTAGACACCGAGACATACCAAGTGCATCAAGTATTACCCCCCCGCGACCCCGACCCGACACATACTGGGGACAATTCCTCAGTGTGGATGTAGGCGATAATCTGCCCCATGCACTACTGAAACAGTAAGCGTATACTGCACAACGAGAGCGACTCGGACATACCCCTGACTCGGTCAACCGTCACGAACTAAGGAACTACGGAAGAATGGCCCAGAAAGATAGCCAACATCTATACCAAGCTCACAACAAGGGATGGGTTCAGACCTAGGCCCCAACCACGAGTGAGCTAATCCACATTCTTCCCTTCCCGCACCGCATCGCAAGACACAGTGACCACAATCAATAGAGAAACCAAATAACAAGGTAGGGACGAATCTATTTTAGTAGAATGGACGACCGTGCGCAGTCCAACGGAAAATGGTCAGATGAACCGCCGTGAGATAACTAGCTACCATGACAAGAGAGGCAACGGGTATGGACAATGAAATACCAAGACTAACAGAAGACTAACAGGGGTAAGAACAGCAATCCCGTTCTCCCTGGGGATGCGCAAACACCGGAGGGAAACGGCAGCGAATGCACCGTACCCGCATGGAGGTAAGAGGCGATAAGCAAAGCCTGGCTGTGTAGGAATAGCATATGGAGGCTCGATATCCCACCCCACGGCACCAGGTGCAATGCAAAGGAGCTGTCGGTGTCCAAGTATGCGACATATAGAAGTTGGGCCTCGATGACGTTGGGAGACCGAATGGGAATGAGGACGGTGCATGCATGCAGCACACCTGCGGTGCCTCCCGAGATCCAATGAGGTGCACCAGATGATTTGATGGCAGGTAACTCTGAGACAGGACTAAGGGTTCTGTCACTTGCTAGAGTCATACTCATCATTCCGGGCAAAGAGATATTATAGCCCAGTACCCTGTACAAATCCTCCCAATCCCCTCGTTGGGGATTTGTCCTACGGATCAAGGGGACGACCGAATAGGCCGCGACAGACTATCGCGAATCTACTATCCCGAGTCAAGGACGGAAGGGAAGGGGGACTAGAAAGAATTGTAGAAGAAACAAGGTATTGTTTCAAACCATCGACAACCGGACGGAGGGCGGGATTGCCGCTAAAGCAGCCACACCTCGTGGAGCGAATCAGGCTGCTATGCATGAGCAAATCAAAGCATCGAAGGATCAGTCGATGTAGGTACTCATCCTTCCCTGTCCACCATTCTTTACCTACATCAGGGGTACAATAAGAAACACCAATGTCTGAAGTTGGAACATGATGCTTACCCGGGGCTGGGTGTCCTTCCAGACCTGGCAAGCCTCCCACCAAAGCTGACTGCAAGGAAGCACTGACTAGCGCCTATCCTGTGAGCCACCATGGTTGGGAATATTCCAACTTGACACCAGATTAACTACCTACTTATTATTGGACATAGGAATGACTGTCGTTTCACATTGGATAGAACGCGGAAGAGGGCTCCGACCTCAATTCCGCTATCCGCATGCTTCTCTTTCTTCACCCGAGCGTGGACAGTGCTCGTGTGTACTTAGTGATTAGCGTAATTCTAACCAGTCTGACCCTGGTACTAGCTAGGTACTGGCGTGGGGGATTCGCGGAGAACACAGACCTCCCCAACCAGGAGGGGCACTGAGGCCCTATCGGTGAGCAGAGGAGCAGGGAGCAGCCAAATGCCATTTGGGCCAATGGCTGGTGCGGTCGAGTCTGTTACGGCCGATCAGAATTGCCATCAATGGGGAGCTTGTCCAGGGAAAGATGTGGCCGTTAGATAAACTAATACAACTCCTGGGTAGCAAAGAAGGATGGGGGCGGCGAGAAGATAGTTGGATGAATGGCGATCATGACATGACCCATGGAACAATGAGTCGGTAGATCTGACAGGCTCGTTGGCTGGCCACATTGACAGGTGTCAGTGACGCCAATAAAGAATTTTTTTTACCATGATAAGATGTGTCAGGGCCGATCGATCAATCAATTGAAAACTTGGGATAACTAGCAGGTTCAGGAACCATACGTAGTGCGTGGCATGCTGAAGGAGGCTAGCTCCCTTCAGCAATGGCATTATCTGCTTGTCTTTAATCAAAATCGCCAAAGAAAATTATCAAGAAAGACAATGCGAAAGAATCGACCAGGCACAACGAAGCCACGATTCCCTAGGCTGTAAATTAGAAGGACTGGGGCGATGTGCTAGGGATGGGAGGAACGAGGGGGAGCGCCATTGACTCGTTGACGCTTCTTGGGACGGAGAAAAGTCCCCTACGTAATGGTCGGGCCCGCGGTTGAATTGCTTGGCAAGGCGAGAGAAAGAGCAGACGATTGTAGACATTAGACACCGCCGCCACCGAGTTGACTGCGACTCGGATTACCCTGTTGCAATTCTGGATTGCTCCTGCAGCCCAACTGCTCGCTGTCCTAGTTCTATCTCTCTTTCTTTCTCGTCTTTTTTTTTCTTCTTGCTTTAATGTTATCCCCCGTTCATCCTCAATAACTCTCCTATTTGCTGACATGTCTATTAGAATAACCACTCCATACGTCTATAAAGCAAGTGAAGTAGGGTAAAACGTCACCTGTCCAGTTGTCTTGACCTGCATTTCAGCTGCATTTCAGGCTATTATGTATTGGTATTTTTTACCTTTTTTTCCTTTTTTTTCGCCTCCGCGGGTCGGGGCCCAGTCCTCTAATCCAAAGGCTACCATGGGAGGGTCTCAACCAATGCCAAGCAGACCCGGATGGTCGGCCGAAATGGCTGGTCTGGTCTGGTCTCGTCTGGTCGATGGGTGGAAGAGGATGGGTTGGGTGCATTCATAGGTTGAACGGATCGATTCCATTCACAGGATCGAGTCTGCCAGAAAGAGCCTGGAGGGGAGATGGTGCTTCCCCTTATCTTAATAGCCGCCATTATAGAGGACTGTCATCATTGATAGCGACAGAGTCACCGTCTGCATCGTCATAGTTATCTCGTTTGTACCTTTAGCATACGTCAAGTAGTACTATTGATGGAAGAGGGAATAAAGGCCCTGTACATACCAAAAATCTCTCCCCTCTCTCCTTCACTTTCTCTCGCGCTCTCTTGCTCTAGCTCTCAACCAGAACCCGCCTCTCCTAGTGGGCAAGCATCCCCACCGTCCGGTTAATACGTAGATAGATATCCCGGATGGGGTCCAGACGCTCTCTTTCCATACTTCAACAACATCTCTATACAGCACAGCCGTCAGTTCCAATGGTTCCAATGGTTCCAATGGTTCTATCAAAGTATCTATGGGCGAGATCTAGGAAGAGAGGTCTGCTTGCTCCGTTGCTGGCGGAGCTGACCAGTAATGAGCAGTAAAGTGAGCCAGGTTAGCGAGCATAGTACTCCGTAGTGCAGTAGCAGTAATAGCAGTAATCCATGATAGCAGCAGCATTTGCAACAAGTAGGAAGCAAAGAGTAAGTAAGCAAGAAACAACATCCGTCATTGCGAGCGACTACGGCCTGACTAAGTTACAGTACCCGTGCCGACCTTTGTAGTATTATTGCTGGGCCTCCCTCCCTCCTTGGTCTTTAATTTTTTCTTCCCCCCCTTCTCGCTCATTCCCTCCTCTCCCTCCTAAGTTTATGACTAGTACTACTATGACCACTACAGTCTAGTCCAAACCACCACTACTACCACTACCACTACCACTACCACCACTATCAACACCACCATTAATTCCATCATCCACACCTACACCTACAGTTAGACTTACACCCATACCCACACACCCCCCTCCCCCTCCCCCAATCTGCTCGCACACCCGCCTGACAGAAAGCCTGCCTGACCTTGACTGATCTTCTTCCCCTCTCTCTCTCATTATTCGGCCGCCCACGAACACCACTCCCACTTCCATTACCACTCACCCGACACCGACTTGGTACTTACTTTCAACTTACCCGACCTTCCTTCCCTTCCTTTTCTTAGTAGTACCCGCCGAACCGCTTAGCCAGCAACACCCATTTCTCCCTCCTTCTCCCTCCCATCTCCGCCCTGCATCGTCAACTCTCTCCCACCGCAACCTCCTCCTCCTCTTCCTTCTTACTTTCTCTCTTTCCCCCTCCCTCCTCCCCATCCCATATTCTTCCTCTTCTCTCCTCTTCTATCCTCCCCACAACCCCCTCCTTTTCTTTTCTTCTTTTCCTTTTCCTATTCTATTTCCTACTTACGTTTTATCTCTCTTATTCTTGTCCGTTCTCCATCGACCGACGATATCCAAACTACCCCTCCTTTTCAAAGTCACGTAATTTAATTCCTCCCACTCAGTATAATACCTTCCTCCACCCTGATCGTGCAGACTGAAAGTCTTACGCCTTATTATATACTCGATTGTCCCGCTACTCGGTCTTCGTCCCGGTTACACTATATCTACGACATTCCTTACCTCGACAACTCCTATACTCGAAAGTTCCCATAGAACTGGTCTGCAAGACGTCTCGGACCCCTGACGCAATTCTACACTCGAATCCCCGGGCGCATTCCTCGGGCGCATTCATCAGCTGCATCCTGGTGCTGCAGCAAATTCATTACGTGAAGAGTTTTTGGTCCTGTCTTCGCCGTTGTCAGGTACACGGTTTTCCGGCGCCCTTCTTCTCAGCTCGACTCATATGGCTTCCATCGCTCCTCCCCGAGCCGAGCTTCGCAAGTAATGCCGACCCATCCGGCCGCATCACCAGAGTTGCACCCCAGCTTCCCCTGATCCCGAGGCCTTGTGAGAAGGTCAAACCTGAGAGAACGAAAGTGGACGCCTCGCCTACGGCGAAGATCTGAACACATCACCAACGGAAAGAATATAATGCACAACTGAATCTCCGACAACGGCTACTAGAACTAAAACATGAAAATGGACCGGCCTCCTTGGATCTCAGGGTCGGAGGAACTGGTAAATATGGTCGCCCGAAATGGACAAACGTCGGACAATTCACATCGACGAGTTTCCGACAAACCGAATGAGGCTCTGAGTTCGTCGCCCACGTCAACGGAGGTTGATGTCCGACAAGCCGTCACTAGACCTCCCAGTGCCAAACTTCCTCTATGTGGAGACATTTCAGAAGGACAACCCTCTCTTCGGCACCCATTCCCTCACCTCTATCATTCGTCCAGTACCTCGAGATCCCCGTCCACGCGGACGTCTTCCAGCTCGTTGCAGGCATTGAATGAGGATACAGTGGTTGATGCCCGATCGGATCACAGCGGATTTGCGCGGAATCTCATCACCCGCAAATTGGTGCATCTAGGACAGTCGGAGATTCCACCCGGAGAATATACTGTAGATTATCCTGTCTACCCGGATCAATCATACGCTGTGCTCCAATCCCAGGTTCATCCCACGTATCAACCTCCCTTCCTACGCACCCGCAGTTCGTACCCGTCTCGGATCGAGGCCGCTTCTCGATTCCCTCCAGCACGTGCTGCGCGCACAGCGGGCAATACGCCCATCTCTAGCCCTGGCCTCTTTTCCGTGCGCAGCCCTCGCTCAACCCCGATCGGATCGGATGACGAAGGCCGGATAAGTAGTCCATATTTACACCCAACGCATCTACAACCGCCTAAAGAGTAAGTCACCGCCTTCATCTTATGCAAGTCACTTTTTTGTCCAATTCCGTGTTGGACTATTCTTGACTTGGCGAAAGATCCGCTATTGACTCAGTGAACAGGACGCATACAGCAGAGGTAGACCGAGATTTGGTCACTGGCAACAAGCTGATCAACCAATACGAGATCCTCGAGGAGCTCGGACGTGGGGAGCATGGGAAAGTGAAATTAGGCCGACATGTCACAACTCGACAGAAGGTCGCCATCAAGATTGTTCAGCGATACTCCAAACGTCGTCGCCTGGGAAAATTGGGCAATCCCGAAGATAAGGTCAAGAAAGAGGTTGCTATTCTGAAGAAGGCTCGGCATCCAAACGTGGTCAGTCTGCTGGAAGTGATCGACGACCCCAATCGACAAAAAGTATACATAGTCCTCGAGTATGTGGAAAACGGTGAAATTATCTGGCGCAAGAGAGGTCTGCGGGAGATCGTGCATGTCGATAAGCGCCGATTAGAGCGCGAAAAGGCCGGTATTCCCGAGACCCCCTCATTCATGGAAGAAAGTCAGCAATATGTCAGAACTGCCCGGCACCTCCGCCGCCAACGCGAAAAGGCTCGTGAACGGCTCGAAGCGCAGGCGGCCTTTGCACAAGAGGCTCCTATTCCAGCCTGGAGTCTGGAACACGGAGCAGAGTCCGACGAAGAGCAAGATGCAGAGCCGGGTGTGGCCCGCATTCCAAGCCGTTCCCTGATGAGCTCCGATGAAAATCAATCTTCTCCCTGCCATTCTTACGCATCAGGTCCCGAAGCAGCATTGGCCGCAGTCGAAGGTAGCATGTATGGCGCATATGCAGATTACTCTTTCGACAGAAGATTCAGCACCGCATCAAGCAGCTTCGGCTATGCTCCTTCCGAGCCCGAGTGGCTCAGTGACGACGATGATATGTCGTATGTGCCCTGCCTTACGTTTGCTGAGGCGCGTAACGCTTTCCGAGACTCGCTCTTGGGGTTGGAATACTTGCACTTCCAAGGCATCATTCACCGTGATATCAAGCCAGCCAATCTGCTGGTCACCAGTAACTACCGGGTCAAGATTTCTGACTTTGGGGTATCTTATCTTGGTCGACCTATTAGAGACGAGGATGAAGAACAGATTGAAGAAACGGACGCGACCGAACTGGATGACGCACGGGAGCTGTCCAAAACCGTTGGAACACCCGCCTTTTATGCACCGGAATTGTGCTACACAGGCGATGATTTTGTGGACAGTCTCGGCAGTCCTCCTCGGATCACGGGTGCAATCGATGTTTGGTCTCTAGGTGTTACGCTTTACGGCATGATTTTTGGACGCCTACCATTTGTCTCAGATGACGAATATAGTATGTTTCAGACGATCGTGAAGAAAGAGGTCTTCATCCCGCGGAAACGTCTGAAGCCGGTCGGAGAGGACCCTGATACCGCTAGCCAGTGGCCGCGCTTCGATGACTACAGCAAGCGAATGGAGGACGAATTGGTGTATGAAGATATTGATGATGAACTCTATGATCTCCTGAAGCGGCTGTTGACCAAGGATCCGGTAAAGCGAATCACTGTGAAGGAGATCAAGCACCATCCCTGGATTCTCTACGGCCTCCCCAACCCCAGAGCTTGGGTGGAAGAGACTGACCCGGGATATCAATGCAAGGGCAAGAAGATCGAAGTGTCGAACGAAGAAGTCACAACGGCTGTCAGCAAAGTACCTCTATTTCAGCGGGTGCGGTCCAATGTTGCGAAATGGTCCAATTTCTTGACCGGACGATCGAAAGAGAAGGATGGTCGCAAGCGGACTCCTAGTAACAATTCTTCCGCTGACTCCGCCTCTGGCAAGTCACTCTGGGAGGGTCGCCGTCTGAGTCTTAGGGGTGACGAAGATATGTCGCGTTCATTTCGCTATCTGAGGGATGGGGAACACCCCCTATCGCAGAGCGTCACTGCGAGTCCGGTCGGCCGGGACGAGCAGACCTCTTACTTCATTCAGTCCGAGTCTGCTCCGTCGCATGAGCGGATCGTGCGCCCCGACCCACCTGAGCGTGCAACATCAACCCTGTCCACAGCCGAGTCTGCAAAGACCGTGAAGCCACATGATTCGAGGAACTCACCTTTGCCACAACGGACTGGCACGCCTGTTCGCGTAGAACACTCAGGAACTACCAGCCTGGGTGGGCTTTTTGGCGGCGCAAGCCGTCGGCTAGCACGTGGACTTCAGCCCCAGGACTGGCGCTTCGATCGGTCTGTTTCTGGCGAGACAGCATCTTTAGACAGCGACCGCCACTCCGAGCCCAGTCTGGTCGTCAGTGTTACTTCTGCGGTCGGCCACATGCAACACTCTGCCCTGCGTTCCAATGAAGATCTGCTTTCGATCCCCCATGACACTTCATTGTCCACATCCCCGGGACATCGACGCAACCGCTCTCATCAGCTTCCAGGTAGACATTCCGAGCCCTTCCACATCACCCGAGAAGCCTTGTTACGAAAGAGACGGAGCGGCATTGAATCGACATTCGATATGGACCCTGCACCGACCCGTGGCCCACATGGATCAGACTTCCATGATACACTTGTCCCGCCGTATGAGGCTTACACGCAGGCTACCGGCCCCTCGGTTGAACATTTCATCTCCGGCGAGTCCTGTTTGACAACCTCACCGCCTTCAGCTGCTACTATTTCTTCGTCCTCGGTAGATGAGTATACTAGTGGAATGTCTCAGCGAACATCTCATGCAAGCATCCCATCCGTGGTGTCGGGGGCGTCTTCCATCTCGGGAGAGGGTGGTGCGAGAGACAGGGATTGTGATTCCACGGCAAAAATCCCCTCAATCCTCCGTACCGATGACACGGTGAAAGCCCCGCCTCTCAATCTGTCGCGCTCGACCGAGGACGATGAATCCCGATATTACTGCGATGATGAGGAAGAGTCTGAAGAAGACTCGGAAGACGAAGGTCTTGTGATTGGCAAAAAGAGGGCTACGCCTCAGAAGCCTATTATCCGGCCCGGACAGTCAAAGTCCTAACTCAGCGGTGCATTTCCTATATTATCTACCTTCTCGAATCACCGGAACGGGGATTCTTCCTGCCTACTCACCAGTTTCTGACGTCGCGGTTGCCATAGAGAATGACCCCCTATGAATACCGTGGTTTCTCTTTTCGATCAAGCTTCTCCCGCCGGGGCTTTTTCTCTTTCGGCGGGGATTACCCTTTCTTGCATGTATATCATTTTAGTCGTTTTCTTTCCCCTGGACGGATTTCTCCCCCCGTTCTATTTCTCTAGTTCCCCGCCCTTTCCCTTTACCGGCTTATTGCATCTCTTCCCTGGCATCTGGGAATTCTTTTTCTGGGATTGCGTGTCTGTTGGACCACGAATACATTGCTTGTACATATAATTGCATGGGTGGCATGATCATACTTGGTCTGGGTTTCACATTTAGCTTGTTGCTCGAGAGGCATGAGGAGGGATTGCTCTACTTACCTCGCTCTCATTTGCTTCTATATATCTCCGATTTGTTTGTTGCATTGGGTCTGGGGTCCGGGATTTCCTGTATGTAGTGATTGACTTGGGACGTGGGATCAGGATATATACATTGCACCTGAATATTGCTGTGGCTTACCCTTTTATTATGATTCTCTGTTTTGCTTTATTCTTTAGAGTCGGGCTTTTGATTGAGTGACTGCGCGCGCAAGACGCGGATGTGTTGAGATGACGGATTGACCTGATGATGATGTTGATGTTGATGACCAAGGTGCGAGCCGATCTACAGTACCTATTATCAATGAACTGCTGCGTGAGAGACGTTTTCTCTGCCCCTGGCCTATCCAAGTGAAACAGAGGGTGAAACGAGCCAAGAGCGGTGGATTGGTGATTCTGCCGCCCAAAGAAGTAGTCCATGCCGAGGACGGACCTTCTCGGAGACTCTCACTCACTCCCACTCATCGCTATACAGTGTCCAGTGCCTACATAGCCGACGTATGCTGCTTGACTGTCTGCTGTCACGCATCCACTTCTCCTGCCTCACTGGCTAAGCGAGGTTGTTTGGGAGTTCTGACCAAGGTCACGATGAGGCCACCGGCGTGCCACCGGCCCTTCCCCACCGGCCGCTCATCCTATTCCTCCACCAATGACTCTGCTGCTCAGAGTTCACTCAAATCCCCTTCGGGTCTGGCAGCTCAGGCTACTGTACCCAAGCGTTATGCTTCGGCTAGGTTAGATTAAAACGTGGAGAATCCTGAGGAACTTGGGACACGCTAGATGGAGAGGCCTACTTCTTCACGGATTATGCTCCGTACCACGGGCTGGCCGTCGGCGAAGTGGACATGACTGCCCATCTGCCCATCGATCCCACTTTCGCGGAGCCCATATAGTCTCGCATGGGATCCCGGCTCTCTCACGTTGCTTTCTGAATATCTGTCAGACTGAGACTCCTGCTCAGCTCACTCAACATGTTTGCTCCTCTGTTGCTGGCTGCGCTGCCCTTGCTTACCCACGCCGCGCTCACCTATCGCGGTGCAGACATCTCTTCCCTCCTCCTTTTGGAAGATGAGGGCTATAGCTACAAGAACCTTAACGGCAAGACCCAAGCACTAGAGGCGATTCTCGCCGATGCTGGCATCAATTCTGTTCGGCAGCGTTTGTGGGTAAATCCCAGCGATGGCACCTATGATCTGGATTACAACCTGGAGCTAGCCAAGCGGGTTAAGGCCGCTGGTATGAGCATCTACCTGGATTTGCATCTGAGTGATACTTGGGCGGACCCTAGCCACCAGGTGAGTTGCTTCCTTTGTCTGGACAGCCCAGTCGGTAAGGATCAAGGACTAACCGTGGCCGTGACGATTAGACAACCCCTTCCGGCTGGTCCACCACCGACCTCGGTACACTGAAGTGGCAGCTGTACAACTATACTCTCGAGGTTTGCAACACCTTCGCGGAGAACGGCATCGACATCGAGATTATCTCGATCGGCAACGAGATTCGTGCCGGGCTTCTCTGGCCCCTTGGCGAGACAAGCAGCTACTCGAACATCGGCGCCCTGCTGCACTCGGGAGCCTGGGGCGTAAAGGATTCCAACCTGGCGACAAAACCTAAAATTATGATACATCTGGATGACGGTTGGAGTTGGGACCAGCAGAATTACTTTTACAAGACCGTTCTGGCCACGGGCGAGCTTTTGTCCACGGACTTCGACTACTTTGGCGTCTCCTACTACCCGTTCTACGGCGCGTCAGCGACTCTGGCATCTCTGAAGATTAGCCTGGCGAAACTGCAGTCGACCTACAACAAGCCGGTGGTGGTTGTGGAAACGAATTGGCCAGTCTCATGCCCGAGCCCGGCGTACTCGTTCCCATCGGATCTGAGCTCGATCCCCTTCTCGGTGGCAGGCCAGCAACAATTCCTCGAGAAGCTGGCCGCCGTGGTGGAGGCCACCACGGATGGTCTGGGAGTGTACTATTGGGAACCGGCCTGGATCACCAATGCTGGGTTGGGGTCGAGCTGTGCTGATAATCTGATGGTGGACACGTCCACGGACAAAGTGTACGAGAGCATTGATACTCTCGGGGAGCTCTGAAGGTGTCCTCAGTTTTCATGATAGGATGAATTAGTGTGTCGATGCGTTTGGAACCGCTGGAATATCAGTTGCTCGCTTAGCTAGTTATTGAATTCGGACGATGATGACATGTGCTACAATGGTTACTTGACTAGTACTGCCGGGTGAATTAGGGCTGGGTAAGGAAAAAGCCCGGGCTCATCTTGGTTTCGATAAAAGATAAACTAAACCATGGAGTAGAGCCTCGAACAATCAAGGAAGCGGTTATACCCTGTTCTTCTTGTTCTTCTGCCTTGAAATCGCTTTCTTTTTTTTTTTTTTTTTTTTCCTTCTAGTTCTTATTTTTATCTCACCCTCTCTTCGCATGGGCGGGCTGTGCAAACGTGACCCAAAGCTTGTCCGCTGCCCACTCGCGGTGCGGCAATTGAGCCCTTTGTCGCATTCGAAGCCTATTTCTATGCCCAGGAGCTTGAACCAAGGTACCTTAGAAGGCTTAGATCGTGACGGAGCTCTGCTGGGAAAGCTCAGATTCTAACCAGAGCTGTCAGTGCCTAGCACAACGCCAGACTGAGCTGTCTTTTTAGTTTGCTTAGGGGAGGCTGAGTGGCTTGACCGTCTCTGGTAAGTGATGAGCGATGGAGAACGCGACTAACTACTCCGGTATTACTGATTGGATGGAGGGGTTTGTTTGTCGCACGCTCAGGAGGAATACGAGGCCCTGATTTAATTTTGGGGGCACATTTTTCTTTTCTCCTTTGAATTCGATTTGTTTTTCCTTTGATGCATGAAGGAGTGAGGGCATAGGTTTCCGTATTATTCAATTGGGGATGGTAACTTAGGTACCTAACTCATTCTTACTTGCTTACTGCCTTGCGGGCGAATCGATTCGGACCTGGGAGCAGTAGTGACCTGCTGCAACTCGATCCCAGAACAGAAAGAGTCTACGAATTGTCTTGATTTATGGAATCAGGGAGATCAAACAAGAGAACGACGCTTCTTTGTGAATTGTGACGCAGTAGACTGGAGCCCGCCCCCAACTCTGGGCATGGCGGTTGCAGCCTTAATTCCTCCCGATAGCGGCTCGCCCGTTGGGACAATGGAGAATGATCACATAGAGTCTCCCCCTGAGTACAGGAGGGAGTTGGTTAGAGTTGAGGATTATTCGGATATTCCGGAGTGCTTTGACCACAGGTCCTATGCACTAGTCGCATCGTAATGTAGATTTATTAGTCTGTTGCCGATCTTGGAAATCTGCCTTGCCGGCAGCTGAAGTGGCCGGCGTCACGCAGAAGGGATGCGCCAACTTTCTGTTGGGGTTGATTGAGATGCGATCAAGAATGATGATCACAGAAAGCAATGTACTCATGTACGTGGATAGACTAGTATTGGATACTGTGATAGATGAAGAATACCGTACTTACGTAGATTATTGCTCTTGCTTATAGAATGATATTATCATTGGGTCACAAAATGAGGTCGTCTTCATCTGCACGTGCCTGCCGCGCCCATTCAGGCATCCAGGCGCCTGTCCGTCCTGCCTCAGCTGTCTTCTCTTCCTTCTTTCTCCCTTTTAATTAATCTATCTGTCTTCCCTCTTGTCCCCCCTCCCTTGCTCCGGCTTGGGGTTTTCTATATCTTATAATTAACTACTTTCCTTTGCAACTTGCTTGTCAGCTCACAAGTTTGACTTTCTTCCTCTTCCCTTGGTTGGGAACAGCTGAGCCGTGGGAGAATTGGCTGGATTGCTACACGCATGTCCCCTGCTGCCCGAGAATGTGAAACTTCCCCCCCCCCTCCAGACCTCCAGACCGACCGTTCATGCTTGCGCCACGAGGCTGAATCTTCTGTGTCTCTTTTCCTACTTCTCTGCCTCGCTAACTCTCCTCTCTTTTTGCTGCGGTCATTTTTTCTTCCCTCTGATCCACGGTGCCTCCCTTTCTTCACGCGAATGACAGCTCAAATCGCATCCCCCCCCCCTTGTGCTATTGCTGTGCCTGGCCGTGAATCGAACCACTCAACTCATCTTGCCGCCCTGCTTGTCTTCCCCTCCTCCACTCCCCCCCCCTCCTCCTTCCGCCGCATCTGACTCGTCTGCTGCCCTCACCCTACGACAACCTGCCCTTCTTCCCCCTCTCGGCCTCTTCTTAACCTTTGTTCCTTTCTCCCGGCTGGGTGAGACTCAATCGGATCTGATCTATTTTCTTCGCGATCACAGTCTCCATCGCGTGGGATCTATTTTTGGGATCTTCCCCGTCCGTCATCATGACTTCTCAAGAGACGCTCCGCGAATCGGGGCCGTCTCCCGCCAATGGACAAAATCGCAGCGCCAGTCCGGCTCACAACTCACAACATCCTTATAATGATCACTCATCGGGCTTGACCTTAGATGTCTCGGTCGTAACGACCGCTCAATTTCCTGCCTTCTCCAACGTCTCCCAACCCGATTCTTACGGCTACAACCCCGCCGCTTATCTCTCCGCGCAAACACTGGCGCCGGCCTCGCAGAGCTTCTCCCAAACCCTTCAGCTGCCTCAATCTTTCAATTCCAACCTAGTCCATCAATTGGACCAGTCGGCCGGGTTGTCCATGCACCAGCAGCAACTACCTTCAGAGGAGAATTTTTCCACACTGCTGAATTCGAACCAAGCCGATCTCGACTTTGCCCTCTATCAGAACCCCAGCCCCAACAGCACGGCCGCTCCCGAATACGACTCGCCGCTGATGCTTGATCCTCACGGACAATCCCGGCCTGCTAATCAGGGAGTCAATCCCGTCGATTTGATCAGTCAGATACCCTCTTCCCACCGTGCGGCCTCACCACAACTGTCTCCGATCTCGCCGCAAGACTATCATCAACATTCCTCCCCCGGCCCCATGTCGCCTCCGACGTCCACTCCAGGAACTTACTATACCCCGCAACATTCTCGTCATGCCTCCTTGGATCCCGCTACCGCCGCCTACATGTCCGGCAATTCACACCACGACTGGCAGGCAGTCATGGGCAATTCCGCATTCCAGGGCCACCGCAGGGCACCGTCAGAAGTGTCTGAGGTCTCATCCGCCGCTCATTCCCCGTATATGTCGCAGCACGAATCGTTCGATGGGTTCGACAACAATCCTTCCCCTCTTCTTGCCCCACAGAATGATCCCGGGTTGTATGAGAATGCGCTGGGAATCGAATCTTTCACACTGTCCGAGCATCAGCAATCGCACTCACAACCAGCTCTCAGTCCCGCACACAGCCCGTATATCTCGCCGCAATTGATGCCGCAACAAGGCGCGGACATGATTCCCAACGTTCCATATATATCAGCACCCGATCTGAATACGCAATACCCTACTCCACCAACCGACATCTACGCAGAGAGTCTGGCGGCCCAAGGAAATACCAGCCCTGGAGACATGGGACAAGCGTCTCAGATGGCGCCTCCTTCCATTAACGTTGAATTCGCACCCCCGTCCCAAAACTCGAATGCGCCCCAGTCGAAGCCCGCTGCGAATCTGGATTCTCTGAGTCCACCAGTCGCCATTCGTAGGCTTCCCTTCCTACTTGGTGTCTTACTTAGTGCTAACTCGACTATCTGCTAGGTTCTCGTATGCGCAGTAAGTCGGATCCATATGCTCATCCAGCCTCTCGCGCGCGTTCTTCTTCGACTTCAACAAACCTGGAGCCGTTTAATGTGTTGTCACCGCGCTCACTATCGCCATTCGACTCTGTTGGGCGCCAACCGCAAAGCAATCCCAGCTCACGCGAACCTTCACCGTCAAGGTCAGGCCGTCGCCTATCCACTTCATCAATCGATAGTCGGAATTACATCTTAGGCCTTGCCGATCCTCAGCGGCCTGGCGCGAACCTGAACGATTCAAAACGAGTTCAAAAACACCCCGCAACATTCCAATGCCATTTATGTCCCAAACGATTCACGCGAGCCTACAATCTTCGGTCGCACTTGCGCACCCACACGGACGAAAGACCATTTGTCTGCACAGTATGTGGGAAAGCATTTGCGCGACAGCATGATCGCAAGCGACACGAAGGACTGCACTCTGGGGAAAAGAAATTCGTCTGTCGAGGCGAGCTGTCTCGGGGTGGCCAGTGGGGTTGTGGCCGCCGGTTCGCACGCGCCGATGCGCTTGGCCGTCATTTCCGATCGGAGGCTGGCCGAATTTGCATTAAACCTCTGCTGGACGAGGAGTCCCAGGACCGAGAGCGCTCGGCTATGGATCAGCAGCAGCAGCATCTTCAGCCGATGCCCCCTCCATTGATGGTTTCAGGCATGGACGGTCAAGCCACCGGCGGATTCGTCCTTCCCGCAGCTCTGCTGGCCCAGTACCCTGCCCTCCAGACTTTGCAATGGGATCAAATACCTGCCACGGCAGATGATACTGGCGATATCGGGGGCCGTAGTAGTTTCGATGCAAGCTCTGGCGGCGAGTTTGGGTTTGAAGACGATGAGTCCGGTCTGAGCACTGTGTCTGGCATGAGCGGAGGCTATGCGGGTGGGCCGGGCATCTATGACATGAATAGTCAGGGACAGATGTTGGGGATCAACCCAGGCGATACAAGTTACCAAGACACCGACTGGAGAACATGAGTCTCCTTGCCTCTGAAAGCATCCTCTTTTTACAGGTTCGATTTTCTTTATCTATCTCCCCCCCCCTTACCTCCTGTTCCCTTACTTTAGTGTTCGGATGCATCTTATCCATTACATACCCCACCGAAAGATTTCCTTCTGGTTAGCTGGGAACCAGTTTCGTCATGATTGCGGTTTGCGTTAGATGGGCTTCGGCGTTGAGATCGACAAGGCGGCCTGCCTTCCGTGTTGCTCCTATATAGACGGACGGGCTAGTGGTGATCGCCGATGGGCTTTTCTTCATTCTTTTTCAAATCTTGGTTCATCATTGGTTATTTTTTTTTTCGGTCTCCCGACCCCGTTGACTCTCAGTTTGGACCGGGGTCTTTATTTTCTCATGTGATCACGAAGGATTTTGTCGATTTTTTCATACCCATGGGAATTGCACCAGTTAGTGTTGTGTGCGAGATATCAAGATGGCCTTTGTGTGGAGGGGCATGCTTGAGTTTTTGGGATATCCCTTTTCTTCTTCTGCATGCTTAAATTTGATCTTCTTTCATCTCTAGACCTAACTTCCCTTGCGAATGATTGCAGCCGAACTATTGCTTGCTGTAATGGGGTAATGGCTGGGTACTGATTGATAACGAGAGCGGTATCACATGACGCAATCTCTCGCCCGCCTTCTTTCTGCTGTCTTTCTCCGCGTTCTTGCCTCCTCCCAGTATTGAATCTCCAATTCTCGCTTCCTTCTACATTTCCCCCCCAAAAACCGAGAGAAAGTCCAGAAACTCCCTGCCCATAGTTCTCTCGCTTTACCTATCAGTCAAATGCGTCGTGCGGCTCTACACGCTCTCCGTACTGCCCGTCGCGTGCCAGCAGGATGGAAAGCTGCCGGTAGGAAACCGTGCGCGGTGTCCTTCTCCAGCAGTCCTAATCTCAGTCTCCGTCCGCCCTCCTTCTCCGCGGGCAGATATCCCCCTTTCCTCCCCGCCACATTACAGTCATCGATGCATCTTCGAAATTTCTCGCTCGCGGTGATCTCCACGGTCGTTGCTTCAGGGGCCTGGTATGCTTACCAAGGCAACAGCGGTGCCCAGCCGTCAGCAGCCTGGAACGTAACAACATCCGCCTCACCGATCGGCTCCGTCTCCACTGCGGGCGTCCACGCCGAAGACCGCGCGGAAACCACCCGCCGTGCCCTTCTGGTGGACAACGACCAGTTCTATACCGCCGAGCTATCGGGAGAACAGCCTCTCTCCAAGCACACGGACGATTCCGATCGCCGAGTTCTCGAAATGTTGACACCGGAGCAGGCAACCCAGAAACTCCGGAAGAACGAGGAGTCATATCTTGTGAATCGCGGCCAGGGTGTGGTTCGCTATGATATTGTTCAGGTGCCCAGCAACTCCCCTATCGAGGATGATCACGCCGAGAAAGTTGTTGAGGTGCCGTCCTCCGTGGCAGCAGCTCAAGAGGGCCAGGCCAACAGTGATTGGATGTTCTGGGGCGTGTTCGATGGCCACTCGTGAGTTCCCCGTTACGCTGATTTGGCAAATGCTAACGATGTCCTGCAGTGGCTGGACGACCTCCGCCAAGCTGCGTAACGTGCTCATCTCATATGTTGCTCGGGAGCTGAACTCCACCTATAAAGCCGCAGCTGCGGATCCCTCGGTGCTTACTCCTTCGTCTGAAGCGGTGGACGCTGCCATCAAACAGGGCTTCGTCCGACTGGACAATGATATCGTATACAACAGTGTCGATAAGGTGTTGAAGTCCAACTCACGCCGTGTCGCGGCCGAACTGCTGGCTCCGGCTCTTTCTGGTTCTTGTGCGCTACTGGCTTTTTACGACTCTCAGTCTAAGGACTTGAAGGTTGCTGTCGCCGGTGACTCGCGCGCTGTTCTGGGCCGTCGGGGCCCGAATGGAAAGTGGTCTGCGACAGCGCTTTCCGAAGATCAAACCGGCGGCACTCCGTCGGAGATGGAGCGCCTTCGTGCGGAGCATCCGGGAGAGACCAATGTTGTACGCAATGGACGAATCCTCGGCCAGCTGGAACCCAGCCGATCCTTTGGCGATGCTTTTTACAAGTGGAGCAGGGAGACTCAGGAGAAGATCAAGCGGCAATTCTTCGGCCGCACGCCCCACCCCATGCTAAGGACCCCTCCGTATGTCACCGCAGAGCCTGTGATTACTACCACCAAGATCGAGCCCAGCCGGGGTGACTTCCTCGTCCTCGCCACGGACGGTCTCTGGGAGATGCTAAGCAATGAGGAAGTTGTTGGTTTGGTGGGAGAGTGGGTTGAACAACAGCAGCAGAAGTCTGGTAGCGGCAAGACTTGGCTGCGCAGCTGGTTTGGATTCGAAAACAAACAGCTCCCCGTCGAGGCGGTCGCTGAGACTGGCACGGAAGGCCAGCGCCGCCCTATCCGCCAGCAGCAGTATGATATTTCTGGTGCGGCCAGTCGATTCACCGTAGAAGATAACAACGCGGCAACTCATCTTGTGCGTAATGCTATGGGCGGCAAGGATAAGGATATGGTTTGCGCCCTGTTGACGCTTCCAAGCCCCTATTCTCGGCGTTACCGGTATGTACCTCATGTTAAGTGTGTATATGGCGTGTCATTGTGCTAACATTTGCAATGGCAGTGACGACGTCACCGTCGAGGTTATTTTCTTCGGCGAGGGCCCTGACTCTCGAACTATCACCGTCAACCAGGAGGCTAGCGCGTCCGAGGAGCCTCCTAAGGCAAAACTGTAGATTAAGCAGCCACCATCACGGCATCTCGTTCTGAGGTTCCAAGGTGCTCTTTCTCCCTTCCAAAATCATTGTTCCAGAAAGATCGGATAGACCTCGGCTCTTCCTCCATCCTCTGCCCCTGTTTCTTTCTACTCAATCCGGTTCTTGTTGCCCTGGATTTTACAAGGTTTCTATTCTAGTGAGTTGGATCTGCATAGCAGAATTTATGTGGCATTACGTCCCGCGGGCCTGGGATGACGAAGCTGTTTCAGCTCATATGCAATCAATCGCATGAAGACTAGCTAGCATGTTATAGATGATATGGTATGCCATGAAGAGCTAAGAACCGCTTTCACAATGTGCGTATGACTTGGATTCATGGAAAACCTCTGGGTAGTATGGTGCATGGCCCACAGGATGACTCAAGGATCCTAGTCCTTCTGTTGGCTGGTCTGTCTGTCACAACCCCGGGAATCCACGCGAGTTTTGCTGCTTCAGATACTATATTTACAGCGCTTGTACTGTGGACTTCGTATTTGGCAAGGCGAGATGAGATAGACCCGGCCAAGAGGGGACAATCAGCCCCTCGAAAGAGGAAGCGAGTCTCCCTTTCTTCCGTGTGGTCGAGTTGCTCTCAAAGCGACCAAATCATTTCGGCCCACTTGCTTACTTGAAGCTTGTAGCGGCCGGACCCCATGTCGATTTGGAGCTGCGAAGCAACTCCATGCTGGGTGAGATGTGCGCACGCGAAACCAAATCACCCACAACTCTTTTGTGCAGGGATGAGGTACCAGATGATATGGACTGTCCGATTCCAAAACCAACCGAAGCCCCCGTCCGTTCACCTTACGACATCAGCCTCCTTCTGCGCTTTCTTCGCCTGCCTCGCTGCCGGGGATTCAAAAAGCAGATACACCTGCTTCCAATGCTCCGGGTCGTTCTTCTTCCTCGCGTCCAGGACCCTATCGAGAGCCCAATTCTGCAGCGTCGCGACACTGCTGCTCGAGATCCAGTACAGCAGCAACGCCACGGGGATCTCAGCGGCATACGAGGCGAGGCCCACGTTCAGCGCCAGCAGCTGGACGAAGAAGCGCAGCCCGCGGATGGACAGCTTCTTCGCCAAGGCGGGGACCGGCAGCTCCGCCATCTCGCTCAGCGGCGTCGCCTTCCACCCGCGGTGGATGTTCAGAAGGATGGACGCGGCGAGCAGCGCCGGCAGCGCGCCCGTGGGATCGCCGGCTAGCAGATCGGGGAACCAGAGGGCGCCCTCGGTCGCGAGGGCCGGCTCGACGGGGACGCGGCTGGCCGGGTCGAGCTCGACGCCGGCCAGCGAGAGCACCCACTGGATCGGGCCGGTGTCCCTCCCCGCCATCATGCGGATGGTCTCCATGAACGAGAGCCAGATGGGCAGCTGCAGGAACGGCAGCGCTTGCCAATAGCGCACGATCCCCAGCCGCCGTCGCATGGCGCGCCGTTCGCGGTCCACGTCGGCGGCGATCGCCTTCAGATTGAGCGGCCCGTGCCTGTCGGACGACGGCTTTCCGGCCCCGTGCCGGGCGACTTGTTGGAGCTTCTGCGCGCGCCTGCGGTACAGGTGGCCCCATGCGGCGAGAAGGGGCACCGTGGACCGTTCGCGGTAGGCTTGGAGTTTGGTATACATCTGGAGAGGTAGGGGAATGACGGTGCGGACGAGGAGGGCGGTCAGCGGGATCGAGTAGGCCCAGGGGAGACCCGAGATGTCGTGAATGCCGTGGAAGAACCAGGATGAGCTGCTCATGACTTCGGCGAAGAAGGGGTTGGGTTTTGTGGAGTGGAACGATCGGGATTGGAGTCTGGGTGGTGATTTTGTCGCTTTCCCGGTCGCGCGGGCTAGACGGAGGGGTTGAAGCATAGTGGCGGTGATTTGAGGGTCAATTGGGTCAATTGTGTATATTAATGTGTCGTTTCCGGGGTTTCAAATAGGGTTATGTACAAGAAAGAGGTTGAATTAAAGGGGGGGGAAATATGGATAGTACTGTACAGTTCAATGCTAGAGGGAATAAGAGCAGTCTGGATCTAGAAAATAGTAATGGCCGGACACTGGCTGCAAAATAAACGATACACGTGATCTAGATGCATATCACGTGCTGATAAGACCGACCAGCCAACTATCTTATCGATCCTGTGACTCGTCAGCCGGCGGGAACTGGCTCGAGATCCACCCACCCATCAATCAATCCACTTGTGCTATTTACGTATTCTCCACGCTGTCAATTATCTCTCTCAACCCTTTTGACTTCTACCATGTCCCTCACTGAACCATGATGCTGCTCATACTAAAGTCCTTTCTGACCCTTCTCACCCTCCTCGCCACCTGCGTCCTCCTGCCCCAGCTCCCCCTGGCCGCTCTCCGCCTGGTGCTCCGCGCTGTGGGATGGGCCGTGCAGAAGAGGACGAGGTCTCGTCGCGAGTACATCGTCTCGCGCGTCCGCGCCGATGAAGAGGAGTTCGCGAGGAAGAAGCCCGCCAAAGCAATAGCAAATCAGACGGAAGATGAGGACTGGGAGAGGGTCGATACCTCGTCCAGTACCAGTTCCGGAATAGCTGGCAACAACACCAACGATGATTGGGATGGCATCATCGGGTTCTTCCACCCGTTCTGGTAAGAGCTTTCCCTTCAGGCGCCTATAACAAGCTAATGTCATGCAGCAACGCCGGTGGCGGGGGCGAACGTGTTCTCTGGGAGGCTGTGAGAGCGACCCAAAAGCGCTGGCCTAAGGCTATCTGCGCTATCTACACCGGCGACCACGAGGTCAACAAGGCGGCTATGCTGGAACGGGTAGCTGTAAGTTTGGCTTCTATCTACGGTATGGATGGTATCTTACGTCTCAGAATCGATTCAATATTCACCTACATGCTCCCACTGTCGTGCTGCTTTACCTTACCACCCGCAAATATGTGGTCAGCAGCATATATCCCTACATGACTTTGCTGGGCCAGTCTCTGGGCTCTCTAGTTGTCGCCTACGATGCTTTCAGCCTTCTTGTTCCGGATGTCTTCGTTGACACTATGGGCTACGCCTTCACCTTGGCCTTCAGCAAGCTGCTCTTTCCCTCCGTCCCAACTGGCGCTTACGTTCACTACCCCACTATCTCCACCGACATGCTTAGCTCCCTGGACGACCAGACTGGCTTACAAGGCATCAACGCCGGCGCTGGCAAGGGTCTCAAGGGTCAGGTTAAGCGCAAGTATTGGATCCTCTTCGCTAAGCTATACGGCTGGGTCGGCGGCCACGTTGACGTCGTCATGTGCAACTCCTCTTGGACATCTGCCCACGTTCGCAGCCTCTGGGGCCCTTCTCGGAAGAGCAATATTCATGAGGAGCCAACTGTCATCTTCCCGCCCACTGCTGTATCTGAACTCGAATCCAGTATCCAGGTCGACGCCGGAAGGGAAAAGTCCCGGGAACCCGTCATTCTTTGCATCGCCCAGTTCCGTCCGGAAAAGAACCACCCTTTACTGCTGCGCTCTTTTGCCCAATTCCTCCAAAATCATCGCAACAATGCTTCTTCTGAACACGGGAAAGAGCCTAAACTCATTCTCATAGGATCCGTCCGCCACTCGTCTCCAGACGAAACTCACATTTACAATCTCCGCTTACTCGCCCACGAGCTGCGCATCCGTGACAATACGACATTCCTCTGTGACGCGAGCTGGCCCACCATTCTCGAGCATCTGGCATCTGCCTCTATTGGAGTCAACACTATGTGGAACGAGCACTTTGGCATTTGCGTTGTCGAGTACCAGGCTGCCGGTTTGATCAGTGTTGTCCATGACTCCGGCGGTCCCCGTGAGGATATTGTCGTCGATCTTGGCGACGGTGCAACGGGTTTTCGCGCCAGTACGGAGGACGAGTTCGCCGCTGCATTTGAGGCTGCCTTGGCTCTTCCGGAAGAGGAAAAGGTTGCAATGCGGCTGAGGGCGCGCAAGTCTGCGCTACGGTTCACGGAGGAGGAGTTCTCGTTGAAATGGATTGGAGAGGTCGAGAAGCTGGTAAACTTGAAGGGCAAGTCAGGATGAAAGACGGTAGATACTCCATTGTTGGAATCACTTTTTCCTGTATGGGAAGGGTGGCGCGTGCTCTGCTACTGGGCAGTTTAGTGAGTGGAGTGGTATGTATTTTCTGTACTACACACTGTACTTAGTCCAAATAAGGTCTGCTCTATACGCATACCTTGAATCGACTTGTCCCAATTCAAAAACCCGAATACAAGGTAAATCTACCACATGCCTGCACAAGTAGCTATAATGAACTAGGGCATTGTTGATGTAAGCCTGGAGCTGCAGTGGAGTTTATTGTAATCGGCAGCATACAAGATCCGCCGCTAAGCCCCTCTCGGCCGTGTCGTCATTCCCCGCGGAATAACCCATGCAGAGATTCTTTTCTCTCTCCTCTGCTTCTCTGCAAAACCCCTCCTCTGTTAATTAACAACCCGTTTCAATTCTCTTCATTATTGTTATACATGAGGCTCCTTACTCATCAGCTGAAAGACTTATCGCTACATCCCCTACCAACACCGCCTCACCTTTCCCACTCGAATGTCCTCACGCGCCATCCGCAAGCTGCAGAAGCAGCGCGAACAGCAACTCCAAGCCGAGCAAGAGAACGACGGCTCGAGTGAAGATGAGCTTGTCTCACGGCCATCCAAACCGAAACTAAATGCTTTCGATCTTCTCAACTCCTTTGGAGATGGCGACGACGATCAAGACGAGGAAGACGAACAATCCGCGAACGAAGATGAGGGGTCCGAGCCGGTGACTCAGCCCGCGCAAGAGGCTGAGGAAGAAGAACAGGAAGAGGAGGAGAAGGACGAAAGAGAAGCGTCTACTCCCGTGAAGATCACGAACTCGAGTAAGAAGAACAAGAAGAAAAACAAGAACAAGAAGAAGAAGGCGACCGCGACCGCCGCCGCCGCCGCCAAACCAGAGAAGTCTGCCGTGAGTAAGGCAGGAGAAGATGAGATTGATCGCGCGCTCAAGGCACTAGCTGTTGACCCGAAACACCCGGCCGGGGCTGGCGCAGGCCCGGGCCGCGATGCGTCCTTTGCGAAAACGCCGGAAGATTTGCTCGGGATCGAGCCGCGGAACCTCAATGCGACGAACGAGATGCGGAAGCTGTTTGGGAATGTGGTCCTGGAGAATTTTGATCAGGATACCGGCGGGGCAGGTGGGCGCAGGAGGGACCGCGGGCCGGAGACGTTGGATTTGGGGCAGGCTTTGACGGGGCGGTACAGTCCGGCGAGCCGGGGTCAGAGTCTGGCTGGCGTGACCTTGCGGCGGAATGTCCTTATGCAGGGCAGGGATGAATGGCCCCGGGCACCCAGCGGAGGTCTGGGCATGGAACTGGTCGAGAAGCGCCCGGACGGCAATACGGTCTACAAGATCCTCCATAATGCGGCGTACACGGATGTGCAGAGGCAGTTTGAGCTATGCGTGGAGTCGATGGACCCCCAGCGTATGATTCATCTTCTGCAGTACAACCCCTACCATATCTCCACTCTCCTCCAGGTGTCGGAGATTGCCAAGCACCAGGGTGATCACGCCGTCTCCGCGGACCTGCTTGAGCGAGCGCTCTTCAATATCGGGCGGTCGGCTCATTCCTCGTTTGGCAACCTGCTGAAGCAAGGCCAGGCGAAGCTGGACTTCGTGCACGAGGCGAACCGGGAACTCTGGCTTGTCGGTTGGCGGTATATTGCCAATTTGGGTATGAAGGGAACGTGGCGGACGGCATACGAGTGGGCGAAGTTGCTTCTGGGTCTTAATGAGAGCGATCCGTACTGCATACGCTTGTTGATCGACCACCTGGCGCTTCGAGGTCGAGAGTACTCTCACTTTGTCGATCTGTGCACCCAGACTCGGCTGAGCAAGGGTTGGGAGACTCTGCCTAACATCCAATGTTCGCTCGCCCTGGCATATCTGCGACTGAACAAACCCAAGGATTGCCGCGAGCAGCTTCGCCGGGCCATGTCCCGCTACCCGTGGGTGTTCTGCAAGCTCGCGCAGGAATTAGACATCCAGCCTATGCCCAAGCGTATCTGGGGCAAGATGCCTCCTACAACTTCCCACGAATTGCTTACTGAACTCTACATCTCTCGAGCAAAGGATCTTTGGAATACTCCGGAAGCTGTCTCCCTGATCGTGGAGGTGGCGGACACGTTGCCGGAAGAAGAGGAGCCTGTCGAACCGCCAGAGATTACTCTTGACATTGCGCGCCACGTCGTTATTTCCGATATTCCGAAGGTCACGACTTTCCTTCCGGGACGTTTCATTTCTGGACGCATCTCGTCGTCAGACCCTCTTCCTCCGCAAGGATCGGAGGCTCATCGCCAGCAGTCTGATCCCACTCCGCCGTGGGTAGCCCCAGTTCCCCCAGGTGGGGGGCGCCCTCAATGGCTTCGGGATCTTCTGGATCAGCTGAACAACAACGTAAATCAATTCCCTGCATTCCAACGTGATGGCGACGAGGTGATTGAGGCCGATGACATATCAGCTCACGGAGGGGAGACAAATAATGCACAGGCACATCCGAGTGCCGACCAGCCACTGCTTCTGGAGCAATGGCTGTTGAGCGACGGTATGCACGCGCTTCAGGCATTCCTCCAACAATACGGGGTGGATCGAGGAAACTGGGGAGATGTCGTCGACTACTCTCCTTTGACCGAGTATGTAGATGCGTTAGACTCCGTGCAGCCGGAGTCGGAACAGGAATCATTGTTAAGAGGGCCTATCCGCGAGGCTATGGGCGAGCTGGCGGTTGCCATGCTGGAGGATGAATTGCAGCTGCTTCGATACGATGAAGAGGAGGATATTTGATACCCCACTGAGGTTACCTTATCGTTATGTGCGCTAGAAAGATGAGTATGAAATAGAAGAGTAGTGATCAGGACGTCGTGAAATTGGGCAGCAATTGGTCTTACTCGCTAGTAACCTTGAAGCTAAGATAGAAGCCGAGGGAAGGAACCTTGAAATCGCCGACGATGATGTCTGCAAAGCCCGGCTTAGTCAGGCTCCACCAGCTCTTCTCGAAATCCGTCATTGATCCCGTGAGTCAATCAATGAGAACTCAGTCGGACTAATTTAGCAGCTTCTTTCGCTTTGTCCTGCACACTCTCTTTCCACCACCATCGCGCTTCCCACCTCCTCGATCACCGCAGTGAAAACTCTGACTGTGTGGTTTCACTTTCGCCCTTGCACTTCATGCGCTCTGACCGCCAGGGAATCCTACCGTAGCCGCTATCACCGCATTTCCGCCGAGAACGGGTCTTATCTCTCTGTCTCACCGTCACGGATTAATTGCTTGCCATTGATCAGAAACACCCCCTCTCCTTTTTCACCACATCCACAAGCCCTCGACATGGCGACGCCGTTGTCAAGCGACAGCATCGTCTCCATGGTCGACTTCGTGTCATTAACCTCGCGCGAAGCAGCGTCCGGGCTGCTTGGCTCGATCTCGCTCACCTGCTGGATCTTCCTCCTGGTATGCCCTGCACCTGCAGGATGTGTCGCAGAAAATCCAGGCTGATGAGAAATGTACAGGTCCCTCAACTCATCGAAAATTACCGCAACGGCAACGCCGAAGCGATCTCCCTCCTCTTCCTCTTCGTCTGGTTCGTCGGTGACATCACCAACCTGATCGGCGGCGCCTGGGCTGGCCTGGTCCCCGTCATTGTCGCCATTGCCGTCTACTTCTGTATCGCAGATGGTGTCCTCATCAGCCAATGTCTGTACTATAAAGCCCGCAACTCGCGCCGAGCCGCGGCGCGCCATCGCCGTAGACGCTCATCCGTCGAAACCCCCGACACGATCACACCCTTGCTGGGTCGGCGGTTTAGCGACGCAGTTGAGCACCATCGTCCGGCTGCGCGCCGGGCGGAGGGCTATGTCCAGGGCGATGGCCACCACAGTGGTTATGGGAATGTCTCCACCGGGCCGGAAGATACGCTCGCGAAGATCGTGGAGGAGAATGACGTCGGTCGCAAGGCGTGGGTGAAGAACTTCAGCAGCGTGCTGGCTATTTGTGTTATTGGGATGGCCGGTTGGACTATTGCTTGGCAGACGGGCGTGTGGAAGCCGGCTCCCAAGGAGGTCAATGGCGGAGTAGATATGGCACCGGGCGCAATGGTGCTGGGATATATCAGCGCGCTCTGCTATCTGGGGTGAGTTTCATGCATTTGTGCTTTTTTTTTGGTTGGGTGATGGCCTGTTTATAAAGGTTGGGGTAATGCTAACAATACAGCAGCGCGCGCTTACCGCAGATTTATAAGAACTACAGCGAAAAGTCGTGCGAGGGTATGTGTCATCATGTGTAACCGCCGGAGGCTCAGTCCGACTCGCTGACACCTCATGCAGGACTCTCGCTTCTCTTTTTCATCCTTTCTCTCATGGGAAACCTGACATATGGCGCCGGGGTAAGCTCTGTCTAACGCTATTCTTTGACTTGACTGACTCTTTGCAATTCCAGATTCTGTGCCACTCGACGGAAAGGAACTATATAATCACCAACGTCCCATGGCTGATTGGCTCCTTGGGCACCATGATCGAGGATGTGACGATATTCATCCAATTCCGGCTCTATGCTGTTCAAAGCTCGGAGAGTACAGTATAATGGCCTGATTTAGTTTTTGTGTTGTTTGGCTAAAATGGCGGGTGGTTTAGCGTTGTCTCATGTTTTAGCTGGCTGGCGGGGGATGTCGTGCTTTATTAGTAGATAAGGGTTGGCGGGTATCGCGCTGGGCGGTTGACGCTTCCATGGAAAAGTTCGTGCTTTCATTTTCTTGCTTGTTGGGTTATATATTCTGTCTAATTCTTTGAAGACCTTCTGTGACTTATGACCATTATCAGCGGAGTGAGTGGACCATCACATGCATGATATTCTAGTGCTCGTGGTTTCCAGACTTATCATCTACAATCTACAAAAGAATCCGGGGACGAAGGTTTTGCTCATGGTCGCATGACAGACATTGCATGAGAGCTGGGCACCTAAGCTCGAAACATAGCTAGCAACAAGCATAACACGACATAAGACATCAAAACAAGTACGGATTGACTGCAGACAAGGGAGATCCCCTTCATCGCTCCGTACAGCCTCGACTATATCCCACGGGCCCGGAATCCTAGCGTCATCCGGTCCAGTACCTCTGTCACGTTGGAGCCCATCATGCAAGCCGGAGCGCCCAGTCCCATCGGATATCCATTGTCCGTTTAATTCGTTCTTTTAATTTTCCCATTTTGATCTTCGTGAGGTCGAGTATTGTTAGGTACAAGATATGCGAGGGGGCGAGAAGGAGATAGAAAGGAAACGAGGAAGCAAAAAGGAAATTATGGGGAATCCAGATCCAATCGTAGGATTTAGGACGCTTAGTCGAAAAGACCGAAGCCCATGTCGTCGTCGGACTCCTCCTTCTCTGTAGGGAATGCGTTAGCCATCTGTCTGTTTCTTCGAGGGACCGGGATCGTGGTTGTGGTGGTGAAAACGTACCCTCCTCCTTCTTCTCCTCAACAGCCTCGGCGGGGGCAGCAGCGCCACCGGCAGCAGCAGCGGGGGCGGCAGCGGCGGGGCCACCGGAGCCAACGTTGGTCAGGAGCTCCTTGATGTCCTTGCCCTCGAGAGCCTATGGGGAAAAAAGCCAGTGGTGAGTGTCTGATTTGAGAATAGATAGATCGAATTCGTTGCGGGAGCGTCGAAAGATTTGCGAGCGTCGAGAGAGAAAGAGGCGATAATGGTAATGGGAATGCACGGATCAATTAGGTATTTACCTTGGCGAAGATGGAAGTCCAGATGGGCTCAACCTCGGGAACCTTGGCGGCGTTGATGAGGGTCTGGAGCTTGTCGGCCTGTATTGCAGATGAAAATCCTAGTCAGCTTGATTGTTCTATGTCCCCTAGAAACTGTGCGAAACGCGAGAAATCCAGCTTTGTTTCCCCCCAAAGTCCATCGCAGATCTTGTCGCATTTGGTGTTTGGCACAAGGTTTCCCATCCATTTATCGAAATCCATCGCTTATTCCTCCTCCTCCTCCTCCTCCTCCTCCTGCTGGCGACCCTGTTCTTCATTCATGTTGCTTATCATATCCTAGCACCACTTCCGATGCGACCAAGGGGGGAAATCCTCCAGAGAGACAAATGATTTATAAAGTCAAATTTCACAATCAAGCACATGGGATACGTACGGTGACCTCGACGCCATCATCGGCGAGGATGAGGGCCGCGTAGGAGCAAGCGAGCTCAGAGGTAGACATGATGGTCGACGAGAGGTTGGACTGGACTGGAGTCTCGAGAGGGATGGGGAATAGGAAAGAGGAAAAAAGGACGAAGGACTTTTTTGTAACTGGCCTGGTCGAGAAGGGGAGTCGGACGGTGAGTGACTAACGCTTCGCCCACTACGGAAGTTGTGTGTTTCCGCCGCGTCAAAGCCCTCGCTTAGGGCTGCTCCGTCTTGGGTTTAGCGTCACCTCTCCTCGCCCGTGACTCTACGCTAGCCCCGATGGGGAAATGCCGCTCGGCGATGCCATCATCATCTAATCTACTACATGAGTACTGTCTCTCTACCTAACTATTCCCCTTCATCATCTGATGCTGCCTCGTCATTTCCACTCAATTCGGAACTTGCCTAGGCCAAGGCTGCTGGCTCTTTTACTATCTCGTCGCATTCTCCCACAGCCTTGAGATCTGCTCTCAACACTCATTATCACGACTACCTTCCTTTACCCCTCCTCTCCACACCTCACCTCCCTCTCTCTCTCATCTCCCTCCTCCACCCCCCACCTTTTATCTACACCCTCTCATCATGGACTCCCCCGCCGTCCCCGCTCCGCTCGACCCCAAGGAGCAACCTATTCTCGAGCGCCTCCTGCGCACACGCGATGCGCTTCTTCTCCTCAAGCAAGACAAATCAACCTACATCAAATCCCGCGACGTGCTCCCGATGTACGAAGAGGTGATCGCCGAGGTGGAGCAGCTCAATGCCGTGCGGAAGGAACAAGACCGCCGGCTGGCACATAACCGACGTTAGCACTGAGTGGGCCTGGGCATGAAGATTTGCCGTGAGATTGTGTCGCTGACCTTTTTCTTCTGCCTCCGACCTAGTGGATTATGTCCTGGACGATTGTTTCCAGTTGATCTCGTTGCTGTTCTTGACGGTGGGAAGAAATAATGAGGCCCCCGCGCTGTATGTACCCGATTGCTTGATCGACCGCTCTTGTCCGTACTTATCTAACTCTCCCGTCATCTACAGATACTCCCTTGCGACCACTGTTCAGGTACGTGGTGCACCGGTTCGTTCCGGCCGACCAGTCTAACCGCCTCCTAGCGACTCCTCGACCACCTGGAAGAAGCGGGCTTCTACAGCGCGAAAGATCTGGGCTCCATCACCAAGACACTCGCCAACATGAACGAGACTCTCGATCGCTGTCGCGATGCCTACTCGCCGGCTCTGATTACGCTATTGGAAAGCCGCCTGGAGAAGTGCCAATTGCAGCTGGAGAAGCTGCAGGGCGGTCTTGCTAAACTCAGTCCGGGACTGGCGTCAATCCATGAGACGCTCGTATCGGTTCTGCGGTCAACCTCTGCCGTCAATACTCGTTCAAAGGTAGGGTTTCTGTCTGATTGGACTTCCTCTTGGGTAGCAAGACCCGCTGATCAGCGAACTAGTTCTCGGCGTCGGAGGTTAACAACCTGCGTGAGCAGCTGAAGAAAATTCAAGCAAGCATGAAGGACGGACAGTTTGTCGATGCGGACGGCACACCCCTGTCTGGAGCTCAGGACGCAACCAAGACACTACTGGAACGGTGCTGGATCTGGACGGAGATTGTCTTGGAGCGGTATGTTAAAAGACTGCGGTCGGGGATTACTCGCTGACTCTATACCAGGGAAGGCAAGATCGATGAGCGCTTCAAGGAGCAGTACGACCGGTTGATTGATATCAAAACCCAGCTGGATCGTCTTTCTGTCACCCAAGCATGGTCCCTTCGCGAAACAGATCTCTTCGGCTACCAGCGGAAACTCGATCGCATTGACGAAGCGCGGGTCAATGGAAACTTTGTTGATAATGAGGGTAATGTGGCGGATGTACATGCGCAAAGGGTAAGTGTGATTGAGAGGAAGGTGTGGCATGTGCTGACTGGTGGCGGCAGACTCTGCTCTATCTGATCCGGCGAAGCTACGGATACATTTATTCGCTCTTGATCTCGTCTGAACCAGTTTCCGAGGCTTTGCTGCCAGTGCACAATCAGCTACAGACTCTGCGCAGATGCTTGTTGGAGGTCCAGGAGTCCGGCGGAGTCTCCAACTCGCGCGAGCTCTACCCATACAGCATGAAGGTGTGTCTCCCCGATACAGCTGAGCCGAAACAGACTAACTGTTGTGTCAGTTGAACTCGATTGACAACATGCGGGTAGACGGCAAATTCTACGTGGGAACCGATATTCCGGAAGGACAGGGCAGTGTGAATGCGTTGTTGGCGGAATGCTATGATATAGTGTGGGAGTTGCGGGCAGCGGTGACCGATGAGGAGAAGACCGCATGAGAAGTTATTGATATTTGTACTAATGGCTGAAAGAGAAAGACCGGATGGTGGACTTTTGAGTTCGGGGGGTGTTTGGGCGTACTAATGATCAGCTTGAGTTAGTTAACCTGTGAGACTACTACTTCTACTTCTACAATCACTTCAACTTCAACTTCCGGTATTGAGGACAACAGCAAGCAACATTACATCATTTCCGCTCCGCCCCGCCCCTGCCCGGATAAGCAGCCCCACATCCCACATGCTTCATTTATACTTCCTCCATGCTTACTTCCCTTTCCCATACTCCTTCCACTTGTCAACACTTCGCCTTCATATTCAAATTTAAATCCTCAATAATAAACTCACTAGCACCACGCAGACATGACCGAAACCGTTCGTCCGGCCTTCGTCGACCGCCCGCGCCCTCTTCTCGCCTACGGCATTCCCTTCCCCGCCGCAGCCGCCCACCATGTTGACGACCTTTTCCACGCCTCGCGAGTCTACATCATCTGCTCCGCATCCCTGGCGCGCAACACCGACGCACTGGACCGACTCGTCGAAGCGATCGGAGAGAAGCAAGTCGTCGGCAAACGCATTGGCATGCAGAGCCACACGCTCTGGTCCGAGGTACTGGAGGCCGCGAATGCCGCGCGCGAAGCCGAAGCCGATTGCTTGATTACACTGGGCGGAGGCAGTCTGACAGATGCAGCCAAAGTCGTTGCTTTGGTGAGTCTTCATTTCTTGTATCAACTCCTTCCCGCGATACCACGGTAGCAAGAGCGCAAGAGAAAGATAAAATATACAACAAAACAATCCGAAGCCATCAGCCGTACCGTCGTAGACACCATCAACACCATCCCCTCCCCCATTCGTCCTCATCCCATCACCATCCAACAAACCACTGACCCGACACACGCAAAACCAAAGGCCCTAGCAAACAACGCAACAACCCCACAAGCCCTCTCCACCCTCTCCACGGGTCCGAACCAATCCACCGACCTCCACCCGCCATCCATCCCGATTATCTCGATCCCGACGACCCTCTCAGCAGGCGAATACAGCTCCTTCGCCGGCGCAACGGACGACAGCACGCACCGAAAACACATCTTCGGGTACCCGACGCGGGGCCCGGGGCTGGTGATCCTCGACCCGGCGCTGACGACGACGACGCCGGCACGCACGTGGCTGTCGACGGGCGTGCGCGCCGTGGACCACTGCGTCGAGACCTACTGCGCGGCGCAGGGCACCACCTCCGAAACCGACCAGCTGTCGCTGCATGCGCTGGGCCTGCTGGTCCCGGGCCTGCTCCGCACGCACTGCGACCCCGCCGACGAGGATGCGCGGCTCGAATGTCAGCTGGGCTCGGTCGATGCCATGGCTGCTGTCACGGCTGAGCAGGGGAGCGTGCAGCTGGGCGCTAGTCATGGGATTAGCCATCAGGTGCGTGGTTATTAACCCTGATCCTTCCCTGTTCCTTCCTTCAATCAGAAGATCGCAGTCAGGGAGACAAAACATCTTAATATGTAACTAACCTTATCCCCTTCATTCAAACAGCTGGGTCCCCTCGGCGTTCCCCACGGTGAAACCTCGTGTATCTTGCTGCCCGCCGTCTGCAAGTACAATGCCGCGCACGAGAAAGCGGAGGCGGGGGCGGGGGCGGGGCCGAATCGCGAGCGGCAGGAGAAACTAAAGCACTTCCTCGGTAAGCGGGACGAGGTCGTCGAGGTGGTGCGGCGGCACCATGCCGGGAAAGATCTCGAGCAGCTGGATCTGGGCGATGTCCTTGATGCGGTCATCAGGGAGTTGGGCATGCCCCGCTCCCTTGCAGAGGTCGGCATCGGCAGGCAACACCTTGACAGACTGGCGGAGAATAGTCTGCACGATCGGTGGTGCCAGACCAATCCGGTGCCCTTGACTGAGAAGAGCCAGGTCTTGGAGATTTTGGAGATGGTTGTGGGGTAGATCAGGAATATATATAGACGGAGATGAGTGTGGGGAGGCGGGGGCTTTCGGTCTGGGTAGATGTATATGGGTACGATTAGCCATGGGTTTAATTGGGATCTTGTCTTCCCACTTTGGCCATTTGATCTTTCGAGGCTGGACATCTTGAAGATGATTCTTTATCAAGGTAAAGGGAGGATAAAGGAGGACTAGACAATTACCGTGGCTAAGATTGGGAGATATTCGGAGCTGTATATATATTGTGAGGACTTACCGGTGCATCAACACAATTTACATAATAGAGCCAAGTAGATCCGGAGGTAAGCCACTTCAAAATCTCATTGACCATTACTATTAATCCAATACGCCCGAGCACAACTTAACAATAAATCTCTAGCTCAATTATACGTAGCTCCTTCTTACCTACGCAAAGCATCAAGCACCTGTATCGCTGTACACAAAGAAACAAAAACCCATCATTTCCATATCCCTAACATCAGCTCATAATGATATCGAAAAAGAAATCAGTTGAAATAGCTGCGAATCGCCGCCTGGTTGTCCGGATTGACACCCGCCAGGATTTGATCCGCATTCAGACCCGTCGCGGCCACCAACTGCTTCGCCGAGTTGGCCACCCGGCCGGCCGTCTGGCCCTGCAGAGTCTCCGCCTCCAACGCCTGCACAATGTATCCGAATACCTTGTCAGCACTCGAGAGCACTGCCGGATTTTGTCTGCAATTCATTAGCCTCGAAGTCAATGGACTGGTCGAAGAAGTGAAACTTACTGGTCAATGAGCTGCGCAAGGAAGGAATAGGCATAAGGGGCAGCCTCCTCATCGAAGGTGATCGGCAGAGTGGTCAACCAAGTCGCCACAACCTCCTGGGCGTTCTGCACCTTGCTCGAGTTGTAGTGCAGAATCTTGGCGATACTGGCCGATGCATTTTCCGTCGCGAACACATGCTCTTCTGTGCGTGCCTGGTTGATCTGCGTCACCTGCAGCAGGCTAGGGATGCAGGCCGCCACAAAGTCGCTCCAGGCAGCTCCGCCCTTCTGCGCCGCGACACCCACACCATACGCCGCAGCCTGTCGGTTGGCCGCGTTGGCATCCTGCAGACCGGCCGCCAGCGGTTGCATGATGTGATCCTTGTATTTCCAAGACTCAGGGCCGCAAAATTCCAAGACATCATCCATGATGCACAGAGCCCATTGGCGCTGGGTCGGATCTTGGCTGGTAATGAACGCATCGTAGAACGGCATGAGTTGTTCCCAAGCAGGCAGGAATGTCGTGCCCTGGTTCTTGAAGATGGTATGGAATGCCTTGTTCATATCACTGAGCAGGTTCTGGTCGTCCTCGACGGCGTACTCGTAGTCCAGGTTATCGTCTTCGCCGTCGTCAGCGTCGGCGCGGTCTTCGAGGCGTGCCTTGACACGGACCTGATAGTCCTCTAGCGTCGACTTGGACGAAGTGATGAACGCCTGCATGTGATCCTGGGTGAGGCAGTTCTGGCCAACAACCTCCACCGACTCGTAGAAGCACTGATACATCTCAGCCAGCGTGTCCACGGTGGGCTCAGCGCTCAAGACCTCGATAATCTTCTCAGCAACCTTGTTCCAGATGCCGGCGAAACCAGCAGAATGTTCTCCGTGAGCCTTCTTGTAGGAATTCAGAAGCTGAGGAATGAGCTTAGCCGAAGACACCCGCACAGGGTCGTGGAAGAAGAATGCAAGTCCCGGAACTGCAATCTTCTCCATCGTCTCCAATACGTAGGGTTCGAAGGCGGCCTCCAGAATTTGAGCGTAGATGGTGATCAGCTCGATAGCAGTGTTCTTGTCCTCCAATGCACTGGTCTTGATGCCGATGATCTTGCCCTTCAGAGGCACCAGCTCCCAGCCCTCGTCTTGATCAACCTGATCAATCTGATCTTCGTCATCAAGCAGCTGGATGTCAGCCTTAGCGGCCGCAACAGCCAGCAAAGGAGGCATCACACCGGGGAGATAAGGAACAAAGTCCTGGCCCAACACCCGGCACATGCGGCCCCAGCAGTGAAGCAGGTATTGTGACTGAGGATCATCTGCATCAACAATGTTCGCCTGAATGTTGCCCAGCAGCTGTACCAGGTTCAGGGCATCCTGGCCCATCTTCTCTTTGCCGACAGCCAAAGCGATGAGGGTGGCACACTCCATGGCCTTGGCACGGAGCAGGCGGTACTCCTTGGACTGCTCCTCCTTCAGAACATTAAACAGCAATGGCATCAGGGTATCGTAGTACTGATCGAAAGCGTTCTCAGCAGAGTCAGCGATGGTAGCAATGGTGGACAGAGCCTGCTCCTGCACGTAGCGCTTGGGGCTGCGCAGTAGCTGAAGGAGGTGGCCAAGAAGTCCAGCCAAGTAAGGCTCAAGGACCTTTCTCTCCGCCTCCTCACAGAAGTTCACCAGGGCCGCAGCAGCGTGAGCCTGAACGCGGGGCTCAGTACTCTTCAGTACAGGAATGATGTTGTTAAGCACCACGGCATGGTACTTCTCTTGCATGGTGCCAGCAAAATCCGTGCTCATCTGACCCAGAGCGTTGCAGCCAGCATACCGCACGCGCGGGTGGGGATCCTGAAGAGCGGGAACAACCAACTGCAGAACCTGATCAAGTTCACCCACCATCAAGTCGCGGCAGCCTTCCGAGATGGCAGAAATGGCCATGAGCGCCGCATGGCGATCGCGCCAAGCAGAAGAAGACATCATACGAGGGATCCAGGCAAAGGTGGCGGGCAAGATGACCTGACCTCCGAGCTTGTTGGCCAATCGGTCCATGCACTGTTCACCGGCAACGTGGTTGAGGTCGCTTTCTTCCAGATCGAGCTGATGATAGTTAGTGCTGAACCACAACGGTAACTAAGAAGCGTCCGAGTCTACTCACATCCTCAGAAGCGTTCCACTCCTCAGCATCGTCGTCATCGATACCAATGTCAGTCATCAAGCTCAGACACTGAGTGACCATTTGCTGCGCGAATTCGGAGTTCTTCTTGCACATCGAGGGAGCATAGTCGGCAAAGGTAGCCATCAGTTCCAGGGCATTCTGACGGACTTGATCGCTGAGATCCTTATCGGCGATCACACTGATACTGAACGTGACCAGGTTATTGAACATGGTCTTGAACATTTTGGGGCAAATCTCGGCCAGCTCGATGAGCGCCAAGAAGGCCGAGGAGAGCTCGTCGCTCTCAGACGACTCCTTGAGCGGGGGTAGGATGTTGAGCAGATCGGGCATGAGCGGGAAGAACTTGGGTTGCGACTTCTTGGAAATGGAGCGGAAGAACGAAGCGAAGGCCTCCATGGCCGCAATGCGCACCTAAATCCTGCGGTCAGTAGTCGCCCCAGATGATACACGAAAGGGAAAAAGAAGCCATACGGAAACAACGTCATCCTTGAAGCCCTTGCTGAAGACACCAACAACGGCGTCCTCGTGAGACTTCTCAATGATTCCGGGGGTGGTGGAGAAGATGCGGAAGGCGGCCTCACGCAGACCAGCCTCGGGAGACTGGCTGGCTTGGAAAAGGACTCCCAGCAACTCGGGCCATTGGTCCCCTACAGACCGTCGTCAGCATGTAAACAATGCTATCCGTCTTAACACATGGTGCATACCGTTATCGGTGTATTGTCTGGCAATCTCAGCCACGGCATCTCCAATCTTCTTGCGGACGTCGGTGACAGACTCGCTCGTCAAGCAAGTCACCAGCTTTTGTCGGATGATCAATCTCTGTTCTCCGGTAAGGGTCGAGAAAAGCTCCTTGGCCTCGCCGCTAATGGGGTCTTTGCGGGTCTTGGTCGCCATTCTTCTGAACAGGACAGCGGAGAAAGAACGTGTCTATAGAAAGGCGAAGAATGAGCATCTAATCTCCATAGACCGCATGGCTGGATACAAGAGTTGGGAGAATCAAAATAGTTCATGCATCCCGACCAAATCTCTTTGTTCCGGAAATCGCAGCAGCACCTACCAAGACATCCTCCGCACCCTGAATCTGCTCTGCCAGGCCCATCAACAGGACATCGGGGCGGTTCTGGATCCAATCATTGTTCAACTGCTCTTCCGCCTGGGTACGGACAGCATTATCGGGGGTGGACAGAGCGCGCAACAGCTGAGAAAGGGCCGAGTGGACCTCGGGAGCGAGCAATGACATTTTGAAGGGACTGGGCTCAATCTAGACAGCTAACCCGCCGAAACCGCTTAGATTGGAGTATAAAAGAACGCGGGTTCAGCGGTAGAACCCGGGGTGTAGTGTCGGTGGGGGGTGGGTTTAAGTGGAAGGAAGGAGGCTGTTTTGTTAGGCCCTTCAGGAAATTGTTGTTGGTGGTGGGGGGGGGGGGGGGAGCGAAAAAAAAGTTCGTGACAGGTCGAGTGGAGGGAAGGCGGTCGGTAGCCAATTTCAGCCCAAGATCGTGGAGTAAATACCAATTCTGGAGATTTAGAAAAGAAAAGCGCAACTCAGCATCGCAGCCGATTCAGGAAACGGCAGGCGAACAGAAGAGGAGGGGAAGAAGAGAGGAAGAGAAAGAGACGGAGGGGGAAAGTTGAAAGGGGAAGAAACTCTTAGAGAGATTCAGAGGAGGAGGAGGAGTAGGAGGAGGGGAGGAGGAACGGTATTGGTTCTGTATGCCGATGGACAGTTCAACCACCAAAGGTGTGGTAAAGAATGAAATGAGAAAACAACATTCAATACAGCAGCCATTGATTGAGCTAGTCCCAGTCCGGACAAAGCCTGGTTTCCCCATTTTGCCCATTGCTCAGCATTCGGTAGATCAGCGCAAAACTACTCTAGCTGCATTCACATTCCTCAGACAGCAATCAAGCTTTACCTCGTCTTGCTTCGCCTCAATAGTGCAGGTTCCCCCAAGCTAAAGATCTTTCCGATGAACATAAGCCAAGAGAATCTAATCTATGCACTGTCTTCCAGCATAGCGCTATTTGAACAAGGCACCATCGCACTGAGCACTGCCTCCATATAAGAGATGAAAAACCACAGGAAAAGAGAACACCAAAACAATCGCCGTTAGAGTTACACGGATACGAGATGGGCCGGGACAAACATTAGACGGTCAGAAAGGTAAAGAGACATAATTACAGATGACTTGCTATCTTCGTTCGCGACCAGGACTTCGGAGACTCACCGGGAGGTAGCCCGGCCTAGGATGAACACACCCGCAATGACCGCCGCCAAGGTCACAATCGCTCCGGGCAGCAGCAGCTCGTTGGGGACGCCGGCAATGAGCTGCTCCTCAGCGTGATGCGCAGGGAACGACTGAGCCCGAGGGGGCTTGGCTACTAGTGACTCCTCCTCGGATCGCTCCTCAGAAATCACGCTCTTTTCTTCGACAGGACGGGCCGGAGCAGGATGAGGATCCAGCGTAGCAGGGATTGGCGGCTGGTTAGGATCGTGCACAAACAGATCGACCTTTTCTCGACGCGATAGACGTGCGAGACTCACGGCATCGGACAGATCTTGATCCGTGGTGATCGAAACTGTGTCGCCTTCGTTGTCCATATAGCTGAGGGCATAGCCAGTGTTGCTGAGCTTTCCATCCTCGCTGGTAGGAGCACCACCCACCGCCTCCACCTCGGGACCCAACTTGGCTGATACTTGAGCCACCAGCTCAGCGACGCCAGCCGCTGGAAGCACATTGACACGGTGCACACGCCCGCTAGGAGCCTTGAATTTGAAGGGGAAAGAGATGTGTTCAGCATGGTGTGGTTCCGCATACTCCGAGTGCTCGTCCCCACCGTGGTGAGAGGCGGATTCATTGGGGAGAACGCTGTCTCGGGCGTCATAACTAGCCTTGGGAGACTCGGGGCTGATTACTGACCGCTGAGCGGGCTGCTGGCTTCCTGAGACCATTGAGTCCGACTCGTGGTCCATCGACAGCCAGAACTTGTTCCATGCGGGACCCTCGTCATCTTGCGATGACATGGTATTGATCTAATTGGCGGGTTAGATTGGTTCAGTCAGAATCCTAGACTGATACTGACCTGTTCCAGAGTAGCATATGTCAGCTTGAGCACGTCCACCATGCCCACAATCTCTCCCGCATCGTTCATAACAGGCAGGTTCAAGTAGTGTCCGTCTAAAGGCCTCCATTGTCAGCGTTGTCTTTCACTATGACCTCAGCAAGGGTAACTAACCGTGCATTTTTCGAAGCGCAGCTTGGATAGTCATGTCACTGGGGGCGAAATCGGGGTGGGGAGTCATGACGCGAACAACGCTGCAAGTGGCGGGGTCAAGGCCCGGGGCAATGACACGCAGCACAATATCCTTGCTCGTGAAGATACCGGTGATGGAGCCCTGGTCTTGTACAAGAAGGGCGGTGGTGTGGTGCTCCTTCATCAAAGCAGCCGCCTCCTTAACAGTCGTGCGGACGGAGACGGTGGTCGGAGGCATACCGTCTAGGACGGATTCAAGAGTCGGGCCGGACATCTTATGTCGCAAGGCTTCGACGTACTGAATGATCTGCTGGGGCTGGCTGGAGCCGAGCTCAGTCTGGACACCTTCCAAGGCATCGTAGAGTTTGCGCGAAGAGCTGTAGGCACGCTCTAATTTCTCCATCGCATCATAAAAACATTTCGTGATATCGAGCACACCAGAGATGTCCTGGTTCTCATCCATAACGGGCAAATGGCGGAAGCCTTTGCGCACCATCAGATCGAGGGCATCGGTGGCGCTTGTGTCGGTCCTGGCGCAAAGAGGGTTCTTGGTCATGATTTCGGCCACCGTGACTTCACGCGCCTTGTGGCCTGCTCCGACCACACGGAAAGCGAGATCCTTCGCGGTGAAAATACCAGATATGCGGTCATCGTCATCGGTAACCAGCACGCAGTCTTCTCTCTTGGCAGCCATCAACTGGGCGGCCTCAGCAATGGTAGTGTTGGGCTTGATCTGCAGAGCCTGGCTGGGTTTCAAGGCAAGAACGGTGCCTGGGGGAGCTTTGCGAGAGCGGTTTGCTCTGGTGGTGTGTTGGCGCTTCTTGTTGAGGTCGGCCTCCAATTTACGCCGAATCGCCTGTATTGATTAAGAATTGTCAGTTAGAATTGAGTCTGCACTGCGACGGACCGCTGGCCGAGTTTTCCTTTGGCTTTCACACACTCGCGTCTCTGTAGAATAGCCTTGACCTTCAACCAATGTCGCCTGTAATCACCGGAGCGGCGAAAGAGAAAAATTCCTTTAAAGAAGGAATCAACCGAGAGTTCAAGCATACCTCATCGCGCTTGGACTGGTTTTGACGTTGTCGACTGCTGGCGGCACTCATGGTGTTGCTTCCAATATCGCTGGACGCGGTTTGCGGGGTGTGTACGGTGGAGGAAGTGTCCGGACGAGGGCGAGGAATGTGACTATCAAAGTCGGGCAGCCTGCCTCTGCCGACCGTTTTGTGGTTGACGGTTCCCTTAAAAGTGGGTGTGGATGACATGTCCCCGGTCGGTGACTGGCGGAGCTGACTTAAAGTCGGTCTGTGTTTGGACGAACCGGTTCGAAAAGAGAAGCGGAGACTAACAGATTGAAGACAAACAACCGGGACCTTTAGGGAGATGGAGATAGAGAGGGTAAGTTCTAGTCTTTTCGGTCAAGAGGGAGGAGAGACAAAACCACGCAAGGACGAGAGAGGAGTGAAAATGAGAGAGACAATTCGGGAATGAAGTTAATCCACGAGAAAGATACGGGCACAAACCAGGGGAGGGAGGGAGGGAGGGGGAAAAGGAAAGAGAGGAATTGGGGACGAAGAAGGAGGTTTCCTAACTTAGTTCTAGTCCGACCAGACTATTTACTTGTTATTGACAGTTTCAGGAGAAAAGATTGAAGACGATGGGACCACTTCGATACATACAGAACAACCCATCGAACCCACCCTTTGGCCACGCATGCCACCATCAAGATCCGCAGGAGTAAACAAAATACTGTATTAGTGTACCGTAACGATGGATCGATCAATGCCACTAGACCTCTTAAGGGGATAAAATCGAACGTCACTCAAGGATCGAGTTGGAACCTGAGCTCATCAGCCCAAGACACGTGAACTGATCACCCAACTTGACTCCCGGATCTCTCAAAGGCGGTCAGGCCACACCCGCCCGAATCCTTCTCCGATTGAGTCACATGATAGTCACATGAGGAGGGTTGCCGCAGAGTTGGGCCTGAGGTATCCAGACAATCTGCCTGCCCCACACCAGCCACATCAGCCACATCAGCCACCCTTGATCACCTCAGGCCTCAAGGCACCCCTCCCAGGAAGCATCAATCCCGTGACCCGCCTCGCTTAAGGGCATAGGGCTCCCACACAAACCCGACACAACCTCATCCCGAGTGAGCGAGAGACTCCGGTGCCTTTACGACGACAACCAACCCCGACAACCAAGTACGCGCACAACCTTCCCGTCCCCCCCTCTTTTTCTGACTTACAGTCTCTGACTCGCCGCCGCAGAGAAATCCGTCAAGATGGTCAAGAAGAGGGCGAACAAGTAAGAACAAACGATTTACCATCCTGTTATTTTTTTCCCTGCTCCCACAACTGCATCCAAATCTATATCCAATCTCGAAATCATGCTCTGGACGGCCAACTTGCACGACGCACACATACTCACGCCGGGACCTGAACAACAACTCGAATGACGAAAGAGGAACAATATGGCGACCGACAAATTCAACTAGGCCCGGCGGTTATGTTGTGTCGATGGTGGCGTATGTGTGTGAAGAGAGATCAGACATGAACTTGGACCGGAACTTCTCAAGACAACATGCCACAAAGACCATTCACCGGAATGAGAACTAACGCATTTCCTATAGCGGTCGCAACAAGAACGGCCGCGGCCACGTCAAGCCCGTGCGCTGCTCCAACTGCGCTCGCTGCACCCCCAAGGACAAGGCCATCAAGAGATTCACCATCCGCAACATGGTTGAGTCCGCTGCCATCCGTACGTTCCACCATTGCACCTTCCATCACAACCCACCGCCACTATCTGCTTCTCCGCGCGCCGTCTGCTGCTGGTTCCAAATAAGAGCCGGGAAATACGGAGTGTGTTGAAATATGGAGATGTGAATCAGGACATTGCGTTCGATCAGCGCAGGGAATGGGCAACAGCGCGCCGGACGATGCAACGGACAAACCAAGACTCCATTAAACACAACTAACATTTCGACCCTGCAGGTGATATCTCCGATGCCTCCGTCTTCACTGACTACGCCGTCCCCAAGATGTACCTGAAGCTGCAGTACTGTGTCTCCTGCGCTATCCACGGCAAGATCGTTCGGTACGACTCCACATCCGCATCCACGAATTTCTCGCGATACTGACAATCACTCACAGTGTCCGCTCTCGGGAAGGTCGTCGCAACCGTGCCCCTCCTCCTCGCATCAGGTACAACAAGGACGGCAAGAAGCTGAGCCCCCCTCAGGCTGCTAAGGCCAACTAAGGGAAAGGAAATGGAATGAATCATTAATCACGTTTTTTCCTCGAAAGAGAACCAAAAATGGAATTAGTTTGAAAAAAGGCCAATTCCTATCTCGGCGTAACGCTTCTTTCTCTTGATCATGTGTGCTTGATGAAACCATCTTTTCTTTACTTGTCAATGAATGGGATTCAGTTACGGGGTTGAAGAAAAAGAAACAACAAAAACGGATCACCCAAAAAGTGTATCACCTGGGACTGGCTCTCTTTCTCGGGAGGCGTTGTAGATAAATAAGGTATTGGCCTGCAGGCAAAGGAGCCACGCTTGTCAAATCGCATCAATTGCTTTCTGAGTCTATCGTCTTCATTCGTTCTCCGCCGAAATATGTCCAGTCTCTTGTCCCGCATTTATGTACACCTAAAACATGCATTGGGACTGCCTATGTTCTCCAGACAAGCACTCACCCCTTGATCACGGGTATAGGTAGCCCTTCTCGAAATAGTTCCCATACATATCTACGACCCCACTACGTCCCTTAGGAGCTGGGTTCCGTATCACTTTCATTTCCCCTTTCCAATGACCCTCCACGAACTTGGTGATAGACAACGTAGACGCCGACGACCCCGCCAACGAGGTAAAGCTCGGAGAAGGAGATGGTGATCGAAAAGAGGAGATTGTAGTACTAGGAGAAAGGTGAGAGGTGGCTGTGGTCCCCACTGTATCCCCCCGCCTTCGACCGCGCCTTACCCCGTCTTCGTACTCCATCTTCTTAGCGCGCCGGAAGGCCGCCAACTCGGCGACGAGATCAACCATTGGGACCTCGGGTTGAGGATTGCCGGTGGCAGAATCTATTCTGCTTGTGGTGGCAGGTGTTGACCCTAGCGAAGTAGTCCTCGAACGACCTTGTGGTGATAGTGGCCAACCCGAGTTAAGGAAAATTGGTGATGAGGCGGCGTTTGCCTCTGGATGTCCAGAGGGCTTGATATCATCATCTTCGGGCATCAACGAGACCTTTTCATTCAAGACAGCCATGGGGAAGTATTTGCCTGAATAGCCGTCTGGGACCCCGCACTCTTCCTCCCCAAAGAAGCTGAAGTCATCATCGGCAGCCGACCAAAGATTTTCGAGGTCACGGTCTCCAGTGCTTGATTTCGGAGCACCAGTCTGGTAGCTGGTGGGTTTCCAAGGGGTCAATTTCGCACGGCCTTGATGGGGAGGCGTTGGCGTGATCTCTAGCACTATCCGGCGCAAGGCGAACAAGGACCGAGCACGCTCTTGTTCGGCCTGTAATCGAGCCTGACCGGGTGGAAGCGAGTAGTCTGACCGTGCCTGAAGCGTTGCTAGTAATGTTTCGTTCGAGCAGGCTGTTATAAAACGAATCAAAGATGCTAATATTGGCGAATTAGCCGGTACATGAGATGGAACATCAGTCAGTACCAGTTGTTCCAAATGAGAGACATGGGAAGGATGAAGATATGGACAATAATGGCATCTCCTGCTATTCCGGCGAGGAAGACCTTTAGGTCGCTTAGAAAGCAGCTCCTGGACTTTCTGAGCACGGGGGTCGTCCAATGCCACTGGCGAGGAACATAGCGTTGCACTACCCATCGTGTCGACAACGCTATCCGTGATGCTTGAGATACTAGATATGGACAGCCCATGGGGCAGCCGGAACGGTGAAGTGGTGAGCTCAGAATGACTCAATTCATCACCATTTAATTGGCGCATGGCCCCTACTACCTCAGGAGCGAAAATTGAACCACGTCGCTGTTCAGGTAATGGCTCGTCCTCATAGATAGTCGGGCCCGGGTTGTGTTCAGCAGCTCGCGAAGAGGAGCTCGATGGCTGAGACACTGGGGTAGCAGGGAGCTCATAAATGGGGCCTGACTCCGACGGTAGCTCATGGATCTCGTTAGTAGGATCTAGCTCCGGTATGAGTGGCTCGCAATCGGCACTTTCTGCTGGGAGCTCCGCCAACAGTGCGTCTGGTGACGTGGCTTCTTTTGCGGGGGCTTCAGCCGTACAAAGGGCATGGTGGGCTCTGAGATAGGTGAGGTTATTCGTAGCATTGGACCCCAAAACGGGTATCAATTTCTCTGCGCCTGGAAGCTGTCCAGGGTTCTCATGTGAAGAGGCTAACGAATGTTGCCTATTAATGGAATCGGCAGTATCAACCGTTCCGACATCAAGAGCGTGCAGACGAGACGAGGCAAGTAGGCTCGCGGCCCCTTCGACAGAAATTGGGTTATCTGCGATATACAGATGGGTTATACCAACTTGCGTCAAGTCCTCCACCCAGGAGCGTCCTGTCAATGGCTGCGTCAACGCTATCATGTATTGTTCATCCAGCATAGGACAACTCAGAAACTTTTGAAGTGACAAAGCCGGCATTAACTGTGAGCCATCAAGACTGCCCCAAGTTCCTGACCTTCTCGGCCCATCCTCTGCGGTGACATGGGTGGTGGGTCGGAAGCAGGCTTGTAGCAGAGACCGCACGGCCATGTCAGTGAGGTGATTATTGCGTAAATCCAGAAATCGAACACGATAGCTAATAGCATTAGCAAGGAACTCGGCATCGTTATCTTTCAGTCCGATACCCCGTAGTTTGAGCACCTGAAGACGTTCCAATTGGGACAGGGCTGAAAGCACCAAACGATCGCGAGCAGGGGTGGTATAGGACAAATCAAGGTAGGTCAACTCAGGGAAATGCAACAGCGTCTCTGCAATTCCCTGTGAGGTCGTGTTATACTCGCTGTCCGCCAGAAGTAAGCGGACGTTGTACGTGCAAGATGTGGTCATTTCATCTTCCGCAGCAGGACTGGCACCTTTCAAGGCCATCATGGCATTGTGATCAAAGAAAGGCAACTCAGAGACCATCAGAGACTGAAGACAGGGCAGAGAGTCTAGAATCTCTCTCAGCCACTCTGGTCGTGGCCCGCCATAGATTTCGGACAACGCTGGGGGCAGATGCAGTGTGTGAGTGAGCATCCGCACCTCGAGACGGGCATACTTGAGTGTCCGCCTGAACCTTGTCATAGCGACTGCATAATTTACCTCTTGTCAGCGCTAACTATCAAGCATCGCCCCCAGTACAGAGAGGTCTCATTACCGTAGAAAGCATCATTCTCAGTTCCAAAATGCGAAGCTGGATCACCCCACAGAAATGGCATGAATAGTTCGTGCCACCTTCGCGACACCAAGGCAGCAGCGCACAGGTCGCTTGATGGGATGTACTGCGCTATAATAGACCATGCATCTCGGGCCGTGGCAGCCTGATAGGATGGTGGCACTGTATCCATTGTTGCTACATGTGGGCTGGGCGTCTTGGTTCTCTTGGGGGTCTCTTGCGGGTTTCTCGGTTGGTCTCAGATGGGGCGGGGGGCGGAAACAGGAAGCAGCTTGTTAAAGTAGGAGGAAATTTTAGCAAGTTCAACAGACTGGGACAATCATCTGGATGCCTCTCTTCGGGGCCAAGAAACGCTCGGCCCCAAATCTGCAGTCAGCGCGCCGGGCACTGCCACGGGGGTGCGATGGGGCGCAGGATGACACCAAGGATCCATAAGGCAATAGCATTGCGGGCTCTGATTTGTTGTCCGCAAGCGCAAACAATATCCGAGCTCGCGAAGATCACCTCGTGGCCGATGATCGAGGCAGACTTGTTGTCAGGAGATAGAGATGTTTGAGGAACTACAAGAGGAAGACGCAGAGCTCTATGGATCATTAAGCCTATAGAATCAAAACTGAGCCCTTACCGAATCAGGCAATGTGACGGGCAGGTACCCGTCTGACGTCATCCCCCGCTCTGTGCGCCGAACACTCAAATCCACCTCAAAATCACCGCCGGAGAAACTCAGCACGAGAAGTGTGCGTCTGTTTTTCGTTCCCTTGTTCTGCTTTGGTCGTTTGAGCGTATCCTTTCCATATCGCATTGTTGGCCAACGATGGAGTCCTGGCAACGCAATACTCGAATGATGCATCAGATCGGGGAATTCCTTGATCTTGACCCCGACAAATCCGACATGGTGGCCGACTTTATTGCCCTGATTGAAGCGCTCCGGGAAGGGCTCACCCATATCGACGATGGCTTTCACATACCAGACTCCCAGATCAACGTACTGTTTCTCACAAAACTCAAGGAGTGTGCTGGTTGGAGTGACTGGGCCACAACAATGCTGCGAGATAGCCGCCTAAGCGCCTCCAATCCTGAGGATCGGATGTCATTTCGAGAGCTGGCAGACCTGGCCATGGAGCAGGAAAGGATACGGCAAACGCCAGGGAAAGGAAGAAGAAGAGGAAACACGACTTCGGAGAGGGACTTCGCGTTTCCACAGAAGACTCCGATACATCCTGATACTCTTACGCAGGATGACATAAATGCCTTTGTTGTCCAACGGATGGCCCATGATGATAAGACAGACAATCGCAGCAAAAGTGTCCGAGGACACAACAAAAGACCAAGTCAGGAAGAAATAAACGACTATGTGATCCAACAGATGCAGCGTGAGCAGGCGGGGAAGTCTCACCACCACGGGCACCAAGAGCTAGCGTCGCGCAACCAGCCTCATCGTCGGCCAGCACAGTGCTCTTTCTGCGGTGATAAACACCATCAGGTCGCAAATTGCTGGCGGCGATGGAGGGTTGCGGTCGAGGCCCCGCAAGGCCAGTTTGTGCCGAAGCGTGTCGAATACAAGTTTCAGATACCGGGTCAACCACCTATGTATCGCTCCGGCTTCACGCTCTTCTAGAGCTTGATTACGACGAAAATCATGATTCAAAATGCTTATCTTCTTTGATGGCAAATATGTTTGACTAGCGACTGGAATTCGGGCATGAGCATGGCGTTCGGGGGTCCCTTCGATGCACAATCTAAGATCTTATATTTCCTTCAATCTGATTTCCAAATGTTACTTATGCATTTAATTGACAGCTCACGATGTGAAAATATTTCAGAGTAAACCAGTAGGCTGGTGGTAGGCGAGAATTGGTATTGCCAGCTTCAGGGATTCATAGTCTTGAAATTTGACATCCGCAGCGAGGGAGCACATGCGCTGCTGTAGCTGCATACTCCGTAGTCTCGATTGGATGACCACGCAGGCATTTGCCCACGCGCAGACAGTACCTGAGAGGCCTTCTGCTAGAGAATACGGGCGATCCGGCATCCAGTACAAGGGCGATCCTTGGTTTGAATTATTGTAAGGAGGCGTTTCTCGCGCGTGTAGCAGTAATGCAAGTGCTCTTGCAAGGAAGTAGTCGCCCGATAATTCGCTTGTATCAGGAGCCGAGTCGAGGCTCCCCATTCGCGAAAAATAGTTACGTCTTGCTGTCTCCATGGTATCCTCATCATATTGAAAACTGTCATGGAGGAGCAGTAAAGACATTGCATTACCGGCAATTCCATGGCATATGCCACCACCCTTGGAGAGGATCCCTTCCTCCCAGACCCGCTCGCTTGCCAGGTAGATGGCCTTGTCCCACTCTGGCTGCCAAAAATCAGAAACAAGTGGGCCGTTTCTCCTAGCGCAAGCCAGGAGGTTCAGGATTCCGGGGCTGCCATGACAGATCTGAACAAGAGGGCTAGAACGACGCGACGAACCATGTGGAGGTAGACTCGTAGGCAAATGGCCGTTATTAGCGATACATATATTGCAGAGGCCCGTGATTGTTTCAGCTATCAGGGGCAGATAATTGCGCTCTGTGCCGTTGCTAAGCTCCTCAGGCTTGCAGGCAATGAGGCTGACAAGTATACCGGCTAAAAGGCAGCAGCATTAGTTCATACTATGATAATTATCCATTAGGTATATACGTGCCTATGCCGTGTACTCTAATTGAATTTGTCAGTCTAGGTGCGATGCTCCAGGCGAGAGAAACACTCACGCTCCAAGGCTGTAACGATCTTCCTTCCAATGCCACATCAGCGGCAAGGCATCTTCATCTCCATGGTTGAGAGCGAAGTCCTTGTGACCTCGGATCCCGCCAGCAATGATCATGTCAACTAGTCGCGGTATCTGCTCAAAAACAGGCCCCAAGGCTTTCGCAGTCTCATCATCGTAGCTGCGTAATCGAAGATTGAGCAACGCCCACAACAAGCCAGCGCGGCCGAAAAGGACTTCATCGGACCCCATCAGTGAACTACCGTGTGATACCATGTGGCTGTTGCTCAGAGCCGTCTGCACCACTTCTTGGATGCATTCTACATCATCATTGGAAACAGTCGTATCTGATGATTTTGAGGCAAGGATGCGCAAGATAGGGACCGCCAAAGCGCTGGAAGAGCCGAATGGGGACACTCTCTCATGCAAAATTGGCACATCTGGGCCTTCCGAAGGAATCCGCTCAATGGCAAGCTGGTGAAAATTCAGATGGCTGTCCCCAAGTGACTTTGCTTGGTGATCTAGACGCAGGAAGGCCAGAGCGACCCCTAAATCATCATTAGCGGACTATGAACAATAATCATTTGTACAAATGGCGTGTGCTAGTCAATGTCCTGGGGTTGTACCTGGTAATCCAGCATAGAAACCAGTATTGTGAGGCTTTCCCCAAGCTTCGAGGGGAGGACATTCTGTCTCTATAAGCCGAGCTCCATGGTTGACAGCTTCTTGAAGCTGTTTCAATACAGCTTCAAGAGTGCCCGTGTCAACTTGCACAGGGCTAAGTGAATTAGGATAAAACTGTGGAGCATCTTTAATTGACATTGCGACTAGTAGGCAGACCACATACAATGGGATTTTGTATTTATAAGATCGTATAATGCGGACAGATGTAAGAGCTGAGGCAGCTCAGATGCTGTGCACGAAGCAGAAGCAGTTCATGAAGAAGGAGCTCAGGTCCCGGCGTGGAAAACGTACATTTGCGTGACATCACTATCCAATCATCCGTGCAATCCTCAAACCATGAGATCGCAACGCTTAGGCAATACCAGGGTTCAGGATCTGCTAAGAGAATCAAGCAGTTTTAGATTATTAGCTGATGCAAATATAGTCTCGGAGCTTTGCAGACTTTTGTTGGCAAATACATACAGGTTCAAGTAGTCTACATGTTTTCTCTCCAATGCCTACGTAAGAAAGAGATATCCGATTTAGAACCAGTAATTCACTCCCTGATTCATACAGGGTCCTGGTCTCTATGCCATTGCCTTTGCCCAGCGCCAATCCTGTTGTTTGCGTTTCAAGCACCGGCACGATTGGAGCACCAAGAATGGACATTTACTTGAGCGAAAGCCCGACAGGAGCATCGGGGGGGGGGGGGGCGGAGGGGGCATTGACCCTCTCCTTCGATATCAAAGAATCAAAGTAACGTGCGTGATTCCCGAACAGCTCGCCTAGATCATTCGTATCCATGATGTACATGCATGCTGTGAACGGAGCATCACATTGGCAGAGTAAAGGAGCCGCTGAATGCACTCAGTTATGTCATAGCAACTCTTTGAGTGGTGAGTTAATCCCGGGCATAACATTCTCACCTTATCAGTCGCATAGAAGTGCCCATAGACCTGCATGAGCTATCAGCGCTCGAAGCAGAGGTTTGTAGCAGAGTTGTGAGCCCCATGAGGAGAGATACTGTCGAGGATTGGAAGGGGCAGTGGGGGAGGGTGTCGCTCCCCCAAGATCCACGGGCTGGCTCAGATGGACTCTCGGTTCCAGAGAGTTAGGTGAACAATCTTCTTCAACGTAACTAAGAAAACCCGTATGAGATGAAATTTGATGTGGTCCCGTCTGCGTCGACGCCTACCAACTACATACACCCCGGTGGTCTAGGTAAAAAGGAGGGCTGCGGGGCGCGGCATGATTGGTCACCGCCTTTCAACGCTGGGAGCTCGGGGAAATTTTGGTCGGAAGGCATTATTGAGAGTGACCCCTCCGAGAAAGCTGCGATCATTCAGGGCCACCTTCCCATCAACTCCCAACTCCTTCACTTTCTGCCCGTCACCTTCTCCTCCCTTCACCCTCTCTCTCGCCTCATTCTCCTAACCTATCAACATGGCCTTCGCCGGCCAGACTCCCACGATCATCGTGCTCAAGGAGGGTCCGTCACCTGCCCGCATCGAAATGCTGCTTCTGTGTGTATCGCGGATCGTTGCTGACTGACCTTGTGTTTCGTTGCTCAATAGGCACCGATACCTCGCAGGGAAAGGGTCAGATCATCTCGAACATCAATGCCTGTGTTGCAGTTCAGTCCACGATTAAGAGCACTCTCGGCCCGTATGGAGGAGACCTGTTGCTGGTGGACGGCAACGGCAAGCAGACCATCACGAACGATGGAGCCACTGTCATGAAGGTGCGTCTTCAACATGGGTTTATCTTGCTATCCTCCGCATTTACTGGCATGCTAATGCCATCTCTCCCCACCTAGCTTCTCGATATCGTGCACCCCGCCGCCCGCATTCTCACCGACATCGCCCGGTCTCAAGATGCCGAAGTGGGAGATGGAACAACATCGGTCGTCGTCTTGGCCGGTGAGATCTTGAAGGAAGTTCGGGAACTCGTCGAGCAGGGAGTCAGTTCACAGACTATCGTCAAGGGTCTACGGAGAGCCAGCTCCATGGCCGTCAACAAGATCAAGGAAATTGCTATCGACATGATTGAGGCCGCCGGAAGTGAGGAGAAGAAGGTGGAGACACTACGACGTCTGGCCGCAACGGCGATGAACAGCAAGCTTATCAAGCGGAACTCAGACTTCTTCACCAAGAGTAAGCTGGCCTTTTTCTTGCAGTATGGTCCTGATCCCGGACGCTAACGGCTTGTTTTAGTGGTGGTGGATGCTGTGCTGTCGCTCGACCAGGACGACCTCAACGAGAAGTTGATTGGTGTCAAGCGAGTTACCGGTGGTGGTCTGCAGGATTCGCTATTCGTCAACGGTGTCGCTTTCAAGAAGACCTTTTCCTACGCCGGTTTCGAGCAACAGCCCAAGTACTTCAAGGACCCCAAGATCGTGTGTCTGAACGTCGAGTTGGAGCTGAAGAGCGAGAAGGACAACGCTGAAGTGCGGGTGGAGCACGTGTCTGAGTACCAGGCTATCGTCGATGCTGAGTGGCAGATTATCTACAACAAGCTTGAGGCCATCTACAAAACTGGCGCCAAGGTTGTTCTCAGCAAGCTGCCTATTGGTGATTTGGCTACGCAGTATGTTTCTCATCTACTGACTTGCTGCCGGCTTGGCAGGGACTGACTTTGCTTCTTTGTGCACAGGTACTTCGCCGATCGGGATATCTTCTGCGCTGGTCGCGTGGCTGCCGATGATATGGACCGGGTCTGCCAGGCGACCGGTGCGGCGACGCAATCGACCTGCAGCGACATCCAGGAACGCCATCTGGGTACCTGCGGTATCTTCGAGGAACGCCAAATTGGTGGTGAGCGCTACAACCTTTTCTCCGAATGCCCTGCCGCCAAGACCTGCACGCTCGTGCTGCGTGGTGGAGCGGAACAGTTCATCGCAGAAGTCGAGCGCAGTCTGCACGATGCCATTATGATCGTCAAGCGTGCTATCCGCCACACGACCATTGTTGCCGGTGGTGGTGCCACTGAGATGGAGCTGTCGAGCTTCATGCACGGCTTTGCGGACCGCAACGTGCCCCACAAGCAACAGGCCGTGGTCAAGGCTTTTGCGAAGGCCCTGGAGGTGATCCCCCGCCAGCTGTGCGACAACGCTGGATTCGACGCGACGGACATTTTGAACCGCCTGCGAGTGGAACACCGCAAGGGCAACGTCTGGGCGGGTGTGGACTTCGATAACGAGGGTGTTCGGGACAACATGGCCGCCTTTGTGTGGGAGCCCAGTCTAGTCAAGGTCAATGCCATCCAGGCGGCTGTTGAGGCGGCTTGCTTGATCCTGAGCGTGGATGAGACCATTAGTAAGAACCCCCATCCATCCAATTGAAAATGATTCAGAACTGACATAAGAATCTTTGCTTTCCACAGAGAACGAAGAATCAGCCCAAGCTCAGGCACCGGCGCGTGGACTCCCGCCGGGTGCTGCCCAGCGCGCTCTGGGTGGCCGCGGACGTGGCATGCCTCGTCGCGGACGGTAGACGACGGGCGGACGAATAATCGGACCCGTATGCAATGGAACGGTGGAATATAAAAGCGATCAATAGTTTTGAATAGCACTTGCGTGCATTCCATTGATTGTGGATAATATCATATTTTCTCTATCTCCTTTATTAACTGGCTGGAAGGTCCACTATCTGACAGATAGCTGGCATCACGTGTAGTTAAACAGCTGTTCCAGTTAGCAAGAAGGTCCCACGAGGATCGATCAATAACCTCGAAGGAAGTAGGTATTACCTTGACGGGCTGACAGCCACGGGAATGGGCAGCAATGAGGACTGGCCGGATACGGTCGATGATAGGAGGGGCGCATATGAAATCCCGACGCTGGCTGGCAGGAGGATTATTTGCATCGGCGCAATGCATGCAGCTGGGATCGGGGAGGCCGATGCATGAAAGATATTAAATCTGTCACAAAAGCAATTTATCCTTATTCTCGTTCTTGCGCGATTCTGTCAAGAGCACCCGACCAGGGGCACATTATCCCTACTGGATACTCCTCCTGAGCTACTTTTCTAAATTATTCGAGTTCTTCCATCGATATTTATCGTCACTTTTTTTTTTGTGTTTGGTTCTTTTGATGAAGTAAATCAACCCGAGCAAGCACCAATCGGCGTGTCGGGCTCCACTGCCGCCTTTCCCCCCAAGTGACGGACTGCGCCTTTCTCTGGTCTGTGTCTGTCTGTCTGTCTGTCTCTTTCTCACCATCTGACCTTCTCCTGCTCCTCCGCTCCCTCCATCGCTTCTTTTTTTCTTTTCTCTCCGCTTTCCCCTTCGCCTCTCCTGCTTCCAGGACTCACGCGTGATCTGCCTGAGACCTGCGTCTCAGCCGCTTCTCTCTTTGTCCTCGTCATCCTCCTAAAACCACCTTATTCCCTCCCTCTTTAACTCAGACATGTCCTACTATCCTCCGTATTCGGGCCCGCCCGGGTATCCCCCGCAGCAACAACAGCAATATCCCTACCCCCCTCAGAGCTACGGCACCCCGCCACCACAATACCAGCAGTGAGTCTCACTCGCCCTCTGCCATTTAGGCCTACATACTCCCTCGAGTATAGATAGTGTAGCTGGTAGCAATCTCGAGCTTTAAGCTGATCATCGTCGCAGACAAATGAACCCTCACCACCATCACCAAGCGTCTTATGGCGGCGGCGGCGGCGGGTACCCTGGTCAGGCCTACCGTCAACAACCTCCCAGCGATCCCTACCCCTACGGACAGCCAGCGCCCCACCAATATCAGGGATCGCAACCTCCCCAGGGCGGATATAACGTATGTCACGGGTGTCCGAGTCTTGAGCCTGCGCGACGGACGGACGGTTAATGTCACTTCTCTAGGGTGGTTATGGCGCTCCTCCGTATGGTGGCCAGCAGGGTATGCTTCGAACTGTATCAACGCGCAAATGTGACGCAACTGACATCTTTCCAGGGTACCCGAACTCCTATAACCAAGGCGGCCAAGGCAATGGACCCCCTCCTCCACCAAGTGAACCGGTAGCCTTTGGCCACGGTGCGCCGCAAGGCTACAGCTTCCAGTACTCTCGTTGCACGGGCAAGCGAAAGGCCCTGCTGATCGGAATCAATTACTTTAACCAGAAAGGTCAGCTCCGAGGATGCATCAACGATGTGAAGAACATGTCAACATACTTGAACCAGAACTTTGGGTATGCTCGTGAGGACATGGTTCTATTGACGGATGATCAGCAAAATCCTATGAGCCAGCCCACCAAGGCCAACATTCTCCGCGCTATGCACTGGTTGGTGAAGGATGCTCAGCCCAACGATTCTCTATTCTTCCACTATTCCGGTAAGCGCGCGCATTTGATCCCTTCCATCCGTGCGGGACTGTTCTAACGATAGCAGGTCACGGCGGCCAAACGCCCGATCTGGATGGCGATGAGGACGATGGCTACGATGAGGTGATCTACCCCGTTGACTTCCGCGCCGCCGGACATATTGTCGATGATGAGATGCACCGGATTATGGTCAATCCTCTTCAACCAGGCGTTCGACTCACGGCTATCTTCGACTCGTGCCATTCGGGCTCTGCTCTGGACCTGCCTTACATTTACTCAACTCAAGGAATCCTCAAGGAGCCCAACTTGGCCAAGGAGGCGGGTCAGGGTCTGCTGGGCGTGGTGTCCGCTTACGCACGGGGCGACATGGGCAGTATGATGTCCACGGCCGTCGGATTCTTGAAGAAGGCGACCAAGGGAGACGAGGCGTACGAGCGTACCAAGCAGACCAAGACAAGCCCGGCAGACGTGATCATGTGGTCAGGCAGCAAAGACGACCAGACCAGCCAGGACGCACAGATTGCCGGACAGGCTACGGGAGCCATGTCGTGGGCGTTCATCAGTGCACTCCGCAAGAACCCGCAACAGAGCTATGTGCAGCTGTTGAACAGCATCCGCGACGAGCTGGCTACCAAGTACACACAGAAGCCGCAGCTGAGCAGCAGTCATCCATTGGGTAAGCAGTGTCCTGTTGTTCCGATATAATGTAGGAAGCGGTTCTGACGGATTTCCTTTAGATGTGAATTTGCGGTATGTCATGTAAATAGGAGCTTGTGGGGTTTTTGGGTCGAGTGGGAGGAAAAGGGGGTTTGGCCTCTCACATATTTAATTCTACTATGGGCCACTATGCGATTCTCTGTGTCATGCGTTTCGCGCTGCGTCCTTGCCTTTTGGCGCCCATCGCTTGTTTTTCAAAAGGTCAGAATGGCTACTTGTTTTGAGGCGCATACTCTATCGGCAATGGCACACGATACACATATGACATGAATTGTATAAACTTCATGATTGTTTCATTAAATTTCCATGATATCTCGTTAAATATGTCGCCTGTGCGCAATGTACCTCAGAGACAGACTACCGCTACCACCTTTTGGGCGCATCGACCACCGTCCTCGAAAAAGACGCACTGACCGTCTCCCTCTGCTTCTTCCTCTGAGCCGCGATGATGCCGGTTCGATCCGTTACGGGGGTAGCATTGATGATGTTGTCGAAAGCTTCCTCATCGTCATCACTGCCCCCTCCGGCAGATCCCGACTCGGCATCCGAATCCTCTTTCAGCTGTTGCGGAGTCGTCTCCTCTTCCGGTCTCGCGATCCGCTCGGGCTTCGTCTTGTCCTCGACCTCGGGGTTCTGGAAGGCCTTGGAATTCAAGATCTTGGCTCTGATGGCAGCCATCTGCTCCTCTTCCTCAGAATCATCTGAGATAGCAAAGGGGTCCTTATCCTCCTCCGCTTCCTCCTCCTCTTCATCATCATCATCATCTTTGTCCTCATCCTCCGAATCACTCTCCGCCCTCCGGTTCGTGTTTCCAACGGTCCAGATATCATCCACGCCCGTGGCGCGACTCTCCTCATACTCCCTCTCAATCTTAGCAAGCCACTCCTCTTCGGCGCGCTTCATGTCCTCCTCATCCGCACAGGCTGCGTAGCGCTTGAACAGCTTGGCGTTGATCTCCAGGAACGCCTCGCCGTACCGGAAGTGCTTCAGGACCTCGCGGGCCCAGTCCTCGTGGCCGCAGATACAGAAACAGGCCGCCAGGGCTTCGACGCAGTTCAACCGCCAGGGTTTGCCGTAGTTGACGGTGTTGGCGGCAATCAGGTAGGGGACTAATACGCAATCAACATTAGCGTTTGACATAGAGGAGCTACAAACAGAGGCATAGCACAGCAAGGGGTAGGTATCCATACGCAACCGTTCACACTTTCCTCCGATTCGCGACCATGGGACTTCCTTGACGCGCACCCAGGAGCATTCCACCACGGCGGCGCCGAATTGTTCCAAGAGGTCTTTGTCGGCGGGGGAGACGACTTTTTTGGCGTTGGGGCTGTGGGGTTGCAATGAGCGCCATGTTAGTATTGCAGTTTATTCCGCAGGATAGCAGTTGTGGCAGATGGAAAATATGAAACTTTAGGTGGTAGTAGTAGGGACATAAGGACAATAACATACGAGATCACGACACCGGGAAAGCGCTGGCCGATCGCCAACTCACGCATCAGGCCGAAGTTCATCAAGCGCTTGCCTGAACACCGCTTCGGGTCGCAGTGACCCATGTCCCAGCAGGCCGCTTTGAAGGGAGGTCTGGAGTAGCCGCCTTGCTCGTTGTTGTCGTCGCCATCACCACCGCCGCCGCCGCGGGGCGAGGGACGAGAGCGCGGGGCGGAGGAGAATTTCTTGCCGCCGCGGGAGAAGTTGTCCTTCTTGTGGCGGACCATGGTTTTTGGATTGTTGTTTTGTGGGTTTCGCTAGAGTTGATGTATATTGTTGTATTATAGTAACAAGTTGCAGGGATCTCCTCGAACTCTTGTGTTGCGAGAGGGCGGAGAAAGTAGAGAAAAGAAAGTAGGTAGGAAGAAGAATGATGATGGATGGATGAATGATCGATCATGATGGGATGAGCAGTTCCGCTACTCAATCGGGAGCCAGCCAACCAGGTGCGGTCAGTCAACGGACGGGAGTTCCCCTCATTCTTCCCTGTCGGCTTCCCCCATTAATTAATTCATTCCCATTCCACCATCGTCATCTTCCCATTCTACTTTATTACTACCCTCATAACTTGTCCACCTTCGATCTCCGCGTGCGCTACCTATCAAGCACCTCATTTCCCCTTCTTTAATTCTCTCTCCCCCTGTGATTATCTTCAATCATTCACCCTGGAGGCCGCTTCAGCACGGATGGCAGCGAGGGACCGCTTCGGTGCCTACGCTGACCCGGGCCTAACACCGCTACAACGAGCTATCCGTAAGTCCCACCCCCTCCACCACCACGGAGCTCGGCTCAGGAAGCTTCGGACTATATAATGGCACAACAGAATTGCTCATGCCTTGCGATCCATGACTACAGGAAATGCCTGCGACCTCTCGCACTATGAACCCAATCTCGCCCTGAACCTCGAAGTGGCCGACTTGATCAACTCCAAGAAAGGCAATGCGTGAGTCTCCGGCCTGGCGTCGCGCATGGTCGCCCAGCAAAGCTGCCCCGAGACTAACCCCTCTGCCCGCAGACCTCGAGAAGCGGCTATCGAGATCGTTCATCTGATCAACTCGCGGAATCAAAACGTGGCGCTACTGGCGTTGGCGGTAGGTGGCCTCTTGGTACCGATGAAACCGGCGGTGGGGACGAGACTGACGATTGCAAATTCAAACTCCGGATAGTTGCTCGATATTTGCGTCAAAAATTGCGGATACCCTTTCCACCTTCAGATCAGCACCAAGGAGTTTCTCAATGAGCTGGTCCGTCGCTTCCCCGAGCGCCCGGCCATACGGCCATCCCGCGTCCAACACCGCATCCTGGAATCCATTGAGGAGTGGCGACAGACCATCTGCCAGACGTCGAGATACAAGGAGGATCTAGGCCACATTCGGGACATGCACCGTTTGCTACTCTACAAGGGCTACGTTTTCCCGGAGGTTCGCCATGAGGATGCAGCGGTTTTGAACCCCAGCGACGTAGGTTTTGCCCTCTTTTCTTAGCGTTTCGCTCCGCTGACCCGTCATAGAACCTTCGCTCGGCCGAGGAAATGGAAGAGGAAGAGCGGGAGGCTCAATCCGCCAAGTTGCAGGAGCTAATTCGCAGAGGCACCCCGGCCGACCTGCAAGAAGCTAACCGATTGATGAAGGTGATGGCCGGCTTTGATAACCGACACAAGACGGACTATCGGGCCAAGGCGGCGGAGGAGGTGGCCAAGGTGCAGCAAAAGGCCAAGATCTTGGAGGAAATGCTGCAGAGTCATCAGCCGGGCGACCAAGTCGCCGAAGGAGACGTGTTCGAGGTAGGCTATCCATTCCTTGTGGCTGGCACGGACCGGCTGACAGATAGCAAAAAGGAACTGGCGAGTGCGCTTCAAAGCGCTCACCCCAAGATCCAAAAGATGTGTGAGGAAGAGTCGGATGATCCCGAGGCCGTCCAGAAGCTGCTCGAGATCAATGACAGTATACACCGCACGATCGAGCGATACAAGCTTGTCAAGAAGGGCGACTGGCAGGCGGCGTCCCAGATTCCCAAGGGTACTCTGGGCACCACAACGGGCGTGTCGAAGAACGCTAACAACGAACTTTCCCTTATCGACTTTGATCCCGAACCTGCACCGAACGCCAACGGGAATGGCGTCACAGCTTCCGCGGGAGGCAGCTCCTTGGAGAATGATTTGTTAGGTTTGTCGATAGATGAGCCTGCTCCAGCTCACGGCGGAATCTCGTTAGGGCCTGGTAAGCAACTCACGCATCCAGTGACGTGGGTACATGCTAACACTTGGGTTTACAGCCCCAACGACGTCCGCGACGCCGCCAATGCCTCAGGCCCCGGCTGGTTTCAGACCCAATTATGACATCTTTTCCTCGATGAACACATCCCAGCCGCCTTCACAGTCATCCACGCCGGCTCCGGGTGGGCGCCCTCAGAGCATTATTTCTTCTCCCGCTGCAGCGACTCCTCCCCCTGCTGTCGACCCATTCGCTTCCTTGGTTTCTGCCAGCCCACGGCAGGCCAGTCCACTGTCTTCTGGCAAGGCCTCGAGCTCGCAACCTCCCGCTGGATCGTTGTTGGACCTAATGGGTAGTGGGTCTGCGCCACCAGCTGCCAGCCAGACCAAGGCGCCTGAGGAGGACGAATGGAACTTTGCATCGTCCCTGCCGGAAAGCAACAAGCTGCCCAGCATGAATCGCGTGCAGGTGTTGAACTCGACGCTGCGGATTGAATTCATGGCACGCCGACATCCCCAGCAGACACAACAGATTCATGTGGTAGCCCTGTTTTCCAATAATACTAATCAGCCACTGAAAGAGCTACACTTTCAAGTGGCCGTGGAGAAGGTGAGCATCCTTACTTCCTGATCTTACAGTGATCAGAAACTAACGAATGTGACAGGCATACACCCTGCAACTGCGGCCGCAGTCGGGACGGGATATTGCGCCCTCCCAAGCAAACGGAGTGCAACAGGAGATGCTAGTGGACAGGGTTCCAGTGGGCAAAGGCAACGCGATCAAGATGCGGTTCCGCGTGTCGTACCAGGCGGGCAACGAGCGCAAAGAAGAACAGGGCATGGTTCCATCGTTGGGGATCGCCTAATGGGGACAAAGGCTTGGACTACAGCTGACCAATGGGCCTGTGAGGAGACAGGAAGGAGGGGACAGCCTCTAGACATATGGTTTGAACCCGTCCCAGGCATGGTGGGGTGTTCGATATTTGGATCTCTTGTGACTTTTGCGGTTTGTGTTCTGTTTTGTGAGAGAATTCCCAACTAGCCTGCATAGTTTTTTTTCGTATGCATGTATACCTGAGCCAGTTTGAAGCCGTGAGCGAAATGTGGTCTCTTCTTCTCTTGGGAATGAGGAACTTCCCCTCCTTTCCTGCCACCACTGAATGTTTTCTTGTTTCCTGTCATGGACAATCCACCCCTCCCAAGATCTGTTTTGGGGTGGCCCTGAACAACCACCGGAGGTTTTTCTGGGGAACGAAGCTGGGATAGGACCCCTGAGACCAGCCCTCGTCTCCAGAATTGGATTGGGTCGTTGCCGAGAGACCGTACCAGGGAGCTCGGCCGAGTGGCTGCTGGGCCGACGAGGGGGAAAGGAGGAATGGCTGGAACCAGGATTAATTGTGAAGTTAAAGACGGAGGGATCAGAAGGTGTGTGAGGTGGGTGGGGGCGAGGGGAGGGTAGGGTGCGATAAGGGAGAGGTTGTACCAAAAGGTACGGTAGAGTTCAAATGATTTGAAATGGTCCGTTCAGACCTTTCGGCTTGGAGGACTGATGGAATGACAGCCGTGAAGTGGGCAGGGTGGCGGTGGCACAGACCAAGACGTCTCTTCGCATCCCAAGGTTATTCCAGGGCTTCTTCGGGATCTGACACGGGCCAGTACAGGTGCCATCAAGTCGGCAGCTGCGATCTGCCCGATCTGGGTCTTTTGAGATCTGGGGGAGGGGGAGGAAGAGAGGGGTGAGGGGGGGGGGGCAACTTCCCAACCTGATGGGTACGGTTGTTTGTTTAATAAGGGACAACTGAAGAGTCACAAGGATGGGGAGTTTTTGCAAGAGTGTGTAGGTAAGTCGATCAGGGAAGGGGCTCGTCGATGAAGAATCCCGCGGGTCAACTTCCTCAGAGATGAGACAGTTCGCGACCATCAGGGCAATTCCCTGATCGGGCAATCACAGAGCGGCGCCCGGGCAGTGGGCGATACAGTACTCAGTCAGTAAGAGAAGGAGGAGGGAAGGAAAGGGAAGGGAAGAGAAGAGGAGGGGAACCCTGGCAGGAGGTGCAGTGACTGAGTGAGTAAGTCAGTAACAACAAGTTAAGTGGGCAGTTCGCCGCGGAGGGCCCGTTGTTGGATGGAATCGTATCCATGTATGTACCTACAGTAGCGCCATACCCCTCCATTACCACAATACATGTGAGATTCAATACAGTCCCCGCAGGATGACAGTGGGGCCGCAACTGATTCTGTGGGGTGACTAAGCTAAACTCCCCCGCCTAACTTCGATGGCTCCTGCCGCTCTGGGTAGGATTGGCGATCAGTGGGCTGCAGACTGACAGAACCATACTGTATTTGACGTATGAAACACTGGCAGCTTATCTTTCATTCTCGTCAGATTGTTCGATCACACTAAAGCAGGTGGTTTGACTTTGACAGCCTTGAGGGTTTACGAGCAGTCAGACTGGCTGATGGGACTGACGGACGGACGGACATACATACATACATACATACATACATACATACATACAGTCAGGCAGTCAACCTATACAGCCAGCCCCAGCCATTTCTGACTCCGTCCTTTGTCCCTTTTCCCGTCTTTCTCTTCTGCTGTTCTCTTCTCTTCGTCTTCTATAGCCAAGTAACTCGAGCTTCAAACTCCATTTTTCATCTTCAATTTACTCTCAAATTCCAGGCGTTGTGAGAAATGATTCCGGTCTTCGGATTCTGTAATTCCCAGCTCGCTTCCACATCGAACGACTGGGAATGACTTCAACCCTTCCCATGGATAAGTCCTTTTTCCAGCTTCCCAGGATGCTCAGACCCAGCTCCGCAAAGAACTCTAGCTGTTGCCCGTCCCATGGTTCCAACAGACTTTGAGAGAACTCGCCAGACGACCCCCCCCCCCGGGGGGTCCCAGACTTGGCCGTGGATGCTCGCTGGCTGACCCTGTCTGGACTCGGGCGTCTGTCTGCTCGCCTGTCAGCCTGGGATTCCCCAGCTTGCATTTCCGGTAGCATAGTACTGTAGGTTCTCGGCCTGAACCACTCCGTTGGCCGCTTTACAGCGTAGGATGCCCCTCATTGGCAACCCTCTATTTAATTACTCTCCTGGCTGCTTGCTACTACTACTTCTCCCTTATTTTCACTTCTGGAGCTGCTCTAGACGAGGTGATCCCCGTCTATCGTTTTTCATCTTTCTTCCCTCTCACGGCTCTCGCATTGCTACAGCCTTTCTCCAGCTGTCTTCTTGTCGTCGCGCCGTGCACACACACACACACACACACACACACTGTTCTTACTTGAAAATATCCCACTCACGCAACCTTGTCTTTTTTTCCCCTTGCTTTTTTGACCCTCGAGAACTGCTTCACGATGGGATCTCCTGGCATCGACCTCGATGTCGCCCCGAATCCTCGCACGAAAGAGGAAAACCAGGAACGGTAAGCCCAATCGGCTCAAAAGGGTCGTTCTCTGCTGATCGAATCCAGAGCGTTCATTGCAGCTTCGAGACGCAAAGATCGAAGCCTCGACGCCCGCGTGGAATCAGCCAACCGGGCTTCCAGTCTCCACAAACAGCGCACAGGCAAAGCCCTCCTCATCAGTCGAGATATCGTGGAGCGAGAGGCGATGTACGAAGAGGTAGATGACCGCTACCAAGAGAAGATCAACCGGATGCTGCATGCTCAGTCCATGCAGCTACATGCCGAATTCAACCGCAACCTGATGGCCGCCTGGCATGGTGCTCGTCCCGGCGGTGGGCTGCACCAGCGGCGAGCTGCCAGTGCCCATATGAACCCGCGAGCCTCGATCAATGGGATTCGCAAGATGAGCCTTGATCTGTCGGGGCTACGGTCCTCCATCGCGGAGGATTGCAGGGTGCAGCCCGGGCCTATGACCAGTCCGCTGTCGGCCAATCCGAGCAGCTATGTGCTCTCTCCTACTTTTGACGGGACTGCCCAGTCGCCGTCGTATCCCAACGTTGTTTCCGCCTCGGCGGGCCAAGTGCCATCCTACCTTGCCCAGGCGGGTGGGCCCACTTGGTCGCCCGCCGCCCACCAGCAGCAGCAACAACACGGCCCGCAGCAGCCCTTCCGGTCACCCTGGACGGCAGGCTACCTTTCTCCTCAACAACAGCAGCCTGCAGCCTCACTAAGGGAGATGGCCGCGATGCCGGTGCGGCAGTTTAGAGACCGCATGGCGTCCGCACCGGTCATCCCTGTTCACGCCATGGCCGCCTCCCCCTTGATGGGCACCCCTGCCGTCGGAGGACCAACAACGACGGCTGCTACCGTGACTCCCCCTACCCCAGCGATGAGCCGGCCAGTGAACGTAATTCAACATAACCGTGTCCGATCGGAACCAGGTCAAGCGGTCATGGTACACGGGCTGCCCACCACTGCTGGGCTATCACAGATGAGCTCACCCCGCGGCAGCGGGCAGGACATGGGATCCTCTGCCGAGCCCATCATCCCGACACCAGACCTATGTCCTACACCGAGTACACCGCATTCCCCTTATTCTACAGGGCAGAACCCTGGGAGTGTTTGGGCACTGGATCTGAACAAGGAAGAGGGGATGGAGGTCACGTACCAAGGGGACCATCTGGACCCTGAGTATGATGAGTTTAGCCGCTTCGCATTTGGACTGGGCGGTGGGAGCCAGTTACCGGAGGCGGACGTGGGGTTTGACGAATTTTTTACCTTGGAAGAATATCCTGTCAGTGCTTGACGTGGGAGCTTTCTTCTTTCTTTTCTCTTCCTTCATTCCTGTTACTCTCTACATATCATATTTTAGTTTTGGTGTCTGTATTACTTTACTTTATTCTACTTTTGTCTGGACAGAGAGGGATATGGGATGGGGTGATTTTGCCTGCGTGGGTTTTATACCTTGTACACGAGGAGGGAGTTGGGGACAAAAGGGCGAAGGCGGCGAAGTGCAGCAATACCCGAAGATTCTGGCGTTGGTGGGATGGATCCGAGCTGCAAGCAGTTCCGGACCGGGTGAGATGGATATAGTGTTTCTACTTTGACTGATACTACACCTACAACAAAATCACGAGAGATGATGCCTTAAACATGCCTGAAACCACGCTCTTGTGTTTTTTTTTTCCCCTCCCAATCCCCCCATAATTCCACTGTGGACTGTGCGTCCAAGCGAGTTGTGAGAACCAGTGGATGCAACATCCAGGACAGTGCACCGCAAGGAAGGTTTTTTCTCCTTCATGGACGGAAATAGAAAAGCGGCGGAGAAACGAAGTTGATTGAAAAGGCAGGCACCCGAAGGAAGGTTACATCGAGACATAACATTTGCCGCAAACAGCGATGTGATCCAGGTTTCTTTTGTCACTTGTGCAGATTCAATTAGATCAATCTGGAGAAAGAAACGCAAACGCATGAGTGAAAAAGCTTTTCACTTGACATTGTTCATGGCGGGTTGTACATATGTCATTGTGGCATATTGCTGCCGGTGGGGGTGGGTGAGCAAAAGAAGAAAAAAAAAAAGCATCTTTCATTGAGATGTGGGGATTGATATCTTAGTTTTCACCTGTTGTTGATGTTTGGTTACACTGGGATTTTGCTTGTCTGTGGTAGATCATGCAGAAGGGAGAGAGGATTAATGGTATTGGCAATGGTAAGTGAAGGTTAGGTTTCTGGCTGCAATGCGAGTTTATCGGGGATAGAGTGCTTATTTTAGGTGCGTTCTTATGGTTAGGTGGTCTAGAGGGTGCTTGCAGGTGTTGATTGATTCTGTGGTGCTAGATGTTGATGCATGCATGCGTGTATGCATGCTGATCTTAGGTCGGCTGGTAATGGTAGGTAGTCCAGTTCTAGGCGGGAGAAGATAGCTGAGTCTTTCCAAACCCGGGAGAAATAATATTTGCTAGGTAAGACTATCTCTCTACCCATCCATCTATCCCCGGACCAAAATCCAACCGACAGCACCAACCCAACGCCCTCAGAAGGCGAATCGAAACAGACAGAAAAAGAGAGAGAGACAGAGAGACAGTGTGTGTGTATCCAAGCTCTGAGAGGAAAAGATCCCCAAGCACCCCTCTCCATTTCCCCACTAAACCCAATTCCGGACGTCCTCAACTCGGTCTTGGACTGAGCTTGTGTGGGTTTTCAATCGACCCTCAACTTTAATAGAGTGGCCTCGAAAGCTAAACGCGCATCTCTGTGTCCCTGCGGCTTACGCCCGTTGGACGAAAGGGCAAGCGAGAGTGGAATCAGTGGATCGCCCTTATGGAGCCATCAATCTGGGTTCTGGTCTGTGCTGGGTAATTACAATACTGTATGTAGTCTGTACGACCACGCACCGACGCAAGAGGATCAGTTACGCTAATGCACGAAAGCGGGTTGGAGGATTTGATATCTTGGCTGGGATAAGACCAACTGGTCTGGATTCTTCTGACTCGTGTGGAGGGGTTCTCCTCCTGTTCCTTCCTGCGCTCACGACATCTAGATCTCAATCTTTGATAATCAGCATCAATCAGAGGAAGTGTCATCTCTGACTAGTAGTCAGTCAGTCACTCAGTCTAGACCATCCATTCGTCTGTCAGTTTAACCGACCGCCCAGGCCAGCCCTGATTGCCTATAATATCATATCCCCGAGCAACTCCATCATACCTCGTATACAGAACCCCCTCTCTCCAACACTAGTCCATCCCCCCCCGGAGCAAATCCCTCGCGAACCCAACAGCACCTCGCCACACCACACCACCCAGACCATTTCACTCTTGATTCATTCCCCAGTAGAACTCCCGTCCCCGCAACGCAAACCCTGACCCACCACCACCACCAACAACAACAACAACAACAGAACGCACCCGTGACCCCCTTCCTTCACCTAGATCCAAACTATGTCCCCACCGTAAACAACCCAGTCCATAACCCATAGCAGAGATTCACCCGGTAACAACCTCCCTTCCTCGTGTAGCTAGAGATAGGGAAAAAAAAAACAATTCTAACCGGATACCCTAACTCAGGCAAGACAACCGACCAACCGTCCAGCGATTTAGATTTGCCATCCGGGCACGAAAACTCTATTCCTCGTCAAGAGAACAGAAAGTCTTGGGGCCCCCACGATTGAGTCGGCGATGCCCGGCGGCTGACTGATCCGTAAGTATGCTCGCTTGATCGACAGGCCACAACAGACATAGACACACGGTTTCATACGACGGTGACGGTGACGATGTCGGGGCCGTTTGGGGTCTGGATCTTGACTCGGATTTGCGGTGCAGTGCCAGATTGTTCCTTGGCTTGGCTTGGCTGTGGGCTTTTGTTGCTTTTGGTTGGTTGGGTGCCTGTGGGCTGTTGCCAAGGGATAGATAACTAATATGGCCCGGGGGGAGGTTCAGTTTGCCGCGGGAGTGCCTGTTCTGTGGTGGTTGGGTGGTTTCTCGGGGGTTTGTCGGGGTATTGCGATGTTTATGATTGGGTGGATGGGTTGGCTGACCATTCTATAACTAAGGGTGTTGGGATTGGATGTCGAAGCCCTATTGTGGTTTGGATTGGAGACTGAGCCGTATTGTGGTTGGATTGTGTGCATGTGTTGTTATAAGTGTTTAAGAATGGTTGGTAAGGTCAGGTCATGGCAGCTAAGCTAGAGAACTAAGATGTTGTGGTTAAGCTAAAGAGTCTTTCGTATGTAATTGCATGTGTGCAAGCTGCACACCCCCCGTCATCACCACTCATACTATCCTCCCACTAAACAACTCCCGCCCGATCTCCCCGCTGCGCCGCACACTCACACTTGAACTGCTGCTTCGGCGGCGTCGACTCCGGCTCTCCGCGGGGTCCGCCGGGCTTAGCCCGCTCGCCCGGGCCTGTAGGTTCAGGATATCCGTCAGACTTACCACCCCCACCAGCCGTCCCGACAGCCGCGCCCCCGGAAGAGCCGACGCAGGGATCGAGGGCGCCATGGTAGGCGCGCTGAGGAAAGTCTGCGGCGGGCTTGGCAAATGCGCCGAGCTGAAATTCGGGGCCTGCACGCTCGCATTGCCGCCAATCGCGGGCGTCTGTGGCGGAGATTGCGTGGTCGTTGGGAGAGGGATGTGCACGGATGAATGAGACGGGGTCGGCGGCCCTGATGACGCGGGCGACAAGGGGTCGGTGACCCAGAGGCTGTAGCATGAATCTGTCAGGCTGGGCTCTAGCTAGGGGTAGAGGCTGATGTGGCACTTACCGGTGAGACTTGGTCGCGACCACCTTGGCCACCGTGTGTGCTAGGGTCGAGGTCGGGTTTACGTGGAACACTGGGAAGGAGTCTTTGCCTTCCTCTAGGCCGCGTGTAGACAGGATCACTGAGATGAAATGCGTGCAAGTGTTGCGCAGTAGTGGGAGTGATGATGACCGGGTGAGTAGCTACGATTGTCAGCAACGGTTGTGCCTTGGTAGCATCATGGAACATACCTTGACGTCGGTCGTCGAGATGTTGCCCACCACATTGAAGTGATTATCCACCACAGCGATTGACGAAATTCCCTCGTCATTCATGACCTGCAGGGCTTCGCAGAGCGGCCGGTCCCCACTTGCAGCCAACGTCAGTATGCTATGCATTTCTTACAGGTGACAACGGAACATACTTGATCGAGATGACCTCGCGCGAACCGATCCCCAGATCATACAAGGACTGAGGATACAGCTGGTCAATCACCGGGAAGCTGCGTCCGTTCTCCCAGAGGAACTTGACCAGCCGATACTGGCTGAAGATACCCACCACTTCCTTGTCCTTTTGCTCATCAACCACCACCACACGATGCACGCCGCCCCCGAATGTCTGCACCGCCGTCATCACGTTAGCAGACGCAGGCAGCGTCGTCAACGGCTCTTTCCTCCCCAAATCCTTAACATCCTTTAGTGGGATCTTGATCCCTTGTTTTGCCTTCCGAGCCAGTTCCTCGTATGACGCCAACAGTGTTTCATCGGGCTGCGTCAGTCCCGCCGCCAACAGGAGGTATGCGTTCAGGTCGGAGTAGTCGAAAGTGCCCACGGCAGACTTTTGGTCAGGGGTCTCCCGAATCAGGAGGACTGGAGCTGCGGTATCGATCAAAATCTATTGTTGTCAGTATTTTTGATTTCATGGGAGAGTCTAGCCCCCTTACATTTGTTGCTTCTTCGATCCCAGTATCCACCTCCACGAACTTCAGGTCGTTCGGACTGACCAGCTCTCCGATCTCGATTTCCCGCCAGTCGCGACCGGCAAAAGCCGAGTTGACATTGCTCGGGGCCGGAGGGTTATCAATGAGGCTCTGAATGGCGGACTGGGTGAGCGATGGCTGTCGTCGAGCTCGTGGAGATCCAGGAGTTCCGCGAAGGCTTTCGCTCAAACTCTGGCGGTGCTGGTGACCGGAAGTATGAGATGATAGTCGGAGAGATCGGTTGCCCACGGAGGTAGTCCGCGAGTCCATACTAGAGCGGGCTGACGCGACATTCGATCCACTGGAATCATTCTCCGCAGCCGTTTCGATTGAACGGTCTGCCATCGTGGGGATAGGAGGAGGGGGAGAGGCGGTTTCTTAGAGGGGTAAACTAGTGGGAGGCAGCCGATGCCCAACTCTCGGATAAGGTGTAGTGCTTCTGCTGGAGGCACCGATGAACAAAGCGAATCAGAGATCAAGTCTCGGAGTAGTTTCTGCGGCAAAGAAGCCCAGACGCACAGTAACGAAAGAAAATAAAATAATGGCCGGGGAAGATGGAGTCATTCAAACGAGTCACAATCACGAGGCGGGGAACAACCGGCGTCAAGTAGCGCGGGGAGGCGGCGGCTGCCAGCCAATCAGCAGCCTCCCGCTGGTCATGCCAGCGTCATCGTATGTTTAGAAGGACGGGGGCCTGGGGCGTCCCAGAACCGTGTATACATCCATAGATGTAAGAGTAAAGGTGTCAGAAAGACAGATGAGACATTCAAAGTCAGGGAGGGAATGAAGATCATTCGCGCAATCACCAGGCACCCGCGCACTGGTACAGGTAGAGGCCAGAGCTTATGCATCTGCCTCCTGCAAGTGACATCATCCATCATGCGTATCCGCATTGACTAAAGAAAGTCCTGCAGCAGACCTCCAAGGTCTTTCAGCTTGCGCTCCCTCATCACTGCCCGTTTCGGTCCCGCGGGTAGTGGTTTTGGAGCTGTTTTCAACTTCTTAGCCGGCCGTTCTGCATAAGCCTTGACGCGACGGAGACAAACGGTACGATAGAACTGCCTCGATGACGCGCGCAAGACCTTATGCGTTCTTTGTCCAACTTGAAGAGAAAAGATACGAGCATCAAGGGGAAAAGACGTCTGTTCTGCATCATCAATCTCAAGAGTCTTCTGGTAGATGCTGTGCAGAGTTTTGGGCACCTCATCCATGTCCACGACAGCCCAGCCTTCTAATTCAAACCCAGCGACAGCGTCAACCGGCAGCACGGAACAGTGATTCAGCACAAGAAACTGCAATGCGGGGAAGTCATGAAAATAACGCAGTGCAGCACGGGAGATTCTGTGCTGGAACTGCAGCATCAGGACCCTCAGATTTGCAAACCCCTTGGAATTTTGCGCCAACTCGCTCCACGACCGCACGATCCGATCGTCAAGATTCACCATAGGCACCTCACCCTCTTCCTGAACGCCTTCATAAAGCATCGGAGTGGCAATCTCTAACGCAACAAGATTTGGGATGTTGGCTAAGCCCACGAGATCAGGAGTTCTTACTTGTGTGGCCGCTAGAGTCAGGGTTGCTCCCCAACTCAGCGACTCACATTTGACTAGGCCCAAATAATCCTGGATGGACATGAGGGGACTCTCAACTTTCATAGCACGATGCGGAGCAACCTTGCGAAATTCCTCGGGATACGCCGTAGCGAATAGCTTCCACGCGTATGCAGTCTGCTTTTTACTTGGAGCGCGAGGAGGTTAGGACCTCACAGCTGTTTTCAAAGGATTGGCATCTCTTACCACTTGCCAAGGCAATCCCACAGGTACTTTGCGACCCGCCAGTGAACAGACTTGAATAGCTCGGGCCGAAGATTTCTTTGGTCTGACAAAGCTTGTCTCATGGCTGCATGCCTCAGTGTAGGCGCACCGATCGCATTGGTTTCTTCCCACCCTTCAGGCAGGAAAGGCGTCTCATGGACCCAGGACGCACCCTTCGAAGGGGCCAAGGAAATTTCCTTGGAAGACTCCATATACACCTGGCCGCTTCCCCGGTCCACAACCTTGTAGCTCGTTTTTGGCTGTTCTTGCATGCTGTTGAAGGTCATTGATGGCAGATTGGGTGCGACGAGTCGTTTTTCGTTCGAGGTGTGGAACCTCGCTAGAGATGCGATTCTCGTGTTTGTACGCGTCTGACTCACGTGTTATTTGGCAGCTAGAACTGTGTCTGGTTTGTGGTTTTAGCAATCACTTCTGGTTCAGAACATGAAATGATCCTGTAACATTATGAACTGAATTGTTGATATACAAACGCGGCAAAACAGAGGCGAACACGTGATTATGTACAACCTACTTTTTCGTGTATATCATCACGCCAGTAACAAGCCTAATCTTACACAGAATCCAAATAAGTGGCATCCGTCTGGTCTGTTTGAATATTCATCCTATTCCCAAGTTAGCTTATACTTAATCAAGTTACTCCAGGTGCAAGTCTCGAGACAATGAAGGGATATCACGACCTCGGACCAAATGTGATTACCCAAATAGGTAACCCCACTGTCCCGAACCGTGTCTTGAATCTGGTCCGTACCTTTTCTCTCCAGCTCTCTTCTATCATCTTTACTCTCCGACTTCATCTTCGACTTAGCAGCCACGTTAGTTATACTGCATTGGTTCTTCCTGTCTGGCTCGGTGGCTATGGGCAGTAACACTGCCTCAGGATGTTTCAACCGGGGACTGCAGCCCGCTATCACGTACTATGACTGCAACCTCACAATAAACTACTCACAAGGCAACGAACAGTAAGCCAAGGCGATATTCACCGCAACCATACCCCGCAGATATGCATGGTGGCAACCTGGCCATCTATTCAGTGAAAGCCTAGCAGAGCGCTTACGATGTTCGGTATGCTAAATTTATTCATGGAGGAGTGATACAACCGCCAACGGGCGGCATCCCTTACAGGCCCAGTGACCAACACGCACCAGTTCCCCGGTTCCTGCACCATCCCTGCATCTGACTAGGGCAAATGGCTGCTTCGTTGGTCTTTGCGGAAAGGCCCCTCGCGGTCAGCCGCTAAGCCTCGATCTCTGATAGGGTCACGAGCCCTTGCAGGCTGACTCGGGCGCCAAGCGGCAAATAATCTATGCAATTGAAGCGCCGGTGGGCATGCGTGGTTCTCGCGACCAGAAACTCCACAAGATACCTTCAGCCTTATGGCCTACTCTTCTGACTGATTGTCCAAGGAATGACTCAGATGAGCTGAGTTGAAGGGAATTTGGGGCCTCACTGCCTTCTGGCTTGGGATATGACCCATCAAGTCTGTCGGATCAGGCGGCCTCCTGTCCTATTTAATAGGGCACCATCCCTAGTGAATGCATTCAGTCAGACTTACGCACATTGTATACGATTTTGCCTCCTTAGACTGAGTGTGTCCGACATTCTTACAACATAGACGTGGCTTTCAGTGAGAAACTCATTTTAATAGATCTATAATTGTTCCTAGAGCGAGTAACTCCACAGCCAAGATGAGCTCCGATATACAATCCAAACACCCTTCGGTATTACAGCGAGTCGCCAAGGTAGCTCATGCATGGAAAACAGACTCAAGCATATTGCAGTTTTTGTCATATTTCTTGACCAAGCCTTCCCCCACCATTCAAATGGCAAACGAACGCCAACATACAGTCTGGCTGTTCGACAATACGGCGTATCAGGCACCAGTCACAGGCTCGTCGGAGCGAGTCTTGTGGCGGGCAGAAGTTGTCGCATGTGTGTTCCAGAAGGACAGCCGGAAGGACCTCAGTAAACTTGTCGCTATGGTCGCGGATCTCATCGGACTGGATGGAGAGATCGGCACAGACAAAGAGACTCGCCATCGAATAGCGGAGCGACTGGAACCATTCTTACATCATACAGCGCCCGCGCACCTTATGCTCTTGGAAACACCTTTGCCGAACAATGCTATTCAGATTCACCAACTTGGGCCTACGGATCATAGTGGTCTCATCAGTCAAACGGTGGGAGCAGACAGTCGCCATATCACTGATGGGACAAACATACGCTCATATCTCCGCGGCTGGGACGAAAAGGTATCGATGAGCACAACCTTTGCCAGCGCGCAGGGATGGCTTGTCATTTCCGACATCGACGATACCATCAAGCACACTAAAACATCCGAGTCAACTGGCATCCTTCGCACAACTTTCGTGGAAGAACCCAAGCCGATCGTTGGGATGCCTCAGCTTTATGCCCAGATACAGCATGCCCTGACGCCTACGTGGTTTTACCTTTCTGCTTCTCCATACAACCTGTACCCATTCCTGCACGGCTTTATTCACACTCATTTCAACCCTGGAACCCTGATACTTCGCGATACGTCCTGGCTAGATGTGAGTGAGCTGGTCAAATCGTTCACCGTAAACACCATGGAATACAAAGTGGACCGGGCAGAGAAGATTCATGGCTGGTTCCCACAGCGAGAGGTACTTTGCATTGGCGACTCGACTCAGAAGGACCCAGAGGCATACGCTGAACTTTACAAGAGACACCCGGATTGGGTTCGGGCAATCTGGATCAGAAAGGTGACGGATGTTCCTCACTTGGAGGAACAGAATTCGCCGGGAAGGTTTGAGGCTGCATTCGATGGTGTCCCCGATCATAAGTGGAAGGTTTTCGAGGATCCTGCGGAGATCGAGCACCTGGTGGATGGACTGAAGATGAGCCACGCGATGCTCGAGCCTTTTGAGAGAAACTCAGATGATGCACAAAGATCAGACCATTGAATGATATGGGACGAGAATCAGGCGTTGACTCGCCAGAAAGGCTGCTGATATAAGCATGTTTGATTTGGCATTACGTCAATGGCGAGGATGTTACCAAAACGTCAAACCTGCTGTGGCTGCAGCGATCCATCATTAAAAACTTCGATCGGAACCCACTCTACTAGATCTACATCTTGCAAGTGTGGAAACCACGGAACAAATTTGCGCCTCAGATTCTTATAATTCCCCACCCTGTCGCGTCTTCGGCCTCAACGGGTCGAAACTAAGTGAATGCATTTGTTATTATCGCCTCGCATCAGAATCATCGCTTTCAGTCTGGCTATGGTATGAAGCCAGCGGACCTCGAGTCGACCACAATGGACGAAGAACAAATACCCATACCACCTACAATGAGAGCTCTGTACTACCGTCCAGCGTCTACAGCCATCACCGATCTCACCTCTTTGGACGCTCCGAGAGTGGACTCTTGCGTTGAATTCGATTCCGAATTTCAGACTCCATTTCCCTCTGGAAACGAATACCTCATCAAAGTCCAGACGGCAGGTTTTTGCCATGATGAGTTGCGGCTAGTTGCTACCTTAAACCCATCTAAATCCATCCCTCAAATTCCTCTGCACTGCTTTTGCGGTACGGTCATCCGTACACCCCGGCATGACAAATGGAATCCAGGCGGTCCGAAATTCCAAGTTGGTGACGTTGTTTTCGGGCTGGTCAACTACACCCGTGACGGTGCCGCAGCAGACTACGTCGTTGCCTCGGAAGATGAGATCGCTCTGAAACCGAGGAATATCAGTGCTGCCGAGGCGGCTACGATCCCGCTGCCCGCACTCACAGCCTGGCAGTCTCTCTTCAAATACGCCGGCTTCATTCCCGAAGATGTCAAGGAAATGAAACGACAACTAAGGGTACTGGTCACGAATTCTCGGAACAACGAAGTTGGTGCCCAAGCCTTGCAGCTACTCCGATCACGTACACTATTCCCTCATCACCTGCCATGGGTCTGCGCAACCTGTGATGCGCAAGATCAGGAGAACTACTTGCGCCAAGAGCACGGGATTGACGAAGTTCTCTATGCTCCGCTCCCTCTCCCGCAAGAGTATGATCTAGGAGCGATCTTCCGCAAGCGACGCTGGGATGCTGTTGACCTCGTCATTGACTGCGCTGGCCGCCAAATGTTCCAACAAGCTCATTCCCCGCGTGTCATCAAGTCGAATGGTGCTGTAGTGACAGCCGTGGACTCCACCCCGGCCGAGAACCGGGACGCCGAGGGAAATGCCGAACCGCCCAAGAATGGAGTTTTCAGCCGCTTCGTTGCGGTGAAGCCGGATGGAGAAGCATTGGAACGCATCGCTCAGTTAGTGGAAGAGAATGTGGTCCGAGGGCGCGTGGAAAGCATCTACGACATACACCGAGGGGTCGAGATGTTAGCTTCGGGGGCCGTCGGCGCGGGGGGTGGACGACGAGGTGGCATGATGGTGATTCATATCAATTGAACTCGTCGACCTTTTTTTTTCTCTTCTTCTGATTAGACTTTCACTTTTTCTCGCTCATTTCAGCCTTGAATTCAAACTTCACAACTCCCCTGTTTTTGAGACGTGCATGTATTCGTTCTGTCTGTATTATAGTGCATTTCAGCAGACTCGGGATAGACGTTAGAGTCAAACCTGCCTCAGATACCCCTGTTTCAATCTCCTCGTAGGCGCTGATACCTCTGGTCTCCGCAGGAAGTAGCCACATAGACACACACGGCGAGCGTAGAAGCCAGTGCATACTTCGCACGATGGAAGGGCACTGCAGGGAGAATAGCAAGCCTCGAACCGTCCATCTAACCCCATTGGTCTGAGCTGCCCTTGCTTTAACCTTGCAAGCTTGAAGACCAACCGGGGGGGGGAGTCAATGGCTGAATGATCTTCCACATTAACAAGAGTGACATCCTGTCGCATGTACTGTACCTTGTGACAGGCAGGGTCGTTGGATTTTTAATCGACCAGGCAGGACTCTTATCTGCGGGTGCTTGCAGTACACTACATGGTGGCTTGGGTATACATCTTGATCTATTTGAGGGGAGATGTCACGGAGACTAGAGTGTTTTACATGTGGTTGGGGTTCTTTATAAAAGGGCATGATTCGTCGTCACCGTTCACCATTCACCACCAGCCAAGAAACACGCGGGAAAGTCATCTTTTTCAATGAACACGTCGAATCGGTCTCGAAGTATCTCGTACAATCAAGTCAATGCAATCAATGGACCACCGCTTTCATGATGGGGCGGGTTTTTTTTTTCGCAGAAAACATCACATCAACTCTGTCTGCGACAGGTCCAAATCCGGTACGCCGGTAATAGTACTGCCAGAACTGTGGATAAGAAAAGAAAAAAAAAAAAAAAAAGAGAGAGAAATAGGAAAGGCCAAGTCCGTGAGAAAGGGTCGTGGTGGCTTGCTTTTTCTCATTCTCGGGGTGAGAAGATGAAGTTGATAGTAGACGACAGTGGGGTTGAATAAGGGCTGGGGAAGGGTGAAGCGGGGACTATAGCTGAGGACAGGATATGGAAATAAAAAAGCCGATTACAGTAGTGAATCAAGTCTAGTGAAAACGCTCAAACATGCTGCCACGATCTGTGGAAAGGGTGGATGTCAGCTATCGGTGGTAATCTCGGTCAATGAGTGGCGGTACGTACCTCCAACTGGAGCTCTCTGTCCTTAGCCTTGTTCACCTCGTCATTGATGGCCTGCGCCAGATTGGCGCCGATGGCCTGTGAGCCGCCTGCTCTCCGACCAAAGGGCCACTGCGAGTACTCGGCCAACAACTCGTCCACCTGCGCGAACGCCCGTTCCCGCGCCTCGTGACTCATTGTGACGAGCGCATTCTCCAGCACATTCGCCGCATAAGCGGCGCATACCATGGTGATCGTCCGTAGGTACCGGAACTCCGCGTCCTCGGGGAGCCAGGCGTTGCCGGGAAGGATGACGGTGCGACTGCTGCAGATGTTGCGGACCCGGCGGTGGAGGTCTTCCTTGGCGCCGCCGTCGGCGACGGGGTGCGTAGCCATATCGAAGAGGAGGAAATTGCGCTTCTCGGTTCGTAGGATGCCCTTGTCGACTAGACCCTTGGCGAGACGTTCGCGCACTTGCTTCAGCTGGTAGCCGATTTTCATCAAGTTCCAAGTCTCCCCTAATCAAACAAAACAACGAGTCAGTTTGTCCACCTCACACAAACAATGAAAGAAACCCGCAAGCTACGCACCGCTCAGTAGATCAATCCAGGAGTTGACACTCATCTTCTCGCTCGACTTCATTATCTTCAGCGCCTCGTCCAGCAAGACCTCGCCCGTCAGCGTGTCATCGACCACCTCGATCACCCGATCGGCCAAGGGGAAGCGTCGTCGAGAGGAATCCTTCTGCATGCTAATGCGACCGCGGAGGGCCAGTTCGATCACGATGCACCCACGCAGGGCGTATGAGATATTCTCATTCCAAAACGAGAGGTAGCCCTACAGAAAGCAATCAGGCCGCGGTCAGCAATTGAAACATCGCCCCGTATATTGCCCCACAAAGCAAGCCGAGAGATAAGGAAAAGCAACAGCCAAAGGACCTCACCTGTTTATCTTTCAATCCCAGTAGAAGCACCTCCTCCATCAGCGTGAGCTTGGGCTGTTTGCTGCGTTCCTCCGTTTCGCTGATGTCTCGGGGATCGAAGGCGATCTTATGACCATTTTCGGCGCTGGTAAATGACGTTTCGGGGATGCGGTTGTCCAGAGAGGACCCGTTTCTCGATATGGGCGAAGAGACTCTGCTGTCGTCATTTTCTTCTGCGCCAGCGACTCGACCGCCACCTCTCCGGCGAGTCAAGCCCCCGGCTGAGGCCATGGAGATATATCGAACGGTGCTGGGAGTTTTGGGGGGGTGTGGGTGGGAAGAAGTGGGTGGTGGTTTTGGCGGGAGCGGGGAGAGGAGAGATTCAGAGGAGGACGAATGAAGGGAGGGGCGTTGGTTCGTGTTGGAGAGGTGCACACGCCAGGAATGAGGTCTATGCCGGTATCGCCTGCGACATGGACCGATTAATTGTTATGGAGCTTGGCCGTTTTGCGAGGTTGGAGGGAGAGGAAATGGTAGAAAATCGGATTGATCGAAAAGGGAAGAAGAAGCCGAAATGAGAGACGGGATTAACTGGTAAACTATGGGCTTAGGCGGGAATTGCAGTGGTCCAGGGGGGAGGGGGAGGGAGGGAAGATTGAATAAAGGAGTTGTCAATCAATCGGCCACCACAAGAAGCACCATTCGAACAAGCCACACACAACAAGCAGCACACCCAATTCAATGGGGAGAATGAAATTGCTGTCTTGTTTGAAGATTCAATGATTTCCAAGGAGAAGAGAGAAACCAACAACCAGTTGTCTGTTTGTCTGACGGAGAGATTATTTGGCGGTCGCTAAGCACAGGCTGGCTACTATTCGATTGTCGCGGCTGCTTTTAGTGTTGCTCCTCCGGTTACGGATCCGCTTGTCCTCGCTGGCCTTCCATGACAATGCGCTGGCTCTGGTACTCGGTCAGATGATAACCTGGATATTCGGGCTCAATGATATAGATTCTAATTCAATACCTGCAGAGCCACCAGGATAATTGCCGCGAAGACAGACACCACCCCCATCATGGCGATCTCCTGCCACATTCTCCGTATCGGTCCCCCGTCCACGTCATCTCCCCGGATCACATCATATCAGATCAAAATTCCCTTCCAGTGTGGAAACTGCTCTACCCAGTCTTTCACATCGACAGCCCTGCCTCAAGTGTTGGTTTCCGCACATCCTATACAACTTCAACTGCTGCATCGGTGTCGACCCCGCTTCTCGTCCCAGAGCGGCCAATACTCAGCTACACACGCTACGCGAACAAGATACAAGAAGCTCCAAATGAGTCAGAACGGCATTCCCAAAGGTGATATACACGATATAGTAGAGTATGAAAGAGCACAGGCATGTATCAGCATACAGGGTAGCATCCCCAGCTACCCGGATCCTCCGCAGTGGCGAGTTCCCTGTAGATGCACGCCATCATCCCCTTTCCATTTCTTCTATTCTAATCCTCCAACAACTTCCCGGTTCCTCATTACGCGCGTATTTAGTGGGCTGCAGCCATGTCAGTCGCGAGCTCTGGAATCAGATCAAGCTGAGAGTAGAAGGGTCACTCACCATCGGGCTGGGCAAGGATGTACTCAACAGCCTTGTCGACTGTAGCGGAAGGCGATCAGTATTCAATTCACTTCATTGGCCGTGACCTTCGTAAAGACTTACCGCTGTGGATGGCATCGGCCTCCTTGTCGGGGATCTCAATGCTGAACTCCTGCATATATGTCAGTAAACGCGCGATTGAGGCGAGCAAGATGCGACAGATGTACCTCCTCGATGGCCATGACAACCTCAACGGTATCCAAGCTGTCCAGACCGAGGTCGTTTGTGAAGTGAGAGGCGCTGTTGATCTGTCGGTAATATATCGTTTAGAACGTGAACTCTTTTCCCGAGGGAATTTCGCCCCAGCTCCGTCGGAGCCTGGCGGTTATCGACTCAATTCACTAACCTTGCTGGCATCGGAGACCTGTAGCGCATGAAACCAAGACACGTCAGTTAATGCCATTCCAGTTGTTCAGGACGATCCAAGATGAGATGTCGATGGATCCTCATCCGGAGGCCCTAGCGTGGGACTCGACGCACCTTGTCAAAGTTCTTCAACAGGTTGACTATGCGGCCCTCAACCTCCTCCTTGTTCAGACCGGCAGGAGCGGAGTAGAGACGGACACCCTGGTAGGCAAAGCGAGGGGCGAATTGAGCCGGGCGAGCGACAGGAGAGCTACGGATCTGGAAGGGAGCCGAAGTCTTGACGGCACGAGGCACAGAGGCCCGGAGGGAGCGGACGACAGCGGAGCGGAACATGGTGAATTATCTGAAAGTGAGGGAGTAACAGAGTACCCGACCGAGAATGAGTTCAAGAGGGAAGGTGGCTTGGGAATGGAGGTTGGAAGTGAAGTTCGGTAGTTGAAATACTACTAGCAGATGGAATGAACGAACTTGGAGAGTAATTGAAGTCGACGGTTTCTGCGGTTGGCGGCTCGGAGCAGCAAAATCCTGCCGCCGGCCAATCAGCGCGGGGGAGAAAGCCATGACCTAAGCCCGATTCAAGAATGCAAACTGAATCAAAACTGGCCCTGCCAGAACTGCTGCGAAACTGACTGACTGCCAACTGACTGACTGAACTTGTCCCAACTTGATCACTTCCTTCTTCCCCTCCCCTCAATTGATCTTTCTTCTCTCCTCCCCCCTCCTCCCCCTCATCTACCCCAGACTTATCTACTCGCCATCGCCATGGCCTCCACCAAGTCTGTCGCCAGACTTCTGGCCTACTCCCGTCCATCGCCCTTCGCTCTCCGTCCCACCCCCATCGGCTCCATCGCAAACTTCTCCTCCTCAGTGACCCGCGCTGCGACGCCAGCTGGTCCTCCCCAACCGGGCTTCCGCTTGCCCCCTCAGCCGAAATGGGACCAAGGCACCGAGTCCTCCCTCGACAAGGCCGGAAAGTATTTCCTCATGGCCGAGCTAATGCGCGGCATGTACGTCGTGCTGGAGCAGTTCTTCAGACCTCCGTAGGTGCCACCCTGCCTTCGCAAGCTTCCCGCTAGGCCGAACCTCGACCGTTGGCCACCTAAGTCCGATCCTATACTCCCGTCTTACACATGCTCTACATCAATTGGGCTTCTGTTTTGCTTCTTCGGGAGCTTCTTGCTCCGTGGACTCGAACCACCCGCTAACGCGAAGAAACCTTGACAGTTACACCATCATGTACCCTTTCGAGAAGGGTCCCATCTCCCCTCGCTTCCGCGGTGAGCACGCCCTGCGTCGTTATCCCACCGGTGAAGAGCGCTGCATCGCCTGCAAGCTCTGCGAGGCCATCTGCCCGGCCCAGGCCATCACCATCGAAGCCGAGGAGCGTGAGGATGGAAGCCGTCGGACGACCCGTTATGATATCGATATGACCAAGTGCATCTACTGTGGATACTGCCAGGAGAGTTGCCCCGTCGATGCCATCGTTGAGAGTGAGTTGTCTCTTCCTTTCGCCTTTCTTAGCTGCCGTTTGGACCGGAGACTGACCGAACATCGCGTGTAGCCTCCAACGCTGAATACGCCACCGAAACCCGTGAGGAGTTGCTGTACAACAAGGAGAAGCTCCTTGCCAACGGTGACAAGTGGGAGCCCGAAATTGCCGCTGCCGCCAGAGCCGATGCTCCTTACCGCTAAGCCGCCTTCTGTCAAAGGACGATTTGCACCGGCATCCTCCGACATGAGGAGGCTGGATATCGACGAGATTCCATGCTCCTAGTAGTCGCGATGCCGGAAAGGATAAAGCACTTAGAAGAAAAAGGGAACTTTCTTTTATTACCAAGAATGTGAAGAGTTGGGCGGTCTCTCATGACGAGTTGATCCGGCCGTCCTAACCTCCTTCACTACCCACCTTGTACATAACTAACGCTCATCAACACTAACCCCCCGACCCCTCAAACCCGATCTCTCATCTGTATTTGTCGGGCTCACTCCCAGAGGAGTGTCCTCTGCAATTGCCGGGAGTCCCGGCTTCTGGTTCTTATCTGTTATTTGTGTCTTCGATGTCTCACAAAGGCTATTTTCATTTCTGCATGTATCGATTGTATGTGTCCGTCTATCAGTTCCGCTGTTATTTTCTTTCTTTCTGTTAGGGATTTCAAATTAAAGAAGTTATCTTTTCCTTTGTTCTATAGATGAGCTTATACGGAGGGAGTATACGGAAGCGGCAAGAACGCAACTTAGGAGAGAACAATAGGATGAATGAGAAAGAAAAGAAACAAATCATATCAAATTTGTATCAACAGAATGTTCAAAGTATGACGCTGCCTATGCACATATGCACATAACTGGGAGAAAAAAGGGAGTAAATGAACAAAGAAATGAATGAGAAAAAAAGCCCCCCCGAGTTTGGATTAGAACTCCTCGAACACCAGATCTCCAAATGATGGCCCGCACACAACAACACACACACCCTTTCTTTTATAACTTTTTTGAAGCACAAATATCTGCTTGTCTCTTTCTTTCTTTTCGGCAATTTCGCCCTTCTTGCTCCGTCTCTTGTTTCGGGTTCGAGGTCTGAGGGATAAGGGAGGTAGATATCGTAGTGGGTGGGAGGATAAGATAGGTAGGTGTAGGTAGGTAGATGGTATTACATACTTGGGAAGGAACGACGGATCAATGGGGACCATCACCGCTCAATTTGAGGCATAGGGGAAAGAAGGGAAGGAAGGGCAAGAGGACGGACGAGACGAGAGGGAGGATTCAGGATTGCCTTTATTTCTTCTTCCCACCGCCGCCGGCCTTGGCCTTGAAGCTACCTTCGAAGCCGGGTCTGGCCTTCTTCTTGCCTCCGGCGGCGGGCTTCTTCTTGCCCTTGTTGCCGCCCTTCTCGTCGCGGCGCTTACGGAGGTTCTCCTCACGCTTCTGCTGTCGCATGTCCTTGCCGTGCTTGACGGTCTCGAGGCGCTCCTTCCACTCGCGCTCGGACTTCTTCTTGGCCGTCTCCTTGCGCTTGAGCGCCTTCTTCAGCAGCGAGGTGTCGTCGCGGACCCGTTCGCCGTGGGCGCGCTTCTTCGCAGTCAGCCACATGTCCTTCTCCTCAATGTCGGCCCGTCGCTCGTCGTCCATGGCGGCCAACCGGGCCTTCTTGGCCTCGACGGCCTTGAGGGCCGCCGCCGGGTCGTGGTGGGCTCCGTGGCGCTTCGGTTGGTCGCGGACGTTCTGGAGAGTGGGGTCGGCCTGCTGGCCGTCGCCGAAGACCACCCGACCGAAGGAGTAGTTGGCGTTGCTGGAGGAGCCAACCGAGTCGGCGGGCGAGCGGGGAGAGGCGAGGAGGGAGCCGGATCCGCCGGGCGAGAAGCGCCGGGCCATGGCTTCGTCCTTCAGCCGTTGTTCCTCCTCGCGAGCCTTCTGGCGCAGCTCCTTCTTGTGCGCTTTGCGCTGCTCGGCTTTCTGTCGGCGCGCTTCAATGAGCTCTTGACGGTTGCGGGCGGGCTTGCCGTTCAGTCCGTCGGCGTGACGAGCGGCCCGGAGCTCGTCCAATCGCTTCTGCAGCCGCTGCTTCAGCTGATCAGAAGTAGGCTTGAGGGGCTTGAGGTCGTTGGAGGTGGAGGTCTTGGAGGCATCGGTCGAGGGGGCGATGGAGGAGATAGAAGAGCTGCCGGACTGGGGATTGGACGCATCAAACCCAGAGGAGTTGGGGGTCGACACAGAAGAGGACTCGGGCTCTTCTGGTTCCGCAGTGAATTCGAGCGAGAGTCCCTCTTCAGGGACGACGCCCTCAGCGCTATCACTTTCGTCGCTGTCCTCAGCGCCGTCTTCGTTGTCGGCATCCTTGCTGGCGGTGGTGGACTTCAATTTTTGCGCATCTTCGGCAGCAGGTGTCTCGGCCTGCTTAGATTGTTGCTCTGCCTCCTTCGCTTTCCGGGCAGCATCCTTGGCCTTCTTCTTTTCCTTTTGGTTGGCCTTCTTCTGCGCCTTCTTTTCTTCCTTCAACTTTTTGCGCGCTTCGGCGGCCTCGTTAGACTTGGCCTGGGCATCCGGGTTTGCCGAGTCCTCGATCTGTTTTTGCTTCTTGGCCGTCGCGTCACCTCGCTTCAGACCTTCTCTAGGCTTCTCAGACCCAAGTTCCCCGTCCTCGGATGAGGCGTCTTCCCCGGCTTGCTCCTCGTTCCGCTTGCGCTTACGAGCGTTCTCGTCCATCACATCCTTGGCCGTCTTGACATTATCGGGGTCCAACTTAGCCCGCTTGGCTTCGCGAGCTTGCTCCTTGGTCTGCTTTTTCCGCTGCCATTGGTCCTAATAAACGGGTTGCGGTCAGCCATGTTCTGGGCAGCGACAGGATGGTGCCGAGGACAAGGGAGGAGAGAGTAGGAGAGGAGACGAAGGACAGGAGGGGTTTTTTTGCTTTTGAGCAGAAAAGGAGGAAACCAAGGTGAGCACGTACACTGCCATCTTCACCATAGTAATTCTTCGCCGGAATTAGCGACAACAGACCATCGAAGGCCTGGGCGTGGTCTCGCAGCCGTTCCTGATGAGAGAAAAAAATATGTCAATCTCGGGATCAGGCACACAGCAATGCACGGGGCAACACACCTCGATGTCATCCATTTCTGCAAGAGACAAAAAAACCAGCAGGCTGTCCAAGGGTCCTAATAAAAGAAAAAAGAACTTAGAGAACAATACCAGCGCTGTACCCGGAGGTTGATGGGTCTAATGGGCAACACTCGGGGTCAAGGTAACGAAAGCCGCGATACCATGAAAAAATTGGGTGGGCAGGTTGAAATCTTGGCATTGCTGGTTCTCCGCTCGGCTGTTCACCGCCCGCGCACACAGATAATATTCGGCTTATCACCGGCTGGCTGGCTGGCTGTCAATCTAGACTGCGGCAACTGGTCACTACTAAATAAGTTCACGGTAGCTCAAGTAGCTATCCGACTATCATCAGGGTGAGCGAGGGAAACACCATGGACTTGTATCTACCCTCGGTCAACTGCACAGCGCTAAACTCAAAATGAGCATCACAAAGCTTCAGCTTGCCCTCATTGACAGTACATCCGTCATGTCTGTCAACGTTGCATATGTTGAATTGGATTTACATGCTACCTATGTCCACCACACTGTGACCTGCCAGAGTTCACAGAGAGCCAACTATCCTTGCACCACTAATCCATTCACCTCCGGAGTTTCAGAGACGGACACTCCATCATCCAACCCAACACATCCCTCGCTACCAACCAACGTGATGTTATCAAAAGGCCAAGGGATCGTCCAGATCAAATCAAACCTAGCCAGAACCTCAGTATCAGCCCAACTACCAGGGCAGCACGATGCGCCAATGGATCCCATAGCAAACAGTAGGGGGAAAGACTCACCGCTCCTCAGGATAAACGGGTGGATCATCCGAGCCCAAGGCGCGCACAATTTCGGCCATCTTCCCATGCCGCCACGAAATCAAGATATTCCCCGGCCCTCGGTAGTGGCGGATCTTTCGGGCCACACACTTGACGTCGTTGCGCTTACAGGAGGTGTCGATCGGTAGAGAGAGGTCGGTTGCGAGGGGGAGGACGGTTTCGTAGGAGCGTCGATGTTGGCCGACTGTAGGAATGCGTCAACGGTGAACCAATGTTTGCACCATTACCACCACTATCAAAGGGTCGTCGGTAAGAGGGAATGGATCACAGACGAGAGTTGATGTGCGGCGCCATTATATATCCAATATCATACGGCGAATCGACGCCGAAGACAGAACGGAGGCATTCTGCGCGCTTGAAGCCATCCGAGTTGAGGCCGCTGTCGCTGGGGTCCGGGGGCTTCTCGCCATGACGGATCAGGTAGACGGTAGGTTTTTCGGGGGTCGCTGGGATGGAGGCGCTGAAGGCGAGGGTGGACGCGGTGAGGAGGTATAAGATATAAACAAGCTGAAGGGTGATCATTCTCGATGTGTGCGGGCTGTGATACAGCTACCGGTTCATTCTAATAATTTATATCTGGTCTATGAGGATCGTCTCACTGGAAGGGTGGGTGGAAGCATGGCAGTCTCGGATCGCGACATTCGGATGCGTCGGGCAAGCTTCAGGATCTATATACATTGGTCGATCCAGTGATTAAAACAAGGGAGGGTTGTGCGCGTGGGGATTCTATAAAGTATGGAGCCCAGCCAGCTGAGGGTGGTCGATCATCGAAGAGACCATCGACGCAATGCATGCATGGGGCAGGGCTGCAGGCAAGCCAGGTGCGGCTGCAATCCGCTAGCTACGAGTGCATGGCTGCTGCTATTTGTCGCTATGAGCGAATTCCGTAGTGGAAGACCGATCGGGTGGCCGAGTGAGAGACCTTATCCACGAGACGGGCTATCTGGATCTCGTGCAAGGTGCAAGCTTTGGCTTATGATTGGAACGACTGGTCGGTCAGGCGGCCGATCCACGGAGCCAGCTGAGGGTCTTCTCGGGCCACTGTATAACCTTAAATGTGCCCTCTAATGTCGATCCGAGTGCGTGTGAAAATGGGTTGTCCATGTCAGATGATGTGATTGTGAGCTGACTCTGTTCTTCCTTTTCCTTTTTGGCTTTCTGGGTGTGAGGACCGTGGGGGAAGGGTTGTCGCGGGAACTTTTTCAATCTGAATACAGTGGGCTGCAATTTGGATATGAGAGATTTAGCTGGTTGGAATACTATGCGTTGATGAGAGGAATAAGAAAAAGCCTGATCGGCAGGATGTGCTACATGCCTGCCAGGAAGTGCATGTACCCTTGCATATTGCGTTCGAGATTGTGAAGAAGGTTTTTGAGTTGCACTGCTGGTGATGACGATTTAGAATGATGTCGGTTGTTGTGCCCGCATGCAACTTGAAGGCAGAAAGCTGCAGATGTATATATAGCCGGTCTTCCCGCGCAACTCCGACGGAACTAGCTTCCCGCGCAACTCCCGAGTCCCATCAATGCTGTGTACGAGAGGACCTGGGATTCTAAACTTGTTCGACAGGTACAAAACCCGTACCACCTTCAATCGATGCTGAACTTCCTTGGGATAAGCTCTTCGCCGCGGTGAAAGTTGCTCGTAAGATTTCTTGGGGAGGAGTAGCTATCGGTTGAGGCTCCAAGTATCGACGCTGCGAAGAAGGGGTCCATAGTCTCTGGGATTTCTCCCCTTGGTCAACTCTGGGGAAGGCAGGACAGAGTAGTGTAGGGAAGGGTCAGTTTTCAATCAAGCTGGACGGCAAATGTCCGAAGCTGTCAAACGAATCGACCAAGGGCAATGATGATAAGAGAGAGCACTGGAAGATGACAGCATTCCATCCGAGTCCGAACCCACTAGAGGTGGGGCTCCTCTACAAGAGTGTCTGTCGTATCTGTTACGGAGCAAAAGGAGCATGCCCTCGCCGTGTTGACATCTCGCTATACACATTTCAAACCGACGGTCCGCCTCGTGTGTCAGTAGTTGCCTCGGATACTGAGCCGATAGCACGGCCCAATGAATCCAAGCGCTTGCCAATCATAATAATGCCACCGAGAGGGCAGTGATTGATCAGCATTCTAGAAGCACCTTCCACAAGGCTTGATCGGTCATGTGCGAACTCTTCATTCGAGTTCCTCTCAGCTGAGGATCTTCTTCTGCTCGGCTCTAAGCCCCAACTTCCACGGTCTAAAGAGGTTGAGACCCAGAGGAAACCAGCCACAGTAGGCTCCCTAGTACCTGAGTGGTCTGCATGGAACTGTTTCCTCCACTTTCCGTACGTATCACTGCCCCCCGGGTTACGTATATCTAAGCGGACGATGTCAGACCAAAATTTCCGCTAGTGTTTGCAGGAAAATGTCTGCCTGCTAAGTACCGTACTGTAGGACGGGACTTCCGATGGATGCCCTTGGACCCCGATGAGTAAAAATAGGACATATTAGTTAATTAGATTCAACGGAGCTCAGCAGGCTCGAAATTCTGGTGAGTTTAACCATCACCCGCAAATCCGGAAATGCAATAATACTTTGACCGGAGAGGGGTGATCTGGCTAGACTACCGTAGTACGTAGATTAGAGCTTTCCCCAAGCCCCGTGAATCGTAGCCTTGGCATTACAAGGCTCGGGCTATCGGCATCACGCCATTACCGCGGCCAAGCCATCGTGAGGCTGTGCCAAGTATGCCTGCGCCACAGTGACTTCGGTATGAAGTAACTTATGCAGGAGTTGATGCCTGAATTCGGCCTACGATTCCATGTCTTCCGGCTTACCAGTCAGCATGTGTGTGAGGGTCTTCAAATCGGATGGTTGCATAACAGGGCCAAGGATGATCGTCGCCCCAGTGGTGTCTCAGTGTATCGTTGTGTATGTTGCATGGACTCAGATCATCATCACGGAGGCGCTCATACACGGACAAGGAGGGGTGAGGGAATCTCTGGATGTTAGGCACCGTCAGGAGTACCTCCCTTAGTATTGGTGATCAGGCTCAGCCCTGCGCCCTCCAAGGAAACACATGGCTGCAAAAGTGCACAGCCACCCCGCATCTCATCGTGGCTCACCACTCAGTAAATCCAAAGTAACTCGCAGTAAACTTCTCCCTCAAGATAGCCCAAAGACTCGAGATAAGTAACCATGTCCAGTGTTCGGGCCAGGAGATTGGGGCCAGTACTGTCCCGCATTGGTTTTTATGACCAGAAATGTGGCCCAGTCATACCGAGAGGTAAGATTGACGTGTTTTGCCTAGTAAATCTCGCAGGTCTTGGCATGAACGGAGAGAGGGAAACAGTGAATTCATGGTGGGGCTCGTCCCCAGCAATTCCCAGGAGGGCCAGAGGACCCGACTGCGCCTGCTCAGCCCTGTAGTGCCGGATCAGCTAGCTTATCAAGTGGCCAAATATCCCGCTATAAAAGGCTCAGGAGCCCCTCGTTCCATCTTCCGTCTTTCATCATACCATCACACTTCTATCACTTTCCTCCCAGCTTACCAAGTCAAACTCTCTTGAACCAAATCACATAACCATCCACCCCGCTTCTTCACCTCACTCTCCTCGATAACAACAACAACCTCACTATCATGTCCGGCTACGATCAGTACAACCAGGGTCAGGGTGGCTACTACGGCCAGCAGCAGGGTGGTTACCAGGGTGGCTACCAGCAGGGCGGCTACCCTCCCCAGCACGGCGGCTACGGACAGCAGGGCGGCTACGACCAGTACAACCAACACAGCCAGCACGGTCAGCACGGTAGCCAGGGTGGCTCTGCCGGCGACTACTACGGCTCCAGTGGACAGCAGTCCCAGTACGGTGGTGAGAGTCAGTACGGCCAGCAACAATACGGCCAGCATCAGTACGGCCAGCAACAGCACGGTGAGCAGCAATACGGTCAGGATCAGCGTGGAGAGTATGTTGGCCCCTCATCAATCCATTCACTTGAAATAACTGTATGACTGACTCTTTTTGCTTCCATTAGGTACAACCAGCAGGGCGCACCCGGTGGCGCTCAGGACGGTGAGCGTGGCCTCGGTGGTGCTCTCGCCGGTGGTCTCGCGGGAGGCTTTGCCGGTCACAAGGCGGATCACGGGATCCTCGGAACCATTGGTGGAGCTATCATCGGAAGTATCGCCGAGGACGCCATCAAGAAGCACAGGAACAAGGAGGAGGAGAACCAGCAATACGGCTATCCCCCCCAGGGTGGCCCCGGTGGTCCCCCTCCCGGCTCTCACCACGGTGGCGGTAGCATGATGGACCAGTTCGGCAGCTTCTTCAAGAAATAGACGGGGACTCTCCATGTCTTTTCCTGATGCTCTATGACCTTGCTTCATTTCATTTGACTGCGCCTTCTCTATTTTGACTTTCTCTTCTGTTACGGCCGGCCGGGGTATGGGAAATGAATTCTAGTCTTTTCTTCCAACCGTTTCTTACGCTTAAGATCGCTTTGCTTTTATCCCGTATCACTTTCTAAGAGTGCTCCATATGGATGGAACTTCAACTTGATACCGATGCTGGTTTTCAGTATACCTAGCTTGGTAGTGGCTACGCTACAGAATCATAGTACCTTCTTGACTCCTATCACTTGGTACTTCGTGTTTTGAGAGGAATGAAGTAAACAAGTTTTACTATATGTTGTGTCGTAATGGTGTGTGTTGTAGAGATTCGACCTTGTAAACCTTTCAATAACCAGGGTGACATTCTCTGGTGACACTTTTCAGAACCACGCCGTCTTTGGCGTATGTCGATGCTTAGGAAGGTGAGATGGCGGGGTGCAAGTGCCGACAACGCAACCCCACCTTCAATGTCATGCATCTCGGGACGGATTTCGCCGTAATGCCTCCAATCAATTGGTTAACTGGATAAATGAGTCATGAGATGATGAGTGCCTTGACAAGTGGGAGGATTTTTCATGATATTTGACTTCGAACAGGGGCATAATCCCACTGCGTCGTGGCACTCTCACCCAACCCATATGCGGGGTATGCCAAACATGGACTTTCCGATCCATGTCCAAGCCGAACATATGCTTGTCACCAGTTGTTGAGTTGTTGGGTTGAAGCTTTGGCAGTGTTCAGGGATTCATGCTTCCTCTGTAGTACACCTAGGGTTCTTGGGAACGGCCCCCTCCATCACAGCGCCTCTGATACAGGCCGAAAGGCTTCCCCAGCTTACCACTGCGTCTCGCAAGAGCACTCACTGAGTGACAAGCATAACTGATCCGAGAGAAAGCCCAGGCTAGCATCCTTTTCCCACTGCTGGATCAAGTCCCGGTCCTGTTCAGCATGGAAGATCGTCTTACCTCTGACATCGTGCTGGTGAATGCCACGGACCTGATCGGCTTCTCCGTCGTTGGGAAAAACCTCCCGGTAGAACCGTACCCAATGTCCAGTCCTTATCTCCCCGAAGATCGTGTCGAAATCAGGATTCTCTGCGCGCGCCTGCTTGAACACACACTTGAGTACTGCTTCAGTGCGGGCCCATGGGAATTCGTCGACTGTTCGGTCAGGGCCATAGATGCCGAATATCTTGGTGGTGGACAGATCCCTGGAGCATATATTGTACTGAGTCTGATACAGGTGGTCCTGCACGCTTCCTAGGGCTTGTCCATCGTTGGGCGCGTAACGTGACTGTGATGGGATCAGTGAAACCTCACCGGGTTGGATCATCTTTGTCATTGAAGGTCGAGTTGAATTGTCTGGAGACTTTTGCGCTGGATTTAAGCGGAGATCAATGTCATTCAAATGATCAGAGTAAGAATGTTCTTATACTTGGGGTATGTTCTAACGGGTGCGAAGGGTTTATAAACTGTTATGGTGTCTCCTGAAGCCGTATAAAGTCTTTATTCCTAAATCCGTTTGACGTGAACAAAGCTGGTCTTTTGTTCTTCGATGACCCCTTGCCTATTGTACCCTTGGTCTCTTAATCTAGAAGGCCATGGCCCTTTGTTCCATTGTAGTCGGATTCTTAGACCCTTTATTTAGATATATTGAAATGAGGCGGTTTCTAAGAGATTGCCTCTTCCCTGCTCTTGCAATGCGTTTCTGCAGGGTCAACGTTTTTGCCATGAGAGGATTCTTGAAATATTCTGCCTAGCTAAGTTTCCATAAGCAAGGACCATGTAGATAAGGTTTCATGAGTCGATGGGGAAAATGAGTAGAAAAAAATCAAGATGCAAATGGCTTTACTCTCCTAGTGATATGTGACTGATTGTCTCTCTACATAGAAGGATCAAGGTAAAATGAGCCTAGCCCGAGGCGGACTAGTGTATTTTCAGTAATGCCTGAGGCAGACAATGTGCTGCCAAGTCTGATCAAAAGTTCAACGGAAGATTCCCCTTCAACATTACATTGCGAAGGGAACAAGTTACCCCGGCCAGATTACTACAGAATGATTGTCCGGCAATGTCTGCGGCAGAGTCAGTCATCGCTACTTACCTGTAGTCTTGATTCTGATATACTGACAGTCCCTGTCTTGCAGGCCGCCACCTCCGTTCCCTCAATTGCCAATCGCGCGTCTGGGCCCGATTTTCTTCGAATGATGCGATTGCCGACACTCCAGTGCAGCAAACCACCGTTGCGACTCCCACTCCAGTCGAGGTGCCCTCGCTACGGAGAGTGGATCAGGGTTCGATTGCTGCGCAGAAGGTCTGGGCAAATCGCCTCAAACAAAGTCAGTAGACAACGACTGGGTGGCTCATCGGCGGCTCCGGACGGAGACAACTAACCAACTTATGTTGATCAGAATCCCATTTCCATCGGCTTGGATCCAAGGTGATCAATCAGTACGAGCCGGAGGATCTCATCCGGAAGCCTCCTCGCGCTCACGAGATCACCATCGAAACGCTCCTCGCCAACCAGACCCACCTCGGACACTCCGTCTCGCGCTGGAACCCGCAAAACTCCAGTTACATCTTCGGTATCCGCGATGGCATCCACATCATCTCCCTCGAACTGACCGCCGCGTACCTGCGACGTGCGGCCAAGGTCGTCGAGGAGGTCGCGGCCCGCGGCGGCGTGATCCTGTTCGCCGGCACCCGGAAGGGCCAGAAGCGGTTTGTGGTGCGGGCGGCCGAGCTCGCTCAGGGATACCACATCTTCGAGCGGTGGATTGCCGGCAGCTTGACTAACGGCAAGGTCATCCTGGGCCACTGCGAGACCAAGGTCGTGAACATCCTCGACGAAGAGCTGCCCGCCTACAAGGATATCGCCGCCAGCCGGCCCTCGATCAAGCCCGATCTCGTCGTCTGCTTGAATCCCCTCGAGAACACGGTCCTCCTGCACGAGTGTGCCCTCAACAACATCCCGACCATCGGTGTCATCGACACCGATGCCAACCCCACCCGCGTCACCTACCCCATCCCCGCCAATGATGACAGTCTGCGCTCCATCGGTCTGATTGCCGGTGTCCTGGGACGCGCTGGCGAGGCCGGTCAGAAGCGGCGATTCGAATTGGCCAAGGAAGGCAAAACCCTCTATGACCGCATCACTGATAGAGATCTTGGGGTGCAACAGATGAGGACGGAGGAGGAGGAGCAGCAGCAGAAGAAGAAGCAGCGGTCGAAGCGGGAGTAGGGACTGCAGGACTGAAACATTGGCGCTATGTGATTTCTTTTCTTTCATTGATATCGGTTTGCTCACGCGTGACTGGGTTTGTACTGTATAGGACATGTAAAGCTTTTTCTTGTTTTCTTCTGGTGTTGAGAACATGTATCAACAAATGCCGTCTGAATCACATCGTTCAATATCCTAGGTTTTCCATGTGCTACTGTTTTAGTCGAGTATTCCTGACATCGCCCATGATCAACCATTGCATGACAAACCAACGTGTGCATCACAGTCAAATACCTGGGAAGTGCACGCCTTAAGCTCCCAGTATCGTCACTGAATCCTATCTTCCGTCTTTGACCAGGTGTGTGCGCCTCTCCGGCTTCTAAGAGATTAGGTCCCAACCCTGACTGAAGCCAGCAGGGAAGCGTCATCCGCCACGTTCAAGTCTTGAAAGTATAGACCTTGCGACCCCGGGCGTCTCTTCCCTTGGACTCCACCGCACTTCCATTGTCAGAGACAACACATCTCTCATCGCCCTTGTGAAGAATGATATCCAGGTCTCTCCAGGCGGGGACGAAGCCGCTCGTCTCGTCGCGCGTAAACCCAACCACGACCTTCTCCTGGGTGGAGCTATACCGGACGGTGTACTGGGAGATGTGCGGCTGGAGCGAGATCCCGTTATCCTCGTACCAAGTGGTGGAAAAGACCTGTCCGTGGGAGGAGCCCCGCGGTGGGAAGATCTCCACGCCCCTGTAATCGTCCAGCTCCTCCACGGCGACCGACGCCGCGGTCTCGTCGCCAGGCACGCGGGTTTGCACGGCCTTGCCGACGGGGATCGCGCCGCCGATGCGGGCGAGCAGGGGGATGCTCTTGCGCCACTCCGACGCGATCTCGACCCACTGTCCGGACGCGAGGTAGTTGTATGGCTCGTTCATGTTGACGAAGCCATGGTCGAACTGATCGTTCGCCTTGCGGGGGAGGTAGAGCTTGGCCAGGCTCACTCCTGGCTGGTACACCCCGCCTACCATGATCGTGTCGCCGAACCAGAACTGCTCGTCGCCGGCCTTGAGGGCTTTGGTCCACACCTCCGGGTCGGACTCGTAGCCCCAGCCCACCCAGCGTTGCAGCGGGGAGGCCGTCAGGTGGCTCTCCAGCCCCAGGGAGTAGATGTATGGCAGGATCTCATAGCGACGCTTGATAGTGTCGCGGACGAGGGGGGTAATCTCCGGGTACATCCACGGCTCGATCACTTCTCCTACGGAACTGTTCCCGGGGGATGTTTTGAAGCAGTTGATGGCGAAGCGAGGTGAGTGGATTCCAAGCTGGATCCACCTGAGGAGTAACTCGGGTGATGGTTGGGGCCCTGGTTAGACGAAGTCAGAGTTTCAGGCGCAATTGAAGATGTTAAAGCTTGGGGTTCGAGGCTTTTACCTTCGAATCCACCGATGTCATGGCCGCAACATTGCAGAAGGGAAATGCCCGCGCTCAGGGACAATGCATTCGCACCCTTCATGCTTTCCCAGCTGGTGACATTATCTCCGCTCCAGGTACTGGCTGCGTAACGCATTGTCCCGGCGGAGGCGCTCCGAGTCAACACGAATGGTCGGTGATCGGGCTCAAGGTTGAGCAGGGCATCATGAGAGGCTTTGCCCATGAGTTCCGTGTGGATTGCACGGCCCCAGAGTCCGACGGTAATTTGAACCTTCTTCGCAGCTGCGGCGGAAACAGTGGGTTCGTCACCGGCCAGTTTCCAGTCATCGTTCGGGATCGTGTATTCGTTGTTATCATTCCACATCGCATCGATCCCGGCACGCTTCAGGCTCTGAACGCCATCGTACCACCACTTGAACGCAGCTGCTGAGGTAAAGTCGATGTGGCATCCGTCACCTCCAGTGGCGCCTCCTGCACTCCACAGCCTCATGTAGCCAGGCTCGCCAGTCTCGGGATCCTCAAAGAACCCATTGCCATCAACAAGCTTCTGGAACTCCGGGTGTGAAGCCAACAGAAATGGCTTGATGTTCGTTAGAAGTCGGATGCCTCTTGAATGATACTTGGCAATCCATTCCTCAGGGTTCGGAAAGCGGTATTTGTTCCAGGTGAAGACATTACGGACCTTGGGTTCCTTTTCCGCAATCGAGTAGCCGGAGCTCATCTGGTGGGCAGAGCAAGGAATGCCGTGCTCTCTCAGCTTATCGGCGAACTCCATCAGAGCCTGGTGAGCGGGTGGCTCGTCCATCATGGTGTACTTGTATCCTCCGGATATGTATCCATAAGCCCAGCGGGGGACCAGCATTGGGAACCCAACGAGTTCAGCATATGATCTGACAATCTCCTTCAACGTCTTTCCGACAATGAGGTATTGTTCCAGGCCGCCGTAATCCTGGCGATATACTTTGAAGTGGCCCCAGAGGCCGTCGACCTCCGAGCCCACTGACCAGGTACCTCTGCCGTGTGTAGTGGAGAAGATGGCTACACAACCTTGAGGAGTCACTTTGATCAACAGAGGGATGTGCTTGTATAACGGGTCGGTATTGTAGACGTCGTATCCAAAGCTGTCTGTGGCAGAGAGAATAAAATGACGCCCGCTGAGGTCCATGGGTGCTCGCTTCTCTCCAAGTCCAACGTGCAGAGCACTGCGATCGTGCTCGGTGTAGTGTGCGATGCCCGCGGCGTCCACGACATACGAGCGCAATGGCAGATCCCGGTACAATGGCTGGCTCTGTCCCTTCAACGAAAGCAAAACCACGGGGGTGTTGGCCCAGTCGACGGATGCCGTCACCTCACCTACCTGAATTGACTTTCTCTGGCCATCACTTGTCGCAGATACATGAATGTCCTTCAGGTCTGTAACCGGTTTGGTGACGCTAGGATAAGGAGGAAGGGGGTGGTCTGGCGACGAGAAGGTAACTCGGAATAGATTTTCCCGGACAGGCTCGAAGGAGAAGTCGAATTGGCGCTTCTCTGATGTGGAATGGAGATGAACATCAGGAGAGTTCTGAAAATCTGCACCTATCGCTTCGTAGCGCTTGGGACAGAATTCCTTCTGAGGCATAATTGCGCTCTCAGGTCGGTTTGAGTGATGTGGTAAGTTGAACACGCCGTGGTCTGACGATGGCGAAGTGCAGAGAATGAGAGACCAACTTCCTGCTCGACATGATGCCACGGAGCTCTATTTGAGTGCCACATCTGCCTGTGTGTTTGCTGCTTTGGCGCTTTGTGGAGCCCTCCAGGAGGAGGTTGTATAGACGGACTTCGGCAGCCATGTCCGACCCCCACATTCTTCCTCGTCACGGGTGTTTCCCCCATGCTCTTCCCCATCCTTCCCCCCTCACTTTTTCCCAACGCGGTTCACTTCGTCTTCTACACCATCGGTCTTTCAACCGAACCCCGAAGCTAAAGAATCTTCCAGGTCATGAATCTGCCCACTTGAGCTGTTCGACCGCTCTGCATCAATAACACGATTGCAACTATTGGATACTAGGATGAACTTTATCCAGGAAGTCCTCAGACCACCATGTCCCGTCAGGCTTTGCCTGATCAGATGCTGCACATGAATGCCAATCTTACTCAACCATAATTAAAACATCTATACTTCAGTATCATTCGCCCCCACATCGGGCATGGGGGTGCAGGTCCGGGGATGCGGTGGGTGATGTCTTTTCCCCACGGGGGTTGTCTGGCCCAAGTCCATCCCGTGCTGCAAGGATATCATGAGCAAGTAAAAAGGCACTATGCCCCTCCCTTCGAAAATTCCAATTACTGGTTCATGTGCTCAATGTCTTCGGCATCTGGATCTACGACTTTGACTATCTAAGATCCATTTGAGCTGAAGTTTGGCGGTACTCACATCCCTTGATGCACCTCAGTGACCTCACGATCCTCATTAGGGCTAACTCCATTTGAGACACGGAACAAGCAACGTTCGCTGCTGAAAATTACGATGTCTCATCCAGTAGGAGCGGAACATGGGAAGCGTGCACGCGATGAACAGATCGAGTCTGTTGGGGCTGCACCTCCTCAGACCCAGGCAACTTCGACCAAGTCAAAACAAGATGATGCCCTAGAGCTTGTCGTGGAAGCGAGGCATTCCACTATTCTGACCCCTGAGAATAATGCCCGTGTACTTCGAAAGATTGATATGAGGTTGCTGCCTATCCTCTTAGGAATATACTTCCTACAGCAACTTGACAAATCCACTCTCTCGTACGCGTCCGTCTTCGGTCTCGTTGAGAAAGCCCATCTTCATGGACAGATGTATTCCTGGCTCGGGGCCGTTGTTTATCTGGTCCAACTTGTCGCCCAGCCTTTTGTGGCCTATATCCTCGTCAAAGTGCCGTTGGGAAAGTTCTTGGCAGTCACAACCTTCCTCTGGGGGTTGTCCTTGACGTGCATGACCCCGGTGAATGATTTCGCAGGCTTACTGGTCTGCCGGATGTTCTTGGGTCTTTTTGAAGCAGGTGTCCGTGAGTGCTCTTACCCAATGCGTATGTCTGAGACTGCAACTAATTGTTTTCCATCTAGCTCCTGCTTTCATTGCCATCACCCAGATGTGGTATCGACGTATTGAACAGCCCGTTAGACTTGGCTCATGGTATGCCATGAATGGCGTGGTCTACATGGTGAGAGAATAGCTTCTTCTCTTGCGTCTCTATGTTAACAGAAGGCGAATCTTGCTAGTTCGGAAGTCTGATAACCTATGGTCTCGGACATATTCACTCTTCAGTTTTCGAACCGTATCAAATCATCTTCTTATTCTTCGGTCTCCTGACAATTGCGTTCTCGGTGGTAATATTCTACTTCATGCCCGACTCTCCAGTTCAATCAAAATTTCTGGGAGAGCAGGACAAGCTATTGACTATTGAGCGACTCCGCATGAACCAACAAGGTCTCGAAACCCACTTGTGGAAGTGGGAGCATGTCAAGGAGGCTTGCCTTGACCTTAAATCTTACTTCTGGTTTGCGTTCACCTTCTCAATCTCGTGAGTGCAATCGGGCCCTACACCCCAAGCTTCCAAGACTTACGTGCGGCAAGGATACCTAGCGGTGGTATCTCGACCTTTGGTCCCCTGATCATTGAGGCTTTCGGTTTCAATCAATTTCAGACTATCCTATTCAACATTCCGTTTGGTGCAGTTCAACTCGTCTCGACCATGGGTGGAGCCTATCTTGCCACGCTACTTAAGCTAAAGGGACCGGTGATTGCTCTCCTTTGCTTGCCTGCAATCGCGGGCTGCGTAATGCTGCTGGTTATTCCGCACGATGGCCACCACAACGGAGCTTTGCTTGCAGGATATTACATCGTAAGTCGCTCAGTCCGAGGTAGAGAGGTAGAGAAGGGTTACTAATCGATGGCGTCAGGTGTCTGTCTATCCCGGAATCAGTATGTTTAGCGTCTTACACTGTCTACGAATCAGGCTGACAAGCAATATAGCCCCCTTGATCTATACTTGGTCAGCAGCAAATACTGCGGGTGAGACGAAGAAGAAAGTTGTGAATGGAATAGTTCTTGTGGGACAATGCGCCGGTAACGTATGTTCGGATCCGAATTTGATCAGTGGCTTCTATGCTCATTTGTAGGAAGGTTCTTGGCTCCAACCTGTACACCACCACAGACGCGCCACTATACAGACGTGGCTTACGGTCTAAGTAAGCTATCTCCTTCCTAGACTAGCCTATAGTTCTGACAATGCTTCCAGTCTCGCAATGTTCTGCGTTCTGGTTTTGCTATGCATGTAAGTCTTCTTCAGTCCCACATGCTATTCTTCATCGCTCACTATTCTAGGTTGAATACGGCATATCTAGCCTTTCTTAACAAGAAACACGAGAAGAGGCGAGTCTTCATGGGCAAAAGCGCTAAAATCGTCAATCACTCAATGCAGGCCGTAGGGTCTGTTGAGGGCGACAAAATAGAGGGACCCGTGCAGATTGCAGTGGCCGAAGACAATGCGTTCAAGGACCTCACAGATTGGGCAAATGAGGATTTTGTGTACGTCTATTAGCATCTACCCCAGTAGCTTGACAGATATGTGTGAGGCATGATGTTTAGGCAGTTCAGTTCAAGTTATATGTATAGTGTTCATCGAAAAATGTAGGTTCTATCATGTAATTGAAGCAGCGGAATAATTTCAAATTCGTTGGCATGCGAAGGATTACTAGGTAAAGCGCACACAAAATTGGGGATGAAAAGAGTGAGGTTCTCAGCGACTATGGCTGAGGATGGAACAACAATAGTTGCCATGAAACTATTAGCCGAGCCGACGATTGGCCCCCCGGATTGTTGACAGCGTGCGTCGCCCCCGCCTTTCTCTTTTCTCCACTATCCACCCTCCTGATGGTCTCTCATGCATTGTCCGAGATTGAGTACTACTACATACTACTGCGAGCACAGTCAGTGATCAGCTTCTTCGAGAATGGATGCTGATGACTCCTCGTACGTGATACAAGTTCCCATTGGAAAGAAGCGGGTACCGGTATACTCCCTTCTCCAGGTGGACTCTGCAGACAACATACCGGTTGATTGACTATTGTTCTTGCAAACCAGAAAGCATGTATTGCTTGTCGACAATCGAAAGTATGTCTTCAATCTGACCATGAGTCTCAGTCATTAACACTCTTTACAGGTGCGATGCGATGGGAAACGACCCTGTTCAAGGTATCTATTCGGCCCGCCTCTTTGCACCACCCTGCAACGCATGCATACAGGACTAAATCCTGCAATAGATGCAGAAGATCACGAAACCAGTGTGTCTTCTATGAAATCCCCAAAGATCCCACAGCTGAGTACGTTCATCCTCGATTTCGTGTCATGCTCACCTTGCAAGGTCCACGCAAGCTGCTAACTTGCGCGCAAGGAGACTGGAGAACATCGAATCCGAAGTCCAGCGTCTACGGACTCAGGTGGAGGCTATGAGAGAGCTCCTTCGCACCCACCCGCAGCAATCTCATCCAGACGAGCTCGGTGAAGTGCATGTCCAGAACCAATTCGTGGGCCAGCATCGGCAATACCCCGCTGATGATTCGTTCCATCCTGCAAGTCATCCAATTACTGACTCAGGAGCCATGCCGGTGCTACTGGCTGCGGCTACTTCTGCTGATGACTATCCGGGAAGGGAGTTCGCATTTTCCCCGCAACGGGATCTATCCGCTTCGATGCAGATTTCAACCATGTTGCACACGGACACGGCCCGTCCGTTCAAGCAGAAGCGCTCGTCGTTTGAGATCAAGGAAGAACCGATCACGGACTTCATATGTAAAGGCCTGATGACTGCTGATCAGGCTATGTCCTCTTTCAGAACGTATGCGCATTCTGAAACTACGATTTTGGGGAACCTGCTGACAGTTAGGGCATAGCTTCTTTCAAGGCTGCGTATGTAGCATCTGATTCTCGACTTAGCGTGTGACTTATTGATGGGCTTTTTAGGATAGGTACATTCCAGTGTTTGATCCAGAAGTCGACACTTACGCCTCGGTACGCTCTCGCAGTAGCATCCTGTTCAATGCTATTTGCACGATAGGCAGCCGTGTTGAAACGAGCGGGGTTATTGGTAGCTTGCAATCATTCACCTTACTCCCCGGTAGCATGCTAAGCTATAGTGCAGGTGCCGGATTCCAAATCCCTGACTTACTTCATGCGGAACTCAAGCGATGGATTGGTGTTGTGATTCAGAGCAAGAATCTCAGTTGCTTGGAGTCATTACAGGCGCTCCTCATTGTCGCTTGTTATACGGCCGAACGCTCGCTGATACTATCATTTGCGACCAGGATGGCTTTGGATCTAGGCCTGGACAAAGCATTTGAAGAGCTGATGCAACGACTGACAATGAAGAGGACTAATGGGACTAATGGCATGCCCGAATCTTCCGGCACAGTAGAAGCACAGGAACGATATTTGATGCGGAAGTCGAGGACATGGTTTGGTCTTTTGGTTTTGGATCATATGTAAGGACTACCTAGAAGTCAAAACCAGACCAACTAAGCTGACGGTCCTTGTGCTCAGTTTCCACGTTGACGGTGGCAAGCCTCCTGGCATACGAGTGATGGGCAATGCTCGTCGGTGCCGAATTCTGCTGCAACATCCATCTTCGACAGTGTTAGATCTGCGTCTTTTCTCCCAGGTTGAGGTGGGCTTCTAATATCTTTGTGTCTTAAAAATGGCTAATAGTCAAACCCAGTTAAATGTTATGCGAGGTATATTATCCCCAATGCTTTTACCAAGTTATTCAATTAAGCATGCTGAGAGGCATATAGCCAATATCAATGACACGCTTGGTGCCCGAGAAAATCTAGATCGAGAGAGAATAGTTGAGTTTGTACACGAGGTCAAAGTCGATCTTGATCTCTGGTTTGAGTGAGTTTACGTCTGTCCTTTCTACATGTGTAGCACTAACGACGCCCAGCGACTGGCAACGCATAATCAGTGAGTTGCTCCATCACAAATAGCTTCACATCGTATACATGATACTAAGTGTCATCTCAAGGAAACTCCCCGACAGCCCATGAGGAACAACCATTTCTTTTGGCCGCGCTCAGCGTCCAACACTGCTGGGCCGAACTCATCCTCCACTGCAAAGCGCTTCGTTCAATGGGCGTCGAGAATGTAGCGTATGTTGCCACAATCCGCATCCTCGCTGCCTCAAACCAAGACATTTACTACCACTCGCCCTAATGCACCCTCACTAACCGTGCAATGAGCAATCACAGAGCGATCATGCCCCTAGAACGCAACATCCTGCACCTCGCCAAATCCGCCGCCCGCCAACACCTCCGCCTCATCAGCCTCGAACCCGCCCTCTACCTCGCAAAACTCAAGTATGCGATGGATTTTGTCTGGGCCAAATGCGCCTTCTGCTTCCTGTTGCTGCTGAAGCTCTCCCGGCTCCTCCCCGAGCGACGCGACGAGCACCAGGAGCTACTGGAGCACGGGACCAAGCTCCTTGAGGAATTGACTCGGACAACAGGAGGAGATTCCAGTCTAGATATCCGATCTGGTGGCGCAGGCGGGGTGACAACATCGCCTTCAAGCACTATTCGTACCCCGGAGACCGGCCTTGGTTCGGGCACCGGCGCGGGCGCAGGCTCTAGGCCTGGACCAGGAACAGGGAATGTCTATATGCATATACTCAGACTGAGTATCGAGAAGTACGGCCGTATATTTCAAGAACGTGAACGGGAGAGGGAAATGGGTAATAGTGATGGTTGTAATAGTAATGCTTGCGGCGGAGGAGCTATGACTGCTGGTGTGGGCGAGGGAGCAGCCGCCGACGAGACCGCGGGAGAGCCGGCAGAACAGGTCCCCTTCTGGGACTTGTTCGATGCGCAAACGGACCTGCAGTCGTTCGTCCCGGAGCAATTCGTGCGCGAGTGGGATTTTCCCGGCTTGAATCTGTTCTATTTTCCGACGGCGTGGCAGGATTTCTTTGGAGATTTTTCATTGGGATTCGGAGGGTGAAGGCCGGATACAGGTAACTCTTTCTTTGTCTTGGACCCAGTTCTACGGGCGACCTTGACGCGCGAATCATTTTTGTTTCACAGCTATTTGTATTGATTCATAGGATAAACGTGCGTGCGTTGGACCTAGGTTGTCAATTTACCCAGTGTATATATAAGAAGTCCAAATGAAACTCTAGATGGCGGTACCAAAATCCAGTCTAAATGCCCACTTTTGCCTCCCTTTCGCTATCCATTCGATAGGAATAAAAGTGATAATGGAATATCAGAAAAGAAAAAAAAAGATGATAGCAGGATGCCGGGTATTCAATTGAAAGAGGTTTTTTTCTTCTAGCTTTCGACTACTAGCTACCTCATCCCAAAGCTCTCATCGTGAGCTCGACACTATATAGTTAAAAAGTTAGCACGGGATCCACGACAGAAGCCTGAAGGAACGGGGACAGGCAGGACGTACACAGCAAAAGTACCCGCGGAGACCGGCATCGCCCTCAGCAGGGTCGGACCGATGCCCTTCCAGAAGCCAGCCAAGCCCTCGGCGGCGAAGGTCTTGCGGAAGCAGTCGGTCATGCTCTTAAACTGTTGCTGAGCGCCGAAGCCATCGCACTGCATCTTGCTCTTGACGACGTCGAGCGGGTAGCTGCTCAGCCAGAGCGCCTCACCGGCGAGACCGCCGTAGGTGGCGACCTTGAAACTCGAAATATCCTCGCGCTTGATGTTGTTGCGCTTGGCGTCCTGGTTCATCATGTACTCGAAGGCCAGGAACCAGGTGCCGTAGGCCTGGATCTCGCGGAGGTAGGTGACGTTCTGGCCGCGGTAGAGGCCCTTCAGGACGCCGCCTTGGTTGCAGAGCTTGCGGATGCAGTCGATGGGCCCGTTGTAGAGCTTGTTGGCGCCGTGGGGTTGCGTCTGCAGGCGGATACGGATGTGCTCGATGGGGCCGGACAGGAAGGAGTTGGTGATGCCGGCGAACCCGCCGGCGAGATAGTATTGGGTGTAGGAGAGCGTGGAGTCGGCGTATTTCTTCTTGTTGAGGGCCTCAAGCCGACGCCGCGCTTCGTGGAAGGCACCGAATTGCACACTGACCTATGGAGGGACACAACGGGGTTAGTGGGGCCTGGTGATGGGAAGCAGAGGGTTCGAGGCACATACACAGGCTCCAATACCGATCAAAGGAGTCAGGGTACCCTTGTAGAAGGCCAGTGGACCCTCGTTCTTCAGAATCTTGGTCGCGCAATCAAGCGCACTGGCGTACTGCGTGGTGGTTTGCAGGCGCACCTTGACGATATCTGTGAAGGGATCAGAAAGAAGCGTGCGATCAACTTGAGAACAGTGATTACCCACCGAATGGCTGACCTAAAGAGCTGTTAGTACTCAGTCAAAGTCTAACGCGATCGATCGCTAGCGACGGTATTGAGCGCAGCAGGCGAGCATTGACCACAATGTGGATGCCACGCTCCGGCAGCGATAGACAGGAAAGATAGAAAAAAAAATTATGGGGAGAACCGATAGCGAAGCACATACCAATAAGCACCTGCGCGATACCGCCAGCAGCACCAGCAGTCAAATCTTTGACAGCACGAAGGCTTCCGCCGCCTTTTTGCATATCCTCAAAAGCCTCGGACTCCATTGCGGGGAACTTTATCAGGCCCGGAAAAGCGAATACAGGTGAAGTGGCGAGATTTCTCGCAGGGAGAAGCTAAGTGAAGACACTGAATTATGCCTGCCGTCAATCAGGCACCACAAGTAATCCCAAAAATCGGTATGGAGGAGAAACAACAATCGAAGAAGCGGAGCAGGAAGCAGGGGAGAAAGGGAAGCTTATCAGCGCGATGGGGTGATGACCCCAATCCCGATCGCGGCCTCCGATTCGGCGAGGTCGCCGACGTACGTGAGGCGGAAAAGCACACATAAATTAGCGCTGAGTCATATCGTGCATAACCTTTTGCACATTACAGTCCCCTGTCCGTCATTGACGCGTACTACCCAATGCGGTCTGGTTGGCGGTCGGTACAGACCGGGCGGAAGTTGAGTACTTCCACATCCGTGATGTCTCCGACAACTTTCCATCGTCGGCCGGAGTTTTGACGACACGGGAAACGCTGCGAGGAACGACCCTAATCATGTACAGGCGAGCTGCCTTAGAGGTGAGCTTATCGTGTAGACTTTTGCTTCCACCAAATCTGTCCTAACTTAGAATTCCTCTAGCTTTCTCGCCGCGAGGGTGTTGATTGGTCTTGCGCAATCGTCCGCAGAAATGCTACTTTTACTCCAGTGTTGAATCCTGTGCCCCGGCGGCATTTTCGAGCCTTCCCCGCAAATGCTGACTCTTCGGAGTCATCGAATGGCTTCGGCACGGGTCCGAAATTCACCGCGCCTCGTTGGGGCAGTAAGGCAACGCGATCGATAGGCCTGAGCCCGGCGGAGCAAGCGGTGCGAGATGCTATGGTAGCAAAACAACAGGAGAAATTACGAGAAGAACAAGCAAAGCAAGAGGCTATAAGAGCGAAAGAACGAGCAGAGCAGACACGGCGAGATGCTATAATCGCGAAACAGAAAGCGAAGGAAGAGGAAGAGCAGGCACGGCGAGATGCTATAATCGCCAAACAGAAAGCGAAGCGAAAGGAAGAGCAGGCACGGCGAGATGCTGTAATCGCCGAGCAGAAGGCAAAACGACAGGAAGAGGGGGCACAGCGGTTGGCCTCGCGAGCGGAGCAAGAAGGGAATCGACAGAAAGAATTAGCATGGCGAGGGTCCCTACGGGCGGCGCAAGAGACGGGACGAGGAACTAATGGGAGCCCTCAAGACGCCCATGCCTCAGAGACTTCAAGCACTACCGCGGAGAACACTCTCTCAGAATCCTCGAATATCACCGGAACAAGCTCTCCCGCCGATACTACCAGCAGCGGATCCCGTGTTAAATTCGCTTCCCGCTGGGGAGCCAAGGCATCCAAAACGATAGGCCTGAGTCCAGCAGAGCAGGCATTGCGAGATGCTTTGGTAGCTAAACAGCAGGCTCAACAGAGTCATCCAGAAACCACGCCCTCAGAGACTCCGACTACTAGTAGTACCGATGCCGTCGGCTCCGAATCCTCAGACAATCCTGGACCAGGCTCTCCCGCTACCGCCACCGGCCGTGAACATCTTGGCGAATCTACAACTCGCTCGGTGGCTCAAGCAACGAGACCGCAGGGCCCGAGCGCAGCAGAGCAGGCAACTCGAGATGCTTTAGTAGCCAAACAACAGGCGCAGTCGAGCCCTGCGAACACTATCTCCGAATCATCGGAAGGGCACGGAACGGGCCGGAAATTCACCGCTCCTCGTTGGGGAGGTAAGGCAACGCAGTCGATCGGCCTGAGCGCGGCAGAGAAGGCAATGCGAGATGCTTTAGTAGCCAAACAACAGGCGCAGCGAAGCCCTGCGAACACGATCTCCGAATCGTCGGAAGGTGAAGGGATGGGTCGGGAATTCGCCGCTCCTCGTTGGGGAGGTAAGGCAACGCAATCGACCGGCCTGAGCACGGCAGAGAAGGCAACACGAGACTCCATGCTAGCGGATGAACAAACACAGCATCATCATAATCGTCATCACCATCACCACCATCATCATCATCATCAAAGAGTACCGGCACAGCCATGGCGCAATACCAGGCCTGATCTCCCCAAGCCGCGCGGAGTCATCACAGAATTTATTCCTCTCCACCTTCGGAGGAAGGATTGGACGTGCCCATCCTGCGGTCACGCTTGCTGGGGAAGAAATAGTGCTTGCATTCGCTGCGGGACAATCAGACCCGAGTTATTGGAGGAACAGACAAACCCACACTTGACGATCAAAAAACACGCCAATGAAGCTGGTACCTGGTCATCAAGGTCGGGTACAAGGCAAGAGGCTTTGGACGAATATCGTACGAGATTCGAGGAGGAGCAAAGGCGGCAGGGAGTGGAAAGGGAATGGGACGATCAGGGGCCCGATGGGGAGGGCCAGCCTCAAAAATCCGTCAATGATTGGTCATGGGACACGTCTGTTCTGCGGAAGCTTGAGGTGGGCGAGGGAGAGAAATCAGCCACATATGATAAGTGGTCAAAGCGAGGTCGCAAGCAGCGATTGGACGATGATGAGGAATTTGACACCGAGGAATACAAACGCCGTCGCCAAGAGAAGAAGCGTTTGAAGAGGGATAAGAATCGCGAAAAAGAGGTGGAAGCCGCTCCCAGCCCGTTATATCTTCCTGAGTTCATCAGCGTTAGTAATCTTGCAGATGTCATCGGTGTGCGGCACGCGGCTTTTCTTCAGCGAATGGAAGAGATGGGATTCGAGGAAGTCACTCATAGCCATGTTCTGGACGCAGAAACCGCCGGGCTCATCGCCGCCGAATACAATTACGAGCCTATCTTCGACACAGGTGAGGACGAGCTGACTGCCGCGCCTGAGCCAGAAGATAAGTCAAATCTGCCACCGCGGCCTCCCGTGGTGACCATCATGGGCCACGTCGATCACGGCAAGACCACCATTCTTGACTGGCTTCGTAAGTCGTCGATTGTGGCATCGGAGCACGGAGGCATCACTCAACACATCGGAGCGTTCTCCGTTTCCATGCCCTCAGGCAAAACCATCACTTTTCTCGACACACCAGGCCACGCAGCCTTCCTGGACATGCGCCGCCGTGGTGCGGACGTAACCGACATCGTCGTGCTGGTGGTAGCTGCGGATGACAGTGTCAAGCCCCAAACCATTGAAGCTATCAAGCATGCCACCGAAGCCAATGTCCCGATCATTGTGGCCATGAGCAAGATGGACAAGGAGGGTGTCAACCCTGACAAGGTAAAGCAAGATCTTTCCGTGCACGGGGTTCATGTTGAGGACTACGGCGGTGACGTCCAGGCCATCGGTGTGAGTGGTAAGACTGGAGCTGGCATGCTGGAGCTTGAGGAGGCTATTGTCACTCTTTCCGAAATCCTCGACCACCGCGCAGACCCCACTGGCAATGTCGAGGGATGGGTCGTCGAGGGCACGACCAAGAGCTACGGGCGCGTGGCTACCATGCTGATTCGGCGCGGCACCTTACGGCCCGGAGATATCGTCGTGGCTGGCACAACTTGGGCGCGCGTGCGGACCCTCCGGAACGAAGCCAGTGCTTCCATTGACCAAGCGACTCCCGGTATGCCGGTGGAGGTTGACGGTTGGAGAGAGCAGCCCGAGGCTGGCACGGAGTTCCTGCAGGCCAAGAACGAGCAGCAGGCCAAGTCTGTTGTCGAATACCGACTCGAGAGAGCCGAAACATCCAAGCTGGGTGTAGACACGGTTGCGATCAACGAGGCTCGCCGCGAGATGATGGAAAAGCGCCGCCAAGAGGAGGCCGGCCTCGAGTCTTCCACCGAGGGCGAGTCCGGACCCAAGCCCGTCCACTTCATCATTAAGGCCGATGTGCACGGCTCAGCGGAGGCGGTCCTGAACTCGGTCACGGCTGTCGGCAACAACGAGGTGTATGCCAACGTCCTGCGTGCCGAGGTGGGCCCCGTGAGTGAGTTCGACATCGAGCACGCTGCGTCGGCCAACGGCCATGTCATCTCGTTTAACATGCCCATCGACCCGCGGATGTCGCAGATGGCCGAAGCGCGCGGCGTCACGATCAAGGACCACAACGTGATCTACCGCCTCATCGACGACGTCAAGAGCACCCTGAGCGAACACCTGCCGCCTCTGGTGACACAGCGCGTGACGGGCGAAGCGGAGATCCGTCAGATCTTCGAGATCAAGCTGAAGGGCCGCGAGCGGACGTACATTGCGGGGTGTCGAGTGCGCAACGGACTCATCAACCGAACGAGGAAGGTGCGAGTCTTGCGCGGTCAGGAGACGATCTACGATGGTGAGTTCCATTGACGCATCCAGTTCCAGTTCTACTCCTTCCCCCTATTCCGCACTTATCACTTATCACTAATCATCTCTAGGTTCCATATCCTCTCTCAAGAACGTCAAGAAGGACGTCACGGAAATGCGCAAAGACACCGAGTGCGGTATCGCCTTCGAGGGCTGGACCGACTTCCAGGAGGGCGACCACGTGCAATGCTACGAGGAGCTCTTCGAGAAGCGCTACCTGTAGTGGCCACTTGTTTGTCCTTTCTTGAGCGATCTAGCCATGCTTTTTCTTGTTCTTGTTCTTCACAGTGGCTAGCTGTATTTTTAGACCAACCGGGGCTGGTGCCCCTCTACACTCACACTCGCACACTATCACGGATCTTCTGCCTTGGGTATGTACACTTACACACACACACACACAAAAGCATGACGCGGGATTCATAAGTGCAATGCATGCATTGGATGACCTGGTGGAGGGACGGAGTGGGGTCGCTTCATGTACAGTACAATAGTTAGTAACGATACCACGGGGCAGCTCCAGCCTCAACTCACAATATGGGTTGGAGGGAGAGGGGGTCTACAATTGTCCATATCTCAATTTAACTTACCCAGGTATCAATCGCCATCACACCCCCATCTATCTATACATCTCTCCACTTATCTATGCATCCATCATGAACCCCCCTTCCCCTTGACTCTAGTCCAGGGATAAAGCGTTCCCGGGGGAGAACCCCCGGACCCCCCTTTCTTTCAACTTCCCAGCCCACCTCAATCCCTGAACCAGAGTAAAAGATATCCGGGGAGACCCCGGACCCCCCTTCCTTCCAGCTTCCCAGAAAAAGGAAAGATTACTTGGATTTCCACCTCACCCTCCCAACCCAAGAAGCCCAGGAAAGTACATCCTCACGCTCCAAAATCCGCTCAACAGTAAACCACTCGCGCGCCAACTCCTCATTACTCGCCATGCGATGCACAAAGCTATGGCAAGCACGACACAGCCACGCAACACTATTCAGCATCCACTCGGGGTGCCAGCCCTTTTTCAGCGCCTTGGCGTGCACGCTCCGCGGGATGAGGTGGTGGTAACTCAGCGGGATCCAGTCGCGGGCGCAGATCTCGCACGCCTCTTTGCGGGTTGTCGCCCACACCGGTGGGGGCTTTGTCGTCGCGGCGATGTATTCTGCTAGGATTGGGGTGAAGAATGTTGTTAGGTTGTCATTAGCCTCGTGGGCGTTGGGGGAGGTGGTGGTGGGTGTGTCGAGGAGGGCGTAGGCGGTTAGTGTGTCTGGGACCGAGGGCGGGAGGGTCGTTGTGCAGAGGGTTTCGGCTAGTGTGCGCGCGTCTTCTGGGGTGGTTTGGGTGTTCTCGGTATCCGGGTTGGGGGTGGATGTAGATGTAGATGTTGATGGTGGTGGGTTGGTATTGCTGCTGGTGGTTGGCGGGGGAGTGTAGGTCAGGGTTTGGAGATCTGGTGGGAGCGCTGGGAAGGTTTCGGATGCGAGGAACTATGCGCCGGTTCAGACTTCTCAGCTCGGATGTGATTATCTTGGTTATTGGGGGATTGAATCGGGGTTATTGTTGGGGATGGTGGAGGATTGTATAGAGAGTGACAAGGTGAATCTGGAGTAGAAGGGAGTATCGAGGGTGAAGGAATGAGGGAGGTAGACAACGCACATCAACAAACTCAGCCAACTCCTCCGGACTAGCGCGATCAGGCAGTGATTGTGCAGTCGTGTCCCGATCAGAGGAGACAGAGTCCTTGGAGCGCGGTTTCTGGCGCTGCGAGACGGCGCCGCGATTGCGACGGGCTTTCTTGGGTTGCGCGGGCGTGGAGAATTTCTCCACCAGGGCCGTGGAAAGGCAGTCGCGGAAGACCTGGTAGTTCGCGGCGTGGAGAGCGCTCATTGATGCTATGGAATGCGATGCGACAGAGAGAACCAAAGATGATGCATATACATATTACTGTACAGACAAGAAGATGAAGCGGCGACGGCGGCGGCGGCGGGAATGAGATGAAGATAGTTTGACATCATCCATGTGGGGGTTTCCACAGCGGTAATGCTAAAACCACCCTGATCCTTGCAACATTCTGAATACGGAACTCTGCACCTCTCCATTGTTCGATATAAATATGGCAAAAATAGTGGTCGCATTCGACATTTACGGGACATTACTCTCGTTCGACGCAGCCACGCATGAGCTGGAGCAACACTTCCGAGCCGACGGCAACCGCGCCCGCACCGTTGCACAGACATGGCGACGCTACCAGCTGGAATATACCTGGCGACTGAACAGCATGGGTACGTCTTTTCGCATCACGCATCCAAGTGCGAGACCAGACCCGACTAACACATAACGAGTAAACGAACTACAGGACGCTATCTGCCCTTCAACGAAGTCACCCGGAACGCCTTATTACACGCTCTAGACGACACGGGATCCTTCCTGAGAACGCAAGAGACCGACGAGGTACTAGCAGCCTACAACCGGCTGCAGCCCTTCCCGGACGTCGAGGAAGCACTAACAAAGCTCATGGACGCCTCCACGGTGCTCAAGCCCGTGGTCTTCTCCAACGGAACGGCCGACATGGTCAAGGCATGCATCGACCACGCGCCGGCCGTGTCCCGGTTCGCGGGATTGACGGAGATCATCAGCGCGCATGAGGTGCAGCAGTACAAGCCTGCGCAGGCAGCCTACCGACACCTGAGGGAGAAAGCCTGCACGCCAGACACGAAGGAGGTCTGGCTCATCAGTGCGAATCCGTTCGATATCGCGGGCGCCTTGAGCGCGGGCATCAAGACGATCTGGGTGGATCGCAGTCAGGCTGGTTGGACTGACCGGACGCTGCCCGATGTCGTGCCCACGGCGGTCGTCAGCCATCTGACTGAGTGCGTTGACATAATCTTAAAAAGATAAATCTACTTTAAAAAAAACTAAGATGAGTCCTTTTTCTCTCATTGTTGTGCAAGAGATGCAAGTGCAAAGCTTAAGAGGTGATGTCCCGCTGTAGTAATTTCCAAACGCTCCACGCCAAATGTAGAAGAGTCCGGGGTAAGTCAGCAGATGTTGCTCTGACCTCCCATTTCCCCTTCAAGAACCCATGGATGAAGAATTCTCGAAGTGAATAGGGAGGAGTGATCAGTATATGTATGAAGAAGAAAAGAAAAAGGTAGAAGTCGCGGGAGAAATTTTCACTCTTATAGACCGGTGTTGACCGCCTTCGTTATCGATAAGCCAGGCTTGACGGAGAAATTTTGTTCCTTGCACTAAATAAACAAACAGCACAACATGCTGCGAGATTACACGAAGACCAGACGCTCGACAGCAGTCGCTCAATACTATCAAGTACATACAGTACCCTGTCGTTTTCATCTATCTTTAGCCCTGATCGCAAGCAGAGTGACTCTGGTAGAATTGCACTTGTATATGCACTGAACCGTAAAAACAGCTGTCCCACACCCAAAACTGAAACAACAAGCAAGAGCACCACCCAGCATTGATCCATACTATACATTGATCCCAAGCAAGCAAACACGCAAACCAGTCAACGAGCAGACCGTTAAATCATACAGGCATACAACCCGACCATCTGCCCGGAATTTCAAACAAACTCCTCCCGACTCCTCTCGACTCCGCTCGACACAACATGCCAGAAATCTCAATTTATCAACAGACCCCGCAACACCAACATCAATCAGCAAACAAACAACAGCAGACGTGTTGCATATCAGTGAAAGCAAAACTAGTCTATAATTGAAATGCCATCCCTCCCTCCTCAGCAAATCTGGCCTGGTATTCCTTGATGCCGGCCCACTGACGCAGTTCTTCTTCTTCCCGGTCGTTATCACTCAAATAGCTCATAGACCGTCCGGAGGCGTCCGGATGCTGTCGGATCTTGCTAGGATCGGTCGCTACAAGACCCTCAAGGCGCACGAGTGTATCAATGAAGGCGCGGAGGTAGGACTCGACTTCGGCGCTGGTAAGAGGTTGCGGTCCGCTCATCGTAAAGGCGGCTTTATCATTGGAAAAATTCAGAAGGGTGGACGCGACCTGGCGGACTTTGGCTGTCTGTTTTCAACACCGAATAAGCACTCGACTCACCTAAAAAGAAGTAGAAGAAAAGGTACACTTACAAAGCTGGCGCCGTTTGGCTCCATGTTGATCTCGTTGACCGACTGTAACAATGCAAACAAGTCACGAATCACGAGCCGACGCTCTTCAGCCATAGTCCTTCCGATGTAGTCTGATTGAGCATCCGCGTCCGATGTTGCCTGGGAGTGCAGTGGGCCGCCCTCAATCTTGACGGCCGCCGAAGGACTAACAGGAGTATGCGGTTCGGGCGGCTGTTGATGCCGTGTCACCGCGCCGTACAAGGACCAATATTTCTCCACTAAGTAAGATCGTATCGCAAGCTGACTGGCATAAATGTTCGCTTTCTGAATCTCATACTGTATGTGACGCTCATACGATTGTGGACCACTGGTGCCAGACAACGGGCTATGGTTGTCTGGTCCCTGGCTTGATGCAGAGCTAGGTGACCCCTCAAGAGCGAGCTCCCGTGGAAGGCCATTGAAGGCCATTTTGGCGTTCTGCAGGCATTGACACAGGAGGGAGCGCTGTCGTTCCCACTCCAGAATCTGCCCGCTCCCAAAGGCCGTCTCCCAAGCCGAGAGCTGGTTGTACGAGCTCATCACGCGAATGTTGGCATTGAAACCCACCATGCGTGAGACTCGGTCGGGCGGTTGCGGATCATAGTGTGTGAGATAGATGAACTCATCGTCAATTTCAAGTGGTAGCGGAGGATAGCGTTCTGTCGGGGTTTCGGGGGGAACGTGAACGATGGTGTCACCTCCGCCCAGCTGCTGCATCGAGCGATAACCGACAATGACGAGGTAGAAAAGCCGCCTTCCGAGTTCCCGCTCGATGATGTTGACTGGGGACTCTCCGGACACCCCATTGGGTTCCTGGGAAAGACGCGACGAGGCAGACTTAGGACTAGACACTGTGACATAGGATAATCGGTTCGAGTGGCGGTAAAGATCGTACACGTGAAGCATGGTCAGGCACTCGGCGAGGTATACACGGCATCGTCGAATGTGCCAAGCGTAGCAGGAGCAGAGACCGAGAAGATAGCTAATGGCGGCATCGTACACGGTCGCAGTCCGGTCGAGGTACCCCGTACCCCGAGCCTGCACTGCTACATCGTGGCACCGCTTGACGAGTGCCATCGAGTGCGGAAACGCGGATTTTTCGGCTTCTGTCTTGAGGTGACGCTTGGGTCTCCGGGGGAAAGAGGCAACCGACGTCCCGATCATGGCGGCCGCGAGGGCCAGAAAGGTCCGGTTGGTGAGATCCTCTCGCCGTTCCAGCGCAGCGCGAAATGTGGGCTCATGAGGAATCGGCACTAAGGGGTGAATATACGTGAAATAGTCATCAATCAGTAGCCGAATTGTGGGCATTGAACAGATAGCTTCCAGCGATGCGGGATAGGGGATCACGGATGGGTCAATCCCTCCCCCTCCCACCGCTGGTGGCACAGGCGAGGTCGGATCCGATGGGCTTGGAGAGCCCGAGGGAGACTCTCCGAGTTTTCGCTTCTTAAATGCTTCAGCATGACGATTCGGCGGCCCTCGACGACGACTTGGCCGTTCATACGTGCAGGGGATGTCCAAGCTTGCGCATGACCGACAGGGTGGCCCGCTGGTGTCGCACTGTGGTCAATGGTGATACAAATCAGCATACTTCATCTCTGACAAATCAAATATCGGACCAGTGGGTGTATGTACCTTCACTTTCCGAATGCTACAGGCATCGCACGCCTTCCGCAGGCGGGTTCGTTGGTCCATGAATGAGAGTCGATATTGTGCGCGCTTCCATGCTTTGGGAACGCAACTCCTGAGAACTGCACGCTGGTCACTTTTCTCCCGACAGTGACCAGGCCGCGCTCGCATACCACGGACGCAGCAATCCGTGGCTGGATACCGCAGCGGCGCTGTCGGGCACGGGGCGGGATGGAGCAGATGCGAGATGAGCGTAGTCAAGAGGGAGATCTGGGGACGGCGCAAAACGAATCACGATTTAGTCAGTGAGCGTAGTAGGCTCTTTAGACTATATGCAAATGGTATTAGTGGGCAGTGGCTTTAGGACACTAGGTCGACCTTGATGACCCGGAGTTAATATTATTATTCTTGCACCTGGCAGTGACTGGCAGGCTGCAGCAGGGGACCAGCGAGGTGGGGGGAAGGAAGAGGGGGGGTTTGAGTTGAGCAGTGGATTAAACTCAGTAGTATAACGTAAACTCAGTAGTATAACGGCCCCGTTCCGATGAGGTAAAATACAGGGTTGATCACCGTATGGAGGTTAAACCGTTGACGGATCAGGGATAGTTGATTTGGAGAATAGTCTAGGGGGCCTGAGGTGGACAACACGTCTAGAAGCCTAGAAGGACCGCAAAGCCGTTGAGCGAACATTCCCTGGAAGTTGGAGAGCCACGGAAGGGCAGAAAGCGAAGAAAGTGACCCCGGAGTGACCTCATAAGATGATAGGACGCGGACTCTTGGGCGATGATTGACCACGGACCTAAAAGATTCCCCGCCCAGGTGGAGGAGGTTTGGGCCCTTAGGACGACAAGCTTAGGCGGACTGGCTGGAATGTACCTTAACTTGGGTCGACTCCGCCGTCGATCAAGAAGTGCAGGTCCAATGGTAAACCACATCGATCCTCCGGATCATACCGCCGGGATTTACCGGAGGAAAGGTGGAGGGTTGTTTTGTTCTGGATTTTCTGGATTTTCTAAACACCCCTGGGTGGGTGGTTGATAGTAGAGACCAGTGTTTCCTGTTCTCGTTTCTTGGGATGAGATGGTGAAACAATCGGGGAGAAAGGAGAGAAGACGTGTTGTTTCATGATCGTTGTTCTATTTCCATTTTCCACGTGGGAGAGAGACGAGGATGAAGCTGGAGAAGATGAGGAAGGATCACTGGTGATCACGTGCCATCGATCCATGAAGAAGTGAAGAACTCACGAACAGTGACGAACTGCTTAATGAACGAGATCCCAGGTATAATTGAACCTGAAGAATAAGGATATGCAGTCGAACTACCACTCGTAGTCCGTCCTCCACGGTCCGTACTCCGTAGTCCGTACCGTGCCTGTGTCTTCGTAAATAGATTGCGGTTCGTGCCCGCTGTGGCTGTTCACTGGCCGAACCAAGAGGCAGATCGGCCGGGCGGGTGAGTCGATATGGCAAAGTGATCGGTGGACAGTCGGCCGCCAGCGCCCGCTAGAGTTTGCCGTCAGGGGGAAATTCCCTTTTGGTCTTCAGCAGCCGCACTGCATGCACGCTAAGTTACTAACCCCTCCCCTAAAAGAAGTTAAGGTCATCAACCTCCCCCCATCCAAACTGCTGGAAAGCTGAAACTGCACGTAATCGGGCATGCATCCAGGCAGGCAGTACCGAGAATTGAGGAAGAAGGTCCTTCCTTCCCGGTGAGACTTTGACGATGGAGACCTCCTCATTGTCCCTCCTCGTCCCTAGGCTTTTCCGAGCCGAGGTAGGCGCATTGAAGAGAGGGCCCTTCCCTAACACAAAAAAAAAAAAACCTCGAAAACTCACCAAAAAAGAGGGGAAAAAAAGCACTCGGAATCAGAAAGATTTCCAAGAAAATCAATGCTAATGCCAATACCAATGCCAAGATACACATCAATGGCCGCAAGATATTAAGGTAGTTAAAAGCAAACTCTCAGATATTCAAAATCATAAACAACTTGAATCCAATTATACATCGAATCAAAAACAAACATGCATCCGGACCATCATAATCATACCAGAGGATCGTCGTCGCGGTAAACACCATCTCGCCCAGGCCTTCTGCCCAAAGGATCGCGTCGACTTTCCAGCTCCACTGCCCAAAGTGCCGACCCAACCGCGGTAGACATCAGGAAAAACATGGACAAAATTGGAACGAGTTGAAGCACCAAGGCGACCGTCCCAAACCTAGGATTTGTGGTTAATTATTAAGTATCCGAGTCGGTGGATCCTTCCTCCGAGGGCGGAAGGTACCGCGGCACCCTGAGAGAGATCTGCTGGACTTGGAGACTTACGTAGTATACTGCAACTGCCGATGTCGTATCCTCTCCTTCCGCTGCTGCTTCGAAAGATCCAATAGCTGGAAATAGCGCCAGTGGTGAAAGGGCCCCGCCCGGTAGCCCGTCAACACGAGAAACATGGGGGTGCCTCCCACTGGAATAAGGTTCAGCGGAAGGAGGACGACGAATTCCAGAATCTGACGCAGGGAGAAGGGCGCATATACGGCGCTCTGGGTGGGTTTGCCTAGCCGCTGCACGACATCGTCGCCTTGGGGGTACAGCACGCGCGAGGCGTTGACCAGCTCGCCATGGCCTTCACTCACCAGCACCGCGTCGAAAATGTCCACCAAGGTCTCATCGACGAAGAACGCTTCGAACAGAATAGCCACAATCGCAGCCCCTTCTCCGAGCACGAGGACCACGCCGCTGAACCACGCTCCGGCGCCCTGAAATATATAGAGAAACGCGACCTGTGGAAGCCACAGAAATAGGAACAACAGGACGTAGATGAAGGCAGAGAGCAGGATGATCGGGATCAATCGAGCCTTGAACAACGGCCAGAGATATCGGTTTGATAGAAAGTAGTAGATGCCCTGGGAGAGGTGTCAGTCACGCTGTGCTTTGCAAGGCAACTCGGATAGGCAACAGGGAAAAGAGGCAAAACCCAAACATACGCGCAGAGGATACAGCCACGCTGCTTTCCCGTTATCCCATGCCCTATCCGCCATTACCAGTGGTTGTGAAAACGAGACAGATGCGACCAAAGACGAGTCTACACGAAGTTGAAGGAAGCAATGAAACAAGGGTGAGGAAGGGTAGAAGTCCGGCGACTGTCAACAGACGGAGTATTGCCTGCTACGACATCATCGTCACCCGCGCCCAGCCCGCCTTATCGATAAGAAAGGCGGTCAACAACGGCGGCTTCAAGGCAACATGTAAAAGTTTAAGAAGTGTTACCACAGCATCGAGATATAGTGTAATGATGGATTTCATCAACTTGAATCAGAAAAGAAGTAGAAACTCACTATATGAATACTCTCGCGCTCAAAGCCAAGTTCTTGCCAGTGACAAGGTTCCTGAACGAGTAGGCTGGCCGCAGTCTTTACAATATGTCTCTCGAACACCCTCCTTCTTGGTTTGTCTATTTCGCAGAGGTACTTGGCTTGGCACTAGGAAGCACGGTATCTCCACCGTATGCTACTGTTCAAGGAATTCGAGACTTATATTCTGTTCATTACCATTACCATTACCATTGACTTGCAATGATCCAAGAAAGATATTCAATTCAGAGAAAGAGGAGTGAACAAGGAGTGAAACAAAAATCAACAGGAAGGTACGCTGTATAACCAGTATAACCGACTGACTAAATGATTGAAGCAACAAATGAATGGTATATCCGATGGATGCAGAGCATGCCTTCTCTAGACACACAAATTCAAAACCCCGCAACCTCAACAGTAGTAGTAACCGTAGCCGTAGTCGTCACGGTCCCCTTGACCCGATCCGTCACCGTCACCGTCTCCTTCTCCGTGGTAGTGACGGTCGCGGTCTCGGTAACAGTATAGAAGCCAGATGGGGTAACAGGGACGACCTTAATGATATTGTCCCCTGGGGAGGTGGCGGGGATGGTGTCGGGCTCGGACTCGGAACCACTAGGCTCTGCGTTCGCAGTGGTAATAGACTCGTTGCCGTCTACTTCCGCATTGCCTTGTGATGATGGCTTTGTTGCTGCGGTAGGTTCTGCTTCGGGAGCTGTAGATGGTGGTGATGTTGTTGTGGTTGGAGCCTGTGGTCCTTCGGCTGCTGTTTGCGGGGCGGCGGTGGGGATAGCGATGATGACGGTTTCGATGGCTGTGGAGGTTTGGTGGATTGTTGTTGTGAGGTCGGCGGTTTCGTCGGGTCTTTCGTCGGGTGTTGCGACGATGGTTGCGATGGCTGTTGTGGTCTGGTGGATGGTTGTGGTGGTGTCCGGGGATTGTTTCGGAGTTGTTGTTCGACTGGGGGTAGCGACAACGGTTACAAGGGCTGTTGTTGCTTGATGAACTGTCGTCGTGATGTCGGGTGTTTGTTCGGGTGTGGTTGAAGAGACTGCAGTCGTAGCTGAGGCTGTAGACGTGGAATGAACCGCTGAAGGCGTTGAAGTCCGCTCCACCACCTCCGTTGACGTTGATTCCATTGTTGCTGCACTCGTAGGTGTCACTGCGTCTACCCCGGATCTAGAAGAGATGGCTGACTCCGAGGCGAGATATGAAGTCTCATACAGCGTGCTTGATGCGTAGGGTGTGACCAGGATCACCACTACCTGAGTTTCTTCGGGTGCAGTGTCGTTCGTGGTCTCTGTGGCAGGGGTCACGCCGATGAACGGAGTGGAGGTGACCTGAATCCGAGTCTGAGAAAGCCGGGTGGTGTCTGAGACACTGCTGGCAGTCTTTGTTTGTCCGATCGTTTGTGCTTCTGTTGGACTGACGCGCGAGTCTGGTGTTTGGGTAGCTCTGCTACCGCTGGAGGCTGCTGTCACAGTTGAGACTTCTGAGTCTGGGGTAGTATAGGAGGTAGATCTGGCAGTGTTGGGTCTAGGCAACGTGTCAATCACACCGATAGATGGGTCAGAAGAAGTCGTTGCCTCTATTGCGTTCGATGTCGAGACCGCTGTAGAGCTTCTCGCGACAGAGCTCGATGTGGGCGTGACCACAGGTGTGAAGGATGATTGCGTGGTAGCAGGCACAGAAGACACAGCCGCAGTATGAGCCAACGTATGAGACTGGATATGTGAGCTTGACGCGATGACAATCTGTGGTACCGTCAAGCTGGAGCTGGAAGAGTGTATCGCTGAGCTCGTAGTGACCGCTTCAGTCGAGGATACGGCAATCGAGCTAGATAATTGTTCAGCGGCTACGCTCGGGGTCGGAGTGTCTTGCACGGCTAGCCTCGAAGTCGACGGAGTAGGCACAGTCGGACTGGAAGAAGAGCTGGACGTAGGACTTGGTGAAGTTTCTGGGCTAGCTACACTCGCACTCGAGGAAGCTGGCTGGGTAACTTTATGAGAGCTAGCGCTAGCAATGGCACTGGAACTTGTCACAGCCTCTTCAATTGCGACACTCGCACTCGTGCGCTCCACGGCTAAACTACTGGAGCTTGTCAGGTCCCCTAGACTTGCCACGCCTGCGCTGGTGGGAACAACCTGTACAATAGGAGTAGGCGTAGATGTAGATCCTTGGACTATGGCGCTGGAGCTGGGCAGGTTCTGCCGAGCAGACGGACTTGAACTGGTCGTCTCTTCCTTTGCGCTTGGACTTGCTTCAAACGTAACTGTGCTGGACGGAACCTGTTGGGTAGTTGGAGTATGGGAAGATGAGGAGTCGTGCGGAGTAGCCACACTGGAACCTAGCGTGTCTTCCTGGGGTGCAGCACTCAGGCCAGATGTAGGTGTGCTAGAAGTAATCTGCTCCGAGGCAGGAGTGACCGGAGACGAAGACTGTTCAGTCGAACCGTTGGAAATTGTCGCGCTGGGACTGGGGACATCCTGGAGTGTCGTCGAAGTAAATTGAGGTAAATTGGTAGGCGTGACAGGAACGATGGTCAAAAGATCTTCTTCTTCTTCTTCTTCTTCGTCATCATCAAGCTCTGGAGATGCTGAAGAAACTTGGGAGATCGGAGCGGCAGAAATTCGAGGCTGCGCTTGTGAAGGCGCTCCAGAGGGCTCGAGATCCCTGGGGTTGTGATGTAAACGAGCGATCGGGCCGGCCGAAACGAGGGAAAGATAGAGAACGATGGGAAGGAAAATTAGCTGCATCTTGTAATAGGCGAAGCGATTGACTCAAATACTTAAACTCGAAACGGAAAGCGAGCGAATGTGTAAAGAGAGAAGAAAGCTGCGCGAAATACAATTGACATGGTTTGCGAATCGAGTTAAAACAGCTAGTATTTACCCATCCTGGCTTGAACGAAAACAATAAGCAGAAGCGACAAAAGAGAGACAAAGACAAGAAAGAATCAAAGCAGGCAAAGAAAAGTATGAGAGGGTAGAGACAGCCATCTCTTTAAGCCCAACCATCGATGCTATTTGGGGTCTTTGTTCAGCGGGAGATGAGACAGTCAAGCCCTGAGTGGAGATGAAGCGGTTGGCTGAAGAAGCTCGAGTTGGCGCGCGACAAAAAAGCTCCTTCTTCCCTCCCCTGCAGGGTTGCACCATCCGCCCAGTTAGCTCTCTATCTCCCGCTTTGATTGGCAATCCGGCATTATTGCAATTGCCAGGAAGATGTCGATCAATTTAGGTGTGCCACAGAAGCGATGGGATTGCAGAAGAAAGTGAAGCAGCAACACAGCCACTACAGCTCAACAATCACGGAAAACATGGTTGGCTTGGAAAGCCTCATGAAGTGCTATTCTCGGTAAGACACTACAAAAATAGATCCGACGACGAGTGTTATGGCGCAAGGAAAAGACAGGTATTCTCTCCCAGATGAGAAACCTATAGTAGTTTCTAGCTTTGCTCCTTGGCTCGCTTTCCCAGAATCAAACCCAACACAGATCTATCCAATGCTCAACATCCAGCAGACTCCGACTACTTCAGAGCAACAGTGAAAGAGTTGCTGATCCCCTCAAAAGCCGAGATCTTGCCCGTCAACCCTTTCGAGTCCCCATAATAGTGAAACCGGTAAGTCCCCGCCTGGAGCGAACTGGGATTGTCGATGTTGTAGTAGTCGTCTTCAATCTCCCACTGAAGGGTGACTTGACTATAGCCCAGTACTGTACTAGTCCTTACCCAAGTATAGACCAGGTTCCAGTCCGAATCTTTGCGCACGACCTCCCAGGAGCCTGTGCTCGGATCAAGCCTCTCCACGGCGGCAAATGTCGACTCTTGTCGCAGATTATTCCGCGGATTGGCTCCCACAAAAGTCACATTCACCGTGTCTCCTGGGTAGTAAGTGGTATTGCCGGGTGACGAGACAACATCCCCAAACGCTTTCCCTACAGGGGACCCGTCATATACCACTCCGGTGATAAAACTCAATGATCTGTCGGTGTTGATCGGAGGCTGCAGCCCAGTGGACAGCGATGGAAGGCTGGCTGTTTGCGGCGAATCCCCAAGGTATGGCAGATACGTCAGGGTAAGGTTCACATACGCAGCCAGCGTATTGGGACCATAAAGAGTCGAAGCCCCTTCGTAGCGTTGAACTCCGTATTCCTCTTCCGTAGCTACGTAGTGCGCGTAGCTATTAGACGGAGCCCCCAAGACGACTAGAGGACTTCCAATAGAAAGCACGTCCTTGGCGGACTTCGCGATGGCTTCCTTCCAACGTCGCCCCGACATTGTAGTCGCCTCACTTGTCGAGATGACAATGAACAATTGACCCACACGTAGGACTTGGATATCCACAATGTTCGGCGTCCAAGCATACGGCTGTTTGACAGCTCCGACGTCAAGGAGAATGTCCTTAGGCGCCTGGCATGCCTGCTGTGCAGCCGACGGTTGATGGACGAATGCGCGAGCGACATACCACAAAGGATTGGACTCGGCGGGTCCAGTCCCATTCTGGGTGAAGTCAAAATAACCCGGCCCATCAGTAGTGCCCGCGGCAAATGAGAATCCGAGTGCTGCTGAGCACGTAGTCAAAGTGCTCGAATTGAAAGGTGACTGGAAAGTGTAGTCCGACATATCGCGATAGACATGGAACGACCGGACCTCGTTAGGTAGGATCTTCGTCGGGTTGGTATCCAGCTGGCTGTGTAGCTTCTTTGCGGCCTCATACTGGCGCCGGCCGATTTCAAAACAGCTCTTTGCGCCGTTGTCCTTTTCCGTAAAGTAGGGACCCCGGCCATGACAGTCGACAGGCTTTCCGCCACAAGTGCTGTCCGAATACTTACATTGCTGCCCAGAGCCATCTTCACACCAGGCTCCAAGGACATTCGGGCTGGTATCGCCAACATTAGACTGGGAGAAACCCGCGACGAACCCATCCGCGAACTTGTCGTTGCCCTGGACACTCCGCTCAAAGAGCCACGCAGCGACGCCCTTGTTGTCTCCCGTGACCAGCGTATTATTTTCATACATCGACGTTCCATGGACCGGGAAGAAGGACAACACAGCCGTTGTCTTACTGTCAGACGCTCTATCGAATCTCAGAAGTGTCAAGGTCTTATCGACGTTCGCAGAATATTTAGCCTTCTCATCTGCGGGATTGGCATCGTAGGCATAGGGGCTTCTGTTAATGTTGGCGTCCTCGAGATCAATGGAACCAAAACTGAGCGATCCAGGCTCCAAGCTTTCATGGGCGCGCTGGATAGAGAGTAAAACGCCGTCCACAAGAGCTTGGTAGCTCTGCTTATCGAAGCCCTTGGTTGGAATCTGGGGAAGAAGGTAGTTCATCCACGCGCCTGGGCCCGAGTGGGAGTGAGTACCAGTGAGAGCCAAGTTCTGCTCTCCATATCTGGCATAATCACCACCTAATCCAGCGAGGCCCTCAAGCACACCATGCCGCACAGCGGTGTCACCCGTCAAAGCATCCAGTACGAGATAGATGAAGGTATCGCTTGTGTTCTGTGGGTTGGCGACAATGAAAGCGCGGGAGTAGATCCTTTGTCGAAGACCGGAGCCAACCTGATCCAGGCTAGCATAGCCGTTGAAGATGACCTCTGCCACAGGTCTACCTCAAGTCCGTCAACAATCCTGTGGGATGAGAATGTGAACAGTGTCCGACTTACCCCGTGATATCCGCCTTTCCTGCGCCGAGGAGAAATGTCCCATCCTCCGCCACAGAGGTCGCAGAGGCTGCAGATGTTGCCGAGGATGTCTTGATTGCCCTTTGTTTCCATTGAAGGCGGGACTGAACCCTAACCGGCCGATTGACGTTAGAGTCGCTAATCAGCAGGAACAATTGCAGCACAACCAGTGCTGTTGCTAAGCTACAGGCGAGCGCAAGGCCAAGCTTGAGATTCGCCATGGTGGTCGGTGGGATGAAAAATGTTGAGCAAACGGCACATCCGGAAGCTTAAACCTCCTCACCAGAGAAGAGGGGAAGGCAGCGTAGCAGTTCTTATCAGCAGCAGCCTGCATTCAAATCCAACCGAGGTAGGGTCTGTGACTGCGCATGAGCGGGTAATTTGGCTGGATATTGAATATGTACGCCACAGCAGGGTCCTTTTGCAACCTTTCGCAGGGAACAATGGTAGACGGGACACTATTGGCGCAGCTACAGGCAGGAAGGTAACATGAATTGCTTCTGATCAGCCCGTCGTCATCCGGAACTAAGCTCGATCAGGCACGCACTGTCCAGCCCCGCGCAGCAAGACGGCGAGAATGCCTTTCCGAATCTTGCCCAGAGTGAGGGTGAGAGCGATGAAGGGTGGGGGGTTGAGCAGCTTTGGTTGGCGATGAGAGTGTCTTGGTTGTTATTGTTGTTTGTTGGGTAAAGCTATCGTCGGGGTCACGGGCAGCATTCCGGGGGGCGGGGAAGGGAAACCTGGAAGGCAAGGCCAGACAGACAAGGCAACACAAAAGTAAAAGCATTCGAGCCGCGGTCCTCCAGGCACATCACCCATTCGGTTGGTTCAGGGTTCTTTGTCACGTGGGGAATGTGATGTATAGATCCCTGGACTATAGAGGAGAAAAAGCTTTTCGAACTTGGCACGGGTTGTAATCCTGAGGGAAGGACGCGATCGATGTCAGGTTCAGAAGAGCGATAACTCTAACAATCAGGTACTTTATTGTATTATGCACATGCATTGCCTCAGAGACAACAGCTCTAGCCTAGCCAAATCAAGCAAAGAAGCAAAGAAGCAAAGCACGCGACCTTTCCTGCGCCATGCCGCCTGACAGTGAACGCCGCTGCATAATCTCTTCGAGTCCGTCCGACCAACTAACTCCTTGGGTGAAGGAAACTGAAGCAATGAAAGTGCCTTGCGAAGACATATCGCAAGAGCCATAACAGGAGAGCATCCAGAAAGAAACATCCATGACATAGATCAACCAGCATGGCAACTATAATAAATTGCTGGGCATATCAACAGCGAGCCCCGAAGAGAAAGCCATCAGTCAACAAGATACTTGGTCCTTGACAACCGCAGGTCCTACTCGCAGGCGGGCGTTCAATCAATCAATCATAAGTGTCATCCAACCATCTATCTAATTGATATGATAGAAAAGATCAGAAAAGAGCTAACAGTAGTAGGCAAGGGGGCAAAAGAAAAAGAAAAAGTAAAAGAAAAGCCGCTGTGTAGTACAGCATGATGTTCCCAGAAGTACTCACGAAAGGCTATAAAACAGAAAAACCGTGCAAAGCAGACTGGTCAAGAGGAGTCTTGGTTTTGACACCATTCCTATCCACACTCACACACACACACACAGAAGCATGTACAAAGCAAGAAAAAAAGAATTATAGTCACAACTCCAGTTCAATGCATCAGGCCATTATCACATGTCGAAATTGTCATCAACGTTGAAGATTCCAGGCTCACCGCCTTCACCAGTCCTCTGGACGCCACTCATGCGGTGATCCATGTGGTTGGTAGATATTTGTTGGGCTCGTGGCCATGTCTCCGTATCCTCAACCATATGGTCGCCCGAATCGTTCTTGAAGTGGTGGTCGATCGAGCTCTCATTTACAAAGGTAAATCCCTTGAAATTCGCCTGCAAGCCTGGAGATAGTGGCGTTCCCGCTGGCATGAGCCCATTGGCAAGAGCAGCTGCGCGGTCATTCAAAGAATTGTTGTTCTCCAGGGCAGTCGTGAACTCAGGATCGAAGTTGGAGGTGTCCGTATCGGACTTCAGAACAGGCTTGAAAGGAGGGATCACTTCCTTGCGACCCAATGCCGCCCAATCAACATCGTCAAAGAAAGGATGCGCCATGAGCTCCTTAGCGTCACCCTTAGCGCCAAGGCGGTGCTTAGGGTTCCGGTTAAGCAAACCCTTCACGAAGTTTCTTCCCTCTGTGCTCAAGGCATCACGGGGGAATCGGACCTTGCCGAAGGCGATGTTCTTGTACATCTGCTGGGTATCTTCAGCATAGAAAGGACTCCAACCGCAGCACATCTCAAAAACAAGGACACCCAGAGACCAGAAATCGACCATCTTGGTATAGCCTTGCTCGTCAAGCAGTACCTCTGGGGCGAGATATTCGGTCGTTCCGCAGAAAGTGTTCGTGGTGTCGTTTTGGGTCAAATTGGCCTTGGAAAGACCGAAGTCACAAAGGGCAATGTGACCATTAGCGTCAAGGAGGATGTTCTCCGGCTTGAGATCGCGATACACGATATCATGGTCATGTAAATGCTGGAGCGCCAAAATCAACTCGGCAATGTAAAACTTAGCACGCGCCTCCTGGAAGCGTCCTTCCTTCTGAAGGTGCCAGAAAAGCTCGCCACCAGACATATAGTCCGTGACCAGGTAAAGATCGGTAGGTGTTTGGAAGGAGAACTTCAGTCCAACAATGAAGGGAGAAGCGGCCATAGCTGTCCGAACCAGAATATTGCGCTCACCCAGAGTGTGTGCAACCTCCTTCTTTTGAATAATGACCTTCTTCGACAAAACCTTCATAGCGTAGATGCGGCCGGTGTCCTTCTTCTTAACCTGGTAAACCTGGCCAAAAGTTCCCTTACCGATGAGCTTCAGGATCTGAAAATCGTTTGGCCCCACCTGCTTCCTTTCGGTCTTCTCAAAATGCATCTCCAGATGGATCTCTCCAGAGATCTGAGAGTCACCTGCTCCACGGGAAGCTAAAGGAAACCACCCTTCAAGGCGGCTGTTGTCTTCCATCAGGTTGATGCATAGTCGCACGTGACCAAGGAAGTCTTCATGGTTGTTGCGATCATACACCGATACATCAATTTCGGACTCGTCGCCAAAAACATCGCTGTTCAGTGAAATTAGCATTGGTTCGTCAATTGGCCCTAGAGACCATAGAACGAACATAAAGGATGAACTTACAAAGTTGCTTCGTGGTTCCAGTGAGGGTCGGTCACGGGCGCTCGTCCACCTCTGTGATCGGGGCCGTCCAGCGCGCTGTTGTTGCTACTTTGCCGACTTTTCATTGGGATCGCCATCGGCCGTCCGGCCTCGGGTTCCAGGCTCTCCTGCTCCTTTTGCTGCCGTTCCAGCGAAGCGTCTTCTTCTTCCTGGGCAGTCTTGGAGATGGCCTCATTCCATTCAAACACGCACACAACGTAGGGATCGAATCCGGGCCGTAGTCCTCTGGCTTCAGAGATCTTGACGATCAATTTGCCCTTGAGAGGGGCCACGGGCGGGGCATCGGATGGCGACGGGGTGTCTCTCTCGGGAGGAAAGGCCTCGTCGAGCTTCCCAGCAAGCTCGTCGGTTGGGTTTGTTTCTTCACCGGACTGGACGGGTACGGGATCTGATGGTGAAGGGGGCGATGTGACGGGCTTCTTGTCGGTTTGCGAACCTTCATTGGACATGGCCCGCGGAGTGAGTGGTGGTGTATTCTTTAGGTGCACAAGATCCGACACGGTTCCAGTTAGCTTCGCCAGATTCTCAGAAGACATAGAGACATGTGGTTTTTCATGTTCGAGTAGGGGGGTTTCCGACAAACAGGGTACATCTGACATGTAGGGAGGAAGGGAAGGGTTGGAGAAATGTGTGGCAAGGACTGGGTCGTCAGAGACGCTGGAGACTGGCAGAGAGGTATGACGGCGGGCTGGAGAATCAGAAGAAGACATGCTCCCGGCAGGCGAGAGATAGTTCTTCAACGCATTGAAAATAGAGACCATGCCTCTGTCCGAGTGAAAAGAGCCAGACTCAGACCCATCCGACTCTTTCTGCAGAAGGGAACAAGCGGAGTGGTACGGGGGTGTAGGTAGATTCGTGGGGGGCAATGTCTCTGGTACTATCATATTCGTCTCAAGATTCTGATCCGGCGAAGCGACAGATAACTTGGTGTCCATAACCTCCGGGCGCTCCATCCAGACAAAGGAGTCCGAGGGTGAGGAATTGTGACCACAGGATTGAGAATCCCGATCTCCTTCAGCGGACGTATCCGACTGGAAAGAATACGCGGAAGCACGACTCTCAGAAGAAGAACACCGGGTATTGGGGCGACGAGTGTTTTGATTTGGAGGAGAACCAACCTGGAAGTAACTGGAACTGAGGGAAGGCAGACGCTTGTCTGCTAGGTCGGGCTGTGGAGTCGCAATTCCGGTCGGTGTCGGGCTGTTCGAACCGATCGAGTCTTGGTTGTCTTCCTCCTGCACACCGCTGCTATTTTACCAGTTAGCCACCGTAGGTGAACGTGAGGAATCGTGAAATCGGCAGCGATCTATACGGGAGTGCAATCGCGGAGCGCCCGGAAAATCATGAGGATGTTGCCAGAGAAAGAACAGACAAGGGGAGAAAAAAATCAGAACAGTGCAGATGCGAGCCAAGACTGGAAGGATGTATGACTTGGCACCATGAACCTATGGCGGTTGACTCATTATGCATGCAATGTGGCCCGGAACATGGTGTTAGAAATGAGCAGTGCATGGGGGCATTCAGACTCGGAGTTTGTAGACCGAACCCGGGGAATCCTCGTCGCGATCGAAAGCAACAGGTGACGAATGAAAGACCCAAAGTAGTAGACTCACCTCCGGGGAATGGGCTGCTTCAACATCTCCGCGTCTCCATACGACTGTGTTGCACTCTGAGCGGCAGCCATGATTATGTTCCCATCAGACAACCGAATCCTCCACCTAGCGCACCGAAATAGAGAATCGTCGATCTAGACGTTGCAAGGCGAGATATGACGTAGTGGGGGTTGAATTAGTGTATCGACGCCGATTATCGAGTGGAAAGTCCCTCTTGCGGAAGATGTGGGAAAAAAGAGATCAAGCGAGAGACTGTTGTCGGGGAGGTGGTGTCGAAAGTCTAGCCAAGGAAGGTTGCGGGATGTTAGATCCGATCGGGTTCGGATAAGGAGGCGAAGAGAGAGGGTGAGAGGGAGGGAGGAGGGGTAAGTAGAAGATGGAAGGCGGGATAATTGGACCTGTTGGGTGTAGGGAAAGTGTTAAAAGCAGACGAGCCAGAAGTGGATCCGAGCGAGAGAAAATGTTGAAAGAGGCGGCGGCGGATGAAGTCAGGCGCAAATTGGGGGAACTGGAATTGCAGTGGAATTACAGATTCGGGGGGAGGGTAGTAGGGTACAGTAAGTAGGGAAAAGGGTGTGGGGGGGCAAATACTGGGACGGGGGAGAGAGGAAAAGAAGGAGAAGGAAAAAGGTGATTTCCACGCTCAGTGGGAAACCCAAAGAGTTTGCCCTTTTTTTTTTTTTTTTTTTTTTTCTTTCGCTCTCTCGGGGCAAGCTGAAGGGAAAGAAGGATGGAGGGAAGAGAGAAAGGGAACTTACAATTCCAGTTACTGCCCGTCGTCAAAGTGGGTGCAGATGGAGCCTTAGCGTCAATCAGGCCTGGGTCGACAAATGGCGGGCGGACACCGGCGGATAGCGGGTTTGGTTGGTTTGAGTCAGGTAGAGAAGAGATAGATCGGTAGTTGTAGTCGTCGTAGTAGTAGTAGTCCTTGCAGTAGGTTGTCTAGACAGACCGTGACTACTTTATATAACCTGTCAATGATCCCAACACAGCAAATTTTAGAGCTGACAGTTCACGGTTCACAATCCGAGGATCTTGCAAATTGGGTAATTGATAATTGTGGAAGGAGAGGGTGGTGGCGTTCACGGCTGTCCCAAGTGAAAAAAAAATCAAAATAGGATAGAAAAGTGACAACCCCCAGTCGTAGACTTCAGGTGCCGCTGAAGCCGCTGGATGGTTCAGGGGACTTGCAGGAAACCGATGGGGAACGAACTTCAAAAATGCGGACCGGGGGGGGGCCTCAAATGCGAAGAGAGAAAAAGCAAAAAGCAAATAGAAAGAAGGTTACGATGAAGGCATGGGATTGCTCGGTGTACGGGGAGATTGAACCAATGGTGAGGGAATACCACGAACCAGAGGTAATTCACACTTGAAGATGGAAGAAGTAATATTAAGTCAGGATAGTCAGGCGATGGTCGAACAGAAGTATATCGCGTTCGATGACAGGTAGAAGTAGACTCGTGGCGATGCAGGGGAGGAAGGGGAAGAAGGAGGAGAGTATACAACATGCAAAAGGGAACTTATTTCAATTAGGACAATAACCGATCATGCATGATAAGGGGGGGGTGGGATGTTTGAGGATAATAAGATAATAAGGTAGATGTTAATGTATGTATGTTGTAGGTTTGTTGGCTTGTCGCAGGGGGCGCTGTTGATCCGCAATGAAACACAAATCTTGCACCTACTTGAGTTCACAGAGCCTTAGCAGGAGAAGGCAGATGGAGGCAGATGGAGGCAAATGCCACCTTTTCAGGGCCAAGGAACAAATCACAGGCGCGCAAAGGAAAGGGCCTCGCGCGGAGTGGAGATGGCGGCGGGTTGGACAAATCGAGAGATAGAATCGGGGGTTTGGGTTGGAACCACTTGGTAAAGTCAACCACAAACCGTCAGGCAGGGCAGCAACATTCTCGTTCTTTAGGTATTACCGCCAGTGTTGGAGTGTTTGGGATGGAGATGGATGGATGGATGGATGGATGATTGAATAGGAAGGGCAAGGAAGAAGTATATAGTAATTCAGAGCAGTCGCAAGCACAAGTAAGGAACCAGAGAATAAAGGGACCAGAACATTAGCTGCCTTGGAAATTGAGATAGAGCCTGAAACCCAAGGGAATGGAAGAAAACAAGCAAGCAAAGCAAAGCGAAGCAACGTTCAAAGCAAAGCAAGAGTTCGGATCTCATACCAAACTCATCGCAATAAGAATCCTCGGGGAAAGATAGGATGGGAGGGGATCATCTGAAGATAAATATGATCCCCGATAGTTGAATGCCGAGTTCAGGTCAAGGAGTAAGAGCTTCAAGCCGCTGATGACTCTAAGCAGGTCTGATGATGTGCAGCCCCCATTTGCCAAAGAATTTGCCTCTTGACTATTTGGGATGGACAGCAATGACTGATGATTATCCACCCGGTGAGCGTCAAACAATGGTTCGCCGGCAGAACCGGGCACTGTTGAAAGTCTGCCGCCTGTGCCTCAGTTTTGCCCATTTTCCCTCTGGCTTGTGGTCGGTAGTAACCGGTAAAGGGATCATCGAGATCGCGTTCAACCACAGCCCAGTACCTATCAATTCAGAGAGATCTATGCGCGATCGATCTTCCATATGTTCTTTGCCCTTTTCTTGGATTTAGTGTCGACTTGCTTTCTTCTTCCATAAAGGAAAAGGGAGGTGGTTTGTCTTCTGGGCAATAGCAAGAATTCCCTTCTGACAGGATCCTCCCCCGCGATACCGAGGAAGTTTAACCAAACTCCTATCCTCAACTTCTACCACAACACCGCTTCAGCCACTCTCCAGACTTAGTCGACACGCTAAGCGCCACGACCTGAGCTCTGCAATCGAATACTCCCGGAGGATAAGTCCGCCCGCCACCTCTTCCGTTTTCTCAGTCCGTTGCATTGCTGGTAACTGCACGAGGTGGGGGTCTCGGCGACCAGCGCTATCACCGTAGACCATTGAAAAGAGTCGATGACAACGCTCATCGGCTGATGGGTGGGTGACTCGATCATTTGGCTGGTGATGATGCTATCCACTTGAGCTGCAGGAGCTGTGACATTTCATCACCGATGTCACCTCTTGGACCATCGTCTATGCCTCTATGGAGGACTAAACGGTATTCATTTCTCTAGCTGTCGCCCGGACCGGGTGGACCGATTACCTCCTTGGGAATGTTTCGCTTCCTGAAATGGTTGCCTTGGCTGTCACTAAGCCCAACGAGGGCAGTTTCCCTCCCTTGCCGTCGCAGCCATCGGAAATCGGCTCGCCTTGCTGAAGAAAAGAGAGACGGAGAGAGAGCGAGAGTGAGAAAACTTGACCAGAATATGATAAGAGATGAGATAAGTGACATCACCCTCGTGGAGTATTTCATGCTCGTGTTGTCGCGGTCAAAGCCGGATAATCTCAGATTGGGGCATAGCCTTGCCGGCTGAGATGGTTACTCTGCAGTATACTCGAAATCTATTTCGGGAGTAGTACTCAGTATGTACTGTAGATATGTATAAACAGCCGCATCCACACGCCTTCACTGTCGAGTCCTTCGCTGTAGGAGTAGATGTCATCCTCAGGCTCGTTCCGCCCATTCCTAATTTCTTAGTCAGATGCCCTGATGCCTTAGTTGCGCAAGCATCCCCCTCCTCCCTCTAAGTGGTTTCTGCGGCTTCTGCCCCGTTCGATCAAAAATAAGATGGACTCCGAGGATGAAGAGGATCAATACGGAAACTAGCGGGATTGCCGGGCTGACCGTCTCCTTGCAGGCGCACCTCACAGGTTTCAGGGCCACTATACAGGGCCGGTGGGGGAGCTCTCCTCTCATACAGTGTCAACTTATTAGTGCAAGCTACCGAATGTTGCGCGTCATCGCAGCAAAAGTCGTGTGGGAGAGCGGAGCAGGATAATCGGGTCCCCAAACAGCTGGTTCGACTGCAGTGACAGCCGAGGACCCAGTCGAGCATTTTAACTTTTGGCTTAACGCACTCTGGGGGGAGATCACTCCATAGTTCCATGCGACAATGTTGTTGACTGTTTGAGGAAGAGAGGTAAACAGCTGCAGCTGTCGACCGCGGATCGAAACGATATTCTGATGAGCAGCTCTCCAATCACAGAGGGGTCATCCATGTAGGAAAACTGATATGCTTTTTTCCACCAGGCTTCTAGTCAAAAATCCTGCTGCGCAGCCCAGTGCCACCATCAACGGTTGGCGATCTAGGTGCTTGGGTCGGCAAGGGCGACCTGTGATCAGTGAGGCCGGTCACCTGCAGCAGAAGCTGTGTAAGCGCGATCGCCGGGCCACACGCAGCACACATCCTGACCTTCGGAGTAAACTACACCGTCGACAGAATCACTACACGTTCAATCAAAAATCCCCTTTAGCATGATCAACATGATTGCACGAGGGAAGGCCCCCGCCCCCTCAGAGAGGGGTGCATCTGATATTCAACCATGCGGAGCACGCTGTCCCAGTGGGGTTTGAACAGAAGGAGGGACGGGAAGAGGGAAAAGGGGGTTCCAAAGTGCAACAATTATGAAAAATAAGAGAATCATCCACCGCCTTTCTCTACGCATGGCATGTGAAGCTGGAATGGAGGCCAGGCAGGCAGGCAGCAGTTAGTTCATACGTCAGTCACCACCAGTAGTTGGATAATTAATGTCTGTGCTTAGCTTATCGCGATAGCCCCCTGGGTGGTCGCTCAAGCCCTTACTGACCAGCAGCATGCGGTGCACCTGGACCTGCTCTTCATCAAGTACACCTCTTAATATCCTCGTAAAATCCCGCATACAGCAACAGCAATACACGAGGGGCAGCCCCGAAAATGTCAATTGAAAGGGCGACGAGCAGTTGTGAAGGAGGTTTCCGGAAAATCAGAACTCAATGCAAGCTAGTTAAGTTTCGGCGATCGACGGGGCAAAAGGAACAATGACATCATTCTGCAGCGATTGTCAACCGGATCGCGCCATGGGGGGAAAAGGGAAAAAAAAATTGGAGAAGGGGAAGAAGGAAGAGATTGGATTCTCGGCACGTGGCAAGGCAGCGATTAATAGGTGCCTGAGGTATAGCGGGATGCAAGATCACGTGATGTAATGCAGCCGTATCGGGGAAACCAAAGTCCGACCCCGGCCGGTCTCCAGCACGTCCAAAGAAGGGCCTCTTCGTCCAGTCAGTCAGTCCGATCTGCCCTTACTGTGTTTGGCGTTCCGTTCCTTTCCTTCCCTTCCCATCCTCGCTGTCATTCACGATGGCCCGCAAACTTCGAGCAGCTGCCCAAGCAGCAGCTCAATCAATGAGTATGTCAATATCACTGCCCTTCCACGCGCCTCATTTTCCTGTTCTGCTGCTATTGTTTTCAAGGCGTGCGACATCGAATCAGTGATGAGCGCGAATATTAATTTCCTTTTAGGGAATGCCGCACCTCCGCTCCCCGATGCCTCTGATGAGGAAATGATTGAAGCCCCGCCGTCGCGCGGCTCGTCCCCGGCCATGGCAGATCTCAGGGATGCGTCGGATAAGGATCCTGATGCGGAGGGCCAAACAGATCCTGTCCAGGAAGACGAAGAGGCGGCAACACCGGCACAAGACTCCAACGCGCCATCACGAGGCGAAACCCCGACGCGCTCTGGAGGTCGCATATCAGCCATCCCACGCAAACGGCGCATAGGACGTCCCCCCAAGAACCGCCCCCCAGACTGGGATACGCCCGATGATGGTTCTGCGCCTGCGCCGATTCACGTGAGCACGCCCGTCAAGAGGAGACGAGGACGACCTGCTGCCAGCGGTGGACGATGGGCGCGCAACCGAGGACCGTCGCATGTTACACAGGTTCCCATCGACAAGGAAGGAAATATGATGGATGTCATCGACGATGAAGTGGCTCTGCCTGACGACCCGGAGGGGGAAACTAAGGTCGACAAGTGCGGAAATCTGCTAGGTGGTCGCGATTATAGGGTTCGTGTGTTCACGATTCTCAACCGCGGCGATCGGAAATACATGTTGTCTACAGAGCCGGCTCGCTGCATCGGGTTCAGGGATTCGTACTTGTTCTTCCAGAAACACAAGTTCCTGTACAAGATAATCATTGACGATGACGCCAAACGCGATTTGATCGAAAGAGAAATCATCCCCCACTCCTACAAAGGCCGAGCCATCGGTGTCGTTACTGCCAGGTCCGTGTTCCGGGAATTTGGCGCGAAGATCATTGTGGGAGGGAAAAAGGTTATCGACGATTATCATACCCAGGCAGCAAGAGAACGGGGAGATGTAGAGGGTGAACTTGCGGTTCCCGAAGATAGGATTCCTCCCCCAGGAGAACCCTACAACAAGAACCAGTATGTTGCATGGCATGGAGCTAGTAGTGTCTACCACACCACAACGCCCTCAGTTCCCTTGCCCACCGGCAAGGTCGTGGATTCGAAGAAGCGCAAGGTTACTGTTACAGGCGATAACTGGATGCTCGAGCACGCGCGCGAAGCAAGGTATGTATAACTTCTGGTGTTGACCACTTGTGCGATGCTGATCTCATGGATGCAGCAACTTCAATAGCCTTATATCTCAGGCACGTCGCATGAACCTAGAGGGCCAATACGACATTCACACCAACATCATGCAATACCCCAAGATCATGCAGCCCTCGCATGCTCGCTGGGAGCGTGTACCGCCGCCTGATCCGCGCGTCGCAAGTAGATTGGCACAGGGACTGTCGACTCTCCGGTTGACCAATGGTAAAGACAACGACGAGCCAGCCGTTGTGGCCGACAATGATGGCGATGACTCGATGAATGAGGCCAGCGACACAGCAACAACAAGCGAAGCCACCGCTCCTGAAAAACCCGCCATCTTCTCCTCCGTTCCCCTGGCCCTATCTCGTCGCTTCGCCATCCACGACGTTCACTTTGAAGCTCCCCCATATTCCAACCTCGGCGTTCCCGGACCAGACGGCGATGTGCACGATGTCGGCTCCAACGGGTTCATCAGTGTCGCCGATCCCAAGCATGCTGAGTTTATGAGCCCAGAAGTCCTCGCGGAACTTCCTCCCGACTGCCAAGAAGCGCTTCTCGATGCTGCCGCGCATGAATTGGAATGGAAGTCGAAATGGACCAGCGAGGCCACCGACGGAGCCCGGAGCAATCCACTCAAGAGCTACGCCTGGTTTCCTTGATGCGCGCCACGCTATCTTTTTTCCCCGATCCCGCGGCTAAGTCTGCAGGCCAAGCCGAATAACTGGCCACCCTAAAATGTGCCCATTATTCTTTGGAGTGCTGTGCGAGAAGCTGCCCGGGAACGGATAGAGAAATGTCACGATAAACGCTCCTTCCGACTACTGATCATGTAACGGCGTCTTCGTTTCCCAGGTATACGTTTCATATCCATGTGTTTCATCCTTTTACACAACCAATTTGATCCTATTCGGCACAAGGAAAGGGGGTGGAAGGTGTCCGGTTTTCACGCGCTTTGACGGTTTTTTTTTTCCTTTATTTACTTTTGCAAGAAAAGATTTATGTCCTTGGAGTTGGCGCGTTCCCTATTTCAAAATCAATCGATCAATTGGGTCTATGAAATGTGTATTAATAGCTTTTCTAATCTGATGGCTGACTGAGGGCTTGACTTATGCTGCCGCTACCTTTCCCGTGACCTTTTGAACTTTCATTCTGCCGTTAGCTTTATTCTCTCTGGACTCGATATGTGTCTGCCTGATTCAGTGCAGGGCTGCCTGGTTCCTTAGGGCCTGCCACTGTAGAAGGCGGCTGCCTATCCCGGGGGTATATTCTTACTGAGTCACGACTAGTACTATTCAGTAATGTAGACCGCTTTGTACATGAAAAAACACGGCTACCTATTTTTCAGACATTCCCTTGTATTCTGTACCTGTGGACAATATATCCAGAATAGCCGAGCTGACAATGGGCCTGACCCGACCCGACCCGTGACTGGATTATATGCACGAGGTACAGTGAGATGAATACATCAGAGGGTTGGGAGATTCATAGATAGTATTTAGTTGTAGTTAGACATTGATTCATTCATTCCATCATGCATTGTAGTAGTAGTACTAGTTGAAATAAAAAGGGGCAACGCAAACGCAACGCAGCTCAACTCCAAAACGCAAAAGAGAGAAAGGGGGGATGAAAGAGCAATGACTGAAGAAAGAGACGCAGTGCATAGGACACAAAATATTCTTGATGAAAGCATATAGAGTAGAAAGGAAGAGAAAAGGGAGGGGGGGGCACAGCGCCCGAACAAGAACCCCCCCCCGGTTTATCCCATGGCCATCTCGGCGCGAAGCTTTTCCAGCTCTGCTTCCTCGTCGTCTTCCTCGGCGTGTGCGGGTTGGGTTTTGACTTTGGGTAGGTTAGATTTTGCATTTCAAGGGGAAAGTGGTTCGGTGATGAGATTAATAGAGGGGTTGTTAGGGGACTTACGTTCTCCGTTGGCTGCGGCGGGTAACCGGTTGAGCTGGTCTGCCACGGGCACCGTGCCGGTCTTGAGCATGCGCTCGTCCATGGCCTCCTGCTCCAGACCCTCGAGCTCGGCTTCCAGGTCGGCCTCGTCCGGTTGTTCGGTGATGGAGTTGCTTGTGATGGCTGTCGCGATCTCCTCGCTGAGTTGGTGCTGTTCCCGGAGTTTGTCCCTGTTGTGCCTTGATTAGCTATGCGCCTCCTGAGCCCATCGAACCGGTACATACATCGTCTCGTCCACCTTATCGATGGTCATGGAGCCGTGGATCTGCGTCATGGCCGCGCCAGCCGCCTTCATCGCATTGAGAGTCTCCTGGTTGATGTTCGCTGCCTCAATCGAGTAGATCTGCTGCTCCAGCTGCACGATCTGCGCGGTCGTCTGCTCGAGGTTCTTCTCGTGGTTCTTTTTCCGTCGAAGGGCATTCTTGGCCGCTGTTTCCAATAAAACAAGCAAGTCAGTCAGTCGTGTTTGCAGAAGGTTGTTGTTGTTGCTGCATCATCCCCCTCCCGGTCCCCGTAACCTCCCATGCCCCACCCCTCCCTCCTCCCGCCTAAACAACTCGATCCATGCGGGAACATACCGGTCTTGTTCGTCGTCACGTTCTTCCTGGCAATCGCATCCTGCTCCTCCATCTGACTCTCCAGGTACTTCTCGCGCTTCTGCAGCATATCCAGCTGCTCGCGGAGCATCAGGATCGCCTCCTTAGGCGCATCTTTCCGTTTCTGCGCGGCCGCTCCGCCGAACCAGGACCACATTGTTGATAAGGACGGTGTGAGATGGGGACAGTCGGTTTGTAGCGTGAGAAAAGGTAAGGTTATGGCAAGGAGTGCCTGCGCTTATGAACCAATTTCGCGGTATGAAAGCCTCGAGGGGGTGTTGTTGGAGTGGGATGAAAGGCGGTCGACGGGGGGAAGTGGGATGAGGTTCGCAAGGCGATAGCTGTTGTTGGGGTTGTTCTTAGCAGATCGGATTCGGGTGATTGGCACTGAAGAGAACAAGAGGGAAAGAAATTTGCGGGTCTACCTGAGCTAAACCAGAAGACCAAGTATTGTACAGCACAGTTCGAATACCAAGATATGAAAGTTTGAACAAAGGTAGAAACAGAGAGAGAGAGAGATGATATCCGCCTGGGTTGGTCACTTTTCCCCTCGTTGGCCCTATGACATACGCGCTAAGCCTATCGGGGCCCGTCTGTCACGTGCCATTTCCCCGTCATTCCTGCCGGCGTTTATCGCTTTTCCATCTACTAGCCAATAGTTATTGCATTTCTACGAGAGTCCTTCCGAATAACTATGCAGACAACGATGCCATGAGGTTGGAACCTCTCAATAGTCTGAAGGGATGAACGCCCCCCTTCCGTCGACCCGCAGCTTTCTCTCCGACCTCCCATCCCACCCGATTGACTCGAAAGTCCGATTCCTCGGCTGGTGCGTGGAGCTTCCTTATCTATCTGCCTCGCCTTTCTCATGTAGACGCACACATAAGCCCGCATCCACGCATGTCCCGTTACCACGCATTCTTGAGCTTGACATACATGTAGAACCATAACTAACCCACTCCCCAGCGTGAGAACCTACCTGACCCCCACAGGGCACCTCATCCTAGAGCACAACTACCCCCACCGTAAACCTCCGCAGCAGCCTCCGTCTGTGCTGGTCGACATCAATGCCGTGCTGGAATCCGTCACATCAACGGAACTGCGCGTGGGGGCGTGGGTGAGCGTGCTTGGGTATGTGCGAAGGCGAAGAAGAGATGCAGCCGATGCTGATGCTGCACCTGCCTTCGTGTTTCCAGATGTATATATCGAGGCGGTGCTGGTGATTCCGGCGGGGGCGGTCGCGCTGGGGGAGTATGAGCGGATTTTGCAGGAGTCGTTGGAGGTTGAACGGCGGGTGAGGAGAGTGAGTTAGTTGAAGGTAGAATGGCTATTGCTTTCTGACTTCAAGGTTTGTTTGCATGGTGGGTGGGTGTGGGCTATGATGGTCTAGAGCTATGCTACGGGCGCGCCTGAACAACGGCCGGACTTGGGAGACGATAATGGTGTTGAGAGGAATTATTCGAACCAAGACTCAATGCTAAGCTCTTTCAGTCATGCCAAAAGAACACTATCTTGGGTATGTTGCTTTGTTTTCCCCACCGAATCATGCGTTCCCAGACTTTCCATTGCCGTCAAATGCCCGTCAGGTTAAACGTCCATCTTCGTCTTCTCCGTCACAATCCCTCTGTCCCCTCGTTGCATCTGTCGCTTACGCTTCAGCTCCAGATGCTTCTTGTCCTCCTGCATCCTTCGAATGAGAGTGCTTTTCTCCCGAATCTTGTACCCATACTTATAGAACACAACCGGGATCGGAACAATAAGGACCTCCAACAACCCCAGCAACGTACCAGACCAGTTCGGGCCAATGCCCTGGTACATATACGTTCCCACCAGGGGCAACACACCGCCCAGAATACTGCGAATGACCGAGTTGCCCGCCATAGCCGAGGCCGCGTAGACACCATAGCTACCAGCCAGATAGTTCGTCGCATAAATAAACACGCCCGTGTTGCCTGCACCGAAGGGGATGCCCGCCAGAATGGGGACGATCCAATGCACGGAGGCCGGGGAGCCGGTCCACGCGAACCAGAGCTCGCCGGCCGGGATCAGAAGCGCGGAGATGCAGACGATTGACACCATGGCCTCGGGGGCGGGTTTTCCGGTTTCCGGGTCAATTTTGTGGCTGTTGATCATGCGGCGGATGAGAGGTTCGCAAGCGATGGTGACGAGACACCCGATCCCGATGCCCAGGAAGGCCAGGCCGGATAGGCCGAGAGACCAGCCGCGGATCTGGCGGAAAACGATCGGGTAGGCTGTGAAGCAGAGGTATAAGATGCCGTAGACGATTGCGATGTAGATGTTCCAGAAAATACTGTGATACGGTATCGGGTGAGTCTCGTTCGTTGGGGGAAGGGTGTTGACGGTATAGCTTAGCTTACCAAATAGGCTCCGTGACAGCCATAACGAACGGGCGGCTCAGATTGACCTTCAGCAACTCCTGTAAACTAGCCTTCTGGTCGTACCGGCACCACCACCGCGAATCCCCTGTCTCTTTCCGCAAACGGGCCGCCTTCCTCTGAAGAATAATGGGCTCGTACGTCTCCTTTAGTATACACGAGAGGAGCAACGCAACCCCGGACAGGATCAAAGCGATCCAATCCATCCAGCGCCAACCCAGATATTGCGTCACGAACCCTCCAACAATCGGACCGATTACTGTGTGCCTAGTCAGCATACTCCGATCCTGTCTCTGGGGATGCTGGAAAAGCCTGCACATACCTGGACCGTTGAGGGGGCCGATACTCCAGATCGACATGGCCAGCGCACGCTGATCGTCGTGCGCGAGATCCGCGACCATCCCCGGCGCCGTGGAAATCATCACGCTGCCGAACAGCGCGCCGAGGAACCGACAGACTATCAGGGTGGCCAGGTTCTTGCTGACCGCACACGGAACGATCAGAATCGTGAAGACCGCCAGGCAGCCGATCGAGACCGGTTTGCGTCCGTAGAGCTCGCTCAGCGGAGCCATGAACATCGATCCGATGGCGAGCCCGATCAGGTACATGGTCAATCCCAGGGTGACCACTGTATTCGACGCGCCGAATTCGGCGCCGATCTGTGGAATTCCAGATGTATATGAGGTCGAATAAAGAACGCTGGTTTCCGCGTCAATCCTGCGGGTATCGCCTTGGCTGGGTGTAGGGCACACACATCAGGGCGACTCACATAATCAGCGTATTGTACGAAAGGAACGTCATCCCCATGGCTTTGTACCCCAGAGACCAATTCTTCGGGTTGGTCCGGTCGAATTCGTCTTCCCAGTCGACCTCATAGTCCGGGTCGGCGGTCCCGGTAGTACCGATTGAGGTTACTCTTTGCGCCAATGAGGGTATCGAGATGCGTGATGTTCGGGTGTTGATATTGACTAAGGCCTCGATTTGGTCGCTGGTCTCGTCGGAGGACATCGTTTCAGCCTCGGAGTGAGCATATCTCGCGGTGGTCTCCTCCTCGCTATGCCGAATTGTTTTGTGGTCCTCTGGGACAGGATCTCGCGGGGACGACATGGTCCTTGTGCGGCAATTTGATACAGCCGAGGCAACGGTATGAGTCTTGTAGCTGACTTCCTAACCCAGAAACTCGCGTTATATAGTGATATCTTAGATATTAAGATTAGGGTTGGAGTTGTCTAGGCTGAACGTCCTTAAAGCCACGAAGAAGGGGCGGGAATATTGCTATATCCTCTCAATCGAATGACCATAGGGCGTAGGAATCTACCACAAAGACAACATCCGAGGTCAGGTGTGACAAGGCTCCGGGGGTTTCGGCTTTAGAGAAGCTAGGGAAGTCCAGCATGCTGAAGAATACAAGTCTAAAGGGGATCAGACACTGGAGCGGGAGCGAGCCCTCTTGAAAGGCGTGGGATTGACATGGTCGACGCAATGCAAAGACTAACGGCCCTAGAAACCCTATGCAAATTCGGCCCAGAGAAATAATTCAGGCTGAAGATTGGTGAGAAAGCAACAAGAGAGTGGGGCGATGAGCTCTGCTGATAAGACTTTGCCCGTAAATTGATATCTTCTCAGTCGATTGATCACCGGTATCGCAACTCAGTATGACTCGACCATCGGCACTCCGGCTGTGCCAAGAGGCTCTGCAGTGGTTAGTCTCGAAATTCGATTGCTACCCATACCAATAAGGTAGATTTGGGTTCCTTTGCATTGCATTTTTCGAGAGATTTTCAAGTCAGTGCTCTTTCTCCGAGGCCCCCGTTGTTTACCCCAGATCAGGATGGAGCTCATGGCCATAAACTCATGGGTCATCCCCGTGGGACAGTGGACACTGGTAATAATCTGGAGATAGAGTGCTTAACATCAACATCCACGCAATAACATGAGGGGAAGGAAGGGCATTACAGTTATTTACAGAGGCCAGCCAATCAATGGTCTTAGGCAGAGATCCCAGCTCGGGTCCGATTTGCCGCCCGTGCCGGTTTGCCGATTCGAGTCTTTGGGAGAGTAGCCTGGAGTTGGAGTAGGGCTGCCGTGATGGAACTTACCTCTGTATCTTCTTTCCAGTTTGGCGGATTTGCATTCTTTATATGTATACGTATTTATACCTCTTTTTTACCTCCTCAGACATATAGTCAACAACTAGCAGACCCGATAATATTTTGGATCAGGGATTTGTGTATTCTTCGGGAACTATGGTTAAGATTGTCTCGTATTTAGACAGACTTGGGTATTTCCATCTACCATCTCATCTTCCCCCCCGGTAATCATACTAGGTTGAGGAGTGCATTATCCCAACCGGAAAACTAGTTGTTGCCTAATGTTGGCTGAAGCCCTTGGAGAAAAGAAAGCACGCTGCTCTGGTTGCCTTGGGACCATCGGTATCGTCTGGAGAATATTTTGAACAAGCCTGGTTCTCGGTTGTTCTTAAGGTTGCGATATCTTCATCACTGTCCCAGAGGACTTTCTACGGATGGACTCGAAGGACTTGTCTTTTTTTAAGTTTCCAGATCAGATTCATGCTAGCCCTTTCAGAGCGCCATTTCAACCCCTTTGCCAACAATAGAGTATCGATACTACGTAAGACACACTGTGCCCCCATAGTCCTCATGCAACACCATTCACACATCTTCGTCTACCAGTACAATGTCAGTTTCGTCACTTATGAGCGGTTCAAGCTGGGGTTGAATGAAAACGCTTTGGCTCGATTGATCTAGACTGGGCCCGGGGCAATAGGTCCATAGACTTCCGCTCGGAAGTGACATTAATGACTACAACTAACCAGCATTGCAAAGGGATGTGTGTGCCGTCTCGATGCAGATAGCCTTGCCGTTGCTAATACCTTGGCCTTGATCATTGTTCAGTCATCCAGTCTATGTAAAGAAGCTTCAATGTAACTCAATCGTTGACCGGGATAGCGCAACTAGGCCTGACCAACACTGACGTACTAAACTGAGCTTGCAGACCCAATCAAAAGATACTCTTAGAGGCGTTACCGGCGCGAGAATCAGCTTATCATCGTTCGGTGGATGCACTTCAAGGCCAGAGCCGGCGACCATGGCTCTTGATGAATCGGCAGTGATCTCATTGACTGTAGAGCTGGACAAGAGAGCATGCTGGGTTAGTTAGGAGGCATACTCACCCTGCGGTGGAAGTGGATACCTCCGGACATGTTTGCGTACAGTATACTGCATACTACCTCGCAAGTTAGCGTATCCAGTCAACCCACGTCTGGTTCTAGCGTCACGACCTTGTTGCACACAGTTCAACGGTTCATCGTCTTGAAATACACGTAACTTCCGAATGCAGGAGATTCAGATGGTCATTATTCCTTTGGAGTTCTTGAAGATGTATTGGTACTCTGTTAACACTTCGGTTCATGTCATGACGTCTGCCAGCAACCCTGCCAGCGCCGCTCTAGCGGTTATAGACATATCTGTGGGACTACTAGTGACTATACGTTCTAGCCCTCGACTCCTCGCCGGAAGCATCACTGATTCAGGTAGATCAACACTTAGATCATGTCTCAGGCCTCCGTTTTCAGTGTCGAGGCTGTTCGTTTGACCAGCACTTGCATCATCCTGCTACGGTACTGCCAGTTTCGAGCTCGAATGGCACAGTATCATGTAGCGTCGGTAATTGCATCTTTAACGTCATGACTCCGTTAAGTGCAGCGGATTGTCGCAAGCCCTTTAGATTCAAAGAAGGAGATTCGAATATAAAAGGAGGGAAGTTCACGGTGGTAGATAGAATTCACCATCCACGCAACCTGAAGGAAGCCAGACAAACAACTCTAAGAATCAATTGCAAACCTCGAAGATCTCCACCAGCCTCTTTGAAAATGCCTTTCACAACCCAGCAGAACGGACCCATTCCTGTCATCAGCAAGGATGCCAACGGCAAAGCAGCCAAAGGCGGAGATGGCATCACCGAATGCGATCCCATCTTCGCGGCGGCCAAGGCGGACGATATCGAAGAGATCAAGCGCCTGCTGTCGGAGAAGCCCGAGCGCCTCAACATGAAGTGCGCGGCATGCAACGGGATCACGCCCATCATGGCGGCGGCGATCGCGAACAAGCTGTCGGCCGTGAAGCTGCTCTCGGACAAGGGCGCGGACGTGACAATCCGCGACGCCAGCAGCTACACGATCCTCAAACTGACGCTCGACCAAGGCGACGACAACAAGGCGGTGGCCGAATGGATCGTGGCGAACCACCCGGAGCTGATCGTGACGGACCCGCGCCTGCCCAAGGGCGAGGACTGGCTGAACGCGCAGTTCAGCGTCATGTCCGACAATATCGAGGACCAGGCCAGCAAGCCGCCGCCGGAGGTCCTCAAGTACCTGATCGATGGCTATCCGAACAAGCTCCCCGCCGACACCGGCCGCACCGTGTCCGAGGTCTACTGGGAGCATATCCTGCTGCGCTACATCGGCGATATCCCGCTGGACATCACCCGGAACTACTCCGTGGACCTCAAGATGGCGTTCGTCGGCACCTTCGATCGCATCCTCTACAAACACGAGGGCATCCAGGAGTCCGCCCGCCTGCTCAACAGCGTGCTGCCCACCACCCAGTACAACATCATCGGCACCCACGTCGTCCCCAAGCAGGGCTGGGTCACCGAGCGCTGGGAGTACCACGACAAGGTCCATAACCTGCAGGTGCTGGACGGTATCGATACCTTCCTGATCGATGCCAATGCGGGCAAGATCGAGGTCATGCTCATCAACTATAATGTCTACGAGATGGAGTGGCTGGATGATCCCGAGAAAGGCAAGCCTGGCCCTGGTAAGGTCTGTCCTTCTTCGAGGGCTTGATTAGTTGTACTGGCTGTGTGTGAATATCATGGCCCTTGGTTGCGGGATGGGTTTGGATGGTGGGAAAGTTGGCTTTTATGCTGAGGTTATTGTCTCTTGTGGTTAATTGTTTATTTGAAATTAGTTGCTGTTGTGGTAGGCTTGTTAGTTAGTTTCAGAGAAAAAAAATACCAAAAAAATTGTTTGTTTCCCGCTTTTGTATGAGTTGAAATGTTCCTAGAAGTACTCTGCTGTAATAGCTTTATATACTTTGGGGCTTTGGACGTAAAATCTAGTAACAAGATAGGGCTTCGATGAAAGTGTACAGAACCGGGAAAATGACAAGCGGCTTGTTAGGGCAATGAGTAAGACTTCAGTCATACTACTTTATCCGAGATATGTAATGGGCGTGTAGACATAATATGGATAAATGATGCAGAGTACCAATGTCATGTAGCCTGTCGATGCATCAGCGATAAGATATGATATCGAAGGGGATTCAACAGCCACTCTTGTGGTCAGTCAATTCTCCCTCGAATGTTTCCTTGCTGATGTTGCCAAGTGGTTCGGTTTGACATATTCGAATCTCACTGCAGATAATATATAGTAGCCCGCTCACAAGTTGTTCTTTTAACAATACCACTTCAATGCATCACAAATGCTCGAGCTGCGGAGTCCAAGTGCCAGTAACAGCAGCAGATCGATAGTCTGGGGGAGAATGAGGAGGGAGGGTATTGAGCCATGTTCTAGAAGGAATCAGCGAAGCCCACTGGGTGAGATATGCAGCATTTCTAGACCATCGGCTTGTTCAGCCGATATAGCGGTATCTTTCACAAACTATTTCATCTGCGCTCTTGTAGTAAAGTTCCGAGATATTGACCGACAGCGACAACTTGTGGTAAGTTTAGATATGTCTCTGATGGAGACTCGGACCTTTAACCTTGAATGGAGTGAAGACCCAGTCCTGCTCGGAATCTGTCCGAACAAGAGATCGGCCCATTTTATGAAAGATCACGTGCTCCCATGTGACACGGTCTGGATTCTTCTCAGTTCACTGATGAATCTACCTACCCGAGACAACCACACTCACTCACTTCAAGGTTATCGTCACTCTCCTGCAAATAAGGGGCTGAAGAGCAGTTGCCGGTCAACAAGCAATGATCAGGAGCCACATTAGGCAGGATGGGTCATGCCACAATGCAATCGCATTAGCCATGGATGACCGCGAACTCACTCTCATCGAAAATCTCAGCGTTCCGCGGCCGCCGCGGGATAGAGCACGCACTGCGCCAAGTTGTGCAAGATCTCCTTCCTTTCTCATTTTAGTATAGACGGAAAGCTCCATACTTCCACTTCTCAAACCGGCTGAATTCTCCGGTCAGCCAACGAATGGCTTGTGGATCACTGGCTTCGTTTTCTAACCGAAGAAACTAAAATCGGGACCTCCGTTCGAAGCGAACTCGCTTTCCATGGCTCGGAACGCCATGCTGCTGGCCCCGATGGGCCCTGATGGCCCCTGCATCAGGGGCCCGGCTTTATAGCTGGAACTAAATATCTTGGTCTTGCCTCGAATATCTCTCCAATTGTCCGTGTCTTAGGGGTACTGTTCCTATGATACTTGTATAGCCCCGGAGATACTCTGTGCTCATTGTAGCCTGGCTCTTGGTCATGTTTCCTGCAATAGTCGCCGTCTCTGGCCTAACCCTTCTCTATCTCTATCATGTCAATCGAGGTTTGACCGAGTTGCCAGAGGAAGTCCGCCTTCTGTCTCCTCATCGCTGGACAGCCAAGGAAATCAGGGACGCCTATGAGGATGCGATTCGCAACCCGGTAGATGTGGAAAGCAGTCTGCCTCCCAAGCAAAACCGGCGTTATATCGTGATTGGCGGATCCGGTAGGTCTATAATCCTGGACTGCATAATAAACCGCTTGCCGACGGGAGAGTAAGTTCTAACACATGCTAGGACTTGTCGGGAACTGGATTGTCACACATCTGCTTTCCCGCGGCGAGAATCCAGCAGCAATCCGGGTCTTGGACCTCCAACCCCCTCGTCGCGACATTCTCGATCAAGGAGTCACGTTCTTCAAGACCAACATTGTTGACAAGGAGGCTGTGTCGAGCGCCTTCGCACACCCATGGCCTGAGGACGTGGCAGCCCTCCCGTTGACTGTGTACCACAATGCGGCAGTAATCAGGCCAGCCGAACGTCACAAAGCCTTCCTCTCCCGTTGCCGCAACGTGAATGTCAACGGCACCGTCAATTTGTTGAATGCCGCTAAGGAACACGGCGCCAGCTGTTTCATTTCCACCTCATCCGGCTCAGTGGCTCTGCGCCGTGCCTCCTTCTGGCTTCCGCCGTGGCGGAAGACCCCTAAACACATGATTCAAGTCATCAGCGACTCGACCCCCCTTCCTGAGGACCACTACGACTTCTTCGGCAACTACGCCGTCTCCAAAGCCGAAGCCGAGTCCATCGTCCGCGCAGCGGATGACCTAGAATCCAACTTTCGCACGGGCTGCATCCGACCAGCCAACGGCATCTACGGCATTGGCGAAGACAATAGCCCAGCCGTAACCACAATGTATCTGCAGGCCGGTGAAAACCCGACGTAAGAAGACCTCCCAGCCCTATACCCTCGCGCTTCTGAAAACCAAACCCATCCTAACCTACATTTTCTTCTCGAAAGCTGGACCTACTCTGTAGCCCAAAACTTCGTCAACGCGGAGAACGTCTCGATCGCGCACCTTCTCTACGAACAACGTCTGCTCGAGCACACCGCCAATCCCAGGCAGCTGCCCAATATCGGCGGTCAGGCCTTCCTCGTTACCGACCCCAACCCCGCCATCACCTTCAGCGACGTCCACCTCCTGCTCATGACCCTCGCCAAGACCCCCGTCAGCTTTCGCCGTGTGCCCGCGATCCCTTTCTTCCTGGTCTCCTACCTCATCGAGTGGTACTCGCTCCTGCAGCTGCATCTCCCCCGGCTGCTCCCGCCGGTGCAGGGCGATCTAACGCAGCTCCAACCGGGACTGTTCGCCATCTCGAACGTGCATGTCATCGCGGACGATGCGCGGGCGCGCAAGAGTCCCGAACAGGGTGGACTGGGATATGCGCCGCCGATCGGCACCTTGTACGGGATGTGCAAGCAGCTAGAAGATTGGAACCGGCGAGCGGACGTGAAGGCCGCGGAGGAGGCTTCGAGGAAGGGGATGGTGAGTATTTCCGAGGGAGGCGTGGATGTGAACCTTGCTGTACCTCCTTCAAAGTTATAAGCCGTTGGGGACCCTGTATTTACGAAAAGTGGCCTTGAGGAAGCGTTGCCACCTGCGCGACACACTTAAAAAAAGCTTCGGCCTGAGGCATCAACACAAAGTGGGTCCGGGTATACGAGGATGTTTTGCTACCGCTACTTCAACAACATGGCCGCGGTGGTGTAGTGGTATTAACATTGCAGAGCCCCCGGGGTCTTATACCTAGCGGGTGGAGTGCAGATTCTGGGTTCGAGTCCCAGTCGCGGCATTTCTTTTTCTTTTTCGACTCGCTGCTCGGTGATAGCGTCATGAGGGCGTCATGCGGTAGGATCCTGAAGCCAGGCACTGCTGCCATACATACACGCCGATATTATGTATATAGGCTTGGAGCGGGGCGAGTTGGCGGACCTTATTGGGCATACAATGCCAGGAGGATTGACCCGATAGGAGAACGATCAGTAGTATATCAGATTGGAGCTTGAGACTCATTAATACATAGAGACCGAAAGACTACTAGATAGGTACCATTCAACACCAAAAAGGAAGCCATCAATCAATCCCCAGATGCAAACAAATCACAGTCTCTCGCCAGGCGCATAGTACTCCGGCACTTTCATCTTCAACGCCTTATCCTGATATCCCAAATCCTTCGCAGTCAACACGGCCCATTTCTCACCAACCACCAGCACCGTCTGAATCCGCCGTTCGTTCCTCGCATACACGAAAAGACCCAGATCTAAGGTATTGAGGCTTTGGCAAGCGAACCGGAAGAAAAGACACTAGGTATTCCACCCGACATCATCGGGCCAAATCAACGGGTCGGCAGCACTATCCTGATGGTGAATCGCCCGAGCTGAACAAGCATGGCCGGCACGGCACGGGTGAACGTGTCTTGAGACCCTGGCCCGCGGCCATTTTTTCCGACAGGGCGCAGGGAAAGCCGGGCTATAGTATGGAGCGGTGGATATTCTGGAATCGACATATTTTGGAAACGACATCTCCTCAAGCGGAGTACGTTCGCTTCGCCCAAGCTGCGCTTCCGACTCCTATCACAACGTACCGATTGGGCGGTACACTTTATCATTCTCTCTCCCGCAGATACTGTGCGATCCATTTCCAGAGTCGCCGATCCGCTACAAAGGTTGGATTCAATTCTGCCATCACCGTCAGATGCTGGGATACCGCGAATCGTTCGCGACCCACGCAGGTGAAATAGTGCTTTTCATCCGGTTTACGGGGATTTTCTTCATCGTAGGCTGAGAGGATGCGAGACGCCTCTTGGTACTCCTCACAGTCCTTTATCCGACGGAGATGCAGGTGGATAGCCTCCTCCTCTTCCTCCTCCTCCTCGTGCTGTTTGCCAATGAAGTGGTGGAGAAATTCCGAGAAGTACACATAATCTTGAAGGCCATCGAGATTGACGAGCCGGGCGAATGCCCAGAGAACAGAGCCACTGGGGAGTAGTTGCCGTGGCGCATCGACCGCTCCATCGAAGCCGTGCGCAGCGACAAAGGCCCTGACGAAAGGCTCTACCAGAACCTGGTGGCGGGGGCCGATCTCGCGGATGGGGCAGTGGCGGAGTCACGAGCAGCAGAGACGGGGGCACGAACGACGCGAACGCCCAGTCAAGAACGCAAGTAATATTCAGCTGGTCATCCACGAAGATATTCTGAGCGCTGAGGTCGGGATGGCACAGCGGGAAGGCTCGTCGCCCCCGGACATGTGGTGACAAGGGGACGATCGCGCTCGACCAGCGCGGGGATCTTCTCTTGCAGCGACTGGCCTACCGACGTGTAGTCCAGTCTGTTCGGCATACTTTCGGCTTTGGCTTCCACGGCGACGTAGTCGTTCCATCGATCGGTGGCAGTTCGGTAGGCCTGGCTGTCCCCGTACTCCGGGGCGTAGCTCTTGCACATGGGCGCGAAATGCCAGCACGAGGGCGTGATAGAATGCCGCTGCGGCTGGGAACGGGCCCCGCGGGATAGTTGCTCTTTCCTTGAATTCATCGCGGCCTTGCTAAATCAGTGTCGGGTAGAGGCATTTCCCACCCTATAGGAGGATTTTCCTCCTTCTTCGTATTGTGGATACATGGAGCCTGTTTTGTCGCAACGGATATTCGACAGATGCGCATACATCTCGCCGAGCTGTTCCATAGTCTTCTGTTTCTGGGCTATGGTTAGGGTTGCGGAGGGAGAGCTCCCGATTGTCTCATCGCTCCACTGATAGGTACTGAGAGGGACACCGGGAGCCTTGCTCATCAACATGTACGGCACACCAACCCCATTCTGACTGTTAGGGCTGAACGCATAGATCTCGGGAACAGGGATGCTCCCAACCTGTTTAATGTATTTGAGGGTCGTCACGCCGCTCACCAGCACCTCTCTTGCAGTGTCTTTTCGAAGCCCGAACGCTGTCCGCGGCGGCCGGAATACCCATTCAACTCCGTCCTCGAAGACAAGGAAGATGGCCCAGTTGAAACTGCCCCCCATGGGCCGTTGCGATTCGTCGCAAGTGCATCGTTTCTTTCGTATCGACTTTGCAATTGACAGTAGGGCTGAGATGTTAAAGGATGTGTAGGTGAAGATCTTCGCTTTTTGTGGTTGGGTGGCCATTATATTACGCACGACGACCTTTTGAGATGGGGTGCATTCGGTCATGGTCATCGGGACTGAAACTCGCGGTCAGGTGCGAAGAGGTAAAGATAATGCGTCGATTAGCGTGTGCGTGCTAGCAGTGAGCTGTGAAGCACATGGTGATTGATATATTCTGATGTAAAGTATGCCTCCGACCACACTATGGTTTGTCGGGGTAATAGAATATGTCGGCCGAAGTGATAGGCCCGAAGAAGTCGATGGGCAGCACATTCAAACTCTTCCGCGATCAACATACTGTTCTCTCAGTAGTGACAATTGCATATTTGACATCTAGGTCTGAGATCTAGTTAGGCAGCATTGCAAATCATGTGGAGTTACTAAAGGCGCACGAGTATCAGTGTGTTGGATGGTTAGGTTGGCTGGTGATCAATCCTTGACGCTCGGACTACGCCGTGACAATTCCAGGAATCCAGATGAAACATTCAGGTATAGTGATAGAATAGTGCTAAACGAGGCCGAGAGCAGGTTGCCGAATGTGCAGCAGTCATATAGGCAGTCATAGTGTCATCAAATGACGAAGGAGTAGGACCTGATAATTGACATATCATGTAGTCTAGCTCAGCGCATTAAATTTGACCGGGATGATCTTCTGGACATTGGCTAGTACGGGTATCATTTGTTGCCAGACGAGCTGTGGGTGATGTATAAATCTTTCGGGATCGGGCAAATCGGGGCTTTACTTTAAATGGTTGAAGTGGAGCGAGTGTCAGGCATTTGTACAGTTGAGGTAAGGCGACGATTATCGAATGAACCTTGCTTGCACCGCAGAATGCAGATTTTCCTTGTCGCTTGGCTGCGCCGCTACGCATCTAGCTACTAAGCGACAGACTGCCACAGGCTGACTATGGCTATACCTGCTGGAAGCTTCAAATATCAGATTGAGAAGATTGACCCGATCGGCCGGAGACCAGCCCAAACGGCCAGCCACAGTCATCCAAATTCTGACTAAAACTCCCAAAGCTTTCCCAGGTTCTCGGACCGGCCAAAATTGGCTGGCTGTCAGCGTGACATTTTTCCCCCCCACAGACTTTAAGGCAGCCATTCATGGCACTTAACGGCTCTAACCTTGAATCATGGATCCTGAGTATCGAAAATCCCTGGCGTACAGCAGCACACAGTGGGACGCCCTGCCCCCCCCTTTTTCAGCTGCTTTTTTTTACTTTTCTACATTCTGGAGTCTCATTCACGATCGCTGATAGGCGCGTGAGTTTCCTACTCTTGCAACCATCGGCCTTTCAACATTTGCTTCTCTGAGGCAATGAGCACTCATCGAATTATCATTCGACGCTCAATGCTTACCCCCGTCCAAAGGACTTGCAACGACCGAACGTCCGCCCTATGATGGAAGAATTACCCAAGCCATAACTTACCTGATTTAATTCGCTCGGCCCACTACCCAAGGTTCCCTTCATCGCTATACTTTGTTTGGCCCTGTCCTGACCCCGTTTCTTTTTTTACTTCTTGACTCGTGCCGTGTGTATCCCTGCCCCTTTTGCGATCGTTCTTCGCTCGGATCTCAAGTCCGCACAGCAAGGAGTAGAATGAGACACGGAGGGAGTGAAATGTGCAGGATACATCTATCATCGAAGATTCTACTCGGAGAAGATTGTGATTGATTGACCGGTCTGCCTCGTATCGGTGGTCGTGATGCCGCTCCTGCACACGATGGGCGATCGGTGTCATATTGCTCGTTACCACCCAGGTCTTCGTTTTGATTGTCGCTCCCGCAGCATATCAGCTGAACCGAATGGAATAGATAGGTAAAATGCCGTGGAAAGTGGGTTCCTGAACTGCACGAATCTCGCTGGATGATGGGATGGATCCCCATTAATTTCCGCCCATCCGGTAAGCCTGGGGACTAAGACCATTATTTCCTCATCAGGAACGGAATCATCGGTTAAAAAATGAGCTGATAGCCCGGTTGAGAAAGACTTGTCAACTGATCCCCTATATCATTCCTCAACTAATTGAAGTAGTACGTAGTAGTAGTTTCGACTAGAAGATCTTGGTGGATGCGTGCAGTCCCCCGATCTGCTTGGTCCGTCGATCAACGTTTTGTTGTGGTTTTTGATAGTGAAAGGAGATGCCGGATGGAAAGATAGCGAGTTGACCTTGCTTAGGGACGACATGGCGATAAAGAAGCGATGTTTTAGGACGGAGGCAGGAACCGGGTATAGATTTATTGGCAGCAAGGATCGTTAGACAATCCAAGGCTCCGCCGAGAATGACGATCGAAGCTCAACCACGTTGCCCGTGTGTTGAGGGCCCATGGTTCTCGTCATGTCGTGCCTTGCCCAAAAATCTGTTGTGGACAGTTCAGTTCTGGGTTCCGCGTTGCTGGAACCCGACCGGAGTCTAACTTCTAATTCCCGACAGGCTAAACCCTTTCTCAACTCAGTTACTCTCATTATTCTCTCTCTCTCTCTCTCTCTCTCTCTCTCTCTCCACCCGCCGCCGCCGCCTCCACCTTTCTTTTATTTACCATTTCTATCCATAATCAGCCGCGTGCGCTCTTCTCTCCCTCCTCTTCTGCCCTCTTCGTTCATTGTTGTCATAGCTGTTGTTGTTATTATTATTATTATTATTATTATTATTACTACTATTATTATTATTATTGTTATTGTTATTCTTCTTCTGGTGTTTCACATTTTACTCTCTATTGTCGGTACTTTCATCCTTCTTTCTACCCCCCCCCCCTGGTAGTCGGTTTCTCTATCCTGCTTCCCCCAGCACGGCCTTATTGTTCTATTATTATCTCCCAGTCTCCCGGTTACGTATCTTGCCCCAGACGTGTTAGGTAGTTTTCCTTCCATTTCAGTGCTGTCGCGCCTCCCCTCGTGCTACTGCAAACCTCGCCAATGTTCGGCCTTCTTCTGCACTGCGCCCGATAAACGACCTCATCGCTCGTGAAGGCTATCTGGTCATGTCGTTTCGCAGGCACCTCTTGCGATCCCAGTGTGGACTGTCCCGGTATTCTCATTCTTGTTAGTTCGCCGCCACGGCTGAATGCGACCTTCGATCACGCAGTAGCACACCGGCCTTTCTCGTCCGATTCACGTGGGCCAGCGCGCTTGTCATTGGAAGGCTTTTTGTCATGGAGTCTAGTTCGAGCCATGTCGCGGGAACCCCGGGTCAGCTGCAGACAAGCATCTGTCCGACGTGGATCGAACCGGGGCTTCAGCGAACTGCATCTGGAGATGCAGATACCCGGCATACAACCTCCGACCTTCGACGCGCTCACACAGTAACACACGGCACGAATCCCAAGGATAAACCTACCGCGAACGCCAAAACAACCCGTGAACGGATAGCGACCTCGTTCCTGCGGGTCAAGGACAGTCATGAACTCCTGCGAAAGCGCTCCTTCAAGCGGGCCAATCCCTCCCAGACTCCAGCGGATTCCCTACCAACAGCAAGAGAGCCCAATCATTTCACGGTGGGTAATGTTGGCCAAAATGGGACCATTTTTCTCAGGTAATTTTCATCCATGACTGACCGGATCGGGTGACGTTGATCTCACGGCAAGGAACTAATCCCTGTAACTCGCTGTCCACCAGGCCGATTCGCAACCCATCGATCAAAGAGCCCTTCCGAGCGGCTTCCGCCCCTTCCTTAAACAAAACTCGACAAGAGTACCTCCAACCGCCTGGACATACTGGACGCGATGGAGCTGAGCCTTCGAGATGGTCGAATTCGCAGCTATCGGAATTACGCCCAGATCTCATCCCTGAAGAAGGCCCCGAGGACGGTGATTCAGTTACTTCGGAATCGGCGCATTCCCAACACCCTCATCATCTCCACCCCCGACCACGTAAAGCGCGCTCCTTTTCCACCGTCTCCGAACAATGGTCCGATCTCCGTGCAGCTCACCCGGGAGAGCTACAAATATTCATCGATCAAGCGGCTGACAGACCCAAGACTGCTGATGAACCGCTGCGCCGTCCTTCGGACAGCGCTCTTTCCCCATACCATTTGGGTTGGCCGCAACCAATCCTCGACAACGAAATGGCGCTTCACAGCTCAGTCTACGTAAGGACATCTTTGTCAACTGGTTTGCGCGCCTCGAATATATCCCGGGACTACTGGGCTGTCACCGCGGCGCCTAATGCTTACAACGGTGATCCAGCTCGACCCTCTTTCGTCGGTTCTTTCTTTTCTGGGACTGGTGCTATTGAGATGCCTCAAGGCTCGGCAATCAACGAGCAATTGAACTTCTATGAGCCCAAAGAGCCCATTGAGCCTTCAATCTTCGAAGCCTTGGTCTCGGAAATGGACAAGGAGTCGGTCGTGCGCTACATTCCTGGTACAAAAGATATCAGCGCTGCCACCCCTGCACGAATTGTGGCACAAATATCCTCGGCCTCTTTCATGGACTATGAGCTTGTCTCAGACTTCTTCCTCACTTTCCGGTCTTACCTTTCACCTAATACACTTTCGGCGCTGCTCTTGGCTCGGCTACGGTGGGCGATCAATCGGCCACAGGATGATGGCAGAATCATTCGAATTCGTACCTTCGCCGCTCTTCGACATTGGATCCTGAACTACTTTGTGGATGACTTTGTTCCGGACTATAACTTGCGATTATCTTTCTGCGAGACCATCAATGGCATGTATGATGACGTGAAGGCCCGGCAGAGTGGCGGGATGAGTGATTTGAAAATCCTCATTGACCTCAAACGGTGCTGGTATGGCAAGTGCTCTCTCTACTGGGACACCGTCGAGCAGCACGCCGCATTCCACAGTCCAGAAGTCGCTATTAGGCCGGGAGGTGGTGAGGATGAGATCACTTTGAATCCAAATGGCGACAACATGCTGGCTGCGGGAGGTCCGAAATTCAGTCTGGAGGCTAGCCTTGAGCGTAGCGTCTCTCACACTGCCAGTCACCAGCGAAACAATTCGGCCAATACGACAGGAAGTTTACCAATGACCACAACGAGTGACCGCAGCATCCATGCGACCTCTTGTTCCTTGCCGCCCAAATCTCCGAAACGACTTTCGTTGGCCGTCACACCTAACAAGGCACCCCACCCCGTACCACTTGCACCCTTGAAATTGACTTGCTCTCGGGATGCGCTACCACCTCCGCCTCTCAATACCCGTCGCCATGCATATTCGGGTCACAGACACAAACGTAGCGGAAGCTTCTCCGACTCGGTCAGAGATGACCGCGCACCTGCCTCTTTCCTGGCCCCGGGACAACACACTGCTTCTTCAATTCATGGAGTGCTCAATCTAGGTAGCTTGATACGCGGTGAGCTTTACCCCCCGGCGGAATCCTACACGATAATGATGGCACCGCCGTCGCCTCCTCTACCATCCTCCACCAGAGACATATCCCCCGGTCGACGAAGCACCTTTAATGCAACAACCAAACCCAGTTCTTCCGGATCCGGTGTCAAAACTATCATTGGATCAATCCGCCGCGCTGTGCACAGTCGACAAGGGGGACCTAGTGGTCCCCGCGGCATACAAGGACAAACCAACCCTTCTCATCCAGGTAGAACGTCGGCACTTCCTAATAATGTCGCATATGGTTCCGATCTCTATCGTGATAGAAAAGCGACTGCAACGACAAGGAGACGTGTTAGGATCGACACGCTGTGTGACGAGGCTTTACGTCAATATCGTACAGCTGTCGCCGAACAAGCGGACACCAAACCGGTCGTCCTGCGCCCGGAGACTTCACAGCACCTAACTACGATTGCTAATGGCACAGAGCCCCACGTGCCCACACCAAGCTTGACTAGAACGGACAGTCAGCTAACCACTGGAAGTGAGTCAATTGTCATTGTGGATGGTACTGGCCTTGCGGTGCCGATGATGTCGGGAGCTATTGGTTCGACCACGGGACTCGCAGAGCCGCCCCGGTTTCTGGAAGCAGAAACTTCCCCATTGACCCTGAGGGCTCCATCCTTGCACGTTCCCTCTCAAAGATCCACTCTTGCCACTGGCGAGTACTCGCTTCCTATATACTTCGATGACAGCGAATCCGGACCACCAAGCAGGGCATCTAAATTTCTCCGTCCTACGGGTTCGTCGCGCAGATCATACTCAGTCGAGCGCGGGTCGACACACTGGAAGCGAACTTCCCCATCGCTCCGCCTACGTAAATATGCGTCATTCCAAAGCGGAATCTCGAAACTGCGCCTTACATTAGGTAGCGAGCCCATTGTCCCCGGTTCCGACCAACACTCGCGGCAAGAATCAGATAGGCCGGCAGGTCCAGTGCTTCGCCGGCGCCCTGGCGGAGACCTGCGGCAAATGCGCAATGACAGCTGCCCCCAATCTCGGGTCAATTCAGAGTCAATGCTGTCTGACTTGACTTACAGAAGTGCGGACAGTTTCGTTACTCAGCCGGAGCATGTCGGCTCTAGACCCCAAACAAGCCTTATCCCGCCGAATCCGCGGTACTCTCTGATGACCACACACTCTTCGCAGAACATGCGGCGCTCATTCGAGGCTGCGATTGCTCAGTTTGCGCAGATTCCTGATGATGGCGATGGAGGCGTCGAGTCAGCCCTGCTAAAGCTGGAGGGCAAGTGGCAAGGTCAACCTGATCAGGATACTGTGCCCATGGGAACAGACGTTTGGAATCAAGGTCAATCCCTAGGCAGTGTTTGCGAAGAGGATCGGTGCTACCAAAATCAAGCTAGGCAGCATCATCTGGGTTCGGAAAATGCCGCAGAGCAACACGGGACGTTCCTCGGGGACAGTCTGACTTATTCACAGATACAGGGACGTCTCGTCCCTCATCGGGCTTATTCCTACTCGGTGACGGAAACAGAAAACTCCTTCGGTTCGATCCCACTGCTCGAGCGAGGGCTGAGTGATGACTCCATGAAGAAGCCAATAACAAGTTGTCCGTCGTCGCATATCGCCGGCCCATCTCGATTGCGGGCTAGTGACATCTCCAGTCGTGAGACAACGGATCTGGACTCATTGCGCTCATCTCTTGACATTGTGAAGAAGACCGCGAGCTTGAATCGTATCCCGCGGGGTTCGACGCTTCCATATATTCCCTCCGGATCCCGCAAGCAGCCAGGTCATCTATCAGGATTGTCCTCCGAAATCTCCGTTGATCTGATCGATGGACGAGAAGCGTCCGAGCAGCGGCTGTCCCTCGATACCCATAGGCTGAGTGACGCGTCCCTGGACATCCCGACCCATCCGCTTGCCCACCCACCGTCTCCTCCGATGACTATCCAAAACACTCGATCGATCTCCTGCGCGACGCCCCTTAATCCAGTCCTGTTTCCGACACAGCCACTTACACCCGATCCCTCTCCCAGAAACATGGCGGAGCAAGTGGATGGCCGGACCCTTGATGTGCAACATGTTTCCAGCGATGTCCTTTCTCGGTCTGAAAAGAATCACCAACTCCTCCGACCATTGAATGACACCGAGCCCGACCACGTACCCTTCGTGCTCTCTTGCGAGTCTCACGTTCTTGCTCAACAATTGACATTGGTTGAAATGGCCGCATTGAGCGAGGTGGATTGGAAGGATTTGATTGATATGCGATGGAGCAGCGGCTCACCCTCGGCGCTCAACTGGATTCAATTTCTTAAGGATGGAGAGCGTCGAGGCATTGATTTGGTCGTAGGGCGCTTCAATCTGATGGTCAAGTGGGTGCTCTCCGAAATTGTTCTCACCCTCGACATACATGAGCGGGCTCGGACAATCGCCAAATTCATCCACACCGCGGTGCATGCCCGGCGGATGTGTAACTACGCGACAATGCTCCAAATCGCAATTGCGCTGTCATCCTCCGACTGCTCCCGACTCCAGGGCACATGGGCCCTGGTTCCCGCCGGCGATAAACACATGCTGAAAGACATGGAATCCCTGATTCAACCAATCCGTAACTTTCATGATCTCCGTTTGGAGATGGAAACAGCCAATGCGCAGGACGGCTGCATTCCCTTTGTTGGTGCGTTGTCCTTGAGGTCCCAAGGGCTTGTACAATCTTCTCTACAGATCTTGTAGCTAACTACTTCAAAACACAGGCCTCTACGTCCATGATCTCACATACAACGCACAAAAACCGGCGCGCGTGACCACTCAAGACGGAGAACCTTTGATCAACTTTGAACGCTACCGTACTACGGCCAAGATCGTCAAGAGTCTTCTTCGCTTGATTGACGCGAGTACCAAGTATAAATTTGACCCAATCCCGGGCATTATCGAACGCTGCCTGTGGATCGCATCGCTCTCTGATGAGCAAGTCCAGCTGCGTAGCAAGCAACTGAATTGAACAGTCTTTTATGACTTGACACATGATGAACCATGTCGATACACGATCAACCCTAACGAGATGACAAACATACTAATTTGGGAGGATGGATTGTTTTATTGCATTTGGGCGCCCGTGATCTTGTTGCGCCAAATACCTACTAATACCCCGAAGATACCCAGGATCGCATTGGTCACGGAGAGGATGGGTCTCAAAAATCTACTTATCATGTATTTATGTACACTAATCTTGCATCGGGCTGCGTTGGGCTTTGGTATTTGTTTTGCATCTTTGGTTGTGGGTTTTGCTTTTTGTTGGATATTCATCGGAAAAGATGAAGGGGATACATATCCTAGTTTAAATGATGGCGATATCTATAAGTAGTTGTAAGGAAAAGGGGGGTCTGGCTCGCCTTGCTGCCTGATCATGAGGATACCTGAAACTGCGCCATCTCCTTTTTCTTAGAGTTAGTTTTCCCTCCTCCGAGGACAATCAATTGAGTCTACCAGGAACATCCCAGGCTCCCAGGCTCCCAGGCTCCCAGACTCCACCGTGCGCCCGCCCGCCCGCCCGCCTGAACACTCGTCATCTCTCTTTCTCTTCTCTCACTCTCTCACTCGATTGTCTCCTCTCTCACCCTCCTTCTCGATTCTTCCACTTGTATCAAATATCCAGTCAAGGGTCTCCGACTCCCATCTGAGCTTGCATTGCTCAGCTCTCCTCTATAATCTCCGCAAGCATCCCGTTCTTTCGGATTGAGATCTTTCTCAGTTAGACGGGAAGACGACCCACCAGGGAAAGGAGGCCGTCCTCCATACCAGCTAGTCGTGAGGCTGTCTCCTCCATGGAGCGAGAGCTAGCATACCACTGCTGTTCGAACTCTCCTCCTATCTCCTCTTCCATCACCACGAGTCCTACCACCGCCTTCTCTGTTTCCGGACGTCAACGCTCTTTCACCACCCGTCATGGCCGACTCCGACTCCCCCCGCGGGGTGTCGGACGAACTCGACCACAGCGATCCGTCTTTGGCAGAACTCCACCCCCGCACGCTTCCCGATGATTTGCCCAAATCCTTAGACGACCGTCGTTCGATGCCTGTTCTGCAACCCGAGACGGAGATGTACGATGCCTGGCAAGGTGCGCGGCTACCTATTCTCTCTTACCCCTCCATCGCACACCTCTCCCGGTCGCGCAACTGCCACACATGTCACGTCCTTTGCTTGATGCGTGGCTATTCCCGACAAAGCATTGCAGATATACATTATTCTCGGCGTGGGGTGGAATCAGGGAATATGATGCACACTGACAAAGAAAAAACGGTTTCGTGGGCAGACACCGTAGGAGGTCGCTAATATGTATCTGTCACCGCAGGCCAGTCACAATTTCTCACCACCCCCGTGGCCGCCAAACCCTTGAGCTTCAGCCTCACGCTCGACGATCACACGCATGACGAGGAGCACGCCCTCCAAGCGCAGTATGGACGCGGTCTTGCTGCAGCCGCCATCGATGACGACAACGAATCTACAATCACGGCTCGTCTGGAGGACAGCGACGCTCGGTTGATGGAGATGCTTGCTGCGCAAGCGGCCCATCGGGAAGTGGATTCGCTCGGTGCGGACGAAGATGCCATCGCCTCCGATGAAAAGCTGACTGAAGCGGAGAAGCGGGATATCTTACAGCGGAGCTTGAATATGGCGGCGAGCAATGGCGACGTGGATCGTGTTCGCAAGCTGGTCCAGGGACAAGCGAAAGAATACGTGGATGTCAACATGCCGGATGAAGAGGGCACGGTGCCCCTGATTTACGCGAGCTGTTTTGTATGTTCTGTGGTCCTTCGGGCTCTTCAGCCGACCACGTTGGTCTTCCGGGGGTGGCGCGAAACTGACGAATTCGTGTAGGGACATCAGGATGTCGTGTCGGCTCTGCTCGATGCGGGGGCCCTTGTCGATCAGCAAGACCGGAATCAGTGGAGTGCCTTGATGTGGGCGATGACCAACCGACATAAGACCATTGCGAAAATCCTCCTCGACCACGGCGCGTCTCCGGACATCAAGTCCTCCTCCGGCGGCACGGCTTTCGACTTTGCTCAACCTGGCAGCGAGATTTCGGAGTACCTACATGAAAATGGGTATCATTTTGGACCGAGCGCCATCGAGGACGACTTCTACGATTCTGGATTTGGACATGGCCGCTTTGAAGAGGAGATTGCAGAGAACGAGATGAAGCGGCGTATGATGATGGAAGAGAGTGCGATCAATCTCGAGGTAGACTTGTCGAGTCTGGGCCTGGACGAGAAATTTGACGTAAGTCGCATGGTGCACTCTCCGCCAAAGCTACGCTGGCTAACATTGTCTTTTGTTGTTTTGCTTCCGCAGTCGCAAGATGAGGATCTGGAAGAGGAGCAGCAAGAGTTTGTCTGGGACCGGTGCCTGAACGACCAGATGTTCGTCTTCCAAGACAATGAGCTCGAGAAGATACTGAATATCATTATCACGAATATGACACCCCAAAGATCTCCCTCCCAGAAGCCGGTACCCGCCAACCTTTTGTTCCTCAGCGCTCGTTACGCCCATTATCATGCCAGCTCCGAACTGCTGGCCACGCTCCTAGTCTCCGCGACGGATAAAATCAACGACGTCGTAGAGCGTCATCAATGGGACATGACAATTCTTGCCTTTTGGATGTCGAATGCTACTCTGTTACTCCATTATCTGAAGAAGGATGCTGGTTTGGTAGAAGCAACGGTGGAGTTCCAGCTTCATCTGGCCGAGTTGATTAACGAGATCTTCATTCTAATCATCCGCGATGCTGAGCGTCGCATGAACAAGGTTCTCGACTCGGCCATGCTTGATCACGAGACGATCCCCGGTCTGGAGGACGTGCACTTCCAGAACGAATGGAAGCTATTCCGGCCCAAGTCCAAGGCCAAAGCTCCCGAGCCGGTGGAGAAACGCTTCCGGCCACCATCCCCGCGACGGCGCGCACAGGTATCCCCGCGCAACATCACCTCGCTTCTGTCATCGACTCTCTTTGTCCTCGATCTGTACGATGTGCACTCGGTTATCATCACTCAGATTATCTCCCAGCTTCTGTACTGGGTGGGAGCGGAGATCTTCAATCGCATCATGACGACCAAACGGTACCTGGCGCGGACGAAAGCAATGCAAATTCGCATGAACGTTTCGACGCTGGAAGATTGGGCCCGGAACAACAACCGCCAACCGGAACACTACGAGAATGGCTCGACGACTAGCACGGGCGAGAGCACCATGGACGCTGCGCGCAAGCATCTCGCCCCGGTGATTCAGCTTCTCCAATGGCTGCAATGTTTCTCCTCCCTGGGCGATGACTTTGAGTCGTTGGTGACGACCCTGCTTCAACTTCAGCAATTGACACCGGCCCAGCTTCTGCATGCGGTCAAGTCATACCGACCGGAGGTTGGAGAGAAGGGCCTGACCAAGCAAGCGATGAAGTTCCTCATTGAGCTGCAGCGCGACCCGGAGCTACTCTATCGGGAGCACGCTAAACTCCAGGCGGCTCAGCAGCAACGAGCTGCAGCGCAGGCAACCGTTCCCAGTGATGGCGGACGTCCCCAGACGCCTCCCGGCACGACGGCCGGCGATGCGACCGCCTCCCCAGACGCGTCGACGCGCGCCTCGGTGACTTCTCCGGGTTCCAGTATGGCGTCTCCGCGACCAGCCCTGATGGAGGAGCGGGCTGGCAGTCATGGAGTGTTTCTCGATCCCTCTTTGACCCTGCCATTCTCCTTGCCCACCAGCACGGATATGCTGATTAGCTATGGGGCGGGATGGGGGGGTACCAACCGCGAACGGGCGCGTAAATACATCCCGACAGTGCCCCCGGAAGTGCTCAGTCGCTTTGATCGCGACGGGTGAGGATCAAAGGAGACGATGAGTAAGAGGCCGTCTAGCTGTGTATCGGGATACCCTAGGATTGATTACCTTACCTTCTTCGAGTATATACATTTATCTAGGATATTTTTCCCCCCCTTTTTTCTTTGTATCCTATATTTATTGTCTCTTTTCTGTTTCTTGTTCGTAGGTCAGGTCAGTTCAGGTTCAGGGCCAGACCATACGACGCATGATGCCAAGCGGAGTCCCTTGAGAGAGGGTTGCGTAGTAAGGCCCGAGGCCGTCAGATTGAGTGCTAGTCAGGGAGATAGCGATGGACAGTGGAGTTGCTGGAACGGGCCAGGCCGGTTGACTGGCCAATCTAGACGAGGCATGCCGAGATTTCTAAGAGAGACCATGTCTCGAGTGGGTGGGAAAGACGCCAGAAAGACGAGAAAGACCCAAACAGCAGCGGAGTAGGGGATGGGGGATGACGAGTCGCCCCGGGCGGTTCGTCGTCAGCAAACCTGGCCGCTATACGCAATGAAGCAACGACTAGTCTCCAACCGTCTCTACCGTCGCCTGTTCTGTTATATAATCTCGTGAATTTTAGTTAATTGTGAGTAGAAGCTGATTCATGAAGGAGGACTGACGAGGAATGGTCGCGCGATCCTTTTCGCTGCTAGTTAAGCTAGGTAGTTCCCTCGTGTTCCCGCTTGGTCTTTTTTTTCTTCGGTTCTTCTCCTCTCCCTCCCTCCCTCCACTCTTTATTACTATCTGACTACGTGCTTCATCCTTTGCTTCTTTCTCTTCGACTCTCTGCCTCGTTTCTCAGGCACTCACCCGGTCGAAGGCCCGCATCTTCAGGCATCAATATCCGGGGGTTGTCTCTTCCCGATCTGGTTAGTGCACGCGGGGACCAGCCCTGTTTGGGTAAGTGTGTCTTTCCTGTCTGGGGGTTATCCTCTTTGGGCTATTCTGTCTTATGCCCGCCGCTGCAGTGTCGATTTCCTCCAAAATTGATTATTAGGTTGTCTGCTTCTTGTTCTTTATTGATTTGCGGTTTTCCACTTCTGCTTTTCGCGTCGATTGTCTTTTCTTCCTCGACTGCAGTCTGCTGTTAAAGTGTTTTGCTGCGGCTCTACTGCGTCTCACCGGGTCTTGACCCAGTTGGCATATCCATACCTATCTTCATTTCCCTTTTCCAGGCGCTTTCCTTAAGTTCTTCCGGCCAGGCAGACGATGCGGTCGTGCTTTGCGCTCGCAATCCCCCGTCTCCCAATTCCCTCCTGAGCCCGTTGGAGGCTGTGAGCCGGATGCCCTCGGAAGCTTCATCCTGACAGCTGTTTCGAACTGGCTGGTCTTTTGAAGACAATCTCTCTGGCTCGTGCTTATCGGTGCTGCCTATCGATCTCCACTTGAGCTCGGTTCATGCTTGCTTGTGTCGCGCGCCCTCCGTGCTTGCTTCTCGATTCCTCACCTCTCTGTCCGCTTCTGCAGCGGCCCGCCTACTGGAGGCATGCTGCTCACACTGAAACCCTCGTCACAGAACGGGGTCAAAGGGCCTCATGACTACGCCATCGTTCGCCAGTCCGTTCCAACCCCACGGTCTTCCCCGTCCTCGGTACCGGATCGATCAACGGCCACGGCGCCTTCAAGACCATCGGCAGACCATTCCATGGACAGTTCTCGCAGCGGGCTGCCGCCCCCGGCCTCCCTAACTCTGCCCCCGCCTAACCGAAGCTTCGCAAGTGGCCATAGCCCCGGCAATGCCATGAATCCAGCTCTCCCGCCGCCTCCGGGCCAATGGCAGAGCTCCGATGAATCCATGCGCCATTGGCTTCAAGCTAAGGCGGAAGAGGACCGGAGGAAGCAGGAAGAAGAGAAGACGCGTCAAGAGTCTCTGCGACTCGAACAACGGAGGCTCGAGCAGAGCATGCTGCGCGATGCCTTGCAGGCCGGAATTCCGCCGCACCTGATTCCGCTCATCTTTGCGGGGATCAGTCCCGGCGGGCTTCCCCCCTCCATCCTTGAGATGGTTCAACAACACATGGCGCAATCGGTTCCCCCGCGGGGATCGGCTCCTTCGATGTCGGGCTTGTCACACGCCCCAACACAACACCAACGGCGGCCATCGCACGTCCGTCGTGACTCCCGCAACCTTCCCCTCAACCCTTATCCCGCCCCGTCAGTCCCAGCACAGGCAGTGCCACCTCCTGGCATCCTACTCTCTCAACCGTTGCACCCCGTAGGCACGTCTCCGACTGTGCAGCCGCTCACTCGACCGCCGGTCACAAACAATGCTGTTGATGCTCGACTGCCCCCGGCGGTCCCCAGAATGCCTCTGGGCGAGCCGCAGCTTCAGCCTCCCCCGCCCATCAACCTCAGTCATGTACACTACGCTCCCGGCTCTTCCATACCCGTTACGCAGCCAGCAACGGGCAAGTCAGACCCCGTCTCCCGTCCTTCTCCACCGTCTCTGTATTTTCATCATTGGGTGCCTCCTGGCCAACCGCCGGCCAACCCCGTGGGAGGGCGGACTCGACAGGATTCGCCAGGGCCACCGCAAGGACCCCGTCGGGTGGAGTCTCATAGCTCTCCAGGACGCAAGAGGAAGGCGACTGGCCCTCATATCCCCGCTCCGATGCCGTCATCGCGAGGGCCGGAGCCCGTCCCTGGCAGCAGCACCGTGTACACCTCTCAACCAGGGTCACCAACCTTTGGTGACCCTCGCCTTAGTGTGTCGAACGAAGCCTCATCATATTACGACCTTCATGCGACGGAACCAAGACCTGACCGGCCTAGACGTGGCCCAAGCCCCGACCCGGCCACGGAAGACGAGGATTTGGGACCGCACCGTGAAGAGTATGTTCGTGCTCGAGAGAACTCGACCGCGCCAGAACCTTCTTCGACTCGACTATCCGGGATACAGCAAGATACGGTTGCTGAGATGACATTGCCAGATTCTGGGTCTACAAGAAGTCCAGGCCCACCGGCCGGTTTGGGGCCAAATCTAGCAAACACCCAACCTGACGCGCCCCGGGGAGGTTGATTACCCGTTGGGTGTTGACCTTCTTCGCTTACGCATTGTAATAATCTGTGATCTATTACCTTTTCCCGTGCTCATATCTCTCGGTAAGCGATTTTGTTTCCCTGCATTTGGAGCCTTTTGTGTCTATCGGGATAGAAGAAGTTTATGATACCAAAGACGAGAGACGGCCTTTTCTTCTTTTTTCCGTCTCTTTCTTATTTGCTGGCAAAATCTGTCTCTTTCTCCCACTCCCCACCGTCAAATCTCTCTTCCTGTACCCTCCTCTTGTCCTCTACTATCCTCTCAACCACTCATGCGAGAAGTCCTTCCTGTCACGGCCATGGTAAACACAATCCTCCGCATATGTACTCGAACTGCAAGACCTTGCATCCTCGCCAGAGGAAAAAAAATAACCCTCGGTTCTCCGAGTAGGGACGCTTCCTTGTGAATATACTTTCGTACATAACATCTCTCCAGACCATTGTGTTCTACAAACCAATCTCATCTGTGCAAGATCTCTTTTCTGCAGGCTCCGTTAGTTACATTCAGAATTTAGCATGAGGGACTCCGATCATGGTGGCTTGATTTGTTGTGTATATACCTTCCGCTAAGCTTTGGAAAACCCCGAGAGGAGTTAGGAATCCTGCGACATGCCTTGATCGTAGTACATGTAACGAATGGATGAAATACGGGGGTTTCCTCTTTGTGAGTAAAGTAAAGTATTGCGGATGAATGAATAAATGAATGAATGAATGGATAGTGAAGGGGTCAATGGACTGGGAGAAGATGCAGGTGGTTCAGTGAAGGATGTGTTCCTTCGTAGTGGAAGAAGTTATTGATTCATGTATTTTATTTATTTATTTCGTTTCGTATTCCGATTAATGGGGGGAGGGGGGCAGTCGGGTCTGTCTCTTGTTTCCATGATGAGGTTGGGGGTTGGGGTTGGTGTGGGGATATATCATGATATATTGTATGTGGTGTATGTATGGTGTTACTTAGAGGGTTCAATTGCGGTGGGAAGTCGTATCTACTGCTTACCTTATATATATATATATATATATATATATACATGTGTTTTTATTGATGTGTATCCATTGGTGGAAGAAGACGGTCCGGCGCCAGGTAAATATGGATCATGTTGCTTGGGAAGGAGAATACGAGTTTAGTGTTGCGTAGGTACTTTTGTATACATCCGACGATGACGAGTCGGTAGATAGAAGGTAAGTAGAAAAGTAATTGGAGCCCGATGATGGATGCTAATCGTCTAGGGTTGGGTTCGAGGTATAATTGTATGTATGTTTGCATGTGTGAATGTATGTAAGTTTGTATGTATGAGGATGACAGGCAGATGAGGAAACACAAAGCCGAGCTGAGCTGGAGGGAAACGCGGTAAGGGTATGTTTGGTTGTTTGTTTGGTCTGTGATGACCGGGCCGGTGAATTATGTAGGATGTATATAGGTTAATGAGTGTAATTAGTGTCCCTGTGGTAGCGGGACATATGGAAAATGATGAGCGAGGCGCAAATAGTAGTACATGTAGTAAGTGTAGTAGAGCATGGTAGTTGTAGTAGAACATGGTAACGAAAGGTTGGGAGATATAGCAAGGAACTTGTAGGAAAGATGATAGAGAGTGAGTAGTAGTAGATGAAGTAGAGCATGGTAATTGTAGTAGAACATGGAAACGAAAGGTTGGGGGATATAGCAAGGAGCATGTAAGGAAAGATGATAGAGAGTGAGTAGTAGAGACCGATATGGTTGGGATCTGACAGTGTGCTGCCAAGGAAATATTCGGAAATTCCGCGTGTGCGGCGGACACACTGCGAAGAGTGGTGCCGGGACGAGGTATGTGTATTGTGTAGAAGACGGGTTGGCCTTCCGCGAGCTCGAATGTCAGAGTCGGCAAGATCGGCAAGCCTTGAGATAAGGCTCATGTTGGGATAAAGAGTTGACAGGGCGACGATGTCGCGAAGTAAGCCGTGAACACGGGAAAAGCATATATTGAGGAAGGATATCGGAGGGGAAACAGTCAGAAGTGTAATTGAGGAAACAACGACTTTTCTTTACTCATCAAGAATCGTCCGCCTGAGTCATAAGAGGATTATAAGGAACTTCCAGCACGCCCAAAAGACAGTAGTCCTCTGTCCAGGAAGAGACCTAGAGAATTAGATTAGGTTTAAGTAGTGATTGTAAGGGGTAAGTTTGGTGGAGACTGGGCTTCCCCAGTCAACACAAGTGCATCACGGTCATTCCACGAATGAGGTTTGGATATAAGGTATCGAAGCCAACTAGGATGACTTCTTTCGACGATGGACTTTCCATTCTGTTTTGGCAACACGCATGAACAGTTCCACGTCCTTGATCGGAACCCAGCTGGTGAGAACCTTCATCGCATTCTCGAAGTCGGACTCGAGGACGATGTCACGCATGCCATCAATAAGCGCCGCTGAGGTCGCATGAAGAACGTCCAGACCGTTGCCAAATGCACTGACATGAGCTCTCTTCCCGCTCTTGATGGAAGATCCAGGTGCCGTGAGATCTTCTGCATCGCCGAGCAGCATGAACACATCCCATACCCGAAGCTGCGCGGGAAAAGGGATGGAGTAGTTGAACAAAGTTAGATACCAGCGAGTACCGTACGCTGTAGGTGGGATGCCAAGCTCATTCTATGATAGGCATTGGATTAGTACGGTGCGCGACAAATGGGGCATGTGCTACTTACCAACTTCGCAGCAACCTCTCCCTTCTCCAGCCATTCTCGCTCGAAGTCACCCAAGGCCTCCATGAGTCCCGCAAAGCCGGACTGATACAGACGCCCCAGACCCCGCAATTGCCAGAGTCGGACAAGCATGATAAAGGCATGTTCTTCATCGTAGTAGGCAAGAAGCGTAGCAGCAAGGGCCGCCATGCCTTGAACGTAGCCGGTGTCAGGAAAGTACAGAGACATCGCATGCAGGACGCGGAACAGCAGCCGCTGTCCACCACGATAGCGGCGGCGGAACATAATATGGCTGGTGATTGTTCTGGGGACATCGATGTCGATCTGGACATCGTCAGGGGAGGACATCAATTGGTATTCATTGAATGCCTCGATGAGCTCCTCTTTGGAAGGGCTGTCGCTGTGCAGCTTGGCGCTGGCTTCTAAGAAGGCATACCAAGCGGTTGCTCGCCATCGGTCCGGTATGCCTTTCCATGTCCGTTCAATCAACTTCGAACTGGTGGTGTCGAACTCGAATGTCATACCCCCTCCATCGTTGCTCCGGATTGGTTTGGCCATCTTCGTCCATTTGTCTTCCCTCTCCCACTCCTTCTTCCTTGCTGCGCGAGCAGCAGCTGAGTCCTGGCGGTCCCCAGGTGTGACAGCGTTGGTCGGTAGCGTGAGCATGTCGCCCGCCTCATCCTTAACACGGCGGGTCCGGTTGTGAGGAAGATGATTAGCCGCCCGACGAAATCGTGTGGTTGAACGCCGTAAAGGTGAACTGTAGGTGCTCTGAGAAGATGACGGACGGATTGATGGCTCGGATAGCTTTCGAGTCGGAGATCGGCCGGTGAAAGAGCGATTTGGGCCTATTGCTGATGGTGGACGCATGGAATATTTGCGCCTTGGAGTTTCGGAAGCAAGAAGTAAACTTGTGGAGACACGCTGAATGGGACTAGGATCGATTCCCTCGTTGGAATTAGACGTTGGGGATCGAATGAAGCCGTAACGATCCACATCGCCTGCTTTGATGTTTTGCCAGTACTCAATGCCTCCCGCAAGCTCATGTGCTTCTCGTTTGAATCCGGGGACACCGTCTGTCCCGAGTGACGACACAATGCTTCGGGTATCAGTCCCCGATATACTGGGTCCCGACAGACGGGAGCCTTCCATGCTCGGGGGAGCGTTATCTTCCCACAGAACGCCGTTCTCCGCGGCCATGGACCTTGCTACCTCCGAGTCGGTCACATTCTCTTCTCCTTTCTCATACATCAGGCGTACCCGTCGCGACAGCATGTCTTCGTCTGCAGAGATGGCCCGGCTGGCTATGGCGCTATGCCTCACCCGGAGAGTTGATTGCGGTTTGGGGCGCCTCGTCGGCGTATCGAAGGGTTCTTCCTCAGCGCTATTCAGTTCCGGCGAGCCCATGGCTGGCAGAGCCGTAGCGCCCTCATCTTCAAGCACATGCTCTTCTAATCGTTGATCTGCCCCGTCCATCTGCGCAAGTCTTTGTTGTTTTGCCTCTTGCGCCTGAATTTGTTGCTGAAGTTGACGCCGTTCCTCTTCCTTGATGAGACTGCCACGCTTTGAAAACCTCATTGATTGCGGTCCAAGACCATCTAACGCGGCGTTCGGGATGTCCAGAGGAATCCCGTTGAACGGCGCTTGAATAGGAGGGACAGGCGGTGTGTCATCTTCATCCCGATCGTACTCCCCTGACTTTCTACCCCTTAACCCACCCCATCTACGTTCCGACCATCGCGAACCGGGGCGAGAACCGGGGCGAGAACCGGGGCGCGAACTGGGACGCGATGCTGTATCATCAACAATAATGCTGGGAATACTGCGCAGCGACCGCAAGCTCACAGTGGAAGCGCCGGCCTCTGGTAGGGTTGTCACTCGGTTTCTGCCGCGTCTGGTGGTTCGTTGCGACAGAACGGGTGGGGCTTGATCTTGAGGGACGCCAGACGAGGTACTGGACGAATTTGAACGGTCCTCCGAGCAAAAGGATTGATTACTCGGCGGGGGAAACGACGCAGACCGGAGAGTCACTGGGTCTGTCGTCGCGATAAGTTTATCGTAGGGCAGGGTATGAATTGCCGAGGTCGATTCGGACATCACGGCGGAAGGTACAGAAACAGATCGATTATTCACCATTATCCCGGCATGACTTGCGCCCTATTATTTTCAATTAATCCGTAGTATTTAGTGAAGGAAGAAAAGTCTTGTAGCTGATGCTGTGTGTGTATGCGTATGTGTGTTTGTGTGCACGTTAACCAAGGGAGGCAGCGGCCGGCGGGGCGGTGGATTGTATGGAGTATTCGGTCTTGGATCGCGAGTGAGGGAACGGATAGGAATTGAACTAGGACCGGGAGGCGCAGTAGAAGTTCAATGGAATTGATGATTATGGAAATCGTATAAATAAAATAGAGATTAAGATTATGGTGTGTGTTTGTATGTGGTGGACGGGGAATGAGCGACAGATGGGGGAAAAATCCAGTGTTCGGCGCAAGAGATCATGGCCGCCCCCAACAGTGCGACAGAGGAAAGGAGGGAGGAGGAAGAAGAAGAGGGAGGAAATTTGGGGCGGGCGTTGCTTCCCACTTCAGAATGGCTGGACCACAGTTCCTGGGAAGGATGCTTGGCGGCAGGACAAGCTTCAGCAATCCAGGGAGGAGGGGATCGAAGGTCGGGGAGAGGAGTTCACGGAATGTGTGTCTGTGTCTGTGTGTACTGTGTAGGTGTAAAATCGCTCTATCTGGTCTGCGTTCGGGGGAACGATGAAACGGAATTAGCCAAGGGAGGAGGAGAGGAGGGGAGGAAAGGCAATAAAAAAAAAAAAAAAAAAGAAAAAAAGAAAAAAGGAAAAAAAGAAGAAGAAGAACCAAAAAAAAAAAAAAAAAAAAAAGAGCCCCAGCCAGTATATCCAGCAATGCGCGCGCGCGCTCACCTCTTGAATCAACACCACCTCTCTCTGCAATTCCTCCTCATTGAAGAGAGAAGAACCGCATTCAGCCGCGCCAGAGAAGAGAGTCGAGATTGAAGGTTGGTGAAGGGAGAAAGAAGGAGAGGAAGAATTGAAGAACAAGAGGAGAAGACGAAGAAGACGAAGAAGCAGCGGCGGCGGCGGCGATCCACTATACAGATTTTAGTCTGCTTTAACTCCTCGGGAGGGCCACGCAGCTGTGGATCTTACACGGTTAATTTTGCCTGGTCCCGACCGCAAACACTGTTAATAATAGTATGTTCCCCGGGGCCACAGTATCAGTTGCGAATTTCTGGTCGTTGTGGTTGCGTAGATCGAAGCCAATTGTGGTGGGAATGAGAGAGAGAAAGACAGAGAGAGAGGGAATGAGGGGAAAACAAAGACAGACAGGTATTTGGTGGCTGATGAATGCGAGAGAAAGTCATTGTTTGTTTTCTTCTTTCCCACTTGTTGTTGTGGCTCCCTCCATCCACTTTTCTCCTCCTCAATTGCGCACGCACCACCCTCAGAACAAGCTTAGATCTACTCAAGTATAAGCAGCGCACAGGTACAGTACAGTACTACCCACTGGCCTGTGTCCTCCTCTCCTCCTCTCCTTGCTCGATCACCGAAACTGTATTTGGCTGGGTAGAAAGGGAGAACGGAGGGATGTTGGTCCTCCTCCCCCTTGAAAGACTGAGTACTCGTAGAAAACTCTCGACTCAGGAAGAGGATTAGAAAACCTGTCGCCATCTTGGTGTGCTTGCGTTTGTGATGCCAATTAGCTGGTTTCATTCTCAGGAGTCATCTTCCATTGAAGATTCGGATCCACCTCAGTGGCTAATATTTACTAGAACTCGACTCTCTGCTGCATGTCCGGTCCGGTCCCAATGCAAGGATTCGCTGCAGCCTTTATACATTATTCTCGTCGCTCGTCGCCGGTTCTGTTTATTGGCCTCCTTATGTCATCCACCTTGCTCGTCATATCGACATAGTCTTCCCATAAATTGACCCATCCGTTGTAACTCCGCCAAGGTCAGATGCCCGCTGACCTTCATGCAAATTCGGCACTGACATAACACACATTCAATGCATGTAGCCCTTCGCACCAAGCTCAAATAGTTCACAAAAGAAGGAAGGATACACACAAAAAACGGCAAGGGCCAAAAAAAAATATCCACAGCAAATGAAGAAGTGGTAGAGGACACGCGCCCCGTCTAGCTTCAAGCCACAGCAGCGGCTTTGATGCCGGATTTGGACGGCTCACGAGAGCGTGCTGGTTCAACCGGCTCATTGGGGAGAAGTTCGATTTGACGAACAAGAAAGCTTTTCTCATCCGTAAACTGGTCATCTTCAGTTCGATCCTCTAGAAAGCGAGGTAGGAATCTCAACAGGCGATCGCGGTTGTTGATAAGAATTCGCTGAACCGCCACTGATTTGTTGGGGTTGGCAACAAACACCTGCATCACATTCTTCGTCAGCATGCCGTCCCCCATAGGGCCGGACGGGCCCAGTCAGTGAGTCTGCCATACCTTGAACACGTGGAATCCCTCGTATTGGACCATCTTGCGATCATCTCGCAGCAGCTTCATGCACAGCTTGAGGTTCTCACCGCTCTCTACATACTGCATCATGACATTGTAATTGGCGCGATCGAGCAGAATCTCGCCGAGCAGCTTGATGCTCTGTCGCTTCGTCACATACGAACTGGAATCGACAAGAACCTCATTGAATTTCGCAAAGAAGCGATCAAAGTTGTTAGACAGGTACCCTGTCACTAGGCTCTTGTGCCGGGTCAGGATGTCCTGAGCCTACATGTTAGCACTATCCTCGCCCGCGTTCTCGGTAGGCAATAGTCACCCGGAAGGTTGTGAAAGAATCGGCACTCAGCTCAAAGCTGCCTCGGTCGATCCAGTAGAAGAAACGCCAGAAGATTCCAGTCCCATCTTGGAGGACCCCAGGCTGAACTTCCGTAAGTTTGATTGCCGGCTCTCCATCGCCCGATTGGTCGTACAGAATGATGGCCGCAATGACATCAAACTTCAAGGCTTCTCGCAGGATGATGCCGCACGGCATTGCGCTTTCGCCATGCTCATAACCCTTGCACAGTTCAACGATGACCTCGGGTCGGTTGTGGACTATGTAAGAGATGACCGGAGGGTCGCTGTGGTTTGAGCTAGCACTGGCGGGCCGAAAACGAAGCATGTGTGAAAAGATGGCCTGGGTGTCCTTTCGAGCTTCGAATGGAAGGAGATGAAGACTGCGAGCTAGTTCATAAAGCAGGTCTTCCTGGAGAGTTGCGTGGACCAGATTTTGAACCTGGTCAGGAGACACCTCAATATCTGCCAATAATCACATCAGTCAGGATTGCCTGAAAAGATGCGATTACAATTGATGACAAGCCGCCTGCAATTTTTACGAAAGCTCACGAACCTTGAGTGCCTTGGACGATCAACTTCATTTGTGCGAGCGGCTTTTCCACATCCTACATGTTCGCGCAGTCAGCAGCCTTCCCGGAACCCAGAACAGCACGGCTGGAACTTGAGGAGGGAATAGCATATGAATTAGAAACCAACCTTGGCAGTCCCGGGGTCTTCCCGAAGTCGCATCAAAGTGTCTTTAATTGACCGAACAAGATCAGATGGTTGACGGGATCGACCGCGGTTGAAGAAGAAGGCCATGCTTGAGCTTGTTTGTATTGCCGGCGGAACCAAAACAGCCTGGGTGGGGAGCAGTCGCTGTGCAAAGGGAGCGCCCGGATTCAAAGCATATACAGAGTCGCAAGAATTGGGAGAAGTTCGAAATCTCTCCTTCAGTGAAAGATGGCAATGGCCGACCGAATTGAGAGGGGTTGTAGTGTTCAACGAGGGAAGAGGGGAGGAGGAGGAGGAGGCTGTGAGAGATGGAGCTGCAGCTCTGGAGGGAGGCGGTGACGCTTCTGTTGGCGGGGAAGCCGAACAAGCCTCAGGCTCGACAAGGCATGAGTTCTCTTATCGCCGTTCTGGGCCCCCCATGATAAATGATAATCAACAAGGCGGCGGGGCAACCAGTAGTTGAACCAACCACTGGACAATTGCCCGTCCCGCTCCTTTTCCATTTTTTTCTGCGCTTTTTCTTTTCCGGCCGCAGACTGCTGAAGATCTGAACCCCTCCTCTCTACGCCCACACTCCCCCCCCTTCCTCCACCTCATTATCTCCTCCTTCGCGTCCGTGCTACGGTCTTGTAATTTGGTAGCGGCGCAATTGGCAGCTCTCAGAACCATAGTCTGTGCATATTGATTCTATACCCGTCAAGCTCGTTCACGCGGCTCGTTGCAATACCCCGCAATCGTCACGATGTCTGCTTCTGCTCTTCCATCGCAGCGTGTCCCCATCGAGGATGACGCCCGTTCAGTTTCCTCCGAGGAATCCGATATCAGCAACGAAGAAGGATGGGAGGATGTTGAGCCTGATGACGAGACTCAGCCCGTCGTCGGTCTGTTTTCCGACAAGGTGTACCCCGATGTGTTGTCCATGTTGAAAGAGACCAAGGACAAGCACAACTTTGACCTGCGAGGAATCCGCAAGGAGTTCGGTATGTAATTGATCTAATCAGATCCGCGTGGCAGTGATTCTTGCCGACGCCCGGACAATCTATCGGGAAAGACTGCATGGTGTGGGTTACAGCTAACTTCTAACGCATTACTATGGTAGACTTGGACTTCTTGGGCACTATCAAACTTGTCAACTACATCCGCTCTCATGTCAAGCAAGGCAACATGTCGCCGGATGTCTCCTCCAAGGATAAATTTGACGACGAACTTTACTTGATGCCGGTCCTCGAAGACGACGCTCTACTGTACAGCTTGGATGATATTGACGAGGAGGGGCCAGACGCTGCGGGAAACACGGACGCTGAACGGCGGGTGATTGAGCTGCAGGAGGACCTTGAGCGCCTGCAGACCCAATTCTCTGAATACAGAGAGGCGGTCCAGAAATCAATGGAGGAGCAATTATCCAAAGAGGATGAGAAGCTCAAGACCGACCCCAATGCTCCTCCGGCGCGACGGGCTACCAGCAAAATCGAAGAAGCAGACGCGGATTACTTCGTTTCTTACTCCTATAACGGTACGGTTCTGAATACTGCGCATCCCATATGCGATCTGTCCACTGACAAGACTCCCGCCAGGCATTCACGAGTCCATGCTTAAGGACACGGTCCGCACTGAAGCTTACCGGGATTTCGTCTACGAGAACAAGCATGTCTTCAAGGACAAGGTTGTCTTGGATGTTGGTTGCGGAACCGGAATTCTTTCCATGTTCTGTGCCAAGGCTGGCGCTCGCAAGGTCATCTCCGTCGATAACTCCAACATTATTGACAGAGCCAAGGAGATTATTTACGAGAACGGTTTCGGCGATGTGATAACGTAGGTACCCCGGTTCATTTCGCTATGACGAGTTTAAGCTAATGGTTGGACTATCAGGTGCATCCGTGGCAAGATTGAGGAAGTTACACTCCCCGTCCCGCAGGTGGACATCATCGTATCCGAATGGATGGGATATGGCCTTCTTTTTGAGGCCATGTTCGACTCGGTCATTTACGCTCGAGACCGCTACCTTGCGCCCGGTGGCCTCATGGCTCCGTCGCATGCTACCCTCCGCATCGCCCCATTTGCGGACTCCGAATTCATTTCGTCGCACATCACTTTCTGGAAGAGTGTCTACGGCTTCAACATGAAGAGCATGCTTACCGGCATCTACGATGAGGCACTCGTCCGCAGCGTACCGCCTTCATCAATTCCTGGAGATTCTGATGTCTTCCTGCCTCTTCCGCTGCATACCATCACTGTTGAAGAACTATCTTTCTTGAGAGAGTTCAAGGTGACTCTTACTGAAGACATTGATGCACTCGATGGCTTCGCTATTTGGTTCGACATCTTCTTCATGCCGTCCAGAGATGCCCCTCTTGCGGATGATGCTATTCCCTCTGATATGCAGAAGAAGGGCATCGTTGCTTTCACCACCGGGCCCCACGGCACTGAAACACACTGGCAACAGACCATCTGCCTCATCGATCAGGAGAAGAAGAAGGGTGTTTCGCTGAAGAAGGGTCAGACGATCACTGGTAAGGTTGGTTACCAGAAGAAGGAGGCGGGATCACGATCGTTGGATATCAGCATTGACTGGGAAGCCGAAAATGAAAAGGGCTCTCAGCTGTGGAGCTTGCAGTGAGCCAAACACGCTCGCTGATCACCATTTTATAAATAGCTTAGATCCCAGCAATCTCTTTCATGCGGGCAAGACAAAATCATAGAACGTGTTCGCATGGCCCACGAAAAGTTCAACGTGTAAGCATGGTAGCTCTTTTACTTTGTAATGGTACATCACCTAGTTTTGGATGAGAGAGCTGCTCATGTTATGATCGCATAGTGAGTAGTCAAGTTTGTGAATGCTACTCTGCATGTGTCGCTCGATTCCTTGACTCCGTCCCTCGATGGCGGTCATGGCGGCGATGATGAGAATCTGACTTGGAATGTGAATGTCGATGATGCGAGCGATCTCGGCTTCTGTCTCTGCGATGATGTCGACGGGAACTTGGGTCATGGGACTTCCGCGAGCTGTCTGGAGAAGCATCGAGCCTGAAACCCTCGAGGCTGTCCTGTGATGCAGACCTTTTTCTACGATGACGCGACCGGCGCTTTTCCACAGACTTGATTTCCTCAAGCTCGCGCTTCCGTTCCTCGTTCCATCTGTTCCTTTGCCTCTCAACTGAGCGGAGCTGTTGGACACCTATTCTCATTGCCGCTAGAGGATCGTTGGCATCCATCCTGGCCTTTTCTCTTTCTTTCCGCAAAGGATCCTCATTACCCCAGACATCCTTGCTCGGCATGGCTTCCGACGTCTGTGTATCGGTTCGAGACGACGAATACCAAGGATTCTGACCGACGGATTGCCGGAAACCCGCCGCATTAGAAAAGCGCATGGTATATTGGTCCTCGAACCTTCTTTGCCTCTCAGTAGACTCCTTCTCTGCTTCTGCATTCTTCTCGGCTGGTTTGCGGGCCGTTTCCGAGGGGAATAAGTCAATATGTCCGGTGCTATCGTGAAGGGGTGCGTCGCTTGAACGGACACGAGCCTGCCGGTCCTGTGTAGCTCGGGCCATTTTGGCGTCCTCCTGGGCAAATCTGATATCCCTATCTGTATCGTTCTCCCCAGCTAGTCGTCTCCTCTTCCTGTGTCGCCCGGCCTCCTCCGAGTACCTGTGTTTATCAGTTGAGGAAACCGAGGACTGCGGCGGCGGCGGTGGGGGTGGGCTTGAGGGTCGTTCTCCGCGCAGGATTTGGATTCTTCGCTCAGCGTCGACTTCCTGCATGCGGCGCTCCTCTTCCTCCTCCTGAGCTTTGGCTTGCGCCTCGTCGCGCCGCACGCGAGCGATGTTCTCTGAGTTGTAGACGTTCCATGATTTCTTCCCTAGGAGATGGCTGGACCACACGGTTTGTCAGTATCAAGACATAAATAATGAACCATTGAACACAATGACTCACAGCGGCATTTTCACTGGTAGACCAAGTATATTGAAGGATGAAAGGAGAAGATGGATTGCTCGTCCGCAAGAGTCGTCATAACGATCGGTGAAAACGGAGGTCCGCGGGCCGATAGACTAAGCAACGGTACCTTACGTCCATGTGTCGCGAATGGAGCTCCCCCCATTCATAGCCGCCACTTCTCTCATTCCCATTCCTTCATCTTTTCATACGCCTGCCACCTTACAGACAACTTGAATATACTTGCAGTCAGCCTTTCGAGACATCTCTTCATTTTCTTTTTAAACTATTCTGTCTTACCTCTCATTTTAGTTGAACTTTTGCCACAGCTGCCGGCAGCATTTAATCGCCCCTCCCCCACGCTCAACCGCACTGTCAGGCATCGTCTAACTCTATAGTCGTGTCGGCCTAATAAATTTTACATCTTGTGCAAAAATGTTTAATCGCAATAACTACCCCTCTGTGCCCAATCCCTTCGGCGCTCGTCCCTCGCGCGGGGACGGCTATCCTGCCCCTAATCAACCGGGCGGATATCCTTCTGCAGGGTACGCATATACATAACGCAAGGCTCTCGGTGATGACATTCAACTAACTCATATGGCCCATTAGTCCCGGAGGATATGGAGCCCCGCCGCAGTCTATGGGCAGGCCTAGCCCATCCCACATGCCACCACGGAGCGAGAAGCCCGTCAGCTCTGGCCAGACATGGACGCTGCGGCCTGCAAAGAGCCCCGACAATGTGTATACTTTCGGAAACTTGTATGTTGCGATCCGACACGATTCAAGTCCGGCTTTCTAACATCTCCTTAGAGTCGCGGTTTCAACTCAGGACTTTCCTCCCTCGCGCGATGGACACGATCTCCTCCTTCTCATCAACGACCTCTACGTTCTTTCTGCGCGTCCTCTCGATGGGTTCCCCCCGGGTCACATTAGCATGTCGGATCCCCAGCGGACTTGGGCTGGTATCGCTTTCACCGATTCGGTGCAAGTGCAGATCTATGATCCTTTCAGCCAGGGTGGCCAGGCGTACGTCGGCTCCACCGATATCGAAGTAGGATTCGCTGGCAAGAAGAGGGTTGAGACTCCGTATGACCAGGACGAACTGGCCAGCGTTGTGATCAAGGTGCGCTATATGATTTTATCCCGACTCACATGCGCCATATATTCTGACAGGCCTAGAACTTCGAAAATCAAATATTTGCTCCCGGTCAAAAGATCCTCATGGATCACCGGAGCATCCCGCTTTTGTTGACGATCAAGACTGTTCAGCGCGTTGATTTGTCCTCTGGCAAGCCCGACGCTAGCGGTGGACAGGTCGAGACCGACCCTACTGCTAGAGGTATCCTTACAAGACACTCCCAGATCACTTTCTTCAAGGATGCTCGTACTGGCATAAATCTGAAGGCCTCGAATCGACGACCGGCAGCCAATTCTATCATCCAGCCTGACTTCAAGTTCGAGAATATGGGTATTGGTGGTCTCGACTCAGAATTCAGCACTATCTTCCGTCGTGCCTTTGCATCTCGCATTTTCCCGCCGGGACTTGTTGAGAAATTAGGCCTTCAGCATGTGAAGGGTATTCTGCTCTATGGTCCTCCGGGAACGGGTAAAACACTGATTGCGCGTCAAATTGGAAAAATGTTGAATGCCAGGGAACCTAAGGTTATCAATGGACCGGAAGTGCTCAACAAGTACGTTGGTCAGTCGGAAGAAAACATTCGAAAACTCTTTGCGGACGCAGAGAAGGAGTACAAGGAGAAGGGCGAGGAGAGCGGCCTTCACATTATCATTTTCGATGAGTTGGATGCCGTTTGTAAGCAGCGTGGCAGCGGAGCAGGTGGAGGTACCGGAGTTGGAGACAGCGTGGTCAACCAGCTACTCTCCAAGCTCGACGGTGTCGACCAGCTCAACAACATCCTACTCATTGGTATGACCAACAGAAAGGACATGATCGATGAAGCCCTCCTGCGTCCTGGTCGTCTTGAAGTTCACATGGAAATCTCGCTTCCGGACGAGAGCGGCCGTGCTCAGATCCTCAAGATCCATACTCAAAAAATGCGCGACAATAGTGTAATGGACGATGACGTGGATCTGCCCGAGCTGGCTCAGCTGACGAAAAACTTCTCTGGTGCCGAAATTGCTGGTCTTGTCAAATCCGCGTCGTCATTCGCATTCTCAAGGCACATCAAAGTTGGAACGATGGCTAACGTCAGTGATGATGTTGTGAATATGAAAGTCAATCGAGCTGATTTCCACCACGCACTTGACGAAGTCAAACCAGCATTTGGTGTTTCGGAGGAAGAGCTGTCAAGCCGTATTCAGTATGGCATCATCCACTTCTCAACTGGCATCAATGAGATTCTCAAGGAAGGAGAGCTTTTTGTGAAGCAAGTTAGCAATGCGGAATCCTCTCCTTTGTTCTCTGTCCTGCTGCATGGCCCGACCGCAAGTGGAAAGACCGCTCTTGCTGCTCGGATCGCCATTGACTCGGGCTTCCCCTTCATCAAGTTGATCAGTCCTGAGGACATGGTCGGATATAGTGAAATGGCGAAGATCCAGCACATTACCAAGATCTTTGATGATGCTTACAAGAGTCGTACGAGTGTTGTCGTGGTTGACAATATCGAGCGCCTTATTGAGTGGGTTCCTATCGGTCCTCGCTTCAGCAATGCAATCTTGCAAACGTTGATGGTGTGCTTGAGAAAGCAGCCTAGCAAGGGCAGACGACTTTTGGTCCTGGCGACCACAACGGAGAGGGCTGTGTTGAAGCAGCTGGACGTGTATAACTCGTTCAATGCGGATATCATGGTTCCCAATGTCATGACATACGATGAGCTGAGACATATTCTGGAGAAGTCCGAAGCCTTTGAAGCGCAGGAAATTGAGCAAGCGCTAGAGGGTCTTGATGACATCTCCGAAAGCAAAACAATTGGGGTTGGTGTCAAGAAGGTGCTTCTGGGAATCGAGACGGCCAAGCAGGACGTCGATAAGGTAGGGCGCTTTGTGCGTGTCATCAACCGTGCCATTCAGGAGGAGCACACTTTTGCGTAGAGTTGGCAGGAGCTATGAACAGCGAGACTGGTATATCATGGTGTATAATGACGCTAGAGCAATTGAGCATGACAGTATACATGCTATACGTCATCTTTCTCACAGGCTGGCTTGGTCATGCCCCTGCCGTGTTATTTCATTCATTTAACTTAACACTATTGTAGAGGTAACTACCCACCCACTTTACTGTCTTAATCCCGTCTCTTAAACTTCCGTCTCTTCGCCTTCACTCTCCAAAAAGCCCACAACCTCGCAACATCTTGATTTCACCTTCCCTTAACACTTTGATAGCCATCGTTCTCTTCAGTTCCCGCAATCTCAACACCAGATTTCCCACAAATACGCACATGCACAGACGTCTATCATGCCTTACAGCGCAATCCAACCTAAGCAGATTCTGAAACGAGCGCCGTCACAGCGTGAGTATGAGTTCCTGCAAGAATGGGCTCCTGAGACCCTGAAGAATCACGAAATCCCATCGCAACAGAACACTTTCCAGCCTCATCAGGCCGCTCCAACCAGCGCACAGGGCATGTCCAATCCTAGACAACAGAAACTGCGCACCTCTTCTCTGTATGAAGACTGGAAAGCCCAGGCTACTTCGCAGGGAGAGAATGTTCACAAGGAGTGTAATCCTTCCGTCCATACACCAACACAGAACAAGAATCACCAATCCCAGTCCGCGAGCTTCAAGTCTACAGCAGTCGCTGCCGAAAAGCCACATGACAACTTGCAGTCAAAGACAAACACGAAGAGCTCTCAGCCAGCATCTTCCAAGAGCAACACTCTTCAATCTTGTGGGTTCTACCATCCTTTCAGTTTCCCGAGATTCGACATGAAGGCTTCCCATAGAAGTACATCTTTCTAACAAGCTGGCAATGCGTTCAATCCACTTAGACCATTTCGCCCAGCCTACCGTGAGCGCCAGTAACCGTTTCAACACTGTCCACGCGAGCAACAGAAAGCCATCCAAGCCAGTCGCTGATCCCATCAAGGTCGCCCAGGAACCCCAACAGAATCCACGTCTCTCGGCTTCGAGCCCTACTGCATCAGAAGCCACCAGATCTGTGGAAAGTTGCAAGGGCAAGCCGGCTGAAGTTAGACAGAAACATGATCATGTCGCTTCGCGTCACTCCTCCGCAACCACGGCTTCCAAATCGCTGGATAGTGCCCAGTACAAGCCCACCGAGGTGAAGCAGAAACATCGCTCTGGCTCCTCGGAATCCGCACCAATGTCACCCAAGCCTGCGGCAAGTTCCAAATCTGTTGATGAAAATAAGCAGAAGAAAGCTTCCGATGTCTCGGTACCTATCACAGTCCAGTCATCCAAGCCTGTGGAAACTAGTAGAAAGCCCATCGAAAGCAGACAGAAACCACGAGGTGGATCAATCTGCTATACCGCTCCGAATGGCACCCGCTTTCCTCGGCACAATGATCTTCACAAATGGTCAATGGGAGTCAAGAACCAGCACAATGATTTAATAATTTTCATGCCAGTGTTTGTCGAGAATCCGTGGAAAGGCCTGCAGCCTGTTCTAACAACCTGTGAGTTTCGGTTCTGGTGAGTGATTCTCTGCCTTCCAACCTTGCTGCTCTGCTCTCGACTCCAATGGCATGTTGCTGATAAGCTACATACAGAAGCAACCTGGAGTCTTTTCATGTTACGTGAATCACAAAGATAATTTACCAGGGATGGAGCTGAGGATCTCTGTGCAGTTTTATTTACTCTCCATGGATTTTGCTCTGTGAATAACCCTGTTCAAGAGAGCCATGCGCAGGTTGTCTGCGTGAGACACAAGAAATCGAACTCATGAGAGTATTCAATATGCAGGTAGCTTAATACTTCGCCAATTACTGTTCTCTTTATCAGACATTCCCATAGTCAAGGGTTTTATTCTGTGCTTTCGTGATGACCTTTTCTGTATTGAATAATGATCCGTGTTCTTCATATGTATTCCTTCATAATAGCACACCAGACCCTAATTCAAAATGGAACATCTCATTTCCTTCGAATTATAACATTGAATTACAACCTCATTACTACCGAGGACATTCCTAACTTCGATGGTCTTGGAGTTGTGGGGTTTGTAGGTGGAGGGAGGTGTTTGTCGAATAGGCTGAATCCCAATGCAGTAATACCTCCTTCTCTCAGCATTCTTAGCCCCTGAGCATCTTAAAGGAACATGTCACTACAATATCAACAGCACACACTTCTCAATCACCTCCTCTGCATGTAGCTGACGTACCTTCATGACCCCACTCTTCTATCATCTGAAACAAATTATTCCCAGGGTTCGGTTTCCGATCTAATCCTACGGAAGGGATTTATCCGGGGTTTCATTTCCCTCAGGCCCACCATGCCCGACGACCATCGCCTTGCCTTGTAACGGCCAACCTCAGTCATACAGACAGGTCGTTGAACATACAACAGACGAGATATCCGAAGTTTCGGTCTGTATGACACCTTGACAATAAAGCACTATCTCCTGTTTGCCCGCCTGCAAACTCGCGAGATCGGTCTGCACGCTCGTGTCACTAGACCAGCCTGGACGGGCATCTGCCCTGCTGCCCATCCGTGCCCTGAATGCGATATGATTGCTGGTATAACTCAGCCTCTCCGACTAATGATCTCCCCGTGTCTAACCATTGTTTGCCAGATAGGCCAGAATCGCTAAGGAGTCTTCTACGACGCAGGGAGCAGGCAATGGTAAACGCGCAGCAAACTACTGCACCCCTGGTCCTTAGCTCTATACAGGACATGAGTGCTACGGATAAGCTCAGTCTCCTACATTAGTAGAACTGGCAGCTGACCATGATTTAATGCGTCATAACACGTACCAGCAGCTTGTGGCCCAAACTTCCCGGTCAATCACCAAGGGGCTGCGCGCACTGTGGCTGAGGTCGCTGTGCCACACTTGACAGCAGCAAACAGTTCCCCCCGTTCTTGAGCGTCCTGAAGCGTCCCCACCTAAAAGCGGCAAGGAAAACATCCCAAAACAGGGGGTGGAGCGGAGCAGGCCGAGGATTTCCGTCCGCTGGCGGAGTCGGACCAGCGGAGCTGACTCGAACATTTTGCTTTGCTCTTTACGTCTGATGACCAAATGCGGGGTAAGGGAATAGAATCAAGCAACATGAAGATATTGATTACTCTTGATCGGATCAACTCATGTCCTCAACAAGCATTCTTGTGTGGAAATCCTGCCACACTGGTATGCGCTCTAGGAATGCCTCCGAGGACCGTGCCCGTATCGTAACCCCAGGTGACCTAGGCCTGGCACATGACTTGGCGCCTGTCATCACAGGGTGTGATGTGATGGGGAGTTTCCCACTTCCCGGATGTCAATCTGAAACGTTGCGGGCGCTTTCCTATGCTTCTAGAATCTATTCGAGCGATTGGCCACTGACCTTGCCTCCCGCTGCGGATTTCGAATGGCACAACTTCTCAAATCTGCAAGTATAACCGAAAACATATTGCGCAACATGAAATTTCCCACCGAGAATTTGTAAGTACAGTATTACATTGTGCCGCCGATGAAGTATCAACAGGGGCCATCCCAGAAATCCACCCAGCCATACGGTATCCCAAATCAGAACAGACCATCCCGAACCCAAGTACGCCAAATTCAAACCCCACAGAAGCCAATTTACCGAAAAGCCAGCTTTCGCGGTCGCAGTCGAGGCTCTTTACCTATCAAATGCTCCTCAGCCGAAATTATAGCATAGTACCTTTTCGCCAGTTCTCACTCGTCGAAGGTGTATTTCTTGGCCGCACGACGATATTCTTCGGGATGGGCACTTTCGGCTTTCGCCTTCAATGCACTTGAAAATACAGTCAGCACCTGGAACTCCAACATTGTGGTGGCACTGCCTGTCGATCAGGCGCGAAAGACTCGGGGTGCCCGTAAGACACTGAACGCTGCCAAGAATTGTCTTGACAGCGGAGCGCGGCGGACGCCCGCGCAGTCAGTCAGCGGAGCGGAATCCGTTTACGACCGTCGACAGTTACACTAGGGGCAAGATGAAAGAGCCAGGGGAAGAATTCGCAGCTTACTTGACGCGTTTCTGGGTCCATTCCAAATCTCGCTTGGTCTCCCGAGCGACTTTGATACCATCGGCAAAACTAGCACGTACGCCCTTCAGCCGCCTTTGCGCAAGAGCTTGCAACTCGAGCAGCTCGCGCTGCTTCGCGTTCAACTGGCCGGAGCTGTTTGCAAAAACCTTTAGCTTCATTCATTCCAAATTTTATCGCCCAGCGCAGAATGTTGCCTGCTGCCCGGGCAGTGAACCAGATATCGTCGCGACTTAGGATAGTACTCACGCTTGCGCCTGCATCGCCAGTCCCTTGTCCAGCGGCGTGGGGTCAAACATATCTTGCATGCGGTCGTTCAATACATCAACGACATCGACCCCAGAGTACGAGGCAGAGCTGGTCTCATAATCTCCGCCGATGCTTCCGGATGCATAACTGAACCCGGCGGATGTACGGCTTCCAGCAGTGGTGCTAGTGTCGGAGAGATCGGGAGGAGATCCAGACACTCGACCGACAGGATAAAGGCTGGCCGGAAGCGGAGCCTTAGATGGAACGTTGATGGGAAGAGCAGGGGACTGGTAGTGGTGGGTCGCCATTGTGAAAAGAGGTATGGGGACGTTGAGGATTATAGCAACAGTGAGTGAGGACTCGAACAAGAAGGTTGAATGATTGACAGCTATGAAGGAGCTGGTATGTCAGAGATCAGACGCTGTATGGTCAATGGACAAATCTGATCAATCGAATGGGAATAGACAAGAGAGGCCTGGAGAGATGGAAAAGGAAGAAGGAGCAAGGCCAGATGGGGGAGGACGAGGAGAGGGCTTTTATAGCCCTCCGCGGAGAGTCTTCCATCCGGCGGAATGAGCATTGTCGAAGGGAAATGAGCTCTAGCAAGGACCTGAGGGGAGAAGAGAGGCGGGGGGGATGCTTGGAGATGGGCGAGATGGGGCCATTGGGCATTGGGATTGTCCGGGGAGGCATTTTCTCCCACCCCCCCTCTGCTTCTCACCCTCCATCATCCCTCCACTTGTCGCCAATCCCAACCCCCCAATTCCGCCCGTCTTGCAGTTTCTGAACGCCAATTCGCTCCTTCTCCCGAAGGGACCCCGCTCTGGCTGAAAAGACGAAAAAATAGAAAGATTGCTGAATGGCCGGAGAGTGGTCCAGCCCTCTTCATCCCTCCTCCACCCGGCCGTCCTCCCCCGGTGCTCCGTGGCGACACTTTCGGGCATCCCGGGGACTCTCAGGCCCCGTCCGTCTTTTTCTCCTTGGGCTGCGATGGCTTGGGGGTTTAGGAGAAGGCTATAAGAGGGACGGTGGGAATGGCAATGAGGTCAGTCCTGTGGCCTCCTCGGTTTGGCTCTCAGCGGAATTACTGTCTTTCTTCCGAGCCCCGATATATGAATACTGTCATGAATTGAGATCCCCCGAGGAATCAAGTTCCTCCAAATCGTCTTCTCCCATCGCCAACTACTTCAGGTCTTATTCTCCTGTTTGCGCGTGCAGCAAATTATCTTTCTTCTACTTGATCAGTCTTCAGCCAACAACCGCCGCCAATATCAGGAGGCTGGGTGGCTGGGGCAGACGCGGGTGCAGCAGAGACACGGCGTCTATTCGACAGGAAGGTGACTGGCCATGACGAGAAATGCTTGTCTACATAGCTGTGGAAGCATGTGGCATTCAATCGAGCTGCATCGGCCGTTAATTCTCTCGAATATCATAGTCAAACTGCGTGGCTCGCTTCTTTAGAGGTCAGCCAACCTCATCAAATCGAGCATATGCAATTTTCGCTGGCCTGGGCTAGTGGGCTATTGTGTTCGGCTGACTTTTGAGGCCTCCTAAGGTGAGAAAGCTTGTCTCTCTTTCATTGCAGCTTTTTGAGGTTCCTTGTCATCTTTGGGCTATCATATAAATGGTGATTTCTTGAGTCAAAGGCTGCAAGGTACAAGAATCTGCAAATGCATTAGATGAAGCGGGGGCTTACGAAACTCGCAGGCTTTGTGAGAAGAGAAATAGACTGCATATCGAGGATCATGGATCAATATTGGACACCTTTGCATATGCTCGGAACGAACGAATGAGAACGATCTGGCGCACATTAGACAGACCAAGAAAAGCTCGGAGAGACGGCAACCACAAAGCGCAAAAAGGCCGGATTTGCATCCCTCAGATCCTCAGGGCGGGCTATGACTCCTGCTAACACGACGCGAGCGACCCAAGATCGTTCAAGTGGCACGGCAGGGCAGAAATTGGCCCCTGAAATCGAATGGGAAATCGTGTAACCAACAGGGGTTATTGTTCTTCGATTTTGCTTCGCCAGACATATGACGTGCAAAGGATAGAGCCTGAGATCACCTGGGATGTCGGGTTCGTGGAGAGTGCGTTGTCCGCTTATCGGCGGCTCAGCAGCCCGCGCCTGGATATGTTCCGTCGAGCAATTTGTGCGAGCTATCTTCAACCACTGGCACTTCCACTGATTACAAGCGCTATAGACGCCGCCAACGTGGGAATCTCGATGGCAGACGGGGCAAAGTGGGCCTAGACGAGAAGCAGTTCGAATTGCTTGCAGGTACAGGTCTTGCTGTGTTGGAAGAGCCTCGGAGCCCTCCGATTTTCCCAAGACTCTGGTTCAGGGCATCCTTGTCCAGCGAGTCGAAACTCCGAATCAGGTGCTCATGATAATGCCCAAGCAGGACAGAAGACCTAATGCGTGTGGGGGAAGGGAAAAAAAGACATAGTCTGGATACACACGCAATACAGGTTCTAGGCTGACAGGCAAATTGGAGTTGCTAAAACACGCACGGAAAGCCTGTTCCTTTGGTCGCCGGCTTGGATCTGAAAATACACCAGTCACGATCGACGCCGGCTTCACGGTGACATCCACCGACAAGCCGTCATGGCCAGTGGCATTCGATTATTCCTGCATCAAATGCGGACGCCGTCATTATGTCTACAACCTTGCTGCCTCACGGATTCTTAGATTGTCGCCTTACAATTACGGCAATGTTTCTCTCCTCATGCCGTTTCCAACTGTGCCTGAGCGGCCCCGACTTCTATGTCTTGGTTGATTTACACCTTGAGAGAAGGGCTCTCTCTATCGCCTGTTGTCCAGCAGCCCGACCGGAAAAATTGGTCGCACAGAAACCCGGCGAACTGATGGCTGTGCCTCCAAAGAAAATAGTTCGGTCACTTGCATCTCTATTTCGTGTGGTTTCCGGTTTGCTTCTGGTTCTCACCACTCAGCTTCCTTCAGTCGCCAGCCGTTGTAGGCTGGGTCATCTCTGGCCAAACTGTCCGAGTTGACTCCAACGAGATGATTAATGAGGCAAAAATGGGATTATTTTACTTTCTGCATTATGGAGTATTCACGAGCGGCGGCTCGAAGAGCCTGTCTTGTCTGGACTGGTACCGCTACGCTAATGCAAAAGACTGCTGCTCGACATCCGCCGACGCTGCACCAAGGTTCTTGGGCCAGGCTGCTAATACCCCCGATGCATGCTGGGTCATGGCTCCTTTGGTTGTGAGACGATTGTCCCCGCAGTGCCCAACACTCGGCTGCAGACGAGGGTCCGTGTGAAGTTTCTCCATGGGCGAAAGACGTCTCCGGAATGGCGGGCAGACAGACTCTCGAGTCCTGTCAGCTAACGGCGACGGATGCACTGCGGATGGTTAATCTATCTTCAAAGGGATGATGCAGTGCAGGTGGGGTGAAAATGGGGGGAGAAAGAAATTGCCTTTATTCGCCTGTCACTCGTTTGCTTTGCATCTCCCTCACCGCCACATGAGAAAACGAACAATCTACCGGAGGCTCGCTCGCGCCATATGATAGAGAACATCCTACCCTGATGATGACAACGCGGGCTGTCTTGAATTATTCCGATGGCTAATCATCCAGCCCTGTCGCGCATCGGATCCTCCCTCCTTCCCTTGTGGTCGTTTCCCAAACCCAGTAGAAGCGGGTTGCAACTACGGGTTGAGGCCGGGCCCGTCGTCCTACGATAAGCGCTCGTTCTAAACCAACTTCAACCTGGCATGCAGCTCCACCCTGCGATCATCCATGCTCATGCCTGACATACGGTACTGTACCTAAGTATCCGACTCAGGCAGTTGCATTGCGGCAACCAGATTAGGCCGATAGCATCAACGTCATCCCAGTGCATTCTCAACACTGACTCGATTGGACACTCGTTGCGATTGATTCCTTCCGGCCGCTAGTTGATGCCTTGTGGCATCCTGTCATGGGTTTGGGTGAATCAAATTTTTGCCCGCCGTTCTTCATCCAAACCACCTTTCTACCCGCCGCATCGGCCGCTTTTCTCACCAGCAGTGCCAGTCCGGTTGTTTCAGTGTCCATTGTGTCAACAGCCGTCGAATCGGCAACTGAACCCGACGATAAAAATCCATCGAGGGAACAACGAATCTAAAACTTCATTCGCGCACAGGAGGATACGACAAATCATTTTGGTCTTCCAACGTACAATATATCGTGTCCGGCCTCGAAATGATGTGCAATGTCATCGCCTCAATCTTTATTCGGATTGAGTCATGATATGGTCATACAGTAGGCCTCAGAACACTAAACATCACTTTCCACACCCAAGTAGAGCCCGTCAATCAGTCTCCTTTGCTTCTTTCTCGATGTCTGGAACCATTACCTTCGAACCGCACCACGAAGGTTGAGATCGAACACCCGAGTCACGTTCCACAGCAGGAACCACCCA